TATCGGTAACTTTCGGGGCATTTCTAGTTCTTAATAACATGCTACCAGTAGTGCATGCTCACGCATCATCGCACAAGGAAAACTTTCCCGCGGAGAGTGCAGGCAGGTCCACTCAATCGTTCCAACTTATGATGGCAATTGTGAAAGTATACCCAAATATCAGTAAGTGATGGCTCACCAGAGGGAAATGGTTGGGGTTCACTACGAGAGGACGAGCGATCCCAGCCTATTGTTATTTTCTACGTCCGCTGAAGGTTCTTGGATTACGAATCCCACAGTCCCCGCCACCTGCTCGCTTCTAATGATCCGTTATCCACTCGAGCAGACGTGTATCTTTCCGAAGCAGATGCAGGGAATGGCTCATATGAATGTTGGATCAACCACCCATCTTACGACCTCTCACCAAACATGCACAAAGACCTCAGCGTCTATTTGTCTGTTGCAGGGAGAACCCCACCGCTTTAGATCGGAAACGTGAACAAGGGACTACTGATATGGTTTACCGCAAAACCCATCCGTTGGTTCTGTGGCGGGTGACGTCAACCATCGAGGGACCCGGTATAGTGATCGGGTGCCGTTTGTTGCCACGAATCTCTACCGCCTTCCGGTTAGCAGGGATGGGATTCAATTTCCGGACGACAGCTCCAATTGTCATCGATATTAGCCAAGTCGTTCAGTGTCATTGCGATTTCTTCCTCTTCATTTGCTAGTCCCCAAGCTCGAGCTTTTTTCTGTTACTACGTCATTTAGGATTGTGTGTTGTCAGTACGCCGCTTCACTTAATATCCTATAGCATTCATAAGAATGGGTCAGTAGCATCCCATACTCAGTACTGTTGAAGGGAAAAAGATCTTCTAAGGCTGAGCGGCAAAGCTCCACGCCCCATGAGGATCCAGACGAAACAACCGATCAACTCGAATATACGTACAGTCAAGATTCTCTGTCGTTTGCCAGCTTCTGGCTTCATCCCGCTTGACGCCGCCGGGTTCAATTCCCTCAGTATTTCCCTCATGCAACTCCTGGAAAGGTTTATGGTTCCTTCAAGTTCCTGCTGACAATCTCCTTGCCACCTCTCGATGCCTACCCCGGCTCCCTCATAACCTAGCGCTTTGGGGAACCTGGTAACTGTACTACCAGTGAGATCCGAGTCGCATGTCACTCAATGATTCATCCGTCAGACCCGACTACTTGTGCCAAGTGAGCCAGGCCACCATGCAAAACATCAGGCAGCTGCTGTCTCACGTCCATGTCCAGAATTAAGCTGGGCGAGCAAGTAAATCAGAATATAATAACCATCTATGGCAAAACATAATGCCAGAGGCCAGTGAGAATGGATTGCGAGGGACAACGGCAAGAATTAAATAAACCTCAGTTATCAAAAATACTTGGAAGATGCATTCAAAACATTTACAGCATTCTCTGCGATTCCTGCTCAATACCGCGCTCGCATAAAACACAAGCTGAGTTCCAGTGGCAATTCGCCGCTCAGCCACTGAGCGGGGGTGACGTGGCCTTGCAAGAGACTTCTTGTAGAAGCAATGGGATGTCACCGCGGAGCTGTTCGCAGGGGCGAGCGAGAGAGGATTCGAGGAGTCCCTCAGGTCCTGCAGTGTCAGGAGACAGTGAACCCTAGTTATAAGTTGGAGAATCTATAGCGATCGGATAGGGCCGTGAGAGCGAGAACGGATCGTGATACGCTGCAGCTAATCGAGGACTGAGCAGATAGCTCTTAGCGAGAATGATCGTGCGTGGGTTTGGGTGTGAAGACATTGATCCCTTCAATTGCAATTGTTGCAAGAAGCGCCAGCATTGGAGCAGACACAGAGAGCCATTGGTGCGCTATGGATGATGATCAGACATAAAATTGGAGTTAGGGAGAGGAATTTCACATCAACTTCTGAACTAGGACAATGCCGCATAAAATGTTTGAGGAACCGGTTGTAAGGCCGATGTTGCCTGCGTACGGTTCATAGATGCCGAAAGGAAAAATTACTAGGAAGTGTAGCAGTTTACTGAACGTTGTACGGTTCGATTGAGCCACTATCAGGCCGTCCCATAATCCAAAATAAGATACTGCCGTTGAAGAGCAATCTATACCCGAAACCCTATCAGCACAAGTCAATCCAGAGGTTTCAGGGACTCACAAGTTTGGGCAACGCACATAGCTTGAAATGCCTTCGGTAATGTCCCCGCTGGTCTGTACTTGAAATTGTCAAGCTGGACGTTCGTTTGGTAACATCCCAACCCTCTTTAACTTTATTAAGCCCGAATGCCTTCACCTTGTTGACGATATTTGTTGCTCTGAATAGATTCAGAGATAGAAAGCACGAATCCCAGAAATGTGAGGAGTGAGGCCATCGATTGGAACTGACGGACAACTAGGATCGACCTATGGCATTCCGTCTGAATCCGTCCTATGACCAACGGTGGCCAAAAGAGAGAAAATGATTATGTACAAGGCACAACGTGGGAAGGCAAAAAAGGAAATATGAACACAGCGTCAGCTTTTACTAATAACGCTTACTTTGAGTGACATGCGTCGAGCGACTCTTACACATCCAGTCAGACACACGGACATCAGCATTTCATATGGTTCCCTCCCTCTGGCAATGTGCCTCAACACAGCTGCTTTGACTCAAGTTACCAGAACAGGTCAGGATATCACCCTCATCGTGTAGGGGTCCAGGATATCGATGCTGGGTTGTGCGGAATCAGTTCGAGCATAGTTCGCTATAGAAATATGAGGACAAGACCACGTTCGCGAGATTCTCGCCGTGTTAGTGATGCCTTCCTCAGACCAGCCTGAGATAACTCCTAGCTGAGGACTCAATTTCCATGCTAAATCTGCATCGTTTGCAAAATACCCAAAGGCGCATGGTCAACACAAGCAGACTTTCGGAGTTTGTTATCCAGCGAAATGATTTCGGTAACGTTGTTAACGTCCCGGCTTTGTGCCGACAAAGGGCATTTCGTATTTGCCATCCTGCTTTATTTGTCGTGGGGTGAATGGCCTACCTGTTCCAACTGTTCAACACCCCCTCAGCAATTGCTAACGCACAATGTCTGGCCGATCTGGGTTCTCTCGGTTTTTCGAGAGACGGCACTCTTCCAAGCGTCCCGGCGGTCCATCGCAACCCTCGACCCCTGTTCCCAACATCCAGATCAATCCTCCCCCAACTGCAAAGGATGTAGCCATTAGTGGAGATCGTGATATATTTGAAGAATCTCGTCTTAAATCTACTACTACTGCGTCAACCGGTGGCAGTTCTCGAGATCTAGAGGAGAGGAGGCCTTTGCGGCAAGCTATATCTGAGCTGTTCAGAAGAAGTCCCGGCCCCGATCCCAACCGTCGTACCGACCAATCAAGGGCCCCCACCCCAAACAATCTGTCCTCTCTACGCCTGATCCGCCATCCCCGAATCCATCACCATCACCCTTCCTCCCTGAGGGGACCATCGATATCTCTCATACAATGCCCGGTAAGCACATCTTCCACGCACAACCAGGCGAGAGCTTAAATATCCCATCGCCAATAGACCGAACAGCGTCATCTTCGCCCGTTCCCGCTGGTGATGGAAAGAAAACAATCATCGCCACCACAAGGCATGTCCTCCAAACTGCCGCCTCTGCTCTTAAGTTCGTCCCCATTCCAAACATCGATCAGATACCAAGTATACTCCTGTCGTGGCTCCAAGTTTACGAGGTTCGTAAATGTTGCGATTGTGTAAATTGATTAGATGTTTTCACGTCTTTCCGACATGCAGACCATTGGCAACAATGATGAAGATCTCAAGGGATTAGACGATGAAGTTCGAAAGGCTCACGAAACGATCTTTAGGCCCCTCCTGTTGTGGACTGGCCAGGTTCCCCCCGAGATAGGTGACCTAATTCAACGATTCAACTTGTATGTGCATTTGCTTCATCGCTCTCTCGTTTAAATCCCAACTTTTGGTCACAGAGCCCTTAAACAACAGTTGAGGCAAATCGAAGCACTCAAACATCAAAAACTTGCCAAGAGGGTAAATTTAGCGACTGAGATAACCCAGGAAATAAGCGCTGTGAAGTCCTGCATCGGTGATGCTGTCTCCCGCTTTACGGTTTGTTTCGTTGGTGTTCAGACTGTCCGATGACTGACTTGGGCATACCCCATAGACCGCTGCGACAACTCTGAACCTTCTCCACACAATTCAGTCATCAGTAGACCGTTCGTTGTTTTCCCCTGATTTCACTGCTTGGAATTTAATGATATATTAGGTGAACTCTCGAAACTCTACAAAGGAAAGGCGGAATACTTTGCGGTGAAAAGCAAGTCGAAATGCCTGGAAAACACCCGTATCCGGATTCAGGAATCGATACTCGATCATTTGGAGAAACAGGAACACCGATTTGTCTGGCTTCGTGGCTCTCCGGGCACTGGAAAGACTGCTATATCGATGAGTGTCGCCTCAACGCTTGCCCAACAACGTCGCTTGGCAGCGTCTTTCTTCTGGGACAAGAACCAAAAGGGAACAGGACTTGATTCGATTGAACACTTCCCCTCTACTCTTGCACGCCAGCTTGCCTTGTTTAACACCGAGTACGAGGGCCTTCTTGCCAATCAGCTTCGACAGCCTTCTTCACTGGAGCGCATTCCAGGCTCTGCTCTGGAGAAGCAGATGAGAGCTTGGATCGTCGAACCCATGCACAAACTCTTGTCTCTGGGTGAGGAGCGCTTCATCATCATCTTGGATGGACTGGACGAGTGTGGGGCTCAGGAGGAACTCGAGTCCTTAATGGAGCTTGTACTCATCCTCAATGAACTGCCGGCTGCATTTGCCGTGTTGGTTAGCAGTCGTCCAGAGTCATCGGTCATCTCAGCTTGGGATGCGGCTCGGGCTCAGGGCCTTGTCATACCATATGAAGATGTGGACACTGTCGCGAAGGATGAGAAGTTCCACACTATCTGCCGCATGGTCGAGGAAGGCCTTCGGGGTTGCGTCAATAAGTCTTCCTGGAAACCGTCAAAAGAGGATATCGACGCATTTGCCTCGGCCTGTCGTGGATTGCCTATTATCGCCTCAATCCGAGTCCGGGATGTCTCTGTTCGAACTCATCGCGGTGCAACCCTTCGATCTGAGTTCGAATACTTCCGTCACCTCATCGACACCCCTGTTGATGTCGACTCAGAGTACTTGCGCATACTTCGCCGTGCCTATATGTTCGACTCATCCGGAGTTCCTCCACATATAGCCGAGAAATATCGCCAACTTGTTGGCACAATAATTGTGGCGTTTGAGCCACTGAGTGTGTTTTCCATGTCGCAACTATTAGGAATCACCGAGGAAGAGGTCCTAGCCATATTGGAACCAATTAGCTCAATTGTCGATTTTTCTGAAGCAAGTGGCTTGGAGCGTTCCTCAAAAGGATCCTCGGATGACCCGAAGGGTGTCAAATTCTATCATGCAACGATGAAAGAGCTCATAACGGGGGATTTGATTGGTAATGAAGATGACGAAGTATTCTTTATCAAAGATGTGAATAAGTATTTCCTCGGACTACCGCTCCTCCAATTTTTCAATAATAGTTGTGAGCGGGATGTGTTTGGGGAGCCTGCCATTCTCCCTTTAGGAGATGAACGGACATGGGGAGATTTTTGGGAGAGAAAACATCATCTCCCTCATCATCTCCGATATGCTCGTCAATACTTATTAGAACACCTAGACCCCTCACAACTCTTTGCGCAAGAGTCCAATTTGCGGAATGAGTTTAATACATTCCTAACACGAAACTTGGTTACATTTATGCACCTGGCACCATCCAATGAACGGAATCAGAGATTCCCCGATGGATTTGATAAATTCACTGTAAGTGAACTCATTTGTGCCACGCTTATTTTAAATAATGTAATGTCACACAGGACCATGATTCATTCAAACTCTTGAGGGAAGCTCGAGAGAAACAATCAGTGGAGTATGCGTCTTGGGAGTCCGGCGCTTATGTGACTTCCTCGGCACCATGGCACCTCCATCGATCAACCCTTCCTCTCACCCCGCCCTCATCACCTTTGTACAAACTGTACGGCCACCTCTCCGATCCCGTCCGGATTTTCACCATTTCCGGCGAGTTTTCCGGGCACAGAATCCCGTTGAGTGAGGATTTACTCCATGCTCGAATGGTCATGGAGGCGAAGCTACCTAATTTGCCAAAGAAGGCTGACAGTCGTGATGAGTATGATGCTCAATTCAACGACCCTGATGTTCGTAATGGTATTGTGACATGTGCAGCACTCTCCCTTGATGGTCATCATATAGCTCTCGGTATTGGTAGCGGTGTCATCGAGCTTGCCGATATTCACCGTCAGCGCACGATTTCCCGATTCCAGCTCGATCCACCCAACCATCCAGTCTGGATCGAATTTGTCCATGGCCACCGAGTTGCTGCCGAGGACAATGAGGGGAATATCACCATCCTTAGCCATGATATGACCCTCATTAATCTTGGCACTCTTCCCAACGGCCCTCTTCCTGCTGTAACTCGAGTATCAGATAACGGATTATTTATCATACGAGTCCCATGGAACAGTGGTAACTCGTGGTACGACAACATGACTCTCATATCCATTCTGGACACCCCGCACATGCAGCTCCTCGCATCTCCTCCTTCCCACTCGGATGATTCCCCTCGCCATGACACGCTCACTATTCCTCACCGTCGCACGCTTGGGTTTTCTCCAGGAGCGCGTTATATCGGCGCTTTCGATGGCCTCAGTGCTTTCACCTGGTCGACAGATTCATGTGAACTCATTGCGCATTATCGTGTAACGGATTTCAAATTTTGGATTATGAATCCCGCTGTTCCCCCTGCCTGCTCTTATCGCATCCCTGATCCTGTATCCGTTCGACCTACCCTTCCCTTGACAAAAGTTGGCGCAGCAGATATACATCGTTCCAAAACAGATGCGGGGCATAACTTGGACGCGTCCTGGATTAAGTGTCCATTTTATGTTCTTTCGCAAAACAAGGGGGAGGAGGAGTGGTGGAAGTCTGACATCCGTTCATCCACTGCAGGAAGAACTCCACTGTTCGGAACCGATATAAAACGCACTGGGCTACCAATGTTCTTCAATGGCAAATTAGAATTCGTTATTCCCAAGGAGTACCAACCAGTTGTTTCTTATGACGCCGAAGGTCTAGGCGCTTGGTATGGTGATCAAGTGCCATTTGATCCTACCCTTCTGTACAGCCCTCAGTCCAGCAAAGATGGGACTCGAATCCTCCTCCAAGGCCGGCAGGCGGCTCCAATCATTGTCGATCTCAGTCAAGTCGTTTAGGATGTTTGTGGCCAATTGAAATATTTTCCTATTTACCTTGCGCGTTCTATCCACGATCAGAGGGGGGATCGCAAAGTTTCGCCAGGTCACCCTTCCATCTTTCTGGACTCGGACGAGATTTCCTTTCGCTACGGCGAAGTACAGCTCGGGCTTCAACGGATCTATGATCACTCTTCCCTTGCACTGCCGTTTAGTCCCGGGTCGGACAAAATGACAGCGTTGCGACCACAGACTTTTTGATTTTGCTCTTTTCCATAGTTCCCCAATTCGCTTCCACCCCGTATCAGAATGAATATATCTGTCCATTTGAGGCACTGAAAAGCTTGCCCAAAGCAAATTTTCTCTTATCACCTCTTTAAACGTACGAAAAATCGGTATTTCTTTTGACAGTTCCATCGTTTCACCCGGCGTTCATCCTCTGCTTCACTCAATGTGACAAGAAACCAACGTTATATAAATGCTAGATATATGTGTGTGTGTGTGCGAGCGTTTAATGCCACAAGATATCTGGGCAAAAGTGGCGGTCTTTGCATCGCGTTAAATAAAGCCAACGTATGAGTGATCCCATCCTGACTTAGCCCATGAACTTATGAGGCTCGAAGAGTACCCCATCCCGTCCTGATCGCGCCGAAACCTGTGGCCGGCGAAAGTTGAAATCCCAAAGAGAATTTGTGCCGCATTCGGATTGATTCCAATACCAACGCGCAAAGAAATGGGACAGGTATCGTTATCAGGCTTAAGCCCTCCCACCCATGGTAGCAGTGCGGTTCTCGACGACTTCATTCCAGAATCACGCATGCCTGGAAAGAGCAACCCTTTTATTGTATTGGTATCCTGACACATCAGGATTCTCAACGCACCAGCATCAGCCTGAGGTGGGTATTGATCCATATACTCCATCCGATCCTCGCAGCCTTGCCAACACATCTTTACCACCCAGCATAATTCGACCTCAGGTGGCCTGGGCCCAATCTGCAACGATGCTCATGCATCACCGCAAAAGAAAACCATTCCGTGGATAGTGTAGGTGGGTTCACTACAAGAGGACGAGGAATCCTAGCCTATTGTCATTTTCTACGTCCGCTGAAGCTTGGATATGGTGAGTAAGGCACAGATTCGAGCGAAAGCCAAGCAAGCACAGTAGAAATATGGTAGGTGTCACCCTTGAATACTCTTGCGACGTGTTGCCAGCTATTTGGTCAAGGTGAGATAATAGTTCCCGGGGTTCGAAACTGCGCCGGTAGGCTTCTGGTTTACTACGTAGGCTAAAGCAGCCTCAATAGAACGATCAATTGACATTATCTGCAGCGCTCGAAGCGAGGGCGTGTGCGTATTGAATCATTGCTTCCAGAAGCGCTCCCCAGCTTGAAGTAGCTTGAAGTCCACCAAGTTGTTCTTGAACTCTCACATCCCGACTTTCATATGACGGCGGTGCACATAAGTTCGGCCAACGTTCCTCCAGAGCATCGGGGCCTTGTTCGTCCCCATCAACAGGCTCGCTTGGAGTTCTGTCCTTTTTGCAACGCGCATCAACTTTCACCAAGAATCGTCCCCTCTGGTAGTCCCGTCTTGCCGCCCGAGTCCTCGTCCCTTGTGATATTCTTCTTTTTGCTGTGTTTTGGTTCTTTCCTACCACATTTCATTGCATGATGGAAATTAGCATTCCGTCCACTTAGGTGTCTCAGGCCTTGCGGCGACCGGCTGGCCCGCCCCCTACTTAGGAGAAATAAATTTCCTCCGCAAGTATGGAATGATCGCTCTCTAGCAGTGAAAGATACATCCCTGTCTGAGTGGCACGGTTACGAGAACGCTGCTTTCGGATACGATGAGCTCCTGTCAACTTCAAATGGCAGCATTCAGGATTTCAATGGCTTGGGGAGCGGCGATTTACACTATGCTTCTCATGGACCTCAAAGCCTCTGAAGAGTACAAGGGCGCATGTTACGAAGCAGAGCTCCAAAGACCATGCGCCGTCGGCACTGTCATTACAATCATGTGTCTCTTAAGTTCCGGCTTAAAATGGCGAACTCTCCTTCTTTGAAACAGTCTTTCGTTAGGTGGGTTGCCGTCCTATGGATTGTCCGGCAACTCGGTACTCTTGGAGAAGGCCAACAAGGTGTCGTTGACCGACTTATCACATCACACAAGGTATGGGTCAGGAACCGTACTTATTGTGAAGATCGCCGCCACATGCCGAATAGAGTTCATGTGCCTCGCGCACCTTACTAGACGAAATGGAGTCTTCCCTTCGATCAGATAATGTCATCGATCTTCTACAGGAGACGCAGATGAAGGATTGGTTGTGGAGAGCAACACTCGGCCTGGTCGCAAGTGTGTCAGATACGCCTTTGGGTCCAACTACACTCCGTCGGCGATATGGCAGGCAGTGCGACAAGTGATATCCTCATCTCACAGTGGCACCTCTGATTTATTGAGGCGCTTAGTATGAGTTGAAAGGTTACTTCTCTGGCAACTCCGAAAAGCCACTTTGGACACGTGTAAGACTCGCGTTGTTCACAACCCTCCCTCAATCTCCGACGGTGTTACGAACAAGATGCACTTCCCCTGTCCGATTCGTGGTTTCCTCTCCGTCACTTCCATGGAGGTGGGACGCCCGTAGTGCCATTGGAACACTTGGCGTGTGCTTTCACCCTGCGCTCGGCATGGAGCCACTTGGCTTGGAACTCACTCAAGAACAATCAGATCCACTCCGCTGGGCGACTGAAGGACTGACCTGGTATACGCAGAGGCGGGGGGTGGTCTGAGTGCTGAAACGAAGTTTGATGTGAAGTTGTGACCCTTATGCAGTAAGGAGCGTGGACGTCCAGGAGGAGTTCCACCGGTGTGAAAGGCGCAGCTAGTGAGAATTATTGCTCCAGCGCCCGGGATTATATAAGAAATAGTGTAGGAACAGCCGATCGAGGAGGACCAAGCCGCTCGGAACGTTCCTCGGGAGATTCCTCAGTGATCGCGGTGGAGCGTCACATCCTATCACGCGACGATGAAGAAATTCAGGGTGCTTCTAGCCAACCACCTTACTTTGAATTTGTCTATGGTAGCATCGTGTTGTTACCGAGGATAACGAGGGAAACGCCAACCATCCTTAGCCAGGTAACAATCTCGGTGTATCCAATGGCCCCTTCCTTACTGGATCTCTAGCGTCGGATAATGGTTTATTTGTCGTACGATTTCCACGGAAGATCGTTGGGCCTTGGTACGACAACATACCGCTTACATCGGCTTCAGACCACCCGCACATTCAGCTCCTGGCCTCGCTTCTCCTCCTTCTCACTCTCCGATTCTATCTTTCCGCTCAAATTCTTTGTTAACAATCCCTCATCGCCGCACGCTTGGATTTTCTCCCGGTTTGCAGAGTCGGTTGCGCGTCACCGTGTTGCGAATTTCAGTTCTTGGATCATGAATCCCATAGTCTCCACTTGCTCATACCTCATACATCGACTCCTCCCCTGGCAGAAGGTGACGCGACATTCCGAAGTGAACGCAGAGCATGACCTAGATGGGACCCAGATCATGAAGACCTAGACGTCTATTCACCTGTTGCCGGAAGAATCTCGCTTTTGTGCACCGGAAACTTGAGCGGAGAGCTACCAACTGCAGAACAGAATTCTCTGGCCGCTCGCGATGATCTTCGACCGTCTGAGCTTGGTATGGTGATCGGGTGCCGTTTGATGCTACGAATCCTTACCGCCTTCCGTCTACTGACAAGAATGGGACTCCAAGGACGGATGACGGCTCCGATTGTGATATTAGTTTAAGTCGACTAAGATGTCCGCGGTCGTTGTCACCCTTAGCCATGGCATGGTCCCGTGAGTCTTGGTACTCTCCCCAACGGCCCCTTTCCTGCTGGAACACAGGCCTTGGTATGACAACATAAACGCTCATACTGACGACCCGCACGTTCAGCCACTCCGCTGACCCTTCCACTCCATCCTTCTACTCGAATTCTTTGCTAGCTGGCATTCCTCGTCGTCGCGCGCTCGGGTTTCCTCCCAGAGCATGCTATTTTCATGGAGTCAGCACTTTCACTTAGCCGACGGAGCCGGGCGAGTTCATTGCGCCTTACAGCGTCAGTTCTTAGATTATGAATCTCACCACTTGCTCATATCTCATCCCTGGTTCTGTATCCCTCGACTCAATCCTCCCCGGTGATCTTGCACCTTTCCGAACCGGATGCACGACTTAAATGTGTCCCATTTTCCAGCCTCCCACCAAGCACGCGCGATTGAAGACCTCGGCGTCTATTCGTCTGTTGCAGGGAGAACCCCATTGCTCTGGATGGGAAACATAAGCGAGGGGCCGCCAGTATGGTTTGACGGTAGAACAGAGTTCACCGTCTCCATGCAGTACCCGCCGGTTAACTTCAGGGTGGGTTGCGTCAACCATCTAGGAACCTCATATGGTGATCGAGTGCCGTTTGATGCTACGAATTACGAATCTCTATCACCTCCGGTCCAGCAAGGATGGGACTCGACTTCTGCTCCAAAGCCGGATGATGGCTCCAATCGTCGTCAAAATTAGCAAGTTGTTTACGACGTTCGCAGTCGTTGCGATTCCTTCCTCTCTACTTGTTAGTCACCTGGCTCGAGCGTTTTTCTGTCACTGCGTTATATATTATCCTCCGATTTGGATATTACTGCGCTTGAACATTATTGATAACGAAAACACTGGTGAAGGGGAACAACATCCTCTCTAGCTCTGGAGTCGAACGGCGAAGCACCACCACCCCGAACAGGGATCTGGATGCAATATCACAGCTCGCATATATTCAAATCAAGATTTGTTTGCATGGCCAAGCATCTTCCCGGCATTGGTTGCTGCACTCATGGTATCCCCATCTGACATCCACCTATGACCCATTGCTCCTACAAGACTGGCAGAGATCTTGTCACTTTGAGGACTGACGATGCGGTGAACACCAGGAACCGCATTCCGAACAGATTGTCTTCGTTCGGCATGAAGATCTGCATTCGAAATTTTCTGAGCAGAACCAGCAGGCCGTTCGTCGTTGTTTTCCCAAATTATTTTAAGGCTAAACTCCTTTCACCTTGCCGACGATGTTCAAAGCTCTGGATAGATTCAGATAGTAATAGAAAGGAGTGTCAAACTTACTCCCCACCGGGTCGGAAGCAGAGTGGGTTAGCGGAAAGAGGAGACAAGTCATGAGGTGATGCTTTTGAGTTCTTGGCTCCGAGGAAGCACCAGGAGAGCTAGGGGAAGGAAGGAGCTACGTTGGTGCGCCACGCGGAGGCACTGGGGTGGCAGAACTCCGCATGAGCAGAAGAAACAGAGGGAGTCCATAAAGCACAATTATGTACTAGGTAGGAGAAGAAGTGATAAATTGTGATGTGTTCGTGTGATTGCCGTTTGAGAGTACAGAGCCTGATCGAGAAGATATCATGCACGGATGGGACTTCGTCATCACTCGGAGTATTATTGATAACATCTTTCACCCACCCATTTTCAAGGGTAGTGACGCTCGATATCATTAGGTATTAGAACGACAGCGAAATAGGACACCTCCGCTGCTTGGTTACCCGAAGGTGTGAGGTCACCAATCAGAGTTAAAAGCGGACACTACAGAGAGGAGTCCAACAGCAATAGAGTCGTGACGCGCAAGATTGAATATTTTTTCTATTAGTCCTATTACTCGCTGGTAACCCAACAAAATAGTGGATGCCTGGTAAGTAATTTGTTTAAATCTGTGTCGACGTCACACAAAGTCACCCAGCCAGACACAGCCCACCATCAATAGCTTGGATCCCTATACGATGGACTAGGAAGTCATCTAGAGCTGTTCTGGTATGACTGGGAACATTAGAATCGAAGCAACCGGGTTGAAGCATATTGCTGAAGAGCGAATAACCAGAGGGGTAACAAGGTGGACACCAGACAAGACTCTGGTGTTCGTGTGTGCAATCAATTCGGATATTCGTGTATGTACAGGATAGTTCGTTGTGGCAGGAAACACAAGGACGTAGGCTGGTCACCTGTCTAAGACTGCGTGGTCTTCGTCGTTTATGGCTATTTGGTTCCAACCACCAAATTATTTGAAAAATACTCAAGAGAACGTAGTAAAGACAAGTGGGCTTCTTGGATTTTGTCATCGGCCTAATACTTTTAGTTAACAACCCATCGCCGACAGAAGGATATTTCAATATTTGTTGACCTGCTTTTGGCAGTGGTTAGGACAGTGTATGTCGTGTGGTTGAGGCAGCTCAGCTCTCCTCTCTGCCCACAACACGCTCCGCGATTTCTGATACACAATGTCTGATCGATTGAAGTTTTTCAGAAGGGGACTCTCTCCTGCGCCTCCCAGTGGCCCATTGCGACCCTCGACCCCTGTTCCCAAGCTCCAGACCACTACTACTCCAACTGAAAGCGATGTAACAACTAGCACAGGTCACGGTGGATCTGATAGATCCCGTCTTAGGCCTCTTACTACTACTGGTGGTAGTTCTCGCGGCCGGAAGCAGCGGAGTTCTGTTCGGCGCACCATGGCTGAGCTGTTCAGCAGAAGTCCCGATCCCGATCCCACTCATATCGACCAATCGAAGTCCTCCAATCCCAGACAACCTGAACCCTCTACGCCCGATCCGCCATTCCCTAATCTATCGCCATCTCCCGTTCTCCCTGAGGCCATTGATATCCCTCACATGATACCCGGCGAACCTATCATCCGTGGCAACACTGAGACTCACACACCACCAGAACGCACAGGTGTGAGCTTAGATACGCCATCGTTGATAGATCGAACACCGTCATCTTCAGCCGTCCCTGCTGGTGACGGAAAGAAAACAATCATTGCCGCCACGAGGCTTGTGCTCCAAACTGCCACCTCTGCTCTTAAGTTCGTCCCCATTCCAAACCTCGATCAGATACCAAGCATACTTCTGACGTGGCTGCAAGTTTATGAGGTCCGTATGTAGGGGGGTTGCAATTTTGCGATCTAATGATATAACCTTCATATTTTCATGCAGACTATTGACAACAATGACGAAAGTCTCAAGGGATTAGACGATGAAGTTCGAAACGCTCACGAAACGATCTTTAGGCCCCTTTTGTTGTGGACTGGTCAGCTCCCTCCTGAAATTCGCGAGCTAATTCAACAATTTAACTTGTATGTGCATTCACTTTGTCGCCCTCTCGTCCAAATCTCACCTCCCGGTGACAGGGCCCTAAGACAGCAATTGAGGCGAATTGAAGCGCTCAAACACCAAAAGCTTGCCAAGAGGGTAGTCCTAGCGAGTGAGATATCCCAGGAGATAAATGCGGTGAAGTCCTGTATCAGTGATGCTGTCTCCCGTTTCACGGTTGGTTCCGTCAGTGTTCAGACTGTCCATTAACTGACTGGGGCATGCTCCATAGACTGCGGCGACAGCTCTAAATCTCTTCCACACAATTCGGTTATCAGTGGACTGTTTGTTGCGCTCCCTTGTCCTTCGCTGCTTGGAATTCAATGATATTCCAGATGAACTCTCGAAATTCTACAAAGCGAATGCGGAATACTCTGCCGTGGAAAGCAAGTCGGAGTGCCTGGAAAACACCCGTGTCCAGATTCAGGAATCGATACTCGATCACTTGGAGAAACGGGAACACCGATTTGTCTGGCTTCGCGGCTCTCCGGAACTGGAAAGACTGCTATATCAATGAGTGTCGCGTCAACTCTCGACAGACAGGGTCGCTTGGCAGCATCTTTCTTCTGGGACAAAAATCGGAAGGGTGCAGGACTTGCTTCGATTGAGCACTTTCCCTCCACTCTTGCACGTCAGCTTGCCTTGTTTAATGCCGAGTACGAGGGTCTTCTCGTCAGTCGACTCCGACAACCTTCATTGAAGGATGTTCTTGGCTCCGCTCTGGAGAAACAAATGAGAGCTTGGATTATTGATCCAATGAACAAACTCTTATCATTGGGTGAGGAGCGCTTCATCATCATCTTGGATGGACTGGACGAGTGTGGGGCTCAGGAGGAACTTGAGTCCTTAATGAAGCTAGTACTTATCCTCGATGAGCTGCCGGCTGTATTTGCTGTGTTTATCAGCTGTCGTCCAGAGTCATCGGTCATCTCGGCTTGGGATGAGGCCCGGGCTCAGGGCCTTGTCATACCATATGAAGATGTGGATGCTATCGCGAAGGGTGAGAAGTTCTACACTATCCGCCGCATGGTCGAGGAAGGCCTTCAGGGTTGCATCAAGAAGTCTTCCTGGAAACCGTCAAAAAAGGATATCGATGCATTTGCCTCGGCCTGTCGTGGATTGCCGATTATCGCCTCAATCCGAGTCCGGGATGTTTCTGTTCGAACTCGTCGTGGTGCAACCCTTCGATCTGAGTTTGAATACTTCCGTGACCTCATCGATGCCCCCATTGACGTCAAATCAGAGTACTTGCGCATACTTCGCCGTGCCTATATGTCCGACTCATCTGGAGTCCCTCCACATATAGCCACGAAGTATCGTCAACTAGTTGGCACAATCACTGTGGCATTTGAGCCACTGAGTGTGTTCTCCATGTCGCAGCTATTAGGAATTGCTGAGGAAGAGGTCCTAGCCGTATTGGAACCAATCAGCTCAATTGTCGATCTTTCTGAAGAAAGTGGCTTGGTGTCAAATTCTACCATGCAACGATGAAAGAGTTCATAACGGGGGAATCGATTGGTAATGAAAATGACAAAGTATTCTTTATCAAGGACGTGAATAAGTATTTCCTCGGACTACCACTCCTTCGATTTTTCAATAATAGTTGTGAGCAGGATGTGTTCGGGGAGCCCACCATTCTCCCTTTAGGGGATAAACGAAAATGGAGCGATTTTCTGGAGAGAGAACGTCATCGACCCCATCATCTCCGATATACTCGTCAACATTTATTAGAACACTTAGACCCCTCACAGCTCTTTGCACAAGAGTCCAATTTGCAGGATGAGGTTAACATATTCCTCACGCGAAACTTGGTTACATTTATCCACCTCGCACACATCGATGAACGAAGCAAGGGATTCCCTAATGGATTTGATGAATTCAAGGCAAATAAAATCACTGTGTCACGATTATTTTAACATGACGTCATTTTTAACAGAATTGCAATTCGTTCAAACTTTTGAGAGAAGCTCGAGAAAAGCAATTTGTGTCGTATTCGGATTGGGAGCCTGGGATTAATCGTGTAATTTCCTGGGAACCATGGCACCTTCATCGATCAACCCTTCCTTTCACCCCAATGTCATCACCTTTCCACAAATTGTATGGCCACCTCTCCGATCCCATCCGAATCTTCACTATTTCCGGCAAGTTTTCTGGACACACAATTCCGTTGAGTGAAGATTTGCTCAATGCTCAAATGGTCATGGAGGCAAAGCTACCTAATTTGCCAAAGAAGGCTGATAGTCAATATAGTCGGGTTGTTGGGATTGATTATGATGCCCAATTCAACGACCCTGATGTTCGTAATGGTATTGTGACATGTGCAGCACTCTCCCTCGATGGTCATCATATAGCTCTCGGTTTTGGCAGCGGTGCCATTGAGCTTGCCGATATCGACCATCAGCGCACGATTTCCCGATTCCAGCTCAATCCACCCAACCATCCAGTCTGGATCGAATTTGTCCATGGCAGCCACCGAGTTGCTTCTGAGGATAATCGGGGGAACGTCACCATCCTTAGCTATGGTATGACCCCTGTTAATCTTGGTACTCTCCCCGACGGTTCTCTTCCTGCTGCAACTCGAGTATCAGATAATGGGTTATTTATCATACGAGTTCCATGGAACACTGATAACTTGTGGTACGACAACATGACTCTCATATCCATTCTGGACAACCCACACATGCAGCTCCTTGCTTCTCCTCCTTCCCACTCGAATTATCCCCCTCACCGTCGCACGCCTGCTGTTCCTCACCGTCGCACGCTTGCTGTTCCTCACCGTCGCACGCTTGCCACCCCCCACCGTCGTACGCTCGGGTTTTCTCCAGGAGCACGTTATATCGGCGCTTTCGATGGCCTCAGCGCTTTCACCTGGTCGACAGACTCGGGTGAGCTCATTGCGCGTTATCGTGTGATGGATTTCAAATTTTGGATTGTGAATCCTGCTGTTCCCCCTGCCTGCTCTCATCGGATCCCTGATTCTGTATCCGCCCGACCTACCCTTCCCTTGACAACAGGTATACATGATTCCAAAATAGATGCGGGGCATGGCTTGGATGAGTCTTGGATTAAGTGCCCATTTTATGTGCTCAAGGATGAGGGGGATGAGGATGAATTTGAGGTCCCTTCGTCCGCTGCAGGAAAAACCCCACTGTTCCGAGCCCGTGGATACGTCAGACTACCAGTGTTCTTCAATGGCAGACTCGAACTCGTTGCTCCCCAGGAGTATCAACCAGTTGGTTTTTTTGATGTCAATGACACCAAACGTCTGGGCACCTGGTATGGTGATCAAGTGCCGCAGGATCCTACTTATTTGTACAGCCCTCGCTCCAGCAAAGATGGGACTCGAATTCTCCTCCAAGGCCAGCAGACATCTCCAATTGTTGTTGATCTCAGCCAAGTCATTTAGGATGTTCGTGGTCAATTGCAATATCTTCCTATTTACTTTGCGCGTTCTATCCACTGTTAGGGGGGGATCGCGAAGTTTGCCATCGCCTTCCATCTTTCTGGACTTCCCTCAGACGAGGTCCTCTTTCCCTAGGGTGCAGTGGGTATAAAATAAAGCTCGGAGATCTACGGCCATTCCTCCCTTGTACTGTTGTTTAGTCCCGGGTTGGACAAAATGAATGCGCAAGCGTTGCGACCAGACTTTTTGATTTTGCTCTTTTCCATTGTTCCTCAATTCACTTTCAATCCGTATCAGAACGAATATATATCCATTTGAGACACTAAAAGGCTTGACCGAGGCAAATTTTCTCTTATCACTTCTTTGAACGTACTCAATCGATATTCCTTTTGCAAGTTCCATCGTTTCACCCGGCATTCATCCCCAGCTGCACTGAATGTGACAAACAACCAACGTTGTATAAATCAAGCGTTTAGTGCTACAAGAAAAGTAGCGGTCTTTGCATCGCGTTAAATAACGCCAACGTATGGGCGACCCCGTCCCGACTTAGCCCATGAACTTATGACCTCGAGAAATACCTCGTTCCGCCACCCTGTCCCATCCCGGCCTGATCGTGTCGAAACCTGCGGCCAGCGAAAGTTGAAAACCCAAAGAGAATTTGTGCCGCATTCGGATTAATCCCAAGACCAATGTATCTGTTATTCTCTACGCCCGCTGAAGCTTGCATGTTGTGAGAGTAACGAACAAAGAGCGAAAGCAAAGCAGCATCGATCTGCACAGCAGAAGTATGTCACCCTTAAATACTCTTGCGACGAATGTACGTTGCCAGCACTTGGGATAGTCAATCCCTGGGGTTCGGGACTGCGTGGGTTGAAGCAGTAACAATGGAACGACCAATCGATCAATTAATATCATCTATGAATATTCTCAATGATCACCATCTGTAGTAATAGTAAGTAGTGAAGGCTCGAAGCAAAGGCTGCGTGTCCGTATTGCTTCCGGGGCGCACCCCCGGCTTGAAGTCCATCCCAAGTTGTTCTTGAACTCTCATACATCCTGACTTTTATATTACGGCGGTGCACACAAGTCCGGCCAACGTTCCCTTAGAGCATTAGGACCTTGTTCGTCATGCTCCCTATTAACAGGCTCGCTCAGAGTTCTGCCTATCCCTCCTTTTTGCAACGCGCATCAACTTACACCAAGAATCATCCCTTCTGGTCGTCTCGTCTTGCCACCCGAGCTCTCGCCATTTGTAGTATTCTTCTGTTTGCCATATTTTGGTTCTCTCCTGCCACATTTCATGGCCGCCCAATTGGCGAATGGCATCCTCCCCACGGCATGCCTCCGCTCATGGATGATGAGTTACCCGAGCCCCCGCCGCGACCTAATCCTGGCCCACCTCCTACTTACGAAAAACTCCCTCCGCAAGTATGGAACGATCGTTCTCTAGCAGTGAAGGATGCATTCTTGTTTGCGTGGCACGGCTACGAAAATGCCGCTTTCGGATACGATGAGCTCCTGCCAACTTCAAATGGCAGCGTTCAGAATTTTAACGGTTGGGGAGTGACGATCTATGATTCCCTGAGTACCATGCTTCTCATGGGCCTCAAAGACTCTGAAGAGTACAAACGCGCGATGAAGCATGTCGCCAAGCAGACCTTCAAAGATCATGTGGGTCGGAACCGTCATAAATTTGCGGATTTCAATGGTGTAATCTATCTCTTTCTGATTCAGAATGGCAAAATTCCTTTCTTCGAAACAATCATTCGTCACCTAGGCGGGTTGCTGTCCGCCTATGGATTGTCGGGCGACTCGGTACTGTTGGAAAAGGCCAACGAGGTACGTATGTATCGGACAAGTTCATGGAAGGCTGTCACCCATCCAATCTCAGCTCGGAGAGACCCTGCTTCCTGTGTTCGAATCGGCTTCGGGCCTCCCTTACCATGGCTATGACCCAACCGGGTGCGTCAAGACACGTTATCCGTATTCTCTGGTGTCGCTGACCAACTTATCACATCAGCAATCGCACAACGTATTCGTCAGGAACGGTACTCCTTGCGGAGGTCGCCTCATGCCAGATGGAGTTCAAGTACCTCGCGCATCTTACTGGACGAAAGGAGTATTTCTTTAAATCAGATAAAGTCATCGACCTTCTGCAGGAGACGCAGACGAAGAATGGGTTGTGGAGCACATTTTGGGAGGTGGAGAGCGGTACTCAGCTTGGTTGTAAGTGTGTTGCATATCCCTGGGCTTGAAGACAAACGCTGTGATCTGGATTAGCCCACTACTCCGTCGGCGGTATGGCAGACAGCGCGGTAAGTGATAACTTCATCCCATAGTGGCATCTCTGATTTATTGAGGTGCTTTTCAATTTCAGTACGAATATCTGCTGAAAGGTTACCTCCTCTCTGGCAAGTCTGAAAAGCGACTTCTGGACATGTGTAAGAATTGCGTTGTTTACAACTCTTCATAAAAAGACCCTTAAACTGCAATTTAGACCTCAAATCCGTTGAAGGCACCATAAACAATATGCTTTTCCTCTCTCCGACTCGTGATCTCCTCTACGTCACTGCCATGGATGCGGGACGCCCCCACCACCAATTCGAACACCTCGCGTGCTTTTACGCGGGCCTCCTCGCGCTCGGCGTGGAGACCCTTGGCTCGCAACTCACACAGGAACAGTCAGATTTGCACCGCTGGGCAGCTGAAGGACTGACAACTTCGTGCTACCTCGTATATGCGGAGGCGGAGAGTGGTTTGGGTCCTGAGATAGTGCAGATGAGGTTTGGCGTGAAGATGCGGCCCGTAAAGTGGATAGAGGCAGTAAAGAAGTGGAAGAAGAATGGACGCCCGGGAGGGGTTCCACCTGGTGTGAAAGGCTCAGTGAGAACTATGGCTCCGGCACCCAGGGATTATTATCTAAGAAATAACGCTTACTATCTTAGACCTGAGGTGAGTGCTTATGTTGTCCTGACCTATAAGTTCACTCACTGATCGGCTCACTTTTCTGCCTCAGACTTTAGAGAGCATGTACATCATGTGGAAGGTCACAGGGGACGAGATATGGAGACATCGTGGATGGGAGATTTTTCAGTCTATCAATTTGAGGGCAAAGACGAAGGTGGGATACGGCAGTGTGGCGGGTGTGAACAGCCGGAGACCAGCTATCCAGGATTCAATGCCGAGGTAAAAATTATTTTCAGAACTGCTGGGAGTGTCCATTGCTCACTTAAGTATTCTTTTGCCAGCTATTTCATGGCAGAGACGCTCAAATACCTCTATTTATTGTTTTCCTCGGAAAACCATATTCCCCTGGACAAATGGGTCTTCAACACGTCAGTTAATCCTCTCCAAGTCCTGTGCTGACTTGACTGACTCTTCGCATCTGCAACAGTGAAGCTCATCCTTTTCCGATCTTCCATTGGAAGGAGTCGGAGAAGCAAGCCTACAAGATAAAATCACTTTGATTACGTTTACCGCTTTGTCACCGTCTAGTCGGACGGTGTGGACATCGTGATCGATTTCTTTTGGGCGAATTCGTAAGTTTTGGTCGAACATCAGATGCATTTTCAGCTTGTACCATATAGTTAGCAACGCATGATTGTTTCGATTCAATCTTTAGCATCGTCGGCGAATTACTGATCTGTGAGTTGATCAAGCACGAGTGAGTTCTCGATTCTGTCATTGTGTGGACGAGTCAGCATACGACAGGCACTATAATAGCATGTCACTCTGCGTAGGACCTGTCGGTGCTTCCGAATCGCCATTGTATGGTGGGTTCCTGGAGGGTTTAATCGCTCGCGAGCATTAATCTATGGTGAAGAAATACTGAGTCAAAAGTGTATGTAGTATCAATTTAAACTGTGAATATTGGCGATAGGCAAGTCGACGATTTGACGCAGTATGAGCCAGATTTCTGCGTGGATTATTACTAACCCCATATAAAAATACTCCGTACAATACAAATAACTTTGTTACCAAACGTGCTCCTTCGACTTGTATGTATGGGTGAGCTGTGATTTACCTTATTTTTGTCTCATGCAGATCGTTGTATCAGGCGGAACTTAATTAAGATGGGGAATTAACAACTAAGCGACAAACTCATTTCGGTGCGCACACCGAGCCTGCAGGGTCAATGTCAATGGGTCCCTGATACCGAGGGCATACGACCTGCTCAGTTGTATCTCATCTCAACACCAAAGAGCTTTTGACGACAAAACGGTTCGCTACATGAAGGATATTGCAGACAATCACAGCGCAGTGTTCCCACGCTCCCACGGCCCCGCAAACTCAATAGAGCCGGTGGTGGGATATGGGAGAAAGGCAGTTTCTCCGATGATTCAGCCCAACCGCCTGTTGGGACCGCCGGAAAACCCATAGTGTTGTTCTGATTGACAATTGCTGGTTTTCATCTTTCCTGCCGGATTCATTATGCCTAGACTTGGAAGGCCCACAAAGTGAGATGGCACCTTTGTCCCCTCTCTACAAGATAGACGATAGCAAGGTTCGGACGAAATGGAGCCACGGAATAGATCGTTCGAACCGCCTCGGACTCGACTCAACAGCGGCTCAAGTTAGTCCCTGCCGTCCCGCTCCTCGACAAACTTTAGGCAGAACTTGGTCTTGGAGCCCTGTTTCCGCGAAACCTCTGACATTTGCCCGGGGATAACTCAATAGTATAGCGCTCAAGCGCGAGTTCCATGCACGTAAAAAGAAGTTGTGGAGGGCGTGGGAAAGATGACATAATCCTCGAATCCCCAGATTTCTAGCCCATTTTCATTGCATCGTTTTCGCCCCCTTTTAGCGCCTTTTCGTAATTTTGGACATCATGAACGTCCCGAAATGTCCGTGCTTTCAACACATTCGATTCCATAGAACTAACCCACTCGCTGCAGCCACCCAAATCCAGACATCACTGGTTATGCGTCTCAATTCTGTCACAACATCGTCAGTGCCATCCGCACCAAACACTGGTGCAATAAAACGGGTCAGAGCCTTTGAAATGGATAGCTCGTCTCCTCGAGCAGGGTGGATTAGGTACGCCGATGGAATTGAGGTCGATTTGAGGAAGATATCGAATCTCAAACCTACCCCGGAGGTACAGATAGATTAACTTTACGCGTTCTACGCGTGTCCGTAGGAGTATTGGGGGTTATTACTGACATCTCTATCCCTTTTTTTTGGTGTAACAGCTCATGGCGGCCTTGGCGGCGCGTATCCTCGAGGTAAACACTTGTGTTCGCCGTAAAACATTAATAGTAATCCATTTCCAGCTCGAAGCTGAGTTTGAGGGTAGATCCTCTAGCAAGAAGCAGAAGACAGGGATCGACTCTATAGTGGTTCCTTCCACTAGTAAAACTCCGGCGCAAATCAAGGCAGGGGAGAAGCGCCTAAAGGGCATAGTGAAGGAATGGTTTGATCGGTGTGTTCGCACTATTTCGGTTACATTACTCTACCCGCGGCGGTGGCGGCGCCGATTAACGTCCCCTTCCTTAGTGTAAAGAAGGATTGCAAATCAGACGACAAGAAGTTCAAGTCGCATGCCGGAATTACCATCAAGATCGATGAAGTTCTTTCCGAAGAGGATTTCAAAACTCTGTTCCTTAACAAGGGCACCCTAATTCAACCCACACCAGATAACAAGCCGACTTCTGCTGTACACATATACAAATTTTCAGGTCCGAATCAAATAAGACAGTTCTTTGAGCCAGCTGTGGATGTGACCGACCTCTTCTCCCTGAAAGGCAACGCATGGAGCCAAGGCGGTAGGTCCCCGATTCCTTTACAACCATTGGAGAGTGGTTTAGTTCTCATTTGAAAACGAAGGGATGTTCGAAGGGAAAGCTCGAAAAATCGGCCCAATCGATGTCAATATCGCCGTCATCACTGTCAACTGGTCGAAAAACACTATGAAAGGTAAGCAACTCTACGTTGAATCAGCGCTCCTTTTTTTCAACGGCTTGTTTTGTGACAGCAACGATAGCATTTGAAATTGATCCGGAAGAAAAGGCGGCGAACATCTACTTTGGTGATTGTAATGAGTGTTGGTGATCTTTATAAATTACTTGTCTCCGGTTATTTTCGTGTAGTGATGCTTTAAAAGCATTGATAATACGAGATTCTTGGTAGTCTTGAGGAACAGTCCAAGCTCTTCATCAAATGCTCAGTAAAAACGACAAGCTCGGATGTAACAACATACGAGCTCATTGAAACGCATAACCGAAATCCTCGCCTTCAGAGTCACTTGGGAACGCGCTTGTTGGTGGTGCAGCTTTCGGACGGGTCCTCCGACCTGAGCCTGACTTCTTTGAGGTCGAGTTGACACGTATCTTCCTCGATGCTTTGGGCTGTTATGCATATGAATTAAGTTGGTAGTTAAACATCTATAAGTTACCCTTACCTTAATGCGTGAGGTCTCTGTTTGGTGAGGCCGGGTGCAGCACTCTTCCCCTTTATCCGTGTGCCCGATGTGCTCGAGCCTTTTGCTTTCACCCTAGATGGTGACAGCCCTTGCTCGCTCACATCGCCGACATCAGAATCTGTCTCGGCCCCCAAGCCGTCATCGCAAATATCATCTTCCTCGGGATTAGTTCATTCCCCCGATTCTGCCTCCGGTAGCAGCCTCGAACAATGTCACCCCAGAGTGTATATTCGTGGCAGCTTGGACAATCACCTCCACGTGGTATTATGCTCGATGACGTTGAGTTGTCGGAGAGGAAGTGCGATCCCAGGCAGGTTAAGTGTGAGATGGAGTGACATTGGTCGTGGACACAGAGGGAAAAGGAAGTTGTGACTATGGAACCATCAGGTATGGTTCACATCAAGATAACAGCATTGCGACGCCTACTTCCGAGTTGATGTCAATGGGTTGGGAACATATCGAACACGCATGGCTATCGGATCGCTGAACGTCATCGAATTTCTCCAAATGTCGCTCTGTAAACTGAGCTGATCGTAGCTACCATGGTCAGTATAAGCATAGGAAAGGTGAAGTTTGCACTTACTGTCCATAACGTCAATCGCACCATTCCTTCCGCTACCAATTGCACCACTCTTTCCGTCGACTCCTTCAAGCTCGATGGTCACTTGTAATCCCTTGGGAAGATCTGGTATAACCTTAGCGGCCTTATTCCATTCGTTCACTGCCTCTGGGTGGAATATTTTAACGTGAAGTGGCCACGAATTATATGGGGAGTGTTCAGCATCGTACGAACGACTCTATCCTCAATTAAGTCATGTGGAGGGTATAAAGGGGGGTCGGACGTACACGATCTTTGTTTTTAGTTTATTAGCCAGGGGATTCCTAGGGAAAATCGGCGCAAATTGGCTCGATGCTGGTTTTCTCATGTGTCGAGATCGGTCTAATTATCGTTATGGGCCATTGCGTCATACCACCACGGGAAGAGACCAGCCGTACCTGGATGCTGCCACCTTAAAATACGGTTCTTAGGCATGACAAGGGTGATGGTTTGCAAGGATCACTTACGCCCACTCGAATTGAAGGGCAGCGAGTTTGGACGGGAAACCATAAACAATCATAGTCATGGCCCACGGTCGCATCTTCTTAGTTTTCGAAGCGCCTTGCGTGAGTTCTCCGTTGTGCTGACGGATTCTCTGATTCATTTTACGGGGAAATAAATAATCGAATTTTGTGACGGAGGTAGGAAACGAGGGGTGATTCTTACGCGAGGCGGGTGAGGTGTGCTGCCAACATAGGTTGATTGGGTGCGAGGCGATTTAATCGATTTGAGGAGATAGCATGCGTAAAATATCTGTGTGGCAAGATCAAAAGGCCATTGCGTATTTGATCTTGGAAGGACCTTACAGGGCAGGAATGATTAACGAGCGACGATCGCGACTGGGTTACTTTGACGGGGACGAGACTCATCGCGTTGCACAACGGACAAGTCGCGTTGACGCCTCGGTACAAACACACGACAACTTGGCACATCTGCTTCCCAGGAAAAATAGTGTGGCGGCGGTCCACACAGATGTATCCGGTCACACATAGTCAGGCAGACAAGTAGTCACAGGAGAAGCGACGGAACACAAGAAAACAATTAGAGAAAGAGGATGGCGGTGGATAGAAGAAGGCGAGCAACAAGTTTCGAGAGGGAGGTTAAGAAGTAGACAGAAACCGATACTTAAGCTAGGATGGAACAGACAGACAGGGACCAAAGTGCAGGCAGGACCTTGCACTTCAGAATGACTTACCGAGGTACCTGAAGGCCGTGGCGCCACCACCATCAGCAACCTACCAGATCGGTCAGAACAGCTAATAGCTAAGGTGGTTGAAAGGGGAAAAGTCAACGTATGGTCAAGGAAACGGTAAAGGTACCAACAAAGATAAAAAGTCTCGGGGACCGATTGTAGACGCAAAAAAGGGTTGCTGTGAAGAGAAAGCGACATACTTGCCTAGGTCGGGATAATATCGGCCTAGGACAAAGGTCGCTAGACCAGCATGACTATCACAATCCCACTAGCCTGCGACCTACATAGCGGCTGTGCTGGTACGGCCGCGCTACCTGGGGTATTCTCGGCTGCCCGGATGTTATGATCCTCATTAGTTTTAAACAGGGGCACCAGGTGTTTGCTGTGACAGCAAAACTCCCTCTCGACTCACATCCATGGTCGTCACGCAAGACAAACATTCTACATTCCCTCAGCTAATTTTTGTTGTTTCAAAGCGGTAGCTGAGTAAACGACACGTAGTATTAAAGAGGGCAATATGGATGCAGACAGTAGTTTAATGATGAGATGCACCGACCAAGTCACCCGTTCATGGTGGTGTCCGCTGTCGTACTCCCAACTTTTGACAGCTCCTCGCTGGTGGAAAGGTTTCAGTGGCTCATTAAGAAGCAAGTTCAATGTGACTCACCGCAGCTGTTTGCTGAAGTCATCTTCGATGTCGTCGTCATCCCAGTTGTCTTCCCACAGGGTATCTGCTGTACCACTTGTTCCCGATGTCCCCGCTATTCCGCTAGCGCCAGAGGTTAGTTGTGCTATAGACGTCTCCGAGTCGTCCCAGTCTAGTGGTTGAAATACGGATGGAGCCTTGCAACTAGCCAAAGCGACGGTTGCACACCTTCAGTTGGGAATTCCTCGAACTCATCATCCTCCTCGAGTGCACCAAGTGTGTTAATATCTTTCTTATCACCCTCGCCGGCTTTGCTGGCCGCTTCAGGCTCTTTAGTGGATGACATGCAGAATCGATGAGGACGCGTCCGTGTTCAATTCAGTGGACAAAATTCGCGGCAAACTCCGAAATTCAAAAAAAAAAATCGCACTTTATCTTTTGTTTCATTACTTACTTGCTCAATACTCTACTGATTTTTAAAATGTGTCCCAAATGGGGTAAATTTAAAATACAGCCCGGTGAACCAAACAGAAAGCTTAGTCGTGTGGAATTGTGCGCTTTGGTAACCCAAATTCCCACGTTTTTGGCTTTTGACCGCGGCTAAAGGGCATAACTAGAAGCCTATTCCAGCTTGTAATTGTGGACATCTGGATGATATCTGAAGCGCAAATATATACCCTACATGGCCATTTCGGCGCTTCCCAACGTTGAATCGGTTGAGCGATGGATTTTTTTGAATTTCGGAGTTTGCCATGCATTTTGCAAATAGCAATAATTCAGTCCGGTGGGTCCCGGGCGGATCCTGCCACTCCCCTCGCCACCTATTACAACACCTAATTACATTGATTGATGCTAGTCGTCGGAGCGAAGTGTCGCACGAGGTTAATTTATTTCTGCTACATGTGACTTTAAATTCCTTTGTTGTAGCGGAGTTGGCCGAATCTATTTGACTATTTGGGTGGCTGTGACTTTCGGTTCTGTGTGCCTGATTTGGGTGACTAGTCCAGTCTCGTGACTGTTCAAAAATGGTAGTGAATGAATGCTGAGCGCTAAATAATTTCCTAAATCGTCAATCAGGAGAGCTGCCCATCCACCACGAGTGACGACGAACCCGGTAAGAACCTGCTCCTACGTTGCACAAAACCGCTCACTTCTCAGTACTGAATGCATATTGGTCTTTGATATCACACTATGGAGAAGACGGGGGGAGAAAAGAAAGGGGAAAAGACAATTAATGTGGAAGTTGAAGTCGGTGATGACACTTGAGTTGAAATTGTGCGCACGGACGCAATGTTGAGGTTGTGGTCGAAGGGTTCTCAGTATAGACCAGACTCCTTCCCAGTCGCTCACATGATTTCTCCGAGGTTTAGCCGCAACTTACGTTGCCTCCGAAATCTGTCGAGCGACTGGGAAGGAGTCTGAGTATAGACAGGATACCACTCTCAGTACTAGTACTAGTCCAACTTAGGAAGACGTGATTTAATATCTGTCGGAAGGTTAACCCGGCCGCGTTACCTGCCTCGTCACATTGATTCCGTTATGAGTAAATAGGTGAATTGCCGACCCCTGTACAGAGCTTGTTTCCATTTTGATCACGGGCCACGGTCATCCATCCCCTTTTCTTTCGCTTTTCCCCCTCGTTGTCCTTCAGCGAAGATGATTGACCTCGTCAAGCGAGCCGCCAGCTCGCAAGCTGGTATTATTGGTGAGCTACTAATGCCCACGCTAAAACCCGCGGTGTTGTCTGACGTTGTTTCAGATGGCCTGAACCCAGTCAAGTTCGATTCGACGGATCCCATTAAGCTCTGGATTGTTCAAGTCGGTGCGCTATAGTCGTTAAGCTCCCATGGAGGTGCCAGCTCACGCAATTTCCACTAGGAATCATCCTGATTTTCACTCAGCTGCTTGCATACCCATTGGCTCGTCTTCGCCAGCCGAAGGTCATTGCGGAAGTGATAGGGGGTGTTATTCTTGGACCAACAGTAAGTGCTTAAGACTAGCATTTTGGCCTCTTGACCTCACTCCAGTTCAGGTGATGGGAAGGATACATGGATTTACCCCGAACATCTTCCCCTCAGCATCACTCCCATTCTTGAACCTTACAGCCACGATATCACTCGTTTTGTACTTATTCCTCATTGGTCTTGAGATCGACGTCGGGACCATGAAGCGTAATCTTCGTTCCGCCACACTCATTTCGGCTGCCGGGATTATCGTCCCATTCGGTATTGGCGCAGGCATTTCTGTTCCCCTGTATCACCACTTTGTGAACGAGGATAAGGTTTCACTTGGTCACTTCTTGTTGTTTACATGTGTTGCCATGTCAATCACCGCGTTTCCTGGTGAGTGCCATCTAAGATTCACACCACATCAATTCTCCAAATTTGGGCATGGTCAATATTGTGGCTCCTGAATCAATTCAATCTGCCTCTGGAATCTTGCAAGGGCCAGGGGGAAATCCCCAGGTTGACTGTTCAGGTGTTTCCAATGGGCGACCTTATCACCCACGCTGAATTCGGTTCGATTTGATCCACTGATGCATTTTCGCGTCTCTTTTAGTTCTCTGTAGGATTTTGACGGATCTCAAATTGCTCGAGAACAAGATCGGCATAGTCGTTCTTGCAGCCGGAGTGGGGAATGATGTCATCGGATGGGTTCTACTCGCTCTCACTGTTGCTCTCGTCAATGCCACCAGTGGAGTAAGCGCCGTCTATGTTCTGCTTGCAGGTGTGGCGTGGGTCTTCTTCATGCTCTACCCTGTAAAGTATGCGTTTCGCTGGTTAGCAAAGAAGTCGGGGTCTCTCGAGACTGGGCAGCCTTCAGCGGTACTGATGAGCGTTACTTTCTTCGTCGTGTTTATCTCTGCGTTTTACACGGATATTATTGGTATGTTCGGAGTTTATTCGTCTCATTACAATTCCCTCATTGATCTGTCTTTAGGGATTCATGCTATTTTTGGAGGGTTTTTGGCAGGTTTAGTTATTCCTCATGAGAACGGCTTTGCCATTGCGATTGTAGAGAAGATCGAAGATGTTGTGGTTATTCTTTTGCTCCCAATTGTGAGCCGGGTTGTTCCTCATTGCGATCTATCGATTGATTCTCCGCTGGATTGTAGTATTTCACGCTCTCAGGGTTGAAAACCAACTTGGGACTTCTTAACAACGGTGTGACGTGGGGCTACACGATCCTTCTCATTGTAGTCGCCTTCGTCGGGAAATTTGTCGGTTGTGCGGCTTCCGCAAGAATATCCGGTTTCAACGCTCGCGAATCAGGAGCCATTGGCTCGTTGATGAGTTGCAAAGGCCTCGTGGAGCTCATTGTTCTGAATGTTGGCCTACAAGCTGGCCTTTTGGATCAAAGATTATTCTCAATGTTCGTTGTAAGTTGATTCTATGGGTGATTCGTATGCTGATGTATTGATTCCGTTATCTTGGCATAGCTTATGGCATTGGTACTGACGATGATGACAACTCCATTGACTCTATGGATGTATCCACCCCGTGTCCGTGGTCGCATGCAGCTAGAGCGTATAGATTCTGCGTCATTATCAGTGACAAGCCTGAAGCAAGAAGACAGTGGTGTATCCCGTCCTCTGCCCCGCGTACCACCAGAGACAGTGCACGTCCTTTCAAGTCCAAATTCAGCCTCGTCCTCGAGCGAGTCGACCAGCTCCCAGGCGTCATGTCTGTTATGCACCTTTTTAACCCTCCTACTTCGGCGAACCGCCAATTCATCACGGTTGATGCCCTTCGCCTCGTTGAGCTTTCCGATCGTGCATCTGCCGTGATGCGGGGCTCGGAAATCGAAGAGTTACTCCGCCGTGATCCCATCGCCAAGGTGCTCAGGACGTTCGGCAGACTTAATCACATTGCGGTGTCTTCACTTTCCCTCACTGTTGTGCCCCAAAGCAAATTTGCTGAGAGCGTGGCTAGCTTTGGAAGGAGTAAGTCTGCGGAGCTAATTGTTCTCCCGTGGAGCATCACTCAGGGGACTACCCATTTGAGCGATGCGGACAAGCCGGCTTCGACCTCGTACAACCCGTTGCAGTATCTCTTTGGGAATGGCCAAGTGTCAGGCGATGCGGATGTTCAATATACGCAGTTTATCAGACAGGTTTTTGTTGGTGCATCTTCGGACGTTGGTCTCCTTGTTGAGCGCGAGCGCGAGGAGAGCCTATCATTAGATCCCACGCAGCATTTAGTCGTCCCCTTCTTCGGAGGCCCAGATGATCGTCTTGCTGTGGAGATCGCTGTTGGTCTTGCCAAGCAGAATCTGGGTGTCATCAAGGCGACAATAATCAAGGTCACCAGGGTGGCGGACGATGCAGAGAGCGTGGGCGGAAAGGAGCAACATATGGAGAATCCGACTGTTGCTTCTGTTTCTGTGAGCCAGCTTCTCTTATCTGCCGGTTCATGCACTAATTTTTGATTCTACAGCTTCCTGGATTCCCTGATACTGTGTACGCTCAACCTACTACGCAAACTCGTCTGATCTCCCAGACTGCGGATGAGATGGCGTGGTCGAGGCTCGCGAAGGATCAAGGAGACAATGCGTCATCCAACATATCCCTTGTCGAACATCAGTCTGCGAAACCATTACATGCCATACTCGAAAGGATATCGGAGATATCGTCAACATCCCGCAATCTTCTCGTCATCGTTGGACGTGCTAGGCAGATGGCCGCCCAGTCGCATTACGCAGAGATGCTTCAGTTTTCTGCTGGGCCCCATGGCCAGTCGCTGAGCAGTGCGGGTTTGCTGAGGAAGACAGTCGGTGATGTTGGTGCGGTCGTGATTGCCATGACTGGGCACCAAGTGCTGGTGCTTCAATCAAAGCATATCAGAGTCGAGTCGGGCGATGCTTGAGTTGTCGGCCAAGTCTGCGGAGAATCTGTCTTTTGTATTTGTACTGTTTTGCTTTGTCTGGAGAACCCTTTAAGCCTTTCTCAATCCCCATCCCAACAGTCCATTCGACTCCCCCCATGGCCCTTCTCGTGTAAAAGTCGTCACTAGCTGAAGAAAATTGCGTGCGTAGCTATCGCGTGTGCAGTTTCAACCTCGGTTGTTGAGCGTAGTACTAGTCATGGGTTTTGGTTCTAGTTAGTGTAGCACTAGTCGATGTACCAGTCGTCGTCGCTGTGAGCAGGTGAACGCGCAACTGCGAACACGCGAATTCAAGATCACTGGGTGTTCCCGTGACTTGGATCTGTGTTATAGGCTCTTCACCTCTGCTGCTGGTTATACCCTGTCTGTTCTGCGCTGCCCTCCACCTGTCGCCTTGGTTGTGTATACGTTCCAGTTTTGTTTCTTTGTCCTTGTTGTACTTACCGGGGTACCGGGTCGTGTCCTCGATCCAGAAGTCTCGGCGCCAGTCGGGGCTGTCATAATGCATGAAGACAAGACCATAATATTGTTTGACTATTTGTGTTGAGACCACATGAAAGTCGTTTACATACGTGACCCGGAGTAGTCAGCCTCACACCTGGTTCTTCGATGCTGCAGGGCTCATGTGCCGGTCGCTTGGTGGCTAAACTCTGTTGGACCCATGCGAGTGCGGGAATTGGACTCTGAAGACCGAGTCCCTAATTGACAGTACCACTAGTGCTTAGTCAATCGCGGAACAGTCCAAACGGCAAACTCTGAGGCATCCAGTCAACATTGCCCAGTCATATTCTTAGGTGTCAAAAATGTATCGGTCTGAGAGATATATTAGTCCCTGGGACCGTTCGCCGTTGTCTGATAGGACCTCCGTCACTTGACCGGGTTGTCTGACACCGTCAAATCCCAACCCTGAGTGCCAATGTCGGGAACTGAACTGGTGGAGTCTTGTTTCGGTTGGATCACTGTCATCCATCCCCTTTCTTTCAATCCCCCTCATTGTATCTCAGCGGAGACGATTGATATTGGACACCTCGTCAAGCAAGCCGGTATCTAATGCCCACGCTGAAATCGGCACTGCTGTCTAACGTTGCTTCAGATGGCCTGAACCCAATCAAGTCCGATTCGACAGACCCCTTCAAACTCTGGATTATTCAAGTCAGTGCGTAATAGTCATTGCGCCCCCGTTGCGCTTTCAGCTCATGCAATCCCACTAGGAATCATCCTGGTCTTCACTCAGCTGCTTGCATACCCATTGGCTCGTCTTCGCCAGCCGAAAGTCATCGCGGAAGTGATAGGAGGTGTTGTTCTTGGACCAACGGTAAGTGTTTATAACATCCATTTGGCCTCACTCCAGTTCAGGTGATGGGAAGGATTCATAGATTTACCCCGAACATCACTCCCACTCTTGAACCTTACAGCCACGATATCACTCGTTTTGTATTTATCCCACATCGGTCTTGAAATCGACGTCGGAACCATACAGCGTAATCTTCGTTCCGCGCACTCATTTCGGCCGTCGGAATCATCTTGCCATTTCAGTGTAGCGCAGGCATTTCTATTCCCTGTGCATAGCCTTGTGGATGAGGATAAGGTTTCACTTGGTCACTTCTTGTTGTTCACATGTGTTGCCTTGTCAATCACTGCGTTTCCAGGTTAGTGCCTTGCTACACCACACCAGTTTACAAATTTGAGCATGACCAACACTCTGGCCTTCTGGGGAACCCTCAGGTTGCCTGGCGACCATGACCAGCCCGCTCGTGCCCACGTTGAATTCGGTTCGACTAGATCCACTGATGCATTTTCGCGTCTCTTTCAGTTCTCTATAGGATTTTGACCGATCTCAAATTGCTCGAGAACAAGGCCGGCATAATCGTCCTTGCAGCTGAAATGGGATTGGATGCGTTCTACTCGCTCTCACTGTTGCTCTCGTTAATGCCACTAGTGGTTTAAGCGCCTTCTATGCTCTGCTGCAGGCGTGGCGTGGGTCTTCTTCATGCTTTATCCTGTCAAGTATGCGTTTCGCTGGTTGGTTAAGAAGTACCACGAACACGAGTGATTATCCATACGTCATGTTTTCATCACTGTCGATATCATGCATGAGCTGCGCCAAACACGGGTTCAATACATCATACGCATATAGATCGATTTACATTCATGCTATCTTTGGAATTTTTGCAAGTTTATCATCCTCACGACGGCTTTGCCATTTCGATTGTAGAGAAGATCGAACGATGTCCTGATTCGCGAGAATTGAAACGAGCCATTCTTGCCGAACCCACACAACCGACAAATTTTCCGACGAAGCCGCCAACGATGAGAAGGATTGTGTAGCACCACGTCATACCGTGGTCAATGTTGGTCTTCAACCCCGAGGGCGTGAAATACTGCAATCCAACGGGAATCAGTCGACAGATCGCGATTAGGAACAACACGACTCACGGTTGGGAGCAAAAGGACAACAACAACAACATCTTCGATCTTCTCTACAATCGAAATGGCAAAGCCGTTATCGTGAGGAATGACCAAACCTGCCAAAAACCCTCCAAAGATAGCATGAATCCCTAAAAACAGATCAATGAGGGAATTGTAATGAAACCAACAAAGCCCGAGCATACCAATGATATCCATGAAAAACGCGCAGGAAAACAAGATGAAGAATATAACACTCATTAATCTCGTTGAAGGTTGCCCGGTAGACCTGCGCATGCAGCTGGGGCATGTAGATTTTGCATCGAAGCAAGAAGACAGTGAAGCATCTCCCTCCTCTACCTCAGATACCACCGGAGACGGTGCACGTCCAGATTCAGCGTTGTCCTTGAGCGAGTCGACCAGCTCCTAGGCGTCATGGCTGTCATGCAACCTTTTAACTCTCCTACTTCAGCGGGCAACCGAACCGGGACCTACTCCGCCGTGATCCCGTCGTCAATGTGCTCAAGACATTTGGTAGACTTAATCACATCGCGGTGTCCTCGCTTTCCCTCACCGTTGTGCCGCAAAACAAATTTTCCGAGAGTGTGATTAGCTTTGGAAGGAGTAAGTCTGCAGAGCTAATTGTTCTCCCGTGGAGCATCATGAAGGGGATTTCTTCGTATTCGATCGATGCGGAGAATAAGCTGGCTTCGGCCTCGTACAGCCCGTTGCAATATTTTTTGGGGAATGTTTAGACGTCATCGGGCGAAGCATATACCCAATTTATCAGACAGGTTTTTGTTGGTGCATCTTCGGACGTCGGCCTCCTTGTTGAGCGCGAGCGTGAGGAGAGTCTGCCATTAGATCTCACGCAGCATCTAGTTGTCCCCTTTTTCGGTGGCCCAGATGATCGTCTTGCTGTGGAGATCGCTGTTGGTATTGCCGAGTAGAACCCGGGTGTCATCAAGGTTACAATAATCAAGGTTACCTGGGTGGCGGATGATGCAGAGAGCGTGGGTGGAAGGAGTGATCCTTGGAGAATCCGACTGTTGCTTCTGTTTCTGTGAGTCAGCTTCTCTTATCTGTCGGTTCATGCCCTAACTTGTAATTCTAGTGTACGGCCAACCAACTACCGAAGCCCGTCCGACCCCCCAGACCGCGGACGAGGTGGCGTGGTCGAACCTCACGAAGAATCAAGGAGACGGTGTGCCATCCAACGCATCTGTTGTCGAACATATCAGTCTGCGAAGCCTTTAGACACCATACTTGAAAAGTCGCATCACGCGGAGACGCCCCAGCCTTCCGCTGGACCTCATGACCATTTGCTGAGCAGTGCGGGTTTGCTGAGGAAGACAGTTGGCAATGTTGGGACGGCCGTAATTACCATGACTGGGCACCAAGTGCTGGTGCTTCAATCGAAGCCTATCAGACCTGAATCGAGCGATGCTTGAGTTGCTGAAAGTCTGTCATTATCTCTCGAGAAATCTTTACATGGAACCTGTCTCAATTGTTTGACCTTCCCACGTCCTTTCTCGTGTGTGAAAGCCATGATGACAATGTACCAGCTGAAGAAAATTTAGACATGCGCGGAGCCAACACGTGTTTGAGCTTCGGCGGGGACAATACCACCACTGAGGCCGTTCTACATCCCTTTTTATTCACAAGCACGCAGGTGACAAGGCCGGAGTTTTCCAGTCATCATTGCCTATTGTGACTGGCGAGCGGCTGATTATGTAATCAGACCCGGATTCGCACTTCAAGCCCACGTTTTTGACGCATGTCTCCAGGAATCCCTTTGTGTGCTCATCTTTTCTAAGTCTCTCTCACTCTCTTTTTCGAGCTCGAAATTCCAGCAATCTTTTCGCTTCACTCTCTTTCCACTTGGCGCATTGCCATTCGGCTCTTCGATAGCCTTGCTTTTGGTCAATTCTTGTTTTATTCTCACTAATTGGCGCCCAAAGTGCCCCACTTTATCATCCGCTGGCATCTGGAGAAAGGAATCGGACGTTTTATTTTAACAACTGGACAGCACAAGCCAAGATTATTTGCTCAACTACGATATAGATATGTCTACGGAAGCGCTTCATCGGTCGGGAGGCGAATTCCCTGGCGCACCTTGGACTATAAAATTCCCTTCTTTTGAGTCTGAACCCACTTCATCGAGCACTGGATATCAACAAGACACTCTAAAACCATCTAATCTCACTCGACCATCTCTTGAGAATGCTTTTTCAGAACCTGGTGAAGGAGTGGCACCACATGCACATGAATCCAAAAATGCACAATCACCCGTTCCCCCCAGTCCTATAACGTCACTGCATGAGCGTGTGTCCCGCTCGGAATCACCATACGTGACTGTAACGCCTCCCCAGCCATCAACACCCACATCTCCACCTGCTGGTCATACACCAACTTACGCACGAACTCATCATTCATCACACACATCCCATCCATCAATCCCAAATTCGGATGATTCATTTAGTTCTATTTTCTTTCGACCCGGGAATCCAACTGCATCTGCCCAGCCCCTTGCACCTTCTGCATTCTTTTATCAACAGGGGCCAAAGACCCATTCATCGCCAGACCTTATCGGACCTTTGCTTGAGGATTATTACAATGCTGGAAAGGGGGGATTCAACCCCCAGGCGGAATCTACCCCCCATGGTAGTGAGGAATCCTTTCGTCTGGCCCCTCCTGGTCATCCATCTAGTCTTCCCCGCCCTGCCCTCGCCGCCCCATTCGTTTTTCCATCCCCCAGTGCGATAAGAAATAGTAGTGGTACTTCTAATTTAGCCCCTGGACCGTTCTCACCCGCGGAGCCTGATGTGGGGGGTGGGAGTTTCTTTAAAAGGAAAGCTCCGAGCTTCTCCAGTCTGCGGAGATGGTTGCCAGGGGTGACGGAACCAGACGTGGAACGTGGTGACAACGCTGATCGTCAGACAGCATCTTCTGGTCCCTCTTCCCGCCGAAGGTCCTCGTTTAGCGATGTGGTTCTTGGTAAGTCCTTGACAACACCTATTTACCTGGCGTTATCACAGTTGTAATTGATCGCTTCTCACCTCCAGGGCGGTCACATTCGCTGAAAGATGCATCTGTCTATCCTCATCCATCTGCTACCAGATCCCATGCTACGCTCCCGGGATCAGATTTATCATCCAGCCCAGATATCACTTTGGACATAGACGTTTTTTCGAGCAACCCGTCTCAGCCTTCGTTCTGCCCGGTACCTTCCGAGCCTTCGGTGTCCCCCACCTCCCCATCTCATTCACGACTGATGTCCCTATCTGCATCTTTAGATACGTATGCCACACCACCTACACCGCCTTCCCCATCGCGGTCGCGGGAGCTGCAGGAAGTATTAGGTCATCACCGTAATGACAAGTCACAGCACGACAAGGATACTGTGCGTGTACCTGCACGATCAGTACCTATTGGTGATGTGGCAAGCGACACGTCGTCTGAGCATAGGCGCTGGTCAAGCACGACCTCGGGGTCTGCGTACTTGACCCCTGCCACTCCCAGCCCCCCGCCTCGTCGTGGGCGCCTCAACCCTCGCAGTCTATCTCAGCGCGTCAACATCCTTTCCGTCATCGATGCTAGTCCTACTTCAGCTACTGCCAGTTCAACACAACATCATGGCGCGAGGAACACCTCAGAGACCAGTCCTACTCGTCGGACCAGTAAGTTCGAAGATCGCACCCTTAGCATATCTGGTCGTTTGGATAAGTACGAGGATGCGCCGTTGGAGGAATACCTAGATGAACATGAAGGTTCCTTTGGTGAAGAAGAGGGTGACTGGCGCTTCGTGCGCAGGAACCCGTGGAAGGATTCTTGGAACACAGAGGCTTCCCGAACGACGATTTCTTATTACGCCACAACGAACAATGCACCTCGGCGAAGCAGTCTGCAGAACTTCTGGAGAGGCACCAGAGCTTGGTTAGGAGAGGGGACTAGCAGCATGGGAACTGGACCGCGAAGCTCCTATACCAGTGTGAGCACCCGAGGGGAGCTGAACGACGGGGACCGCACAGTACGCAGTGCAGGACCGGTCCCACACAGCCTACGCCAGCAGCAGAAAAGGCAGAGCGAGAATGAGAAGTCCCCAGAGGAGATCGCAGAAGAGGAGTTCATGAGTCGGGTTAGCACCCCATCCAGCAATGAAATCCGCACTCTCAGAAGTCGGCCACATCGGTGGAGTAGCCGAGACGACGGTGAAGGAATGAGCATCCGGACTGCGCCAGTCGATTTGTCTTTCCATTCCACCAAGGGTCCCCCAAAGAAGAGAACTGAATCGATGGCTACACCCACCTCCCCTGTTTCTCCAAAGGGAAAGCACAAGCATACGAACACAGCGCCTTTTGACAATCGCTCTTCCACATTGATGTCTACGAAACGTGATTTGGTTCTTCCCCGGTTGGTGGAGAAAAGACAAAGTACTTCAACGGGTTGGGCTGCGCCATTGTGGAGTCCAACTAGCCCTCCCCCGCGGCCTCGGCGACCAGAGTCAAATTCTGAGGGCGGGTTAATCCTGACTCCAAAAGGTTCCCCAAGTCGGCAATACTTCGGTGATATGTTGGCTACGCTTCCCCAGCGCCGCGTACGGATCATCAGTCCGGACAACAGTCCCTCACCTCGAATTCGCAACCAATCACAAATAAGACCAAATCCCAATCCCTCTCGTCCCACGCCTGAGCTTTCGAGCAGCAGCAACACCTCGCTTCTCTTAGGTTCTCATGTTTCCTTTTCCATATCATCTCAGCAAAAATCTACGTTGCGCCTGGTTCTTTCCAGCCCTCGTTTATCACTCAACACCCTGCTACCAGCACAAGTGTTATTCCTCATGGGTTTTGTCCTTGGACCTTGGGCCTGGCTCGTTGGGGGTTGGCTGCTCGGACCAGATGGTCATGTCCGCTTGGTAGACCGGGATGGACGCACGATTATGTACTCTGACCAAGATTGTGGGACGAATCCCTCTCGTGCCTCGAACATTGGGGATTCCGCCATGTCTCTCCGACCTCGTGAGCATCCACCCCTGCGTCTCGCAAGCGGGATGGCGCATGAGCCCGTGCGGCCAAGCACATGGCATCGAGTCAGGAAACGGATTTGCGTTCTTCCCATTTCTTCTGATTCGCCGTGCGATTGGGTGTGGAGGTGCCGTGTGGCCTCTATCGGTAGTGTCGTGGTGCTGTCCGCATGTGTGATCGTTGCTATTACCGTTGCAGCTCGTGGTCGCCTTTGAGATGCACGTACTATTTTTCTATCTAAAAATACCCGTTGGGAGATCTGAACATTGTGTTGTCGGCCTTATCTTGTTGTGCTGCTTGTTCCCCCTTATTTTATCCCCGTATCACCTTTATGTCGCATTCACGTCCCTTCATTGTTCATAATCTCACCTGGACTGGATTTTCCTTGCCAAACCCATGCATCCTTACGTGTTGCCATCATCAGTTGTCCATATTCTGTCATCTCACGTCATTCACTCGAATAACGTTGTCTTCCTATCAATGACTGGTTGGCTGTTTCATGGAAGAGAACGAAATGTGAGGTAAAGGGATACAGTTGTAACTCGCAAGGTCGTTAAAGTTCGAGTGGGTCTACATTGCCAAACACAGATCCGAAGAATAGTGCATTGTGCTCCTAGCAATCATTTCCGACTGATGGTGAGCAAGAATCTAAAGGTTTAAGCCTTTGGTGTTGAGATACAAGTCACGATGCCGGCGCTGTGCTAGCGCACAAGATCCCACTAATCTGACACCGCCTTCCCGACGCATCTGTGCGTCCTGTAGCATAGCCTTGATGTAGTATAAAAGCCTATTAGTGTTATTAGTGTACAATAGCTTTTTAAGTCTCCCGTTATTACGCGAGTGTAGCTGCCGTGCGCTACGTCCATATCGGGCTAGTCATGACAACATTTGGTTTTGGGAATTGGCCGGGTGCTAGAAAATAAGCACCCATGCTTGAAAAAGACATCCTATGCCAGTATAACATGATTATGAATCGAGATTTCCGATGGGGTTGAGTTTGAAGCCAGTGTGAAGGCGATGTTTAGCCTTCCTTGTTTGACCGTAGTCACGCGATTTATAGCCAAATTTAATATATTTGTCTATTGGTCAAGAGCTCTAGAATGAAGTCGAGTTACAAGCTCGAAAAGGAGCGATTTGTATCATTTACAAGTGGTTCTTCTGTATGGCATGTGAACAGCATTTCTGCGGTTGCATTGGTGAGTTAATGTGTCAATATCGTTGAGTTGATGAGTTGAGGATTGTCAAGGCCTCCATAGTCCTGCATTCCACCTTGAAGTCGCGTTTTAGCTGGTCCGGACCTGGCGGAGCGTCGTTCCCTTCCTTCACTATTGACTTTATAATCCTTGTTATTCCTCTGCTGCTCAGTATGACTGCATTTGCTGAAGCGCCTTGGCAACTAGTATCCATGCTCTTGATACCTGCCGGACTCATTTTGCTTTTTCGACCTCCTACCTTATCTGCTTTCTCTCTCTTACCTCCACTTTCTCCCCCTTCGCGTTCCACCTCGCCCATTCCACCTCGCGCGAACACCCGCAGCCCTAGCAATCGGGGTGTCCATTTACCCGACCGGCTCTCCCAGTCCTTCATGGATGAATCAAAATCTACTACGTCTCTACTCACTGGACCAGTACCATATCTTACAACGTATCGTGCTCACATGATGCTCATGACTATTCTCGCCATTCTGGCAGTGGATTTCAACGTATTTCCACGAGAGCTCGCCAAGTGCGAAACATTCGGAGTGTCGTTGGTCTGTACTCTGCGCCGAAAAAGGTATGACGAAGATACTGATGTGTCTGCCTGATTGTGAAGATGGATTTGGGAGTTGGATCCTTCGTATTTTCGCAGGGCTTGGTCTCCGCCACCCCGATTCTTAGAGACGTATCCATTTTGAAGGAGCGTTCCGTGCCAAAGATGTTTTACGCCTTAAGAAAAGTTCTTCCGCTGCTCGCGCTAGGGATGATTCGAGTTATTCTGGTGAAAGGCACAGATTATCCAGTAAGTTTGATGGACACCCTTCACTCGGTCCTGAGGCTTATGCAAACGCGAAGGAACACGTATCTGAATACGGGGTCCACTGGAATTTTTTCTTGACCATGGTTTTCCTTCCACCACTTTCCGTTCTCCTGCATCCAATTATTCTTCAAACCCCTATTGCTTTGGTTGGAATATCAATTTCTATTGGTATGTTCTTCGTGCAAGCGTAAGAGTGCGTCTCCCAATATCTCGGCAAATAGTTCACGAAATGATGCTGCGGAAGACATCATTAGAAGCATGGATTCTGAGCCCTCACAGGCACTCCCTCTTGTCCCAGAACAAAGAGGGTATCACAAGTTTAAGTGGTGGGGTTTGTGCTTCTAGTCTTGCATCTAGCACTCACATACGAAGTAGGTTATTTGGCCCTTCATGTTTTGGGACTCTCGATGGGTACACTTTTGTTACCAGCTTCACCTTCGCTGTTTAAGCGGCAGCTCAAACTACTAACGGGGAACTCTGATGCATCCTCAATGGCGCACCAGATGCCATCGAAACGGCAGCCCGGAAAGGCTGCGATTGAGCTATGTAGCTACGCTTTTACGTGGTGGATTTTGTTTGGCCTCTCAACCTCTGCTCGACGTCACCATAAGAGCGCTGTATCTCGGCGATTGGTGAGCCAATTCTATCAGTGAAGCGAGGATCACCCCATTAACTTTGTGCAGGCCAACCTACCTTATGTGTTATGGGTTGCAGCCTTCAATACAACAGTTTTGCTTGGATACTTGCTCATTGATACCCACTTCTTTCATGTTAAACCGCCGCCCTCGTTCCCGTATGCCGGGACTAGTCAAACTTTTGAGTCGGACGACAGTTCTGTAACGCCGGCTCCGCCAAACTCTCGAGTTGCTCAAGACGTTGGAGAACCATATATCATGCATGGAGGACAAACCCAACACGACGTGACTGCTTGGTCTGCAAGTTTATCACCATTATTGTCTCAGACAAGGAGAATATCACTGCGTCAACTTCACGGAGTGAATGATATTATCTCCCAGGCGCCAGACATACACTATGTAGAAGAAGCTGGAATCGAGCGAAAAGCGCCTGAATTACTGGAGGCGATCAACCGCAATGGCTTAGTTGTGTTCCTCCTTGTGAGCTCTTTATTCCGCCCTCGCTGAGTGGTTTGCTCACGGGTGATTGTTAACTGAAGGCGAACATGTTGACGGGAGTTGTCAATCTTTGCATGCGCACTATGTATGCGACAGACACGGTAGCTCTAGGTATTCTTGCGGTGTATTCTTTTGTCATCTGTGGTTCCGCGTGGGCCTGTCGCTATCGAAGGTTGTGGCGTTTATGATTGTCCTCGCCAAGTAATTGGCATCATCACAACTCTTCCCCCATCAACATTACTGACCATTCATTCCCCGTCATTCCACCACCCAAACAGATCCGGCCCAACTAGTAATAGCACTAGGGTCTTTGTTGCTGCTAGCTTTGACCCCTTATGCGGCCGCATTTCGTTTCGGTCTGCGTGAGCCACGTAGACCGCCTGATGTCTGACCCATACAATAGATGAGGGATTTAAGCCCAACTGAAATGTGTCTCAACTTGAATGCTGCAGTTAAATCATTACATATCACGAAACGATTGGTAAGTCCCTGCTTTCCGGGGAGATCACGTCCTATTAGGGAAATACGGGCGCTGTGGCTGGAGGTACCACCCCGGGGCTACCGGCACCTGCATATTACCTCACTATGCGCCCATAATCCTCCATGCAATCTCGAGGGCGAACCATGCCAGCTTGAGGGTGAGAGCTGCCGTCAAGTCCAGCGGCACTGGTTGTGGTACACGTTGCATCTACTTCAAACTTCCTTCTACCCGAGGAGCCAGACTCTAGCTGGGATTTTATCGGATTCTAATGGTTTGTGTCACCAGAACGAACTTGAGTAGACTGATGTACTTCTGACTAAAACCCGAGCCGGAGATGGCCTAGCACTTCTGAACGCTGACATGTTGAGCCATGCTCGGTTTTGGGTTGGTTCGAAAGCCCAGCGGCGTATGAGTTGTTTCCTAAGGATTTCAGGCACTATGATGGGAGGTTGACAGAAATGTTCAATTTCGTGGCTCGTCAATAAAGGGATCGATCGCGCGAATTCGGATTTCAATCGATCGGCCTAGCGTGCCTGTTGCTCAATAGACGATGTTTCAGTGATGGTTATGCGTTGGAATTCTAACAAAATCCCAGCGCAGTTTTGCCAGGGACGCTGTGCAGGAAGCAGCTCGGTTTCTAAAAATATCGGGGACATGAATTGGGGCGCGCGTCACCTCAATTTCATTTTGTTTGCGTGATCTTATTAACGTTAGTTGTGAACGGGCGCTCTATATTATGATATACTTTCTGTTATTCCATTTGCATTTAAGGATCAGAGCCGATCCATGGTTTCCCCGCCCGTTACGAACGTGCTTCCGTGCGCCAGAGGCGATTCTTCGCTTATGAACAACCGAAAAACCACACCAGTCCAACCTTTACTTTAACCCCCTAAACCACACTACTGTCGTGCTCTACCCATAGACATTTGATGTCCCTGGTTATCCGCTTGACTGAGCCTAGTGTCTTCGTGTCGCCACCTCGGCGTCATGAACACAGAATCCCAACGGATGTCACGGCTCCTTCCATTATCCGTGGTCTCCTCGTGCTGAAACTCTCACACACTGCGAAAATAACAAGCATTGATGTGTCACTTGATGGGATATCTACAACAGACTGGCCAGAAGGTGGGGAGGACAGGCCTGTAGTGCATTGCAATACAGAAGTAGTGATTGACTATTCACTAGGTATTGGGCCACGAAGGCTAGATGTAGTTGAAGCGCAAGCCTTCCTATCGATCAAGACCTCGCTGCTAGATTCTATTGCGACAAATCGCCGCGCCTTGTCATTGGGGCCTGGCGTTAGCGACATCCCAGACAACTTGGAAGAGGGGTTTTCGCTTACCGCTGACGGCACCAGCGCGCGCCGTGGGGAAGAGCCCATGAGCGTTCAATCCTTACCACAAGGCCGACTTAGGTCAGCTTCGACGATGCCTCCCCTTCGCCAGATTCATCAAGTCCATAGAGAGAACTATTCCTCGCTTCATTCGCCATATTCCCCTGCAGCCTCACCTGTAGCCCAGTCCGCCTATGAATTAGTGGTACCCGGTCAGCTGTCATCGCAAAATTAACGCTACCCGAAGAAGTGTCAGCTGATGTAGCCTGTTTATGCTTCACCGCAGGAACAACCCGTCAAGCTCCGAGACCCTCTTTGTACAGGTTGGGAAGCGGTGAACCAACGTCTCAGTTGCCCGGGGGAAACACTTTGAGTTCCAGTATCCCGATCGCGTCGTCCTCGTCCAACCCTCCACCTCGCCATCATCGGCCCGGGAGGCGTGACAGTCTCAATCCAGACGACGAAGGTACAAATTTACGTGAAGAAAATCATGAAACACCTGTTTCCTCCATACCCAAGGACTATGCCACCACTGACGCCACAATGGCACCGCCTTCTTCCTCCAGTCTGAACCTTGGCACTTCACCCCCAATTCTGCGAATCAAATCGAGCGACAACACTCGACTTCCCCCTGGGGCAGAGGGCTACTGTCAGAGCACGACCACATGTCGGCTGAGTCTCGGGTATATCCTAGGTCTCAGAGAGCCTCCGATTTTCGGGCATCCAGGTCCGGACGCCAAGATAGCCCTGCTACCGATGGTAGTCCGTCTCGTGAGGACAATCACCGTTCACGCCCCCGATTTAGATGGAAGGCGATGTCCAATTTTTTTCGCGAGATAGGCAATGAGGTTCGAAGAGCGGGTGAAGAGTCATCTGCCCGTTCTGTATCTCAAAGTCATCATGTTCAAGGGGGCTCTCACAGCCCGAGAGACGACGTCAGCGAATTATGGGGGACAGGAAGTGGGGGAACGGACTCGCGGAGTCGGGACCGGGGGAGTACCTCAAGGGGATCTCAACCCGGTCGGGCGGATTCCGACGAACTCCAAACGAGAGGAAGGGACATGACTATCAATCCTATCAGAGAGGCTGCTGAGTTAAACATTCAATCTCAATCGGACAGAATGCGTCAGGATGGATACAGAGAATTTAAGAAAGGTGACCTGTTTGCTTGGTGACTTGGTTTTTCTGTTCACTCAAACACCCTTTCTACGTAGGAACGTACACATACCCCATTTCCTTCGCTATACCCCCCGATTCTTTGCCCTCTATTACGTGCCCTTTTGGCAATGTGAAGTATACCATCTCAGCGACCGTGCACCGCGTAGGAACTTTCTTGCCTAAGCTTACGGCCACCAAAGAAGTCAATGTCGTTTCCTGCTTGAGTCCCGAATCCAATGAAGATACGGGATATCTCCTCGAAGAGAGGCAGTGGGAAGAGCAGCTTTGTTACATGATTCGCCTCGAACAGACCCATGTCACCATCGGTGGTGTTTTACCAGTGAAGCTGACACTGTTTCCACTTGATAAAGTGTCGATCTATCGCATTGACGTTGTTTTGGGAGGTTCGTTGTTCTTGTCTAACTCTAAAACATCGTTTCGTCTAACTATTTTCTCAGAAAAAAGTTGGCATGTTCCTGTTTCCAGCCTGAACCTGACGAAACTGATTTTCGTTCCTACAGTCGATTATTATGGGCGCACGCACGGTATCGTGCGTCACGATCCTGTCCGCAAATATGAATTGCTCTCGGTATGGCAGTCAGACACGTTGGGACCACTGCTGCCTATTCTCTCCAATTCTCCAAGTGCCGGTCGCGATTCCCCCTTAACGCCATATGTGTGTCCTGATAATGTTAGCCCGGGAATGATGCCATTCGCATCGACAACATCCTTTGACCGCACTGACGAGGCCGTGACACACTTGCTTTCTCCTACAGGGCCTTGGAAGCTCAGATTCAAACTGCGATTGCCAGATTGCTCATCTGGGTTTCATTTCACGAGCAAGTCGCCTGGTGCACTCATTATCGTCTCGCACATGATCAGGCTGAGCATCAGACTTTCAGCCGCCAACAAGCTGGACTTGCAGGGAAAACCGAAGTTGTTTGATATTACCGTTGACACCCCAATTAACATTTTGAGCGTGAGCACATTTCTTCTTCCACTTGTAGCGAAAAGTTTGCAGGGACCGAAATCGAGTCTACCCTTTCCAGTGTCAATGTAAAACGGAATATACACACCTTCCCACATATGAACAAACGGCATTCTTGGCTTCTGATCGAACCTCGAACCAAGAAGGGGATCGGCCATTGCCGACGAGCTTCCTGCGGCCTCGTGGTGGATGCTCTTCACGTCAGCTGTCCTCCGAAGCTGCCAGTCCGCCAGGAACCCTTCATCACCCCTGTCCAGGCTCGAGCGTTGGAACGAACCCTGCACAAAGAATCGTCAATATTTTCAACAGGGAACGTGGCCATGAAACGACGTCGAACCGTGAAGATGAGGCAGGAAGCGCTCAGTTTGCCCGTTTGGTGGCGGGACAAGAAAACCCTGCCGGCGATGTCCCACCGCCGTATAGTGAATGATCACTGGCTGCCGGCGCGGTAAATCCAGATCTTGTACACCAGCAGCTGGGAAGCAACCACGAAATTGAACTCTTTCAAATAACATACGTACGGGGCCTTCTGAGGATTCCCGCCTGGAGTTTTTTTGCGGCTAGCATATGCCGTGGTGTAAGTCAATTTTCCAAAAGAGTACTTTTCTCCTAAACGCAAAGCAGTCACCGCATAGTGTCAAGACATATATACCTTGTTGTACATAGCCCAGTAAATCAAAAAGACAGCTTTCATTTGTATTTCGATACATTAGATATGTATTGTTCATAGCTAATCTCTTGACGCCGGCTAGGAATTACAGTGGGCCTCCAGTCGTGTAAGATCGCCGGTCTTTCGCTCTCGAGTCCCAACTTCCCACGGGTTGTCCTGATCCTCAGGTGTGGGAATTTTGAGACACCGGGAATAGCCAAGACCCTTCCATTATTATTTCCGCACGGGAGGCTCACTCCAAACCCCTAACCAGGGGTAGAGGTAGCCCCACCATGCATGGACATGTGGATGAGTTTTCATGTTTTTCATTTCACTGGAACCAAGAATATAGATTTCGGACACGAGGCCAGAGAAACTCCCAAAAGACGTAATTCTCTTTGAAATACGCAGTTCACCGGGAACACATTACACAATGACAAAGCAGGACCAAATGCAATATCGTGCCATTCTGGACGCATTATCAAACTTGGGGAGAATCATTTATTAAAAAAAAAAAAAGTCATTATACCAATCCCACACAGAAAGAAAACACAAAGGATAAAATTGTATGAATGGAACCTCATTACGGCACTGTGAACTGGTGTTCAAACTGTCTCAGCATGATTCCTTGTAAGAGGGATCTCTGCGTCGGAGAGGGCACTAGAGTAACTTTAAAAAAAAATTTTGTCAATTGAGTGCCAGCGATTTGTTTTTCGACGGTCAGATGACTTACGTTGGCGACAAGATCGAATCGTCTCCTGTATAAATGAAGGTATCGTAGAGTGCAACAGCAACGACGCCACCGCAAATCGGAGAGATGATTCCGGACCAAATCCAAAATTGAGAGCGATAGTTCCAAATGACGGATCGGGAATAACCAAGTATGGAAAGTCCAATCCGAGGGCCAAAATCACGCGCCTGTTTGGGGTTGAGATTCAACGAATGAAAAAAAGGCAGATAGCGCATGAAAAAAAGTTGTCTTTTTTTTTTTTTTTTGTTGTCTCCAAAATTGCACTTACCGGATTGAGGCCGTATGCAGTGTTTATGCCTAGACCACTTCCCATACCGATGAAGAGAATGAAGAGAATGAGAGGGAGGAGACCTGTTGGAAGGGCACCGTTTTTCTTGTCGAGGCCCGCGAGGATGACGAAGACCAAGAGGAAGGTACCAAGGAACTCGGAGAAGAAACAAGCGGCTAAGAAACAAAGAGGGGAGACGTAAGTTTATAACCCGCTATTTTTAGATGAAGCCGAGGAAACATACCCGAAGGCAAGAAGTCCCCAGCGTAGATCGCAAAACAGGATGCAGTGAGACGTGTCTTTCCGGGGTCAGCAAGGTGAATAGCATGCATGTAATTGCCCCAAGAGATCAAGGTGGCAACGATACCACCCAGAACTTGAGAGCCAATATACACGGGGACTTTCTTCCAAGGGAAGCCACGGAACGTAGCAACAGCAATAGTAACCTACGAGAATGTTGGATGGATGAGATATGAAATGAAACAGCTAGACCTTGACTTACGGCTGGATTGATGTGACCACCACTGCCACTCGCCACCCAAACACCCAGCGAGAGTCCTGCGGCCCATCCAAACACCCCTGTCACGATGTCCTAAGAAGATCATCATTCGGACATGCATCTTTGCTCGAGAACTCGGCTACTTACTCCTTTCGGGCTTGAGGACACAGCAGGGAAGCCTAAATAAAAGGATTATAAAGAGATGAGAACAGAAACGATCGTAAGGGCCTACTGGATACCACTGCTTGCAAGCTTCCCGAAGAGCCAAAACTAAGCAAAATCCTGTGGTCAGATGGAAGGGCTGGGGCGTTGAAGTGGCGGACATACAATACAAGCATGAAAGTGCCAATAAACTCAAGAGCAGCTTCACGAAGGTACTGATGCCGCAGAGCAGCCCATGCGCCAACGGGACCCGCCGTCCTTTGGGAGTACGGTGCTGACGCGTAAGGGACCGTCTCGATCGGGGGTGACTGCGTCTTGTGGACGCTGTGGTTATCGTTGGACTGCGACATTGCGAATCTGAACTGCAAGAGGAGAGGGGTGGCCCAGCTGGTCTGTACAAGCAGCCAGATTTTTAGATCTTATATATCTGCAGCGGCAGAGGTCATATGGGCATAGAATAAGGGTCACGCCCACGAGGAGAAGAATCCGGATCCTGCAATTCTGCTGCTGTCATCGGAGTTGCGTGGGCACTTCCTCTTATGGTGATTTAGCCAGGAAGCGCTGATGACAACATTCAGTAAAGATCGGAATCTTTAACCCATTGAGAAATTGCAAGAGACTGCAGCCCGAATACACCGCGCGGGCCCCACAAAATGAAATTCGAAGTTGGGCTGCGGAACTTTCCATTCGTGCCAGGGCATCTTGGAAAAGGAATCCCTTTTGGTGATTCTGCGTGGGATGATTCATCCGAAGAGTATCATCATGATGGCGTTCCTTGAAGGGGGTTGGTGGAAGGGAGGGAACAGGTTGAAGAAAAAGATTTCACATCAAGCTTATCCCTCACTGACTAACATTATTGGGTTCCGTATGAAAACGTGCAAATTCAATTCAGCAATTGATTCGGGCCAAGCAAGCGCAACGTCAAATCCAACGTTGGGCAAGCAAGGCTGTTGCAAGTCACTGCAACCAGTTGTAATCATTTTTATTTTTGATGCGGGCATCGATCGATCCGGTACATACCAACTTGTTTTGTTTTACATAACGGATAGACGTCGGCTTAACCCATATCAAGATGGAGGGCCTCAGTTACTTTGTTTCCCTCGGTTCCCATTACCAAGAAGGGTTCCTTGAATATATGTCCTCCGTGCGTTTAAGCCTCGATGCAGACTCAAGGCAGCGTCAGGGTGAATGAAACGTAACGCGCGCTAAGGAACGTGTAACGCGCGTCAGCTCAACTGGATCCATCAATGTGACAGTCGTAGATCGACTGGGAGCTTCCCAGCGGGGCCATTCGGACGAAGCCTCGTTGGAGCAAAAATACCTCAATCGAATCAGAGAGTACATGATCCCCGTGAGGCAGGTTGCCTGCAGGGTGATAACATTGTAAGAAGAGAAGTTGTTCCACTGAGTAGGATTGCTAACAATGCAGAGGTTCGAATTCAGATAGGATGCATACTGAGCTTTTGTGCCTTTGGACCTCAGCCACACAATAATTGGCCAATTCACTTGATCAGGGCGTCAAAAACAGACGCCGTTCAACCGGTGCACGTCAAGATTCATTTCTAACATGGATGTCTTCGAAGCTTGCAAGCATTCCGGCTAATTCCGTGTTCGGCACGCTTATGTCCGCTTAGAGCAAAACACTCAACTTTCTTTCATTCCACTTTCATCAATCTCAGGTACGCATCGCATCTTGGACGTCCGTTTCCTCCTTCATGGGCCATGTCTACAGTGTCTAAGTGCTTTTCTTTACAGTTCCTTGAGGCTCAGTCTCACCAGTCATTCGCTAAAAAAAATCCACACTCTCTACGTTCAAACACTCGCCTCTCCTCCCTTAAGAAATGCGAGCATTCATCTCTATTCTTGCCCTCCTTGCCATTGCGACCCAGCAGGCGTTTGCTGGACTCTATGTTCGTGGGGATTTGCAGCTGACCGTCTTCTTCGTTGGTCCTAAAATTGATATTGTCGTTTTCTGACTCCAGATCACTGCCCCTGTGGTTACTACTTCTTGCGCAGCTGGCCAGAATTGCCCTCTTGCTTGGAATGATGATGGCAAGCCACCCACTCTTAGCCAAATAGGTGCGTTGAACCCCCCCCCCCAATTTGAATTCATCAATGGCAACGACTGATCAATTTTGGTTCCGTAGGGGCGTGTAACGTTGGTTTGTTTGTGGGCTCTGTTTCGACGCAGTACTTACTTCAGAGCATTTCTGCGGCTGTAAGTGGTGATTATTTTCTGATATCTGAGAATGGACGATGCCAATGATCTATAGTTTGATGTTTCCAAAGCCGGCACTTTAAACTTCTCCCCTGATCCCAGTGTCGGTGCCAACTCCAACCAATAGTATGTGTTGTATCCCTCCTATTTGGCAGGTCGATTAACTAACCGTTCTCTCTCCCTCTAGTTTTATCCGCTTCACGTCAAATACTCTTAACTCGACTACTAACACTGGGTATCCATACCAGGCTTTCTCCGCTAAATTCACGTCAGTTTATGCCTTCCTCTAGCCTTTTCTGAGATATTTTCCCCTGACGCCCCACCAGTCTCACAGGGATGACGGGCCAATTTAACTCGACCGTTCAGCAGGTGATGTCGGCCTCTGGTCCATTGACCACTGCTCTCTCCACATCCGGCGGTGTTCAGAGCACCGTTAGCGGGGCCTCGATCACCTCCAGCGGCAACAGCTCCAAAGTGATCACTAGCACCACTTCCATCAAGGGCTCTTCCACTTCTTCGCCACCACCTCATCAGCGTCTCATAGTGGTGCTGCTGTCAAACTCGTCGCAGCAGCTGGCTCGTCAGCTGCCGCTATTGCTTTGGTCAGCTCTCTTGTTGTCGTCGCGGTCTCTGGCTTCTTCACGGCTCTCTAAGTTGTTCCTATCAATCATACGGACATGACGGGAGGTTGTGAATAATGCGACAGCTAACGAATACGATGTGGTGGTGTGATGATGAAAGGCGTATGGACTTCGTCGACCCTATCTTAGCCCTGTTCTTGTTACCTTCCCTCTTTTATTTTATTCTGCCACTTCACTTCTATTGGGTGTCATATTCTCTTAGATAAATCGCGGACATCCCAAAGCCTACTCTTCGCATTTGTCCGTCAGGCGCTTGTGCTTTTATATCCTTTCTTTTTTTCAACGGTCTTGATGTCGCTTGCGTTATCGGGATAATTAATGGAGTTGCGTTGCATTCTCAACTAAGAATCCCGGAGGTTCATTGGGCAGATGAGAACTGGAATCAATTACATCAAACAGCATGTCCAGCTGTACAGCTCTTGTGTTCTTGTGAATGATCGATTACTTCCTGATCGAACGACGACTTGCACGAAGTGCTCGCTTTTGTGTTACAAATTATTGCTTCTTTTTTGATGCCACGGATCTAACGAGTTCTAGAGTGCAGAAGTAAAGAAGACGAACGTACCTTTTTGGGCTTCCCTTATTTCCACTCATGATAAGAAAGTGAGAGGACTGTACGTTCCTCTTCTATTTCGATGCGATGCCTAAGATCCGACTTCCTTCTGTCTTCCCAATCCTCTCCATTTGGAAACTAGGATTTGAAGAAAACAAAAACAATAATCGGCGGTGGGCCCGCACGCCGAAAATGTCAGATCAATCGATTACTGAGTGATGAGTAACTGCAACGCTGCATCACATCACCAGGCTCAAGAAGCATGATTTCAGATTTTGGATGACTTGCAATGGGCATGTTAGGTGGCTCAGCTCATCTTCTGAGAGAACTTTCCAAGCTTGTTTTTTACGTCTTTTCCCTAGGGGCACCGCATGCACAATACATAGTCTAGCTTTGAGGGGAGAAAAGAGCATACAGTTTGACCGCTTTTCCTGCATTGGTTTTTGGTCGAGTACTGCTGTGCATATATATTCACAGTCAACGAGGAAGTTTAAAACTACCTGCACGATTCTTACGTAAACTGCTCACAAAGGAGCATTGGACAGACGCATGCAGGTGTAGGTGGGGGGGGCATCTTGAGCAACCCCCGAAATATTGCGGTCATCGCCCCAGGCAATTGCGAGAGATGATGATGCAAGAATACACATGTGAAATCAAAAAGCAAAAATTCCTAATATTTTTGTTTTGCAAAAACTGCTACTTACGCTGTCAAGCTTTGGCACGAGGGTGCTATGTTCGGTGATATCCGGGGTAGTATGGTTGCATTAACGCACGCGAAGAATGTCAGAGTGTCAGCACGTTTCAGCTTCTTGTGCCAGTGATGTGGCGGGACAAGAGGATAGGATTTAAAGAATAAAAAGCCACAGCACTTAGGATTCCCATGTAGTCCCCTACAATGGTACTAACTAAGCGGTACTTAGCTGAACTTCGCAGATCGGACGGGATACAGTGCTTCCCAAGTCCTATGGCCGTGGATATTTCACTCTCCAGGACAAGCACTCAGAAGCATTTTTCCTAATGGCATCATGACATCATAGAACAAAGAGGACGGGGTTCCAATGATGACCCGGAAGAACGCAAATGCGTCGATCGTTAGCACAGCCCCAAATCGTCCCGCCGGCACACCACACAACTGTGCCGCAGAGACCCCAGGCGTCGCCCTTCGGAAACGGCTTGATGGAGCTGGGCCAGTTATTGATCCACAACGAAGTAAGCACTTCTAGAATCCGGGAGATCGTTAATGTTCTCCCCCAAGTTCTCCCGCATCCTGGCATTCTCTTTAGAATATCCGCATGGGATGCGTCGAGATGATTCTGGAGGACATGATAAGCACTGTAATTCAAGTGGCGAACGTGTCGCCAACGAGGCCCGGGTCGCTAGAAACCCATCCATGGATCATCAATCCCCACTGCATCATGCATAAGATCAGCGAGCGAAGCGAAGGTCCTGAGGTTAATGGAATGGTTCCTCCAATAGGTGGAGGGGGAATTAGTACTGGCAGCAACGTACGATCTTCTTTTGCATGGTTGCATTCGATGCACAAAGGGGCAAGTATCCTCCGAAACGAATATGAAGTGCATGGAGCTAGTCAGCATGCACAGTGTGAGGTTGAGCGTGTAGAATTTAAAGCATCCAAATGACCTCTCCTAGACCGAGGGTGTGCTCCACATCCTTTACGCTAAGTGGAAGGCTTTCCAAAAAAAAAATTTAGGGAGAGGCTCGGATCAATGATCAATGATCATCCATCTTCTGGGGCCACGAAAGGATACCGACCGCCATACTTTTTCAGTCTATTCATCAGAACACGCTTCGGAAACGTATTCCTTCTTCCGTTCTTCTCCTTTGGCGTTTTCCTGAGATTTAGAGAGGCCATTCCGAGTAGATGATAGTCTCCCGATATGGAGTCGGTTCGGCGTAGCCTCTGATTATTATGCCTTCATTCAGGCGGTGACGTAAAATCGATACAACCCTAGCTGAGAGTAGGTACGGGCCGGCCTTTCGTACGAGAGGAACGAGAGGTGTTAGAGTGTCGCGATCAAGGTCGCAGCCGAGGTGTGGAATGATGAATAAACACCACAGGAGAAAGTGTCCTAACAGGAAAATTTGGGATAGAATCCGTTGCATGTGCTCTCTTGTAATCTTTCTTTTCTCCCGATGAATGCTACCAAGCGGTCTCTGTCACATAGAATGACCTTCCATTCGTTCTTTCTGTCCATTTAAGGCAAACGCACGCACCCTCTGGCCTTGGTTCTTTCTCACCATACAAGGAGGTTTTAACTGTTCTCAGGGATTTCATGATTAGAAGACATCCGTAGCAGTTCCTGTCGTCAACCTGCAAAGTGGGGAAGCCTTCGAGCCTGACGCGTGAGCTGCGGAGTCCCAGCGACATCATGCACAGAATTGGTTGTTGTGAGAATAGATAGGGATAACGTAGACGGGATGGCATCTGATTCCCCTTAACGCTCGGTCCGAGCAGCGCACAAAATAGCTCATTGATGGTTCTATCTGGGGATGTCGATATAACAAGGTCCAGAGTGATCGGAACGAACGAATCAGGGATTTCGAAGAAGTGTTGATTGCTTGCATGAAATCCCTGTTGGCACGTCAACTGACCATGTAGTGACAAGGGCTCTTGCGCACCAAGCTACTTGGTTCCGAGGCTGGAAATCCATACGTTTCCCCCCTTGGCCAGGTGCTTCATGTGCGAACACCGCGGGCAATCGAACGTATATTCGAGGACTCAGAATAATGCAGGGCAAGCTACGAGTCCCTAATCGAGGAACGTGCGCCACCTGCGAATGAAGATGCTGATCGAGTGTGGCCCATGAAGCATTCTTTAGGAACTCAAGCGCTAGAGCGGCCGCACAGCTGGCCAGATGAGACCAATGCACAGCCCATTCAGACAGATGTGATGCTGATTGTAGAGCCTAGACCCAAAGTCCTAAAACGCAGGGAGAGGTGGAAGAGAACTGCGCATCGCCTTATGCGTTACAACCAGGGATCGATTTGTGAGATCCTTATAGAAATAAGTCAGTCAGACCTATCGACGAAGAATGTCATCGTGTAAAAGTTGACGCTTAAGACCTGATACGCTATCCAAAAAAAGCAATAAATACAGCCGGACGAATAGGTAGTGGAGAGCCGCAAGATTACAACATGTGTAAAGGACAATATGGAGAGTCACCATCTTGAGCAACTCATGTCTTTTTTTTCTTCGTGGCTCGCTTTCCTGGAGCCGTCGTCGAACCTGGTGTAGAAGCACGAGAGTCCTTAGCTGACTCCTCTAACAAACGTTTCTGTTCAAAGTGATTTTGAGCGATCAAAAGAAGCCAAAGAAAAAATAAACCAACCCGTCCGCGAGCCGGCGCAGGTTTCGGCTTTGGCTGCTCCTCAACTTCTTCTTCTTCCTCCTCCTCAATTGGTGCATTAAATTCCTTAGCGATCAGGCTGATCAGAGTCGCGCATCGTCTTCCAAGCTCAACCGGAGTCCGACTGCGTAGAAACCAATCAAAGCGGAACACAGGGAAGTCGCTGATGTCCTTCTTGATTTTGTCGTACACATCGTCGGAGTGAAGCCCATAGTGTGCGAGCCTGCACAAAAGGTAGCGGTCCTCTTCTTCAGTATAAATTTTGCCCTTCGTCTGACTGTATTGAAGCTGAAGTTCTTGCATGGGAAAGCGATACTGCCCGACTTTCTGCTTGACCATCTCGTCTGATCTGACCAATTTCTGCGCCCTTTGTTCGGCATCGTCGAGTCGCGCCATGATCCGTTCCCAATCTTAGTGAAACGTGAGCGAGTGCATTCTGATACTTGTAACAAGAATCTCACCTTCCAATTCCTTGTATCGCTTCCAGAACACCTTAGCATAAACACGAACAGCACCCTCATCCTTGGAAGGATCATCAATTTCGGAGGCGATGTAGGCATGATCATCACTATCACCCAGGGGTTCAACTATTGGTCATCAGTGCAGGGGGAATCGTGAAACTCACCGCCCATGCTTCTCCATCCCCTTGATGAACTGCTGGAAGTCTCTTCGCGTCCACTCGCCGAAACCTTTGGTCTCAAGCTCCTCTTTCCGCCTCATCTCTGCTTCCGTCAGCGGCACCGCTAAAGGCAAGGTGAGAGCGCTATTGCTCGCGTTAGCACAAGAGTCACCTTTGTCAATGATGGCCTGCTCCGCTGCGCGCTCTGCTTCCAGCATCTCAGGAAGTTCGGATTCATTCACCGGCTCACGTAATGGCACAACGTACTCGTGTTCTTTCTGGCAGATTTTCAGGGATCAGCAAGTTTCGTGAACGAAAGGTGAGCGGAACACTACACACTCTCCATGCGGCAGTTTCACGGTCTTGTAACGGTGCTAACTCGGGAGGGTAGAATTGGTGATCCTGGCTGCAGGGGTTATGGATACAGAAGTCGTGACGGAAAAAGATGATCGGAAACATACATAACAAGCTGCTTCGGTGGTTTCGGTGCCTTGGGAGCTTTGTCGGTAACTTTGGAAGGGCCAGCACGCATGGCATCTTTGTAATAGCCATCAATAGAATAGTTCCCTTTCCGTTCTCGCTTTGAGGGCTGGATCCAATTCAAGCCGATAGTCTTGCGCTGTCGGAATAGATTTAGCATCCGCTAGGCTCAACTTACAAACACTCACTTTGTTTTGGTAGTCCTCACCTTCCCAGGTTTGGACATTTGCTTCGGACTTAAAGTTGCTCAAGTCTTCGAATGTTAGCCCTTCCCACTTGCTAGCGAGCTCGGCGGTACGTTCCTCGCCTTGGGCGATGATAGCATCTATGTCATCTGAAATAGAAAAGCTACGGAACCCATAAATAACTCAGTACCCGATCGGTATGAACGAGACATACCCATCTGTCGAGTTGACAATCTCTTCTGCACCATGTTGGATCATGTCGAGAAGTTCATCTTTCGTTGCCGCTGGAGACGAACAAAGGTGGTTCATCACATATGATTCTTTTGCTTTTCACATCCGGCTTGCCTTTATTCACAGCTTGTGTGCGGCCTTGTTGAATGACGAGCTGATCGAGACGAAGTTTCTGCGCCGCACGCTCCAGCATCCGTTCTTCAACGCTTCCCTGCAGATGCCGTTAAAAACGAATACGAAAGTTAAAAATAGTCGGGGACTTACCTCCGTAATAAAACGATAAACATAAACTTGCTTCGTTTGCCCAATACGGTGAGCTCTGTCCATGGCTTGCAAATCAGCTTGAGGGTTCCTGCGCATCAGGGTGAGCAACGTAACACTGAAACGATACGCGCGCTCGAGCTCACCAGTCGCTATCATACAATATGACAACGTCGGCAGAAGTCAGGTTGATACCAAGGCCACCAGCTCGAGTTGTGAGGAGAAACAAGAATTTTTCGCTTCCGGGTTTGTTGTATTCATCAATGGCGGCGATACGGTCCTCGTGTGCAGTCCCTCCGTCAATTCGACAGTATTCTGGGTCGTGTTTAGTAAGTCATTACGATGGAAATTCCCACATCATGGCACAGCACTGACTGTATCCACGGAAAAGTGAGTAGTCCTCGAGGATGTCCAATACTCTGCTCATTTGACTGAAAATGAGAACACGAGACCCTTTCGCCTTGAGGGACTTCAGAAGTTTGTCAAGTACGGTCATTTTTCCAGCATTATCAACAAGGTGCTCGTCAGTCGTGTATGGGGGTCCAGGTTCCTAGAGTGACGCGTCAATTCCCATTTCAAAGTTGCGAGAATGGGACATACAGCTCCATCGAAGAGATAGGGGTGGCACGTGACTAACACAAGGTCAATGGATCACCATCGAAGATGTTTGGATGTCGACAATACCTTTCCTCAACTGTGAGGTGATATTAGGTATGCAAGCTGAACGGCACCGGAATGTTCGTACGCACCTGCATAACGATGTTCATAAGTCTTGTCTTTCCCTCTTTCTTCCCTGAGAGCCCTAGAAGAGACATCAACAAGTTAGGTGGTATCACGAGCAACACACACTCACCATTCACAGCATCTATATCCTTTTCGAGCACAGACCTATACCACTTCCTCTGCATCTCAGTGAGACCAACATAAATATTAATTTCCTTCTCTGCAAATACGCTTTAATTAGGTGAAATGTCGAAATGCATAGAAGTTCTCACTGGGAAGCAGGTTCTTTTCGACGTCGGACTTAACACGACGCAGTAAAAATGGCCGCAAGATCTTGTGCAATGCAGCTACAACACGGGCACCTGCATCCTCTTCGCTAATGCCCTCGGCATCCCCCTGGTGCAAGAAACTGTCCAGATCCGAGTAATCCGAAAAGATCTCAGGACAAATAAAATTGAGCAGGGCAAAAAGTTCTTGCAAATTATTTTGTAGCGGCGTGCCAGTGATAAGGAGCCGCCCACGAGAACTGAAGGCGCGCACGATCTGGGAGAGTAGAGAGTCCATATTTTTGATACGATGTGCCTCATCGATGACGATGTACTCGAACGAGAGCCGTTTCAGTGAGTTCTTCTCACGGAGACAAATTTCGTAGGAGGTAACTAGAACCTGGAACTTTTGAGGCAAGATACGGGATGATATAAGCTCGGACTAAGGCAAGGAATGAATCAGCAATTCGAAGTCTGTCAAATGACCATTATACCCTAGCCTCCTTATCACCGGTCAAGACTACTACGTCGAAGTCGGGAACCCATTGCGAGAACTCTCTCGCCCAGTTATTCAGAGTGCTTTTAGGGACACAAACAAGATGCGGTCCCGGGATGCCACGAGTGTGTTTGAGGTACCCTAAGAACGAGATGGTTTGAAGCGTTTTTCCGAGACCCTGTTAAGTGGCAGTAATTAAATAAACCGAACCAGCGTTTCTGGTTAGAAAATGCCAACCATTTCGTCCGCAAGAATGCCATTCAAACCGTTATGATGAAGAGAGACCATCCAATTCAGTCCTTGTAGCTGGTAAGGACGCATAGTGCCACCCTTGACATCTGGACATTCGTTAGCTATGAAGATGAAGACGGGCAGAAATTCCCCACAGTTTGGTGATTGTTCGAAGACGAATGGTTGCTCTTCATCATCGCCATGATCACCGCTCTTCAATAATTCTTCATCTTCCTCCTTCTCACTTTTGCGGTGACGAGCATCCTGGCTAACTGGCTTTTTCTTTCCTTTCCCTTTGTTTTGAGCTTGGGCGCTGACAATAACCGCGTACTCGGCGTCTCGTGCCGCCTGGAGCAACTGTCAGACTAGGTCTTGCAAAGGAGGCAAGAGCGACAATCATACCCGAGCATTCATAAAATGTTGGAATAAATCCGTCTGACCAAGTAAGTACGAATAGCGTTTCACCGAATCTACTACCTGGTCAATTGATCACAACAGGTTAGTGGTGTTTACAGGCGGCTAACTCAGACTTCACCTTCGCACGGTCAAGATTGGCACGCTTGGAGCTCAGGGCGCCAGCCTGCTGGAGCCTCTGCGTTCGTTTAGCATTGGCAGCCTCTTTCTTTGCTGATACGGCCACACTCAATTGTAGAGGCTCGTCATTCTGGATGGAAAGAAATTCACAGTATAGACATGGGGTCCAGAAACGAACCTACATCTTCTTCGATACCATCAATCTCCATCTCATCCTCGCTCTCATGTTGATCTTCACTTGGTGTAGGACGCTCACTGACCTAGGATAAGGTGAGCACAGGCGCGCGAACCGACGCGTTGAGCACGTACTTGGCGCGATATATCATTACTCTGAGGGATGATATCACTCAGCGCATCCTCGCGTTCGGACATGGTGCTCGATATTAGGAACGCAAGCGAAAGGAGCGGACTGAATTGTCGGTCTCGGCAAGACGCGTTTCTGAACTTGAACTCTGGGCCCTGCTCAACTGAACAACAATGCCACTCAGCGCATTAGTGTTGGTGCTGAAGCAAGGTGTGCTGCCTCCATGGCATTGCTTTTGTCTGCATAATCCACAGATTCTCTCTGGGGGTGACCTCAATCCTGCGACGGTGCGACATCCGGACGAATAAAGAAAATGCACACATTATCGAAGACTGCGTTCGATGTGTTACACCTTTATACTTATCGTTCTCCTGACCTCCCAACGTTCGTGACAAAGATCCCCCACAACCCAACGAGCGTCCAATCTCGAAATTCATTGATGGTTACATCCATTCTTCTCGTGATCTGCGGTTCGATATATGGCATTGTGCCATCGTGGCACATAAGCCAAGGGCGCCACCCTAACTATTGGCCCTCCAGCCAAGGGGTCAAGCAAGAACTCTTGCCTACTCCATAAGATAATCTTCGATCTCTGGATTTAACTTCACACAAATATCACTCTGCACAGTGCGAATGTGACTACACATGACATACCCTCCCATGCTCAGGAGGCGAACAGCGTGCTAGGAAATGACCATTCGATGAATGGGAATTACATGTGCAGGCGGGCGTCTGAGAAAACTCATATCCCTTCGTAATGCTTTTGATTTATGATAAACCCGGAATGATTTGCGGCCCCAATAACCCAGAAAGGCGTAGTTTGTGCGGCGGTCCTTAATCAGTACCGGTTGTTCCGTTGGAGCTCCTATCCTCAGAGCTAGTGACGGGATTGCATTTTGCTGGAACCTCACGGCTCAATGTGCCGTGTTGTCCGGTGGTTGTAAGTGCACTATCGTCACAGGCTTGCGTCATTTCTTAGGTTTTCCCCTTTTTCCTTCTGTATCTGGCGAGGGTGTGATGGTTCCACTAGCACTCGCATTTTGGTTCGGAAGTCAAGCATGAGCCAGACTCGGCTCAAATAAGCAATGAGCACGGAGTGTTAAAGCAAAAAGAACACGATCTGCAGCTGCGACACAGTGCGGCCCACATGGGAGTGGCGGGAATAGTAAAGGTACCCTTCAGACGAGATTCATTCGGGCATGCGACAACTGTTGTGCATTTGGACGGGCAGGTTACCTGCCTTTATTTGAGGGAATAGAGCACGAGGGTAAGAATAGACCCAACGCAAGGCAATTCTGAGGCTGTGTTTGAGTTCGAAATCCCTGCTACCCACATAACCGCCATTTGCGTCGGCCAGGATCGTCATCAGTGCTGCGCACCACGATCAGCTGCGACACAAATGGCAACATTAGATGAAATTACTACGTAAATAAAGTGTGTACTAAACTGTGGTAAATCAGGGTTGTAATCAAAGACGATCATCCACCAGCGAGTGCATCAACACGAGAGAAGAAGAGTCGAGGAACAATAAGGAAGTCAGGCAAACCGGATGAGTAAATTCATAGCGTAGATCATCGAAGCGACTCCGTCACCACGCCACCAAAGCTCTATTACTGTATCCATCAACATGCCAATCAAGAGTAAATTAGGAAACGCAAAACATACATTGTAATTAGATCCATCCTTCCGGTGGTTTCTTTCCTTGATGTGGTGTAAGAGTTGACGCCTCGGACGAAGATGCGGGCTTCTCGGTTCCGTCACCCTCCCCGCTCCCTGACCCCGTCATGGACACGGTAGTTTTCCTTGGAAATAAAGGGCTACCACCACTTGCCATGATTGTGGCATTGTGCAGCGCAGCAACCTGCTCGGGGTCTGCATTCCATGCCTTGGGACTTCCAGAACCGTGGGATCTCAGCATGCTCTGCGTGGACTTCGTTCGCCGAAGACCCTTCTTCCCGCTTGAGTCAATATTGCTGCGCGAGGGTCGGCGGCGCGGAGGTGGAGGAAGAGAGATTTTGGGTGGGTCCATCGCCATCGGAATCGAACGTTGAGGGGTTTGATGGTGAGGGATGAAGGATAGGTTTGAGTGGGTTGTGGTGGTGAAAGCGTGTAGCTGTGCGCAGAGTTTGCCACGGTCCGGGAAGGGGGAGGCGAGGAAATACGTGTGCGTGAGGACGCAACCGTGAGGTGGGGGACAGAAGTTATCGGAGCTGCCAAGATTGGTGGAGGTGATTCTGAACGAGTTTCGACAATGTATTGTGGCGAGGCACCGGGACTGTGGTAGATGCTGGGCTAGTGGTGTAAGAACGTGGGCGATTCGCGACAGACTGGACAGGCTGACTTCGGGGTGGTTCGACGACGTGCCCCTGCTCATCTTTGTCACTCTTCTTCTTCTTCACAGGGTGCAGTATTCGATTCCACATAGTGTAGATGGCACGTCCCCTAGACTTCGCAAGTCCGGAGATTATGGTGTAAGAATACACGAGGGAAATTAGGCTTAAATGAACAAACGATTATGTTGGACACGAGGTGGACACGTTTTTTGAGCCAAGGGAGCCGCACGCAAAGAGATTGGGGATTGGTCACGGATGTGTAGAGAACGCGAAGCCTCTTTATGGGATATCGCAATATGCTGAAGTGTCAATTGCGAATGAATTGAGAAGGCGCGACGCGGTTGCGGTGTAGTGGAAGCCCTCAATATGCCCAAACGTGGAAGTCGATGCCCCCTGCCGGCGAGGAAGAGAATGGATGGATGCGCGAATGCTGTCGCGAGACTGGCAAAGAGGCTTCGCTGAGTGGAAGAGTTGTCAATTGAATGAGTAGGTCCAACCGGCGGCGCGCGCGATGTGAGCGGTGGGACGGGAGCGAAGACGTTAGGGGGTTAGGATTCGTCCGCCAGAGCGGCGAGCATGCTATATATGTGCATGCGGGCTGCCAAGCCAGTCCGAGCTTCAGGGACGGCCAGCAGCCCTGCTGGCGCACCCACCGCCGATGCGCATCAAGTGTGAATGATCACGAAGCCTTGAAGTAGGTCTCCGAGATTCCGTAAGTCGACCGATCAATTCTTCCTTCAAGGCTCCCTCTTGACTTCGGTGACCTTCTACTGGCAGTTGCGACCCGAACAGGTTTCGTGACATGTGAAAGGAGGTGGCCGTGAAACAACAGCTGCGAATGCAGCCTGTGGAACGAGTTAACGAAAAAATTTGCTGCAACCCCAACTCGGCATCAACCATGACAATTTTCGTCGTCAAGAATCAAATCAGGGCCACATCTCTTCCATTCAATAGTGCCAACACTTGTGCGACCCGTGAAATATTCAGCATGCAGCAGTGCTAGTACTAACATCACCCGGTCGGATTAATTGGCATTGTGTTCTGGATATGCTCCTTGATTGTCTTCACCCGCATCAAGGTTGTCAACGGCAACCGACTACGTTCTTGCGGTCATGGTTGCTTCGCACACGTGGCCACGTGGATGTGTGCACACCCGTATCTTCATACCTCTGTTTCAACTACGCCGACTCGCTCCTCTGCTGGCCGGTGATTAAACCCTCGGCTTTACACAGCCGCCTTCCATATTCTTCTGCCAGCACCACGTTGCTCGCGGGAATATTCGTTTGCGTTGCTCTCCTGCGATCGTGAGAAGACCGTTTTCGCCCTGCTCAATAGCCAGAAGCGTTGAGTATTCCACCGCGACAGGGGGAATTATGCACTTCGTCTGGTCTAGAAATCGAATCGGCAAGCATCATTGTTCTAGTTCTCAGGGCCTGAGAATCCTTTGGTCTAGTACACGGGTGGCCAAACACTGAGGGCTTCGGCTCCATTCTCACCGATCTTCTGGCTTTCTCAGAGCCCTCAGGTCCTTTTGATCTTATGTTCCATTGGTCCTTGACTTCTCCAGTTGTTGCATTCCTGAGAATCATGACCTGCAGCACGTTACGAATAAATAACACTATCAATTCTAATCTACTCCAGAGATTGAGGGCATGCAGAAGGTGTCGTTCTGGCCGGGTTGAGCATCGGGGTTCGTGCGCGCAGCTCTCGATGCAGTCTGGACCTGCAGGCCAATGTTGTCTGGGGATCTTGGGCAATCTCCCTGTTTCCTCCCTTCGTCCTAGATGCAATGACTCGCCAACCTCTCGAGTCATGCCTAGTGTGTAATCACTTTTTTTGACAATAGCCTCGCGACAGGCCCCTCGGTACAGCCGCGAAGTCATAGCCCTGGAAAGTCACAAGAAGAAGGCGATCGTGAGGATTTGATAAATCCCTTCCTCTATTTTTCAGTGGGAGTTATGTTCCGGTCGAGAGCGTGGCATTGTACTTGTTCGCGCAGCTCTCCCCTTCGTCCGCTGCACAAACACCAATATTCAAGGATGAACAAGAGCGACGTCCTGTCTTCAACGGTCGCACATATGAACCCAGGGGGCCTCCCATTGGTCTTTTCCACCTGTCTCCAACATATTTCATGATCTTAAGAAGTTCTGAACCCCCGTCCCCGCCTGATAGCTACAGCGGACGATATATGGTGGTGATAGATTTTTTTGACGGAGAGTCCACGGATACCCTCATCGACCACCAACTCAACTACGATTGGCCCGCTACATTCGTACAGCCTCGTATTCAATGACCTTCGATTGCCAAACATTCTGATCGAGGGTGGAAATGCCATGAGCACCCATTTCGATGGCGTGGCAAGGAAGGTTACCCAGAAGCTCTGGACTACAGGGGAATTGACTAGGCGCCCGGTGTCATCCGGTTCTGTTATCAGAAGAAAGCATGACTTACGTATGCTCAAGAACCTGCAGCCCGCTATGGCAGTGGATTGATGTGACTGGCAGAAGCTGGAAGATGGTTATAAGGGTCTGGTGGTGTGCGAACAGTGGAAGCTAGTTGCCCGAAAAAGTCTTCTAGCCAAAACCCCAAACCACATCCTCATTCAACTCCTTTCTAGCCCATTAGATCCTGGATACAATGCAGCCATCCGGGAGAACACACTCCAGGTGCGGACGTACAAGGTCTCTTGACATCGCTGCTGCTATCTCGTTTGTCCATCACATCCTACCGTTCTCCCTTACCGGATGGAATGACAGGCTCTGTCTTTCCTTGCATTGCTCGCGTGAATTTGGTTAAGAGGCCATCGAAAAGCCCCTCTCGATTCCGTTTATCTTTTCATAGATGATCCGCTTCGGAGGAATTGGACATGGATTCCAGCTCTCTGGACCTGCGCGAATAACGCGATTGGACCAACTGGGGAGTGGTGAGTGGCAAGTCGAGAGGAAGAACCGAAGCTCGTAAAACTAAAATCGCGGCCTTTGAGATGATTCGTCTCCCCCCTCATCTTCCTTGCTTGAGACTCGAATGGGTACTCCATCAAAACCTGTTCTGATGCTGTCTTACTACCTATGCAAATTTAGTTTCATGACTACCCGAGCAATGACCAGCAAGGCCACCAAGTAAGAACCCAGGACATCACACATCACACACAAATTACTCTCTTCGTCCGTTCCCCCCCACAAAAGAGTTTATTGGCTACCCTCCGCCCTATCAAGCAGCGTCATTTTCCTTGCGATGGCATCTTGTTCTTATTCGCTAGACGTATGGTAAACCGAGGGGGGACTCGACTTTCTCTCGTATCCGAGAGGTAGAGAAGGACTATGCTGCTGATTTCCATAGCATGGACTCGCGGTACCGCATGTGCTGGGGCCAAACAAAGCCAGGAGCGAAGTCCTTCAATATGGAGTGCTCACTACGAAGCCATTCTTCCGTCCCCGCATCCTCGCCCTCTGGCTCACAGACAATGGATAATCTTCTGCCCCAGCCCCAGTCGCTCGACGACCGTTGGGACTCGCCCACGATCATTCGGCTGCCCCGAAAGGAATGCCTCAATGACCAAATCCAAGCCACAGGAGCCAGGTGAATACTGCGCTTCCACATCATCCAGCTCGTGGGGCATGCCCCGCCTGAAAAGGCGGCTTCAAACGTCCTGATGTGTTGAAGCGTCATTTGAGACCCCTAATGGCAGCTAGACTCTCAATTCACAGATTCCAGGTATATCTCATGTAAATCGTTCACAGCGGTACGCTTTATTCCGTAGAGGCCGCGCGCGCGCACATACATATGCATAGGCGAGACAATGGTGCATCTGAAGACTAGCTTCCATGGCCTGGATGAATGCCATTGCCCAATATTGAGATTGCTGGAGCATCCCTTGGAAAGTATTATAAGATCCCTGCTTTTCCAATTCCGCCTACGGCCATAATACTCCACGGTCACTGATAAATCCCTTAAACTCCTTTCATACACCGTCGCACTTGAGATCTCGCCTGTCGGCCATTCGCACTGCCTTGGTCTTCTTGTCATCAGCCTTACTCCGATAACATTCCCAAGCTGGTATGCCCGGACCCCCTTACAAGATTGCGTGCACCTCACTAACATAGCCAATAGCTTATCCCACAACTGGTGGCTGACGTTGTAGAACAGTATCATGCTTGGAGCTTCCATAGATATAACTTTCCCTGGGTACTATGAGCTTCGCTGTGCCGGGCTTTCTTCTGTAACATCCATTCATGGCCCCTCCTAAGCCATGTTCGCATGGGATATGAACGAATTGGCCACCAACGACTTACCGGGCCTAAGACCACATCCTCATCTCGCACACTGATACACGATGCTCTTATTTTGGAGCCATGGAGTTGAGTGTGGCAAATCTGATAACGTTATTCAAGGAACTACATGCATGGTTCATGTATCCGGACGTCGCGAAGAGTGCCTATATATGCATGTCCCATATCTGCTTTTGTGAGGTTCAGCTTGCCTGCAATCAATTGCGCAATTGATCGTAGGCAAGTCCAACGTCTGCGTTGCCTACGAACCTTCGTCTTGTACATATAACGCATCACATTTGACCCTCTGGTTACACAGATCCCACGCTATCGTCATGGATGAATGGATATCCGAGGGCGGCATGCGGATGACTACCATACGAGTATGATCTGACAGCGAGGGTCCATTATTCTGTGCCCATACAGGCCTTTCCTTTATACATGCATGATCTCTGCGTGGTATCTCATTATATGGCATTTTAGTGGAAGCGCCGTGTGGCGGAGCTGGCCGGATTTATTATCTCATACATACTTCACGACCGAATTTGCAAAAATCTGTCACCCCTGCCCCACCTCTTCACCAAACGGGGCCAACCGATGTTTTGATACTTGCTGTATAATACCGGAAGAACCTTATACTTCTTGATATTGTTACGAAGTCATAGAGGCTGGAGTCCTACCTATGCTTCTTGACGGTTACCGAAACCATTTAAAGCTCTGGACAGGAGCCTAGCATGTATCCTTCCTGCAGACCTGTCGCTCCCTTACGAGTCCATTCCCCTGTAAGCCCTTGGCTGGCGGCTGTAGCGTGTTGCCATGACCTCGCAAGGCAGCATTGAAGAGATAAGCAAGCCAGTCGTTCGGTTGAGCGATGCTGAGAGTCCTGAAATCGGGTACCACCGAGGTTCGGATGATAAGGAGCCCGTCGTGGTGAAGCATGCCAGAAAGGTGTGTTTATGACGTGCCTATGATTGTGTCTATCTCGCTAAATGAATCCAGGGCGTTCTCGGTTTCTTCAGTGGTATCGAACGGACTGCCGCCGATGAAATCGAACAAATGGCTGAAAGTATCACATTCACTGAAGAGGAGGCGAAAGCTGTCAGACGCAAGATTGACTTGCGTGTTCTGCCAATCATTGTTTTCAGGTGTGCCAATCACCTCGACTCTCCTAATGCAAACAGTAAAATACGTCCTCATTTTATTTCCATCCCCTTACCTCCCTCAGTTATATCTGTGAGTCTTTTCCATGAGCGTTGTGCATACTATCTGAATATTGTGACTTTCTAGTCAATCAATTTGGTGCGCCCCATCCGGAGCAACCTTATTCATTTTGGCTAATCCTTGTTTCCGGCTCGCCATTGAGATCGTACCAACATGTGCGTACATCTCCATTCGACCTTAATATCTCCTGGATGTTGATATATTTCCTTCGACAGTGGGAACGCCCACGTCTTGTCTGATTTCAACAAGAATTTTGTTGGTATTATGGGGTTTGAACCACCTAATTTATCAAGCTCGTTCTCTTCGTTCCTTAGGGGATCACGGACAATCATAAATGGACTACTGTCCTTTCCGTGTTCTACACCGGCTACTGTCTCCTCGAGATCCCGTCAAATAGTCCGTTGCCCTTCATTTTCCCCTATTTGCCTAGTGTGGGTATCTGACACTGCTGTGTTCCTTAGTTTTGCAGCGACACATCGGTGCCAATCGTTTGTATGTAGAGTCCTGTCTCAGCGTCGGTGAAGTGGGACGGACGCCCATCACATCACCTTCCCCTTTTAGCTTCTTTCTTAGCTTATCCTTCTGGGGTCTCAGTTCCGTAAGCTTCGTGTATGCCAAGGGTTACACTGGGATCATCATTCTCCGGTACGTACAACTGTTCGTGTACTCGTCTTTTATGCTGGATTTTTTAGTACAGAATTCTTTTGGGAATTGGCGAGGTATCATAGAAATTTGCCACCACTATGAATGCGTCCGAGATGCTTAGCCCCCGTTTTCTAGGCTGGGTACTACGCAGGAATGATCTATTACCTCTCTTTCTGGCGCGTAGACCTTTCTCATCCATCACCGCCCGGTAAGTGTAACCCTATTCCCGTCCACAGGTACAAGCGCAGGGAGCTGGCGTTCCGTATTTCGCTTTGTATGACCGGTGAGATCATTCGGGTCCATGACTTCATTTGAATACCCGCTCACTGTCATTGTTACGAAGGTACCGTCCCCGGTTGGATAAGTGTAAATTATCATTATCTTTGATCCAAGTATTTAAAAAGTACAATCCTTACGTCAGTGGTCTCTTTCTAGGGTTTGTTGGCATTTGGTCTCGTCCGCCTTCATTCTTCCCACCTTGCTGGCTGGCAATTCCTCTATCTCGTCGAGGGACTTCCTACCCTCCTCATGGCTATCGTCATTCTTCTGTGGCTCCCACCTTTCCCTTTCGCCGCTACGTTTTTAACCAAGAAGCAGAGAGCCATTGCTCTCGCAAGACTGAAAGACCACAAGCCAAGGAGCCATGGTGGAGCTACCGGGTGGCAGGGCGTTAAACTCGTTCTGATGGATCCCCATTCATGGTGCTTCGTCGTTCTGTACTGCAGCTGTAAGTGAACTGTACTTACCCAGCTTCCCTGACTCAAATAATTCTTCTCTGCCCCATCAGTCGTACGTCTCCTTCCTCATGCCAGTACAACGGTGTCATCTTTGATTGATCCTCATGGTCATCGTCCTTCACTTCCCTATAGAATGTCTGCGTTGCCACCATTAGTTACTTCTTGCCAACCGTATGTATACGTTGCATCACGATTTCCCGGTATAATACTTATTCGTCTCCTCTCTTAGCTCATCAAGAAGCTCGGATACACTTCCATCCAAGCTCAAGGCCTTACCGTTGGACCCTACCTCGCTGGGATGTTTCTGGTCTGGTTCCAGGCCTGGCACAGTGACAAGACTCAGGACCGAGGCTACCACATCATGGGTTCCGCTCTCGTTGGCTTCCTCGGCTACGCCCTTCTGGCCATCTGCGCGGAAAAGAATTATCATGTTTCTTACTTTGCCATGTACCTCATCGTCGCTGGTATTTATAGCTTGTTCCCATTGGTAATGTACGTTCGGTGGACCTCTGACCTTTGTTGCGGGCGGATTATTGATAATTGTACAATGTTCAGGAGTTGGGCTTCCAACACCATGTCTCCTACCTCGAAGCGTGGTGTTGGGACAGCGTTCATCGTCTCCATCTCCAATTGTATCTCCATGTATGCATTATGGGTCCCGATTGCTTCGCCAGGAGGTCTGATTTCACTTCTAGTGCCTCCCCTCAAATTTATTTTGATCCCGAGGATTCTTTCAGAAAGGCACACGCCATGTCCGCAGGGTATGTCATTCCTTCAACGTGGCTTTCTCAATGCATGCCTCGTCTAAACACAGAATCTCGATCTATTGTAGTTTTATATTCCTTGCATGCGTGACGGCCTTCGTCCTCCGAACTCGACTTGCCTACCTCAACAAGAAGCGTGATGGAATTCTTGAGAGACTTCCCCAACATGAGAAACAGATGCTAGAGGCCTCGGCTACGCTTGAGGAGCTCGCCGATCACGACGTGAGGTACAGATATATGACATAAACTCTTGACTGGCCATTTTTCGTGTTGGGGGCCTTTTTTTCCCTCTTCTGTCTTTTGTTTGAACTTCCGCCGATTGGAGATACTCCGACTATTATACCAGACTCGTACGCCGTCGTCGTTGCTCGTGGACGCGATTCGCTTTTTTGAATCATAATTTATGAGCGTTTTCAAAAGTCAACTGTTGCGGAAATAAACACAAGTCCGTCAACTCAACCAACCATTTCCCCTTGCGAATTGACCCTGCTTCCAAAAGCTCTTAAGTCCTCTCCAGTCCTCTTCTAGACAATGCTCAGAGTCATTCCGCCTGCGCCGCCGGGTTTTTAACCAACCAATAAACCATCATTACGAATAACGAGTGGATTGGTGGTGGCGTTTGGTGGTGTTAGCATTCCGGGCAGCTCCCGTATACATCGCTATTCACAACAGAACGTTAGCTTACGCGTGCTCCGGCTTAGTAGGGTCTCGTCGGATGATGGTTAAATGCGTCTTTCTGCGAGGCTATTGATACTAGAACGTTAGCCCACGTATCGTGTCACTCGGTTTTATTTAGTTCCAGACACCTATGTGCCATTCAATCTTTTAGATTAGGCGGATTCGGAAAACAAGGATGCGATGAAATGTTTTCTCCCTGTGTTGTACTTTAGGCGCGGAATCGCCACCCGGCTTTCGTTGGATGTCCGCCCACTTGTAAGGGTGGACCTACACAGCCAGAGGCAACGCACAGGAGAGTTTTGATGAACGTGTGATTTTTGATATGAAATTTATTCCGCATCAAGGTGTGTTGCTGGCATAGATATGAAAACGGCAATGATAAGCTCTCCTTCGCAGCCTGGTGTTTCGGGGGGCACTCATGATCGACTAAGTAATATGCGGCCTGGATGCAAAGGACAGACTCGGTGATAATTCCGGCGCATCCCAGTAAATGTTCTCCGTAGACGCAAAGTACTGAAATGAAGCAGTGCTCCGAACTTGGACAAGGGGTTGTTGAGTTTGCTGTGCATCAATTGAGTTTCTGTATCCGCTGTCGTTCTCCCCTTTGGCCTATATCAGTCAAGTCACTCTGCATTCGACATTCCCCCTTGAACTTCTCGCTTGTCCCTTCTATCCTCTCTGTAGATCCACTTTGCATTTCAATGGCACCACAACCTCAACCCGTTCCATGCCAGGTTAGGGAAAGTCGATCGAGATCGCATCGGCCCCATTGAGACATCGAGTGTGAATGCTGAGCATTATTGTTCTTACGACAGTACCGGACTGGAAAGACTCTCGGTAGTGGCACATATGCCGTGGTTAAGGAAGCGGTTCACGTAAAGACTGGAAAATACTATGCATGCAAGGTGATCAGCAAGAAATTGATGGAGGGACGTGAACATATGGTGGGTTGTGCTGATCCAGCCTGTCATGAGCTGTTGATGGTCTGAAGTACACGACGGATTGCCTTTATTTTAGGTTCGAAATGAGATCGCTGTCCTCAAAAAGGTTTCAAGTGGACATCGCAATATCGTGACATTGTACGATTATTTTGAGGTGGGCGCTTACCCGAATGCCTTCTTTACAAATGTGACTCAAATGGATGCCTTGGATAGACTGCCCACAACCTCTACCTTTGCTTCGATTTATGCACGGGAGGCGAGTTGTTCGACCGTATCTGCGCCAAAGGCCAATACTATGAACTGTGCGTGACTCATCATTATTGCTTCCCAAATGCTTGACCACATGCTTGCATTTTTTAGTGATGCCGCCGAACTTGTGCGGACGATTCTCAGGCTGTCCAGTATATTCACGACGCGGGGATCGTACACCGGGACCTCAAGCCCGAGAACCTCCTCTTCCGTACCAAGGCCGAGGATGCAGATATTATGATCGCAGACTTCGGGCTGAGTCGTGTCATGGACGAGAAGAAACATGCGTTGTTAACTGAGATATGCGGCACTCCAGGAGTAGGTTGACCTCGTGCTCTTTCTCCTGGGCTGGTTTACATCTTCACTCCTTCAGTACATGGCTCCAGAAATATTCAAGAAGAGTAAGTGGGCTAAAGGACATGCCACTGCGAAGCTGATCAAATCATAGTCGGCCATGGAAAACCGGTTGACATATGGGCCATGGGGGTCATTACCTATTTCTTGCTTTGTGGTATATGTCAAGACTGGAGGTCTGTAGTCTCATGACTAAACGCTGGACTATAGGTTATACACCATTCGATCGTGACAACCAACAGCAGGAAATCAACGCGATAATCGCTGGTGACTACAAATTCGAACCAGGTACGTCGTAGGCCCTGCCCAACCGCCCAGGTCTCATTGCATACCCCAAGAACAATACTGGGAGGGTGTCTCCGAGACGGCTCGAGATTTTGTTCGGACATGTCTTACTATCGATCCAACAAGGCGTCCTACAGCGAAGGAGGCCCTCCTGCACCCTTGGCTGTCTTCTACAACACCCCACTTCGTACCAGATCCTCAGAGCGTCGCTGGGACACCCACCGATCTGCTTCCTCAGATCAAGAAAGCGTTCGATGCCAGAAAGACTTGTACGTTCGGTATAATCGAATTGCGCACTGCTCATAATGATTCACTCGCCTCCTAAATTAGTCCGGAAAGCCGTCTTTAGCATGATGGCGGTTCGAAGGATGTCCGCCACGGCGGCTCAGACCAATCAGCTTGCGAATGAGCTCGCAGCCTATAAACTTTCGGCAGAGGCGGTGAGTTGCTCCGCGGTAGTCATTTATTATTCGCTGATGTGAACTCCATTTGCCTCACCTAGGAACAAACGCATGCGGATTCCGAAGTCATTTTCCACCACATGACGCATGGTGACGAGAAAGACCAGCCACCGCCTGACAGCCCTCCGAAAAAAGGAGAGATCTCCCCTTCCATAGAGACCGGCTCAGCGTCCCTGAGCGCAACTGCCAATGGACCCACGAAGTGATTCCCATCACGTCTTGCTCAGATGGTCGTGCCAATTCGGCGATTCGAGTGCTCCCGTCTATTTACAGTTCCTCTGCATCTGATTGTACAACGTCGATTGTTTCCATTACGTGTAATTGGTTCTTGATGTTCATCGTATCAAGGAAATGCCCGGTATTTATACTGCAAGGGAGTGGCCTGGCTTAGATTGATCTTGTTGGATTCTGCAGCGAATGATATTCAAATATTGGCTGCAACTGCAACTTACTAAAATGGGCAAGCGCGCGCTAGGGCGACATCGCCTTACGTAAGCGAATCACGTTCAGGCTCTGTGAGCTTCACGAAACTCCCCAAGATGAGGGTGAAGACTCTCGAGATTCGCTGGCACGAAAGCGCCCCGATATATGCGCTAGATTACCAGATACCAGTCGCCTCCATCAAAAAGATACTTGCGCCGCGCATTCAAAGAGACCCAGCATCGTCCTCCCTCCCATCGCCAGTCGTTGGCAGTGGTAGTGGCAGTTTGAATTTGGATTCTGCGCAAGTTCAGCCACCGTCATATCGCTTGGCTACCAGCGGTGGTGATAACAATGTCCGCGTGAGTGCTTTATGGCTACCGCCCTGGCTGTCGAACTGCGATTCAAACTCAAATTGCGTTGAAACTGTATTCCTTCATGATATCTCTTGCGCGAACGAACATCTGTTAAATATCGACGTGTCCCGAGTAGGTATGGATGGTTTATCCAAACATCCTTCCTCCAGCAACTCTTGCCGCGGCAAGTTCGGTGACGGGTCAACGCCCCACACCCCACCCACCTCGGGTGGAATATCTTGCCACTCTCAGCAAACATACTGCTACCGTCAATGTTGTCCGCTGGAGCCCGAATGGAGAGTTCCTGGCCTCTGCTGGCGATGGTACGTGTATCGTATCCTTGAACGTAGGTTACGAAACTCACAATTTTAGTTTAGATGGAATGATAGTCGTTTGGAGCCCAAGCGACCGTCCATCAGTAAGCTATGGAAGTGATTCTACTTCGGATGACACTCAGTACGGTAAGGAGTATTGGCGGGCACGGTTGGTACTTCGGTGCACAACTAGAGAAGTGTACGACCTCGCCTGGAGTCCGAATGGCGATTGGATTGTCGCCGGGAGTACGGATAATACCGCTCGCATCTTTAGTGCCGCAGATGGTTTGTCCCTATTGGATGTCTTTAAACGATTCAGCCCGAATTAACTCCTGCACAGGGACATGTGTGCAAGAGATCACCGATCATTCGCATTATGTGCAGGGTGTTGCTTGGGACCCTATGAATGAATTTCTGGCGACACAAAGCAGTGACAGGTGCGGGCATCTTTGATATCCCTCTGGACGAGGACTCAACTAGCAATCTTGAAGGTCCGTCCATGTGTATGGAATAAACACTAAAAGAGGTGGCTTCGAAGTGTACTCCGTGGGCAAGAATATGAAGATGCCTCTGCGGCACAACCGCACCCCCAGTTCCTCGTCACTTCCACCCATTCAAACACCGTTGTCAATGCGTCCGAACCTGGCTCGGCGTTCGTCGACTGTCAGCGAGGCGGACTCAGCTATCACATCTGCCAGCGAGATGAAAGATGAGAATCACAACTATTTCCACTCCGCGCATGTTCCGCCCCCTCCCATCGAAACCAGTTTGGATAATGGTCCCCGGGCTCCTCTGACACCCACAGCATCCGTCATAAGCTCAGTTTCTGCTATGAATCCGCCCAAGGAGAGCGGCCCAGTATCTCGGTCACGCAGATCTTCTTTCTCCTCAGTGGCAAATGCCAACTCTCCGGCATTGTCTGTCCGAAATTTTGGTCGGTCACCATCACCAATGCCACCCCTCCCGGCGATACGAACGCCTATTGCAACGCCCTCTTGGGCTAATGTGAAGCTGTATGGTGATGAAGGCTTCACAAATTTTTTCAGGCGACTCACTTTTAGTCCGGATGGTGCTCTTCTTCTTACCCCGCTGGGCACTTCGAAGATCCCAACGTCATCCCCAGCAAGTCTTCAAATACCAACAAACAGAAGGATGATCCCCCGATACAGTCCGCTAAGAAGCCCAGTGGGGATGGTGGCGCATCTTCCTCGTCCGTTTTCATCTATTCTCGAGCGAATTTTGCGAAGCCGCCCATAGCTCATCTTCCTGGGCACAAGTCTGCTAGTGTGGCGGTTAGATTTTCTCCAGTTCTGTACGAATTAAGGCCAAACGTGTCAGCTCCACGGTCAGCAGCTGATGCGAAGACGATCATTCTGGAGGCTGGGAAAGAACAAATTATCGATCTGAACGGTGCGCCTGACGCCGCCAGCGTCATCCAATCGCCCATCTCCATTCCCTCGACTCCCAATCCACTGAATACCAACACCGCTCCGTCTTTCCCCCCGCCCTCACCCGCGTCGTCTACGCCATCAAATCGTGCTCGGACGCCTTCCAAGGAGACTTCAGGAAGTGGTGTTTCTCTTTCCACCGCGTCAGTTTTTGCACTCCCTTATCGGATGATGTATGCGGTCGCTACACAAGATACAGTGGTTGTATACGACACACAGCAGGCAGGGCCCATTTGTTTGTTCACAAATTTGCATTATGCTGGATTCACTGATGTTGCATGGTAAGATTTTTTTCTCAAGCACGGTTGAGTGGGATTCAATTCAAAGGTTCTACATACTATCTAGGGCGCCAGACGGGCAGTCTTTAATGCTGGCATCCGCAGATGGCTACTGTTCGATTGTGCTTTTCGACGAGCCTCTTCCCCTTTACCACACTCAGCAGCACAACATGCAAATGCAGGCCATTGCTGGTCCAGTTTCAACGCCGCTACATGCGCATCATGCGCTTCCGTTTGCACCTACCGGCTCAGCGCCAAGCGCTTCGCTGAAGCGAAGTGAGCCTCCGACTCCTGTGGAGGAACCAACACCGCTACCTACCCTTGAGGCGCCGAGCTCGGCAACACCAGAGACATCTGAGAATTCACGCGAGCCAAAAAAGAAAAAGAGACGCATTCAGCCGACTCACCATGGGAGCATCGACTAATTATTCGATTTGTATAGTTCTGATATCTCCCTGCTCGCCTGATTTCTGTGTCTTGATTTTTTTTGCGAAGTACTAGTTTTTTGAGTTTAGTGTTCTTGTTACGTTAACTTTTGAAAGCCAGATCCAAATCCAAGCTTGACAACGACATCGGAAAATGCATTGAAGTGATCGGAATCAGCGAATAATATACAATATTAATAAAGGACCTGGTGTAGAAGCTGCCTATGAATGTGCTTTCTGATTTCGACTGGGATTCAAAGGTGACAGTGATGAGGCAATCGTTTGAATCGTCTCTCCACGCTCGTTCAGTCTGGTTGGTGGGGGCGGTGGCTTTCGTCGTTTTTGGGGTGGCGGCGGAGGGGGCTTTTTTTTCTTTAAGATTGTTGTTGAAGGCGAAGTGAATGAGTTAGGTGGATTCATAGAGGCGGCAGGGATAGAAACCACAGATTCGGGATTTATGATCCGGACAATGGATTCCCCTCGATCACTTCCGGGAGAGGGGCAGTTAGGGATGGAGAGGTTGGGTCCAGAGTGTAAGATCTGTCAATGGCATTCACTCGTGTACGGATAGCAGGTAATGATTTGGAGGTCGGTATCCCAGAATCTGAAATGCTAGTAGGAGAATGAGGCTCAACTAGAAGGGACTTTGACGTCTTCGGATGCTTCCTCTCGTGTTCGTTGTAAACAGCGGCGACGGGGGGAGAGATGCTGTGCCGTCGTTGTCCCTCTCAACGTCGAGAGTTGGGAAATTCAATGTCGAACTAGGCCGTGCCTTCAGGGCCATCTTCCTTTTAGACGGAGTTCGTCTAATTGACGCTCGGCGCCGTGTATGGCCCTGCATGTCCAAGTCTGACACTAATCCACTTGCTTCTTCAAGGCTGGCTGTAGACAGGAGCTCAACGCTCGCACTTCTGGTTACCATTCTGGGTGGGATACTTCTGTCTTGGAGATGGCGTGGCCCATTGGTCATGACCGCTTGATTCGACCCGTTTGTAAAAGGGATTTGGGCGGGAGGACCTGTTTGCGTACTGCAGAAATCCACGCTCGTAGCATCTTGATCTACTGTTGGAGTGCTCACTGTTGGCGTTGGTGGAGCAACGGATTTCGTCCATTCGGCAGACAGACATCGGCCGACGAGCCTCCGAGTGGTGGGATCTATGTCTCGTATTTGTGCGTGGGAGATAAAATTGTCCAATGTGTGGCGAACTAGCAGGGGCTTGTGGGGATTTTTTCGCAACTGCGTGTTGTTAAGCAATGGGTTCAAAACGCGGAGATACGTATGTTTAAGCTTATAAAAACTGCGTTAGCTTTGCTGCACGTTGGATTCAGTAGACATGGTCTTACTGATTGTTGATCATCGGATAAGTTATTCAGTTCTCGGATAAATACCTCTACAAGGACGCGAAGGTCATTGGTATAGAAGCATTCTTGTGTGCCCGGTGTAGTGAATAGCAGATAGAGCATTTTCAAAATCAGGAGCTCCAAGCAGCGGTCTTCCTCGGTTTCATCTGTTTAGAACACGCCATTCTGAGGATAACTCCAGTACATTCTAACAATAGAGTCCCTACCGATTCGATTTAGCATGAATATGAGGTTCTCGCTGAATGTTTTGCTCTCGTTCAGTCGCTTCATGAGAATCGAGATAATGCGATTTTCCTGTTGCACGTCATCTGCACTCCGGATCCCTTTTCCCAGTGACGCTACCATGAATTGCTCGTTCAAAGCGACCTGCGGGTAGTATGTTAACGGACGGTGAGGGAGAGATTAAGTGCCCTCACAATGAGCTTTATTAAGGAATAATTCAGGGTCTCGCTGGAGCGTGTGGACTCGATAACTTCGAATAAGTGTTCAATGAATGAATCCTTGAAGACCTCTGAACACAATGAGCGCTGAAACACATTACTTTTTTGCATTGACGTACTGAGTTCAGCAAAACTCCATTTTTGGACTCGACATATTTCGTATAGCATCTCGCAGGCCAATAGTGCCAATTTCCCTTCAATGAAATTCGCCGAGGCATCGCCAATCTCGATAGTGAGGTGGTCCATGAGATGTCCTAGTAAAGGTCTCCACCGCTTTTCTGCTCGGAAAAAGGGGGGATGTCGCGATCCCCAACACAGGAACACGTTATAAAGGATGAATAGCTGATGTGGGTCTGTGCTCTTGTGAGCGTCCTCGAGGAGCAAGTCGCATGATCGTCCGGAATGAAAGGTGAAGAAGTCGGAGTCGAGTAGGAGCTGACAAGAGTGTTCTAGCTGAGCTAACGTAGAAAGGTAGCGTTCTGGGATACACAATCAGCGTCAAGACCCGGTGCAGGGAACGGCCTAGCTCACCATGATAAGTGGCACAGAATGAGATGAAGATGCGCAAAATTGCATCTAATTCGGCCAGCGTAGCGTCTCTAGGAACGTTCAATATATCGGAAATCTCTAGCACGCATCATGAAGCCCACTTCAGCCATTATCCTAACGTCTCTGACAAATACTGCTCACCCAGCCAGAATTGCTGAGGAGTCTCGAGATGATACTCAATGCCAAATGCATCCATGTTTAGTTTCCGATCCCAAAGAAGCCTCACAGACGTTGGAATAACATGAAAGAGTTATCGCACGACGTTCACTGGCAGCACACACGGCTTAATGTCGAGAAGCCGCAGAAATGCCCAGCTGGTGTCCGAATCACGAGCCACTTGTATTGGGTTGTTTGAGTCGATGTGAGATTAAGCATGCCAGTGCCGGAATTATATATCTAAGGATTACAATGATTGAACAGTGCAACAATACACAATATCTCCAGCGGAGCAATGAGACCAAATATCAGAATAACAGTCACAGAAAGCCATGAGAAAAGATAACAACAGTTAAAAGGGTTTAAGATGTTGCGGCATTCGTAATGGTGGTGGTAGTCGGTGTAGGTGTAGTGCTTTGCTTCGCCTCGTTTTGACGCTTGAATACATTATTACGGTGGTTGCGATTCTTGAGGTGAACAATGAAGTTGTCGAGAGTTTCATTAGGCCCGGGCGTATACAACTAAAGATGTGCAAAGGATCAGATGAGTGGTCGGATGAACCAGCCATATCACAACTACGGACCTTTCCAGGGCAGTCAAAGCATTTCAGTCGCCATTCTGGAGGAGCTGCTGGGTCAGCACCGGGTTGGAGTGGGCGCTGCATAGCGACGAAGTCATCGTGCGGATACAGTGCTCGTGTTGCTTCGAGACATCGTTGCAACCACTCAGGAGCATTCGAAGGCTGTTGAGAAAGGGTCGAACAGAATTAAGGCTCCCCCTGAACGAGATGACGGCGATACTCACAAATAAGGGTCTCGTAGTGCCTGGGGCAGCCTACGGGGAACTCTGGGTGAAGGGACAGCTGGGGAAGACTGGGGAGGGACAGGGCTAGTGTTCGCGCCATTCGGCCAGGACCGGTTCATGGCAGGCGATGCTGTGGGCGTTTGCTCGGGTTGGGACATCGGTTTAACTTCTGCTGGAGGTGAAAGAAGGCGTTCGGGAGCAGCCGAGGCTTTTGCGTCTTTCGCTTGGGCTGTGACTTGAATGAGAGGTTTGCTATCGCCCGCGTTGCTGTCGAGATCAGAAAGGTCCGGTGATTGGATACGGTTAACCGAAGGTTGTTTGGAACGGCGTGATGCGAGAGGGACATCGTCATCGTCGTCGTCGTCATCATCATCAGAAAGCGGAGAATCTCCTCGAGAATTCGAGGCATCGGGGAGTGGAATTGGAGCCATGTGGGACGCTCGGTATCCCATTCCTCTCCTTTGAATCCGTCGTAGCTCCTCGTTCGAACGCCGTTTGGTCAGGTGATAGATCGGGTCCGTGTTATACTCCACTTGATCATTTGGTCGCCGATGACGATGATAGAATTTACCTGAAGCAATATTATATCGGTATTCAGTCTCTACCCATCGATCGACAAACTTACCACAATCACCGCACATGGTCTTCTCGCCTAGCGGTCCTTTGCGTCGCCCAATGGCTATATCCTCCGGACACCCGCAGACGGAGCAATGCCATTTCCCATTGACAATGCAGGGATGTAAACCCTCAGCGTACTCTTTGATCTTCGCGTCCGCAACCTCTTTCGCTGTGGGGGCTCGCGAAGATGAAGGTTTGACGGGTGTAGTTGCAACAGAACGCTGATGACCCCCAGATTCGGCATCAGTCCGACTTCTGGGAGCCCGAGTAGGGGCAGGGGGTCGGAGTGATGTGGAGCGGTAGGACGGTTATAGATAGTCTTGATCGCGGATGAAAGATATCGTCGGGTAGAGTTGGAGCGCGGAGCTGAATGGATTTTTGACGTTTGGTCGGCTTGGCTGGGGGTGGGGGCGCAACAGGTTGGACAGGTTGCGGGCGTTCATGAACAATAGGGGGGGTCATCATTACACCATAAGGACGATCGCTATTCTCAGAGGCAGCAAGAGATGCTATGGTAGCCGATGCAGCTTGGGCTGCGGCTCGTCTGACGGTTCCTCCCATAGGGACAACCGCTGGTGGCGGCATACCATTGTGGATTTCAGTAGCGCCCAATAAAGTGCGTTGCGTCTTGACAGGATCACGGTCGGAGAGAGCTTTGGCGCGGCCACGTCCTGGGCGTTTCTTTCTTCTAATCTCCTTCTCACGCTCTTTCTCCAGACGCTCCATCTCACCTTCGCTAAGGTAGTTGAGAAGAGGGGTATAGGTCTCTGCGTCTTCAAGAGTGCGAGCGGTTCGTTTGATGGCAGGAAGGAAGACGGTCTTTAGATCATCGTCTTGCACGGAGGAACCGTCGAAGGGATAACCGACAACTGCTAAACATTTCTTGTAAGCATAAATCTGCTCTCGGATGTCGTGCGCAATAGCGGTCCTGAAGTCACCGGCCAAGCCTAAATCACGGCAATAAACCTCAGCGAACAATTCTGGGGAGTTATTAGAATCACTAATGTCCCATTCAAATTGATCGGAGAGGTTTATCGACCCAACAGTGATGTCAAGCTTGGGAGTGGAAACTACATCAGATTACTTCACAACCAGATGGACGGCAAACTCACTTTGATAAGAATCCTCAGTTCGCCAACCATCTCATCTTCGTCTTCAATTGACGTAAGCGAGGTGTCTGCATCGAACACATCGTCCATCTTGGGCAAGTTCCACGTCATCTTTTCTGTGCTGGCAGGGTTCCTACGGTCCCTCTCTCCGAGCCGTCCACGGACTGAGAGTCAGATAGATCCGCTTCATTGCGCGAATTCTCGCGCCCATGTCCAGCCCGAACGCCCGAGTGAGAACCATCCTCACTGACCCGTAATCGTTTCCGCCAACGAGACCACACCTCTTCATCCATTGAATCTAGACGACCGGCAAGAAGTGGCGCCTTAATCTTCACTTTCGACTCTTCAATATCCATAGGGGTGGGGTATTCCAGTTTGTGTGTTGAGTATTCCGAAAGTTGCTGCTTGAGTTGCGAGCCGAACTGGGAAATGAAGTAATGTGGGAGGTCGAGGTCTAAGCATGTTGTATGAGCGAAGATTTCAGGAGTCACGACAGGATCTAGCCAATACTGTGAGTCTCACCGACAAAAGGACAAATTTTAGAAGCCGAACTTACCGTTAAGGTTCCAAACAAAGGTATCTCGGAGACGGTGGTTCTCATGTTCTATTTCTATGCGGATTGGTACAAGTTCCTCCGGTCGCCGAGAAGCCGCACGACTAGGGCGAGGCCTATAAAGTTAATGGTTAAAACGTGTTAACAATGCTATCTGGGACCAACTCACAGTCTGATCTCCTTCCGCTCCCTCCTCTTTTCCCTCAACTGCCGACTCTGATCAGGCCAAACAATCTCGAGTCTTGTTCTTTCCTCAACACTATCCGGAGCAGCCAAGTCCTTTTCCCACCACTTGACCGTGCCACCTACTGCTTCCTCCATTTCCTGACTCATCCGATCTCGAGTTCCTCTCCATAGCGCTTCATATTCCTCGTCCTTCTTCGTTACTTCCTTCATTTGGAGAAGGTCTTTCTCAGACAGGACGGGTAGCTCGCCGCCATGTGTCACGTCAGATGGATCTGAGGCGAAAGGTAACACACGGACATTGGTCACGGCTTGGTTAATCGTTTTCAAGGCAGGATTAATTTGAGCCAGTGTCTGGGCGATCACATTGGGTGGTGCGTCAGATGGGCGTGTTCGTTGGCTTTTCGCCGCTTCAGCCTCAGCAGCCCCCTTTCCGGTTATCTGGGTGGGAGCAGGGTGGGATGCTTGAGGTATGGGTTGCATTTGTTGTTGAATCTGGTGCTGGCGGGCGTCCTGTTGAATTTGAAGAAGTTGCTGGACGAGGAATGCTGCATAGAGGACGATGCCCCACCAACGATGGGCATATTTGCTGGAGCTCCTGATGGTGCCACTGCGAACGTGCCCGTGGATGGGCCTGCTGTGCTGGATGAAGGCCCTGCTGGATTACCCATTTGAGGTTGCGAACTATGCCCAGATTGCGAAGCAGGTCCACTTATGTACGATGGCCCCATCGAGCTAGCACGCGTCGCCATAGGATGTGGAACACCAGGTACAGAAGCGGGTACGGCCCCATTCATGCGAGGGCTCCCGACCGCGCCACCTAGTAATGCGGAGTTTGGGCCCATCTGAGAAGGGGCTCGGGTACTGGAACGCGGATGCTGATGCTGATGCTGCATCGGAATTCCGTTCGCCACCACGGTAGTATTCGTACGCATCTGCATGGACATTTGCGACGGGGGTACATTCGGGTTTTGGGTTTGACCGCCCATTTGCAAGTGGTTCACACCTCCATTCACACCGGGAGCACCTCCACCTTGATTTACGCCCTGTAACCCACGGGTGCTTGTATTGTAAGAGAGACCAGCGTTGTGCTGTTGGACACCAAAATCAGATGCGGGTATATTGCTACTCGCCGCGCGGTTCGCAATGGGCTGAACGGTCCCTGTACTCATATTCATGCTTACGCCTCGTCGTATCTGAGCAATATTCTGCGTTTGGGTAGACTGTAAAGGACTTGGATGCGAGTGAGGTGTTCGCTGGGGAATTGACACGTTTCCATTCATCATCGGTGCACCTGCATCAAAAACATATCTTGATCATTCACAAAGCCCTAGAGTGATGTAGGGGAAACATGCCATGAACAGAATGTACACTTCCTTGACCGGGAGGATGCCCCGTCCGTGATGAATACTGTTGCTGATAACCACCCATTTGTGGTTGATGTTCGTGATGCCCAGCTTGAGGTGCATGCTGAGAGTGGGTACCAGGTTGGCCAAGCTGCATGTGACCAGGAGCGGCGAATTGGTGATGATCGAATGCACCTCCCTGAGGATGACCTATATGGCCATTAACAACACCATTTACAACGGCACCAGGCCCTACGGAACCTGGCCGAGACGAAGAGGAAGGTCCATTGAGAGCACTAGGATTAGCCGCAGAGTGAGCCATTCCAAAGGATTGCGGATGTTGAGGATTCAACTGGTGCGGTTGCTGTTGGAGTTGTTGCGAAGGATGCTGCTTGCGCCCATAGTCCTGAGCGAGTATCTTACTCTGCATTTCTTGCATCTGCTGTACGCTCATCTGGCCGGGTGGAAAGCCATGAAGGGACGAAGCAGACTGCTGCTGCTGGGGAGGTGGCTGTTGCACCTGTGATTGTTGTGCATAATAATTCGTATTATTCATGGTGAGAACTTTAGGACACGCCCCTGGCGCTTAAAAAAGGGAAGGCGTCTGGCCCGGCCGTGGACGCGATAGGGGATGAAACGCGTTGAATCACGTGTGCGTGAATACGATATTGGAAGTGTTTGGATGCTCACCTGGAGGGGAAGAGGGAGGGAGGGACTGGCGCACACAACACAGTGGCACGATGACAAGCAAGCCACTTGCGATGAGTAGAATGGAAGTTGGGGTAACGGTGAACGATGATTTGGGCGAGCGCACGGACACCTAGCCAGTCCCTAAGCAGCTTGGATCCCAATCGCCTTGATTGTGAGTAAAGTGAGACGGAGTTAAGTGCTAAGTCCGATGTTGTGTCGTCAAAGAAGGTGTGACCAAAAGGAGCAAGTGGTTGACCACGTCGTCGGGGGGACATAGCGCGAGGGAAGACGATGGAGGGAGGGACGGGAAAGGGGACGGGCATAACGGAAGAGAAGCGTAGCTAATAGATCTCGATGGTTGTATGTAGTAGATTGACGTGGATTTGGCAACGCCGTTGTGAGATTTCCCTCCTCCCTAATTCCTCTTGTTGGCTGTTTCTTTATTTTAATTTTCCCTTTGATATGATCTGACGTTATCCAGGAAACAGGCCGCGCGTCGACCTGAATACCATAAACATGCTCTCGATCAGGTGTGACTCGAATTCCAACTCCAACCGAGCCACGCGACATCCCGCCCCATACGCACTAATGGACAAGTATGGCAGTGATATAACCTTGGACTGACATCGATATCCATTTGCAAACATCTTTCTGCCGCCCGGAACAGGGAAGGGGGAAAAAAACCGTGCACAGGAACCGATAGAAAACAAATGATCAACGAAAGAAAAATAATTCCATCTCTCGGAACCTAGAATTCTCTACTACCAAATGCGATTTATTTGACCCCCATGAACGATAATATTCGCACTCAGATCTGCAAATAATCCCAACCCCTTTTTTTGCCACAACTCAACTTCCCCGAATTATTACATACGCAATCTCGCTCCCGGTTTAGTCCGTCGATGCCACCGATATCACTCCCCATTGCCTTGCTCGATGCTCAGCGACTTGGCATTGACTGCAACAAAGTGGTACGAGATCGTCAACAGCACCGCAACAGTCCCCAAAATGTTCGCCAAGTTGTACAAGGTCTCATGAGTGATCATCTTGGTTGGATATTAGGCCTGACTGAGACATGCACAGACACAAGTTTTAGTCACCTTGCAGTTATGACACGTGGCATACTTACAACGACGCGATCAAAGATGCTGGAGATGCTAAGGACAGGGAAAGGGCGCTGTCTAAGCGAGCTAGCAAACCCGATATGACGTGTCACAGGTCAGCGCAAGTCCAGGATGCCAGCAAAACAGAACATACAACGTGAACTGATTAGGCTCGAAACGAGGAAAATAGAAAAGGAAATGAGGATATGTAGAAGAACCTGCTATGCGCTTCTAATCTGTTAATCGTCAGCGCCTCGCTTGCAGAAGTTGACCTTGTCAATGTGTATGCTTGTTGACCCCGACTGCCCAATTCAAATTACCGCCCAGAAAGAATTCAGTTCGGCCAAAGGCAAACACCGCAATATTATTTTGTACCTCACACCGAACCAAACAAGCAGTCGAAATGAGGGCGTCTGCAATCTCGCAGAGCGCCATGCCAACAGGTTCGCTTGCCTATCTACTCCCCCACATACTATAAACTGATGTTTAGTTGCAATTTGGTGCTTCTAGGCAAAGCCTGGGTACGTACCCAAGTTGCCGAGTTTGCCCACTCACTGCGGGCCTAAATTTTCTCTTCAACTCACCTTGTCGCTATGGCCATTGGTGCTATCTAGATGGGCTGGTGGGGGGATTTGGGTGGACCACGACAGAAAGGGATCACATCCTACTGTAAGTCTCCCTTCTTCCACTTTGGACTGTCCCACGAGCCCTGCCATGCCCAAGGCAATGACGGATCGTATCCGACGCTCTCTATCCGATTGGCCCGATCATGTTAGCGGAGGATTGTTCCATGCTCCAACTTCATAGCTCCGTACAAGTCGATATTGATGCTCCTTTTCACCTGATCCAGCTCTTGCGCCTAATCAGCAACGTGCTTTTAAGGGCGTGCTCTCCGGATATCTATTCAACGGATACCGTCGCCTAGCTGCACAAGTACCTTATTTCGCTCTTCCCTTGGGTACTGGTGCGTTATCCACCTACTTCTCGGTGTCCTTTCGGTTCACTATCCCTGACTTCTGGCCTCTTTTCGCAGCATACGCTGTGTATGTTTGGGCTAAAAAGCGCGATGCGTACAACAACAGTAAGGCTGCCCACTTTGCTGGGCATGGTAGCCATTAGATTGTACCATGACATATCAATAATTAACCTGCTTCAAACGAGGCACACTCGGGGAATTCCCCTCCACGCACAATATTACATATTGACACTGAGACAAAAGCATCCTGTGAGGCATCAATACTTTCATGCAAATAAAGTATCAGCAAAAGGTGGGATGTGATTGAACAAATTAACTCTCCCATTCTAAATATTGGCCTGGGATCTCTTCACTTCGGTAAATTTCTATAGATACTACAATCGTGACCAGATAGGGTCCTGCTTTTCAGCGTACATGACACGCCAACCATATACAGTCTCCTTCGCTGAAGGGATAAAACATCAGTGGTTCACAACCATATCTTCGAGTTTACTAATAAACGAACCAAGCTCATACGGCGCCTCCTGAGCGATCTGGTGAGGCCAAAACTTAGGTTCGAGCAGGAGTCCATCATGTAGTGTACTGTGCTCACCAAGTGGCCAGCCCCTTCGATGAGTACATTCGCACTGTTCTCTATTCTCCTCCACACCATCTCTTGTACGAGCGCTGCTTTTTCACTGCAAGTGACACAAATCAAACGTCAGGAACAAACTCATATTATCCATCGGCAACTTACAGATCAACGTCCTTCCCCGCGACAATCCATCTCAACTTAACCATACTATCCAATGTTTCTAGCTGTTGAGCTGTCTCGAGAGGGAAAAATTGCTCCACGAACACGGATGCTTCCTGCATGAATATGAAAAATGAAAGTAGAGAAGTAGGTCAACCTTATCAAGAAATTCCGCCGCTTACGCTAAATCCGCTCATCTTCAGCTTCACTCCACCCCCTTTCTCGCGTGGGATATCGGCCAATGCATACTTGACATATAATTCTAAGACCTCTGGCTTCCATGCTCCAAAGAAAGGTGATTTCTTGAAAAGCAACAATGCTTCCTCTCTAAACGCAGCGAGCAGAAAGAGGGATAAGTAAACGTGGCAAGGGATGGGAGAAAACGCCTTTCCTTGAGTCCCAACGCTGTCTTCGCGTCAACGCTGACACTGCGAATCGTGTAGTCCATTCTGAGGGTTGGAAGTAGATGATTGGGTCAACAAGGGTGAGGGAATGGAAGAGATTCGAATTTGCAGAAGCTGCGTTAGCACTGGTATAACGCAAACGCAGTGCCAATGACGTATCATCGAAAACCGTTGAAATGTGATCAGATCAATGTAATTCGGCTTACATGCTGCAACCCCCCAGTGAATGACCTATCCCTACGAGGTTCCGATGCTTGAACCCCTGTTTCCGTCGCTCTGCTGCCACATCTGGGCTCACACGAGGAAGATGTGTTGGGAGAGGAGTTGTTGTCGGGACAAAAGGGCCATCTGGTATGTAATTCTCAACAAACGAAAGGATGTCGCGAGCATTATCCATCCAATCAACTGAGAAACGGTCCTTAAAGGTGCTCTGCAGTTACACCGCGATCCGACTTACACACATCTCCAAGTTTCCCCTCGTTGATGAGCGCGCTGTCTCCGTGATTAACGGCCTCAAACGACCATATCTCGTCTACATGAATGCCAGTCCTGGGGTTATCACTAAGCTCAATTAAATGTTTAATCGTCGGCTCCCAAGTCTAGAGAGCAGAATTTATGTAGCCACCTCCAAATGAAAACATATCACGAGAATGCAAGCGGATTCACCTCCTTGTGCATCCCATTAGCATGCGCAATAACGACCGTCAGCCCGACGTCTCGTGTGTCTCTCTGCTCTTGAAAACGAGCATAGCGATTGATGGCGTTCCACAGAAGAGGCCCAGCGTCCTCTTCTGTATAATCTAAAGGGCTCCAAGTTGACTCGGCCCGTATCATTGCTTCTGTGATGCCGGTTCGCTTTCGATTGAGTGCCTCAACCATCCTCTTGGACCATTCCGCTCGATCTTGCTTCGTTTTAACTTTCTCGGAAGGAATCACGGGCGAGATAGATGGGAAGTCTCCAGCATGACGTCTTTCTTGAAATATGGACTCGCGAGGTGAAGCAGCTGGGACCAAGTGCGTGGTGACGGTGTATCCGGTAAGAAAGTCCGGATCTCGAGGGGGAGAGGGCAAAGGCGGAAGGACTGGGGGAATACTTGGTGAGAATTGAGGTATAGCTGATGCGTCCCGGGTAGCTATGGATGTGTGCCTCGGCCGTTCGTCAGGTCGGGGGTAGGAAGAGGTCATGACTGTATTCCGACTATCAGGTACGGTTCAGAACTGATCGCTCAACGGGAGTAGACAGAAATAGATGCTATAGGAGGGCCGTAGACGCGTGGGACACGAAGACCAAACGCTCAGACTGCAGTTCCTGTTAAAATACCACACCCAACCTCGGGACCGGTAATCCAAGGCAATAACCGATCCTACCGCCACACAATTTCCGAATATCCGTAAGTGGTTGACTCGTCAATGATGGAGCAGGATCTACATACTACTCCTGCCCTTAGTACTCTCGGGAGCAGCCTGAAATTTGCATGCTAAATATCCACACATCAAGATGATCGCTACTTGATGGTTTCTAAGCCTATTGGAATAGAGTAACACCTCGAATAGCCGTACAGCTGTGATGTGATCGGTTCATGTGTGTATGACGGGTCCGGTCCGTGTTCAAGCGAAGGATCTGAACTGGCAAGCCAAGTGATGAGCACATGTACACTTTGGTACCAGTTCCACTCAAGAGCTGCTGGGGCTGCTTTGGGGAAATTGTTGTTCACTGCCGGAAGTAAACCCGGTTTCGGCCTGAAATGCAGACACTCGGATCACAAAGTGAGAACAGACACCTTCATCCTCGACCACGTATCAGGGAGGTGCCAACCAGAGATTTTTCATCAAACATCCATGATTCAGAAACCATATATTACAGGCAGACAAGAGAAAACCAAGCCAAAGATAGAATCTGTTTTTCTTGAAGTCAGTCCAAGCTCAAGACTGGGATCAATGAGTGGGGGAATGGTGGAAGTTGACCCAATGCAAAAAAAAAAAAGAGAAAAAGTCGTTCAGTAGTGTACAAACGAATCAATGACCATCCCCATCGGCATCGTCCTCATCAACGAATATAAACTCATTAGAATCACGCCTCCGTGGCGCAGGCATAGCTCTAGCATCTTCCCAATCGCTATCTCCACTGTCACTGAGCCCGGACGCACTGGAGATCGTAGCTGTTCCGACGGAGGACAAGAGCGTGCCAGGAGAGCGGACCTCGTTCGGGGTTGGGTAGCGCTCCTCAGTTTGATTGGCTGGTACTTCGTCCTGCGGAGCAGCGCTAGGCATTCGAATCACAGACGAGGATGACATTGAAGATGGAAGAGAGCTGTGAATTTGCTCCACATTGATGCTAAGTAACAAAGTTGTCAGCCATCATTATTGACGAGGAAATGGGTTGCTCATTGCTTACTCGCACCACAACTGATCGCCGAAGAGTTTGCCTTCACCGTCGCTAAGCCTCCAGTGGCTCACATATCTGCCAGGCTCTTCCGGAGCCTTCATGTCGTGAGCATGTACATCAACTTCAGCACCAGGCTCCACTCGACCAACATGGTACGCGTTGTTAGCAACATCCCCAGATGAGAGGCGGTCGCCACCGACAAAGACTAACTGGGTGGTCTCCGGCCATGGGACGGCACCAGGGTTGCTCATGAGCCAGGACTTGACAAACTCTGCACCAGGAGGAAAGACATGACCATCGTCAACGTTGTTATCAGCGATGTAGGAGGCTTGAAGGCTGATGGAACGAGGGCTCAGGGGCTTGCCGCCCAAGATCGGTGTCATCACCCGTGCAGGAGAATCTAGACCTGTTTCTTCATATGTCATAATCTGAGGAGCGGTAACTTCCACAGTTGTTGTTCTCTCTGTCTCCAAGATGGGATCAGCAAAAGGGTTTTCAGTTTCGGGCGTCTCGTGAGGCGATCGAACAACGGTGATGCCGGTAGCTCCGTCACGCATTTTCATCTCTTCAGTTTCCTCCAGGAGTAGTAGTCGTTCAACCTGGGGCACCCTAGGAAAGAGTAGTCCCTCTTCCTGAGGCGACTCCGCTCGTGGAATGAGCCCATCGATACCGAGTGCTGGCAATGAAGGCAAGGGAGGAGATTCGATACCAAGCGCTAACAATGGAGGTAGAAGAGGGGAAGGACCAGATGGTATCATCGTGTCCACCGTGTCCTTCAAGGCAGTCGTTCGTATGAACTCAAACACACGCTCGAACCTAGACTCGTTAATGGTGTAATCATCCTTGAACTTGGCAAGCGGATGATTTGTGGGGTGAACGGAAATAGGAAGAGCCTCGCAATGCTGGCAAAGATCGAAATCTGGGCAATCCGGATGAAGACACTGCGGAAAGGGATAAGTACAACCAACCAAACAATCATGCTGCTTCAAACGTACCTTGAAACGGATGCCAATAATATGATTGTGGCATACATCGCAATTAGCGGGGTGCACCGTTGTATATTGCTCGACAATAGGCGTCATAATTTGCTCAGGTCTGGATACCTTCACAAATGCATGATACGGATGTTCCTCGGGCGAAAGACTAGAGCAAATTATCAACACCAGCTTGTCACTAATCAAATACCGGTACTCACGGGAAGCATGCCCGGCACACATCGAAATCTGGTCACGAAGTTCAGTACACTGGGATGGCGATAGAGTAGATGGAATATCCGACCTGGGCATCTGGTACATTTGTAACGGTCACCAACAACGCGCGAGTCACAAAGGTCGCACATGGCATTATGAACAACAGTAGGATCTTGAGGTTGATCTGATGGAGCTGGCGGGACTGGTGGAGCTGATAATGGAGGAACGGTGGTCGCTGCAGGTTCCGGCCTTCGATAAACGACGACTTCACCTGGGGTATTGAACTTCACAAAAGTATGACTCATGTCGTGTGCCTCCCTAGCGTTGGTCTTGCAAGAATTACAAAGATCAAAGTCTTCACAATCAAGACATTTGTGCCTGAATCCAAGAATAATGCGCCCGCAAAAGTCGCATCTTGCGTTATGCTGAACATGGCTATCCTCGGGGAGTGTCGCGCTCTGCCCTTCTTCGTTGACAGGAGAAGGATCATCATCGTAGACTCGGGTGACGACAATCCGCTTGGGCTCATCCAAGTGCAAGAAACGATGAGTACCGTTGAAGTGGAGAAGAGAGTTTCCGGGGAAGCACTCATTGCATAGGTCATAGTCTTCGCAGTCAAGACATTTGTGGCGAATCCCAACAACAGTGCCAAAGCATTTGTCGCAAGTGGCCGCATGGACTGGTTCATGCTGAATATTCGGGGTGAGCAGGTAGTTGGCCGATGGCTGCACAGCAGGCGGCGAGGGCACAGGGGCCTCGATGGGATAATGAAGCAGGACAACTTCTTCAGGGGTTGCATATGACCCAAATTCATGTTCAAAACTGTGCTCGCCTCGATGATTTTCGAAGCATTCGGAACACTGGTTGCACCCGGATCGTAAAGACCCCATACGCCGTGAGTAGTATATAAACTACTTACCATGTCATAATCTAGGCAATTGCGGCATTTGTGCCTGACCCCATAGATAGTCGCGTTGCAGAGATCACAGCTCGCTGCATGACGTGCAGGTTCTTCGGGAGCCGGAACCACAGGCGTGCTGGGTATAGGGGTCTCAGTGCCAGGAGCCGGAATTTCCATGAAATGATGATATGGATCGTGATCCAACTTTGCGAAGTGGACCTTGACACAATTTTCGCACTAAGATTGAGAAGCAAATCAGGAACCATGTCTTATACACCTGGTTGAACAATAACTCACCAAGTCAAAGTCATGACAGTTGGTGCACTAAAGCTCCGTTTCAGTCATGCCGGTACAGATGATGAGGCGGGAAAGCCACTTGCCTTGAACCTGGTACCACGAATGGTACTCAGACAATAATCGCAGTGGTATCCAGGGTGGAGAAATTTGTCCTCAACCTTCGGTGCAACCACGGGGGTGGTCGCTGACCGAGCGGCGTCAGACTCGCCAGTGACAGAAAGAGAATGTTCGCCCATCCCATGCTTAGCCAAAACGTCATTGATCTCAGAGACGAATGATTGAATGAGTTGAGAGACCTCCTCGCTGGCGGAAGATTCTGAGCTGGGGTTGTGGGTCGAAGGAGACGACAGGTTCAATATGCCTTGATAGGGACTGCGACTGCGATTAGGCGGATCCGACCAAATCCTCTCGAGCTCTTCAATGGTTTTCCAACGGCGCTGGGTTTCGCCCTCTAGCATACTCTCGTCCTCATCAATGGGCATTGAGTTTCGCACTTCCTCGCTCTGCATGCGGGGATGGATGTGCGGGAGATGAGGGAAGAGTGATTTATGCCTCCCGAAAACCCTGCTGCGGGAGGAGCGATCACTGTAGGTCGAGTCATCCCCAGTATAGTATCTGTGACGTGGTCCCCTCGGCGGGTAATGGGGATGCAGACGACGTTTCATGCTAAGGGAAAATCGAGGGGTGCGGTTAAAAGGCTCTCCCCTGTCGTCCACCTCCATGGGTGCTTGGCTGCGCGCGCTGCGGCTGCTGCTGCTAGAAGGTTCTTTTCGATGCACCTTGTCTTGCACGCTGAACCTCAGAACGCCGTCATGACCATAATTTTTCATGAATGGAGAGACATGCTGGATATACTCCACGGGCGTATGGATCTCCGTCGCTATAAGGATCTTGTCCTCACCCTGGGTTTCCGAACTAAGGAGTAGGTTTGATAAGTAATACTGGTCCACTCGGAACACTTTGTAGACCTGAGAAAGGAGAAAGAGAAAGGCATCAGAAGGTGCGTACAGCACACACGGGGCTGAGGCACTCGCCTGCTCGATCAACGCTCCCCATGATGGGAAATAAGGAAAGAGGATCTTGCGAGTTTCCCCTGCATACTCCGCCTTTACAGTGAACATAGTCGGTTGCTGCAGGAAAGAGTCGGTAAACGCGTGATGTAGACGATACCAGCGGTGCTTACTTTATAAGACGGCTTGGTGGGTGGTTGTGGTGCGCTGACAAGCTGTGAACCTGCTGTGCCCAATAAGGAGAAGTGACGCGGCGGGATGATTGATACGGGTGGAACCGAATCTGCATAGCCACCTTCTCCTTCAGGAGCCGCGCGCATAGAGCATGCCTCAATCTCGACTCAGATCCTGGCGCTTCATGAGCGTCGATAAATCTTGAAGGGTGCATGTGCAGAGAGACTGCCCTTGGACTCGCTTCCTTTTCTTCGAGACCCGATGCACTACACGTCCATTCAAATATGATTGTTCTCCCAATAAGATCGCGGCCATCGCCATGAAGTCCGCTGGAAGCCGCAAGGAATCTGCCATTTTCACCACACAAGCCTTTCTTCTGGCACTCGGAATTTTACTGATGGGATTTTGGATGATCGGGCGGATCAGCCCCCGCCTTTATTAAAGGCCGTTGGCCATAGCTAGCTACCCACGCATCAAATTGCTCGCTCATCGCCTATGACTTACTTGAATGCAGCGATTGTAACACCGCTGCCCGCCCGGGCGCTCCCGATCCCTTCATCACGCCTCTTCCAGTTCAAGAAAGGGTCGTCTAATCAATCTCAACAGTTTCATATCATCACTATCGCTGGAAACCCCAGCTGAAAGCGCCATGCTGGTCCTATCCTTCGGCAGTTCCATTTATGGCCGCTGCTGCCACAATTCCAATTGAGCAGACCAAGAGAGTGGACGGGGCTGCATGTCATTCGTGGGGTATGTATGTCATTCAGGATTCCTACTTTCATCCTGACCCGTTCCACCAAATCCCTTAATTTCATCCAGGGGCAATGCGTGGGTCCAAGAAGTAATTTCTTCTATTCATTACCCTCACCTTCTGGTACCCTCCGTGTTCAGCCGCTAGGTCCAGGTGGTGGTATTTGTCAGCAAGCACAAGAGTATGCCTCTTCCGTATCACACATGCTAGCGTGTCCATAGCAGGCTAGGCTGGAATGAAAACCGGATTCATCCTTTTCACATCTCTCACGTTGGAGTTCCTCATTCTTATTGACTTCTCGGGAATCACGTTAATGTCGCAATCCTATTATCCTCAGTATACCAATTGGTGATTCCCACCGCATACTCTCTTGCACTGAGTATTCCCCACAACATTCCCAACGATGCCAGGAGAGCGTCAACTAAGCGTTGCGGACATGTGTCATATTTTGTGGTCCGAAGACCGATATTGATGGACACAGCCACCCCCGCATTGCCATTTCTCCAGAGTCCGTGAGCGTGGGAGACTGGCCACAGCGACGACGAAGAGATTTTCCGGGGCTATAGACGTTGCTGGACCGAAAGGCCTACCCTATTGATGGCAGAGTTGAGGCGCCGATCTCTCGGACGGAGGTAGACAGTTTGGTGTTAGCGGCCGATCTTGCGCATTTCACCCCACAAGACCAATTTCTTAGAGGCTGGGTCACCTGCCTACAACTTCTTTCCTCCCAATGTTTGACAGAGGGCTTTTAATTAAAGGTTACGTTCTTGGTTGAATAAGATGTCTGAAAGAAGTGAAAGAATTTGATGGAAAGAGAGGAGAACAAAACGGGGATGGGAATTGCCATCGGATTCTCGAATTGGGTGGAGTTCACCTGATCTCGTTTGGGAGCAACCATAATTCCTTCGCCTATATAAACCCACTCAAAGGATACCCTGCTTTAGCTCTTTATCTCCTATCCCAACTACCAACCATCAACGAACGCTACTCAACCCAACGCTCAGCTTTTGCTCCTCCAACTTCCACCCACTGCACACATCAGCATCATGACCCGTACTCAGAGAGCTTCCCACCCCCGTGCCCTCGCCAGAGACAGGTAGGCCTGGACCTCCACATCCCACCTCTGTATTTCTTCTCACACTTGCAACTTTGCAGGTCGCTCTCTCGTTCTGGCTTGGACGACCACATCCAGAAGGGTGGTTCAGGTTCACACAACTGGGGCTCCATTCGCGACGAAATCGAGCACTTCGACCTTGGTGATGAGGACTACGACATTCCTGAGGAACTCGACGAGTATCAATCCGCTGATGATACCAGCAGCTCTGTCGCTGCGACCGAGTCGACCGACTTGGGCAGTGCTACTGGCGGGTTGAGGAAGCGTGCGACGAGCATCAACATGACGGAAGACGAACTCGTCCGTGCACGTCAAGTTCGCACTCGTTCCTTCAGTGGTCAGAAAGACAGTAAGTGCAAAATGTTACATTCTGCTGGACCGCCTCCTCAGAATTGACGCACGGATTCCTGCCTCCTTCAGTCGATCTCGTCACCATCGCTCGCACTTCGGTGCGGCCTCATCCTCCCCTCCCGTGATTCATTCGTCCGTCGTAACAGCGTTAATGTGAGCACAAAGCTGTACCTGTCCTTGCCTATTGAACCTGAGCTCACACCGCCAAATGCCTAGCGCAAGTAATTGAATCTTATAAAATAGCCTACTCGACGCCAAATAGTTTCAATCAATGCCATCGGCCTCAGCTGTAGTTAATTGCTCTCTTTTCACCCCCCCCCCTTCCTTCTTCTGGGTAACCCGTCTGCTGCTCCTCACATGGCACCCAGGAGTTACCTTCGCCTTTCTTGCATTCCTGTCTCCAAATATTTATTACCCCTAGCGATGATCTTGGAGCTGGTCGAGTGGGCTTTTCTTCCTCCGTTCCGCATAGCAACATGTACCATTATTCAACTTCTTAACATTAAACAATGAATACTATGGCCGTATATATATCTCTCACATCAATTTCGTGATGATAGAAGGTAGCTTTGGTTCTCGGAATTCATCGTAGGATAGATCTCGGTGGGGGCTGCCCATGGAATGGCATCGGCTACTGGCTGTTGAGACAGGTGAAAATCGGGCTTAGTATGAGTAAAAGCTCACGCACGGACATGCAGCATGATTATAATCAAAGGCTACGCAATTCATCACGAAGCGGAGATATGACACGTACGTATATATCCCCAGATCTGAGATATATTTCGGGAGGAACACATGAGCAGGCGACGGAAATTAATGATGGACCCTTCTTGGTCGCGTGAAGTATATGATTGCAAACTATGGTTGAACCTGAGCAACATACCCTGACTCACGACTCGTTGGGGTACGTTGACTCATCGGTAACACAACCCCCTGAGGCTACTTATAGGTTTCCAACCAACTGCAGCTCACTGAGTGCTCCGCAATCTTGATACACTTGTTCTTTTGGCATGATTAGCAGGACCGCGCGTCAGCCATAGGACTAGTATACTGAATTGCAGCTCGCCTGATTCGTTTTGATTAGTATGACGGTACATAGTGTATTCGTGAGATGCAGTGCATGCAACAATCATATTGAAAAAAATTGTTGCCACGCGCCGTGGGGACGAGAAGGTGAGTGATCATCCCCTCCCTGGTCCCTTGAGAGCGAGATATTAGTCTAGAACATATCATGATGTCAGGCTTAAGCATTGCAGGAGGCGAAGACCGGGTGGAGAGGCATGGCTAGAGAGTAGGACGAGAAAGGAAGACTGGGGTGAAGTGCAGTGTGCGCGAGGAACTCTTAGGTAACACTGGAAAATCGGCCCGATTCGTCCCTGCACTAAATAGCTCACTTCATCATTAGAAGCATCAATAGCGCAAAGGTCCTGCGTGTGGCTGAGTGTGCGAAAGGTTGTGCTGTCGTTTTGAAGGCGAGGGGAAAATTGTGTATGTACCCAGACCTCAAAGTACCCGGGTTGAGTTGACGGATCCTGAGGGCATTTCATTAATCAGCGCCATCTTCGGCGAGCTCTGCCCCCTTTTGGTTCACCTAGGTAGGTTTAGGAAAGAGATGATAGCGACGAGTAAGCAAATTGCCCCCAATTTGGGATAGTGCAGAGTGGGAGGAGGATCTGAGGAGTACTCACTGCCGGGTCGACAAAGTTGGTGCCGCAATGTGTACAGACGTAAAAGAGGATCATCCGCGTTTCTGTCCGTTTCGATTGATCTTGGTAGAAGACGGCACTGATTTTATGCGTCATGTTTGTGAGATCTAGCCTCGCGATAAAAGGCAGGAAAGAGGTATGCATACTCATGGTGTTGGCACGCTGGGCATTCAATATTGCAATGCGGCTTGACGATTCGAAATGTTAAAGTCAAACATGAACTCATGAAAAACGGGAGGAACCAGGGTTGATGGCTCACAAGTGTTGGATCTGTGTATAAATCCTGGGTGACCCCGGCCTTCTCTCTGAGGTTTATTACAGGAAGAGACATCACATGCAGACGTCAGTCTGTTTCAGAACAAAAAACCGAACACGGTACGCACTTGGTGATCGTGAGCAGATCATCCCGGTACACGCAAATGTTCTGGCTTGGTTGCTCGGCGCCACACGAGCGACACCATAGCACCATTACACGACGAACGGGATCCGACTGCCGTCCGGGATCAAGAGATAAACAAGCTGCTTGGTACACAGAGAACAACCCAGACGAACCTTGGGCGAGAGCAAGTTATTACTGCAGGCGGGAACGCAGTTAGTTTGGAAATCTCTAGTGATGAGGGCATCATTTGCTTGCCATTCTTGACAAAAACTGAGCGAGGCCATGGTGGCCGGCTTCCTCAAGCGCTGACAGAATGGTCAGTCAATTCAATTGTGATCACGAGTTGCCCGATCAGATTTATATTCCCACACTCGAATTTCGAGCACATTCTGCAACTTTCTTACAGACTCAGCAACATCGTAAACCCAAAGAGAAGAGAATATGGCGGAATCAACGAGACCTAGAGTGTACTTTGATATCTCCATTGGCGAAAGGATTGTAGGTTCGCTTTCATTTGTGGGTCATTCCTTTGACCACTGACTCGTTGTCCCAAATCTAGGTCGGCAGGATCGTGATGTCGTTGTTCAATGATGCAGTCCCAAAGACTGCTGAGAACTTTAGGGCATTGTGTACAGGAGAGAAGGGGGAAAACTTGAAATATGAGGGATCAGGTTTTCATCGAATCATCAAAGGGTAGGCGCTTTCTGATCATGTCAACTGAAATTGCATCTAAGATAACAAACTTTTGTCGCGTAGCTTCATGGTCCAGGGAGGTATGTGGGAAACGGTGATCGCTTATTCGGGTTTCCGTTCATAATTTGATGCATACGGCCCCAGGCGATTTTACGCGACACAACGGCACTGGAGGGGAGTCCATTTACGGGGAGAAGTTCGATGACGAAGCGTTCGCATTCAAACATGACAAGCCTTTCCTACTATCAATGGCAAACTCTGGAAAGAATACTAATGGTACGTATGGCTCTGATTGCCTTAAGCGCCGGATCGATGGAAAAGCGTGGATCACTTTCAGGCTCTCAATTCTTCATCACTACCGTCCCCACGCCGCACCTGGATGACAAGCATGTTATATTTGGTGAAGTGATTGTGGGAAAGTCTGTTGGTAAGCCAAGTGTATCGCTGCTTCTCTTGGCATTAGTTTGATCTCATATTGCATTACAGTACGAGCGATGGAGAACACTCCCACGGCGTCAGGGGACGCGCCCATCCTTCCGGTGAAGATTGCCAAAGCCGGAGAGCTGAAGCCCGACGAGGATGATGGTACAGTGACCTACAGAAACCCCGATCTTCCGAGTAGCAAATATGAAGACTATCCGGATGACGAAACCAGTATCGACGTGCAAAATGTGGAGGCCGTTATCAACATCGCCCGTGAAATTAGAGAAGACAGTAATTCATTGTTCAAAGCTGGGAAGTACAATGAAGCCCTCGACCAATATCAAAGTTAGTCTCAACTTCAATTTTTTGTTATATATTTGCTTACTACCATATAAATGTGATCTAGAATCCCTGCGTTATCTAGATGTGCACTTCGTTCTACCCGAGTCAACCAGCGATGAAGTCAAATCTGCCTTCAATGCCAGCTTACCCCTCTGCTTCTTAATATATCCCTTGCCACTCTCAAAATCACTCCCTTGTCAGGCGAGCGTGCCCGAGACATCATCAAGCACACCTCGCGCGCTTTACGCATCCCTGACATAAGCGTGCAAGACAAAGGGAAAGCTTTATATCGCCGTGCATTAGCACAATCCGCGATCGACGAAGATGAACAAGCCGAAAAGGACTTAAACGAGGCGAGTAAACTCGTCCCTAGCGATGAAGCAATCCGGAAAGAGCTGGAGAAGATAAAGGCCCGTAAGCAGGAAAAGCGAGAGAAGCAAAAGAAGGCATTCAGAGGACTATTTTCATAAAATGGTTCGCATGTAATTGTGGTATTGGGAATACAGCATGTACAATGAGACCTTTTGTTAGCGCATACGTCAATTTTTGGATGCATACCTGGCTTTCGCGTACGCTAGGCCGGCGGATCCGGAATGATCTCGTGTGCAGAAATACCGTTATACCAAAAGTAATTCGTACATGAGCCTGAGGACTGCTTTTATTGGTCGATGGGCTTGGGCTTTTAGTCTTGCGTGGCTGTATTCCTGCAGAGTTACACTTTGCTTGAAGCTCCCATTCGGCGGCAAAATTTGGGTTACGGAAGTCAATTACGTAGAATTTGCACCACGGGAAACGGGATAACTTCGTTCAGGGATGGCAAATTCGCAATATCTTCCACCTACAACAGCTGTAGAAAACGTCGAGCTCATTGAAAAAAAAACGGTCAATCAAAAACCTCCACCTTATTCAATGCTCTTCAATATTGGCGACTTCGGCCTTGGTATACGCAGAAATCTCCCGCATCCTGTTGAATCCAGCCGGAGACAAGATGTCTAAATCCCACTCCCCCTCCAAGAAGTCGGGTAGAAAAACACAATCCGCACTGGGGCGGTCGACAGAGCAAGGCGTAATATCGCCCGTGTCCTTGTGGCCACAATAAACGCGAAGGGAAGTCCCCAGCAAGCTCGCAATGAATGGGGCAATGGCGAGGCAACTCATCGTACCGTTGGCGTATCTGGGCATCCGCCTTGATAACAAAACAAAATCTACGCTGTCATGTGCAAGAATTTCATCGAGGGTGGTCTGCGGGGAAAGGAGGAGGGCGAAGGACCCTTCAGCGAGAGAATAGTTACGGAGCCCGTTGTACTTGTGTCGGTGGAGAAAGGCATCAGTAAAGGCACCAAACTGCAGGTACCAAGATAGCCATTTATTTAGCGAACCTCTGCCCGCCCTCGATCAGCCACGTAAGCGAAAGTGGTAAATGTTACGTAATCCCGAGGACCCGCTATTCACAAGCCTTGGTACGTGTGTTGTTATGACTAGCCCGATCTGGGCTCTCGTCTCGCTGTTCGTCTGATTGTTTTCTATATGTGCACTCTATCTAGGCAAGCTAGTATACTTTCGCACCCAATGTAATCACAATCATGCTTCTTGTGTTGAACCCGAATTTCCCATATCGACTAAAACAGCGCAAGTGGAACCCATTGGCTCAATGATCGTGACAGCAAGGGCCATTCAATTGGTGAGGAGTGTGAAGCCGTCACATCTCCTTCGATTTGTAAATATTCTTTGTGAATGGAACGAGCCCGCACGCAACTTGCGCCACTTGGACGTTAATTCGATGCTTTGTTCGCAAAAGATAAACTGCAGAGGGAGTTCGATTACTTCATCCTACGACAGTTACTCTGATGCACAGCAGCGAATTATTCAACCTGGGTCTTCGGGGAGCTGGATTGGTTCGTCCGGATAAATTGCATTTGGGGGATGAATTGTCACTCACCTATGGTTGCACAGAATCCCAAGCCACCGCGTTTTACAACCTGCATCCGAAATAGCTTATTTTACATTTCGACATTGCGTGTCGCGCGCGCACGTCCACGTCCACGAACAAAGAAAACTGGGTACGAGCCTGCACCCGCAGCTATCTTTTCTCGACCGGTAGGCATCACTCCCTCACACTTGGTATACCCTTGACTCGCAATCACGGTGTTCCATTACTGACGCATGCGTGCTAGGATCATGTCTTTCCTCACCGACGTCAGTTGGCCACATCACGAAAATCGGACAGGCAACTGGAGCAAAGCCCCCTGCTCGGCATCTTCAACGTTGCTCGTAACCAAAACGCGTTGCACGAATCTCGTTATCATGGGATTTATGACAGGCTCCTGGACTATTACTACTCCGTAGCGGGTCCATCCACGATTCCATTCCCGTCCCTTCCTTTGACCTCTAAGTATGCCTCTCTCTTCGTCTGCACACACTCCTCTATAATGTCTATTCTGAAGTCGACTCCGTTCTCCACTACCCCTCCAATCATACCAACTTAGGTCCCTTAGGTGCCTCGTTCACCTTTGTAACTTGCATGCCTTCACACGGTCGTTCCGTCGATGATCCACGATTTACATTCATGTTTAATTCGCTACATTCCGAACGCCGATTGCCACCATTCTTCCCTGAACGCATGTGTACGACCATGCCACAGATCACGAAAATCAGACTGGCGCCCCCCGTGCTCCAGGTGCCTGCAGGCGCTCTGGAGCCTCCGGAGCGCTCTGGACCAGGGGACTCTGCTATTGCCTGTCCGATGTTAATGAGGTTTTCCTACAGCAGCTGTCACAAGTGGAGGATATCACTGGTGTGTTGGTGAATTTTCCATCCATGAACGAAGCTATCTTCCATCTTCCCATTTCCTGTGTCGTAAATTCTGCGTAGTTGACTTGCATAACCCAAACCTTGTTGACAAATTGAAGCAAGAATAACTCTGCAGAAACACAGCCCACGCAAGACTAAACAGCCCAATCCCATTGACTCATAAAAGCAATCCAAGTCCCGAAAAAAAAAATAGCTTGTTGCTGCGCTCACTTACAGCAAGGTGCAAAAAAAATCGGTGCATCTACTTACTGTGCACACGGGACCAATTACTGGCAGGTGTCAAGCGTAACACAAAATTTGAAAAATTTGAACCGGCTCAGTTTGATGCCCAATTTCAGGACATTCAGCAATGAGTAAAATTTTTCTTGCACCAGTTATGAATGGGTTTGCGCTTGCACAATGAAGTTCTTGCGCAGACGAGCCTGTCTCATTTAGCAACATGCCAACCACTACTCTTTCACGCAGAGTTATTCTTTGCTTCCACTTAGCAACAAGGCTTGACACCACGGGAAACGGGGAAACGAAAGATAGCTTGACAAATTTGCCAACACACCAACGATGGGCTCGTAACAGCTATAGAAAACGTCGAGCTCATTGAAAAGAAAAGCCCGGCCATCCCAAAAGCCCCCACCTCATTGCTCCTCTATTGGCGACTTCGGCGTTGGCATCGCAACAATTCCCTGCATCCTATTGAATCCAGCCGGAGACAAGATGTCTGAATACCACTCCCCCTCAAAGAAGTCGGGTGGAAAAAACACAATCTGCGCTGGGGTGGTCAACAAAGCAAGGTGTAATATCGCCCGTGTCCCCGCGACCGCAATAAATGCGAAGGGAAGTACCCAGCAGGCTCAACCCATGCAGGCTCGAAATGGGGTAATGGCGAAGCAGCTCATCGTACCGTTGGCGCATCTGGGCGTCCGCCTTCAGGCGCAAGTCCGACCTGTCATCTTTCATCTCCATAATGAGAATCGGCTTCTGCTGTTGAGTAATAAGACAATAGAGTACGGCGTCACACGGACGAATTTCATCGGGGGTGGCTGGCAGCGAAAGGAAGAAGGTGAAGGACCCGTCAGTGAGAGCATAGTGGAGGGGTTTGTTGTAAGGCTCAGATAACGAGATTCGGGTAATGTCGAAGATGTTGAGTAAGTTTTCTGGCCAGCTTGTGTCGGTGGAGAATGGCATAGCCCTAGCATACTTACATCAGTGACGACACACCGAACTTAACGACATGTCACCGCGAGACTCCTAGCAGCAGTATAACTGGGGAATAGGAAAGAACTTGGGACTACAAGCCCTGGGCGCGATTTGCACGGTCCTCGAGGTAGCGAACGAATGCAGCAACTACCGCAAAGATGTCGTCCTCCGAGCCACATACAGAAACCTGTTACGCAATCAGAAAGTCGACTTGCTGTCACACATATTAATGATAACTCACATGCGCCATGTGACCTTCTCTGTGTCTTTCCACAGTCCCGATCAAACCTTTCTCACTTAAATCGATACCCTTTTGGAAGTTATCCAAATTCCAATCTTCAAAGGGACCAGAAGCATCCCATAGTCGGAGATGCAATAGGTTTAAGCCCTGGGTGGTACCATTCAAGAACCGGAGAAGTCTTGCAAAACTCTAAGCCGCAAAACAAGTTGAGTGAGAATCAGTCCAAGGGAAATCGTGTCGTCCGGTACTCACCGATAGCACATCGTACTGGGTATCAGCGGAGATAGAAAAATATACCAATGGATTTCTCTGCCCGACCGGCCTGAATTCCATTGCTTGGGTTTCAGTTCCGAACCGTTTATTCAGGGCTTCGGTCCCTCCGAATGCGATGCGGGATTCACCATAAAAAAGCCGTACCCGCGATCGAGGCCAAAGTGCCATTCTGGGGCGTAAGACTCGATGATTCCTATAAAGGAGGCAGGCAGGGCACCTTCCAGCATGAGACGAAAGCGTCGGGATTGCTGAATAGTGCACCCTGTCTTCCACACGCTAGGCCTCCATCTGTCAACACCACCCCTCCCAGAGTCATCACCGACTGCTCGCGTAACCAACGGCACCGATGGTCTTAGGGGCGTCCCCTGCAGTGCAAATCCATCGTATTCCATTCCTGTGATGGCAATGCCATTATCCGGAAGGAAGGAATAGGTATGTATTGACGATGTAGGGGGAATTCCTGAGCACATGCTGGCGAAGGTGGGGTGGTAAGGGGTCGGCACGACACGACCCACGTCGAGGTTTGACATGTTGGATCCAAAATGGGCGATCTCAGTCACGTAGCGGGGAAAGTCCGTTGATGCGTAAGGTGCTGGTGCCGTATCTGGGGTCATATCGACTGGTGGGGGCGCTGCGTGGGGGGCAAGGACGCCTTCTGGCACATTGTAAGGGTTGTATTTTTTTCCGGAGTTGAAAGGATGGGTGGGACGTGATCTTTGGATTTCGGTACCATCTCCACATCCGCTCTCATCCAATTTCCTCTTCATGGGCCTTGTTCCAACTGAGGGAATCGCTGAGCAGACAGTAAGGTGGCTAGGGATCGGGATAGGTTGGCTCTCGCGTTGATAGAATGCCGTGCAGAGTGTACTAGAAGCATCTGGTGCACTTCGCATCTGCGTCACATCTGAGTCACTGACAGTGTACCACCCTGACATGCAGAAAAGGCGAACGAAGTAATGTCCCGTGTAGACATCATGACCCTGATGGTGCAGAGTCGCGTACAAACGATAGAAAACATCTCCCTGTCCATGAGCGCGTAAACCAATAGGACCATAAGTAGAAGGCGAGGATGACTGACGTGATTTTCGATAGGAACACCGATCATGGGAGGGGGCCTACATGCCAAACTGCTTCTCTCACTCCCATGATTCCTGTTCAGATGGACTACCAAATGGGTAGGCGAGTTCATAGGTCGAGAAACACTGACGCCACTCCTTCCACAGCCACATTCGTGACAGCGCCGTTTTTCGACTACCCCGCGCTTCTCGTAGCTGAAATACTGATAAAGGGAAGTCCCAAGGTTCATAACGTAACCGGATCCTTGTTCCTGAGACGATGGAACGCCAATCGTAACATCGTACTGATTCTCCGTGCTTGCATAACTGTGATTGCAGTCGTCGAAACGTATCTCTTCACGCACAGCGTACTCGAATAGGGATCGAATGCTGTGCAGAACGGGCGAATGATGAGAAGGAGATAAATCTTCAACAGGTCGTCAGGTGTGTCCACGAACCTAGAACCATGGTGATCGTAACTGTCCAGATCCGATATGAGTGTGTTAAAGACTTCATTGGAATCTTGAAAACGATCCTTTTCATACTCCGAGTGGCGCTCGTCAAGACGATTCACTATTGGCTCCAAACTCGACCAAGACACTACAGCTGTAGAGGAATAGACTTGCACAAAGTTCGACAGGCAGCAGAGAATGCAACTCTCGGTAGTTTTGCAGTTGGTATGATGGTTGAGAACGCGAAAGAGCGGCTCTCCCGGAGTGTGGATGAGAATCTGAAGTGCTGATATGGTTGCGCAGTGTATTAAGTGCGAATTTTCGATTCCCGAGGGGGCAACGATTGGGGCGAGGACTGTATGCGTAATTTTAGGTGGATTGTTCATCTTCCTTGATGATTATCTGGGTTACTGAATGAAGTGGCGGACGCGTAGGTTATCGATAGTGACGCTAGGTGGGACGTCGAAGAAACCAAAACTGCACAGTAGAGGCGTCTAGGGAATAATTGGGATAAGGACAAACATGGGAAGGGATGAGGAAACAAGGGAATTAGTTTGTGGACGGTCTCGGATGCAAGAAGTGTTGCGCCACGGCGCATGGTCCTATCCACTCTCCATATGTGGAGAACAGTAAGCATATAGTCTGCATTCGTCCAAGGTCCTCACCGGGAAGTGGGCCTGACTAATGACGGGCGCGGGGAAGGAGTGGTTATGGGCCAAAGCCCGAGTTGGAATTGGCTTACCGTATTGTACGTTATTTATCCCAACGCGATCCCAAAGCTTTGCACCTTTCGTGGCGAGTATCTGCACAGGTTGATTAATGCAGTCAAGCGGTACTGAGACCCTCATTATATACGTGGGCGAGGACAAAGGAAGTGAGCGTTTGCTTCAAGTTATGTGCTGCGGCTGCCCAAACCACCCAAAGCTCCGTTCGCAACCAGATATAGGATGCTTCCGTGGTAACCCTGCGCACGCTTTGTTGCGCGCCTCCTATTCATTCCTCACAACCACTCGGCAACCCGGCATGACTTGTTACTCAACGTAAGTCGAGTTTTGCGCCATATAGCTTGTGAGCCTAGTGCAACGCCACGTGAAGGGTGGAACATGCTGGGGTTGGTTCAGTGTCAAAGGGATACCCAAATCAACACCGTCACTAGATCACTGGATGAACAGCATGGGACACCGATCATCTGAATCATAAAGAGATATTTACATCATATGCAAATGGGCGGTCAGGTTTTGGCATGTGTCAAAAGGGACCGAACATGCATCCCGTATGGGTTGGGCACATACATCAGATACACGGTGAAGGAGCAAGGACAAGAACATGAACGAAGGCAACACTCTAATCTACATGAATATCACAGCTTTTTTCACCAAAGTCACAAGATATACGCGAATTACTATATCGTCAAGCTGTCGCATGAGTTCCCTCAATTTGACGGAAAAAATCGCACTCACTTTAAGGATTCTCCTTGAGTAGTCCTGATCATCCCTGAGAGTCACCTCACTGGTGTGACTGTCCACCTGGCCAGCTGCAAAGGCTGCTCGCCTTGTTCTAATTTGTGCTATCGCGTCCTCATCTAATCTAGGGTCTCCCGTCTCCTCGCTAGGTCCTGCGACTTCAGGTCGATTCAAAGTGAAGCGTCTTCTCGTGATCTCGCTTTGATCATCCACTACGGCGTCATGCTTGTGTGTCTCGGGGGAGGCGGAGTCTTCTGCGTAGCCACCATAGAAGTCCGATTCCAGTGTATAGGTTGAGAGTCCGGTTGTGCCATCCGACCTGTGCTTGTGGGATACTGACCATGTGTTGGCTGACCTACGCCTGCCATTGCTCTCCGCAGGCGATGATGGTCCCTGCCCTAGTTGGGGGTTTGCAAGAGGGTCATCCGGATGGTGATAGCTAGTCATGATTGGTGGTTGAGGATGCGTATAATACGAGGGAAACCCAGTGTAGCCTCTTTGATCATCTGAGAGCTGCGACTGCATGTGCGCGTTTTGCCAGGAAGAAAATCCACCTTTCCCGTCGGTGAATACAAAGCCGGGTAATCTGTTGTATGGTGGACCTCTTATCACGAACATCATTCTCTTTACCAATGGGGAGATCTTGAACAACGTAAGGGTTGTACCGCTCTGATTCCGTCAGCGAAAACTCATCGTCCAGCATATGCTCCCTATCTAGGCGTGCTACAGTGGGAGGAGGGAATTGCGACGGATACTTGGAAGAGCCGCTAGCCATCAAAGGGGGTTGATCGTACACCCCATGGGTTTCATGTGAGCCACTGCTTGGAGCGCCAGTTCCATCACCAGCATCGACATACGCCACCTTGCCAGCGTGATGGCCACCTGTGGAGTGGTGATCGCGGCCGCGACCGGCAGCCGCCTGTGAGTCGCCAGGTCGGAAGATAGATTCCCTCGTTGTAGACCCTAATCCATTTGGAGATAAACAGCTGATTGATAAATTCAATCCAGAGCGGCGCATACCGTGAGAATTTTTGCGTCTTCGTCTTCTAATCCAGTTGTGGCATAACACAGCAAGTGCCACCCCAATAACCACGCACAGCACTGCATGGGCGTAAACATCAGCGCTAGGGACATTGCTTACTTAACTCTGGATACGTACCCGAGATACCAGCAATTCCACGCGTGTTCGAAGAGAAACTGGGGGACAAGGGTCTCAAACAAAGATCCTGAAAATACCTGCGGACATCTCTACTTACGCGGTCGGTTTCGAGGAGGAAGTGGGTGCGGGGACAAGCTACGAAAGTTCCTCAATAGGCGATCGCGTTGCTCAGCATTGAACATGCCTGGCTAATCGTGTAAACACTTCCACCCGAATCCGTCGAGCTTAATTTTTCACTGCTTGGTGACGAGGTTGAATACGTTTGAGTCGCTGGGAGTTGTGGGGTTGTTGTCGACGTAGTAGTGACTGAAGAAATGCGGCTAGTGTGTGCACGAGTTAATATTTCGAGGATGTGGGGATTATTGATGAGCTATCCAAATGGTATAGTTGCTTGTCGTTGTGCTTTGAGTCGATGAAGGTGAGTAAGAGCGCGGATTTTCTGGTGTATTTATTGAATACAGTAGGGACTTACGACGAATTTCCGCCCGGACCCGTGGGCGGTGATGTTTTGCTGGTATTCTGAGGCGGGTCTACGGAGGATACGGAGGACGAGCTGGTGTCTGCTAATGTCGTCGTGGGTGCAGTCGAAAAATCGGTGCAGAGAAATTGCTTGCGGATTAGTCGTTAGAGGGGAGAAAGGACACGCGACATGTTGGAACATGTTGTGCTGAGTACCATGCAAGGTATTCAGGGGACAGAACCCAATGCTCACCGTGTAGGCATTGGTGTTGGCGGCCAGAAGGGCCGATGTGGCTTAGGGGGCCTAAAGCAGGGGACGTCGTGGAACTCGGTGCTTTACGTTCAATCCAGAATTTCTCATGATGGTTGTCGCGTTGGTTGGTTTCACCGGCGTGCAGCATCCCAGCCTCAGAGTGTTAACAACAAGGCGCAGATAAATAAGTATAGACGGATTAAGAGAACGAGAGAGAGGTGAAAGCCTCTTGTAAGGAACGTGGTGGCTGGGAAGTCGTCAATAGTTGGTTTCCCCCCTCCCAAGGCGTTGGTGATATAAGGGAAGGTAGTGGTGTTGAACGCCGATCAGAATTGGGGAAAATGAACTTCCCAATCGGGTATCAATGAATGTGGGAGATAATTTTGTCGCATAGCAACGTGAGTCTAAAGTCTAAATTAAAGCTCATCCACGAGGATGGGCAGAACAAGAGCAAGAGCAGGTGGAAATATGCGCGCTCGCACGGACGTATTATATTCCCAGAGAATGCTGAACCACCCGAAGCCAAACACATGCAGAACTGATCATACTAAGCGAATGACGTCAAGTTCGACGATCCACTACGACTTAATATTCGGGCGAGCACCGCCTAGCTAGGTCATAACAAGGAAGAGACGCGCATCCCGGCATTAATATACAACAGCACCAGCTTATCAGCAAAACTAAGCCTTTATATTCGGTATTTCCAATATTCTCAGTGGTCTCCAAGGACGACTCCACCGGCTAAGCGGATAGTAATTAGCGCCCTCCTCCAGAGAACAAGAGCAAGAACACTCTGAACCTTGTGATTGTCGAACCCTGGAAGGCCTGCTGCCACGCGAGCCCCAGCTACCAACGCACTCCAATCAAGCACCTCAAATGGAGACTTCGAGGCTGATTCATTGGAGGTATGCAGAGCCCGAGCAGTCAGCAGATGTTGATGTGCCTAATGCAAGAAATGCTCGTTATTCGTCATGATGCAACAATGATCTGGACACACGATATCAATCGTGGGCATGGGGCTGTTATTCTCGAATCCTAAGCGACGGATATGCCTTATGAAACATTTCGCAAAGTCAGCGGTGACTCCCGAGAAGAAAGATGACAATACCCAGCATCTTTTAGACCTCCAGCAAGGGAGAATCCTTTCGTGCCGTCAAAGTCGTCGTTCAGAATCTTGCTCCCATATGAATGAACCCTGAGACATAAAAGAGTAAGCAGGATGGCATTACTTGGTGTTCAGTCAAGACAACTTACGAGGCAGCAGGGAATAGTTCTAATCAAGTATATCACATAACCATTTCATTTTCACTTCTGTAATTGTGGGGCTTGTAACTCACCTTTAACGACCCCAAATAACTAGGAAGCTGTTCGGCGATCGAATTACTCAAAAAAACAGGACAAAGTTGACGTACCGCTGGTGCTCCCACACCCGATTTTTCTGCGAGAGTCATTGTTTCCGCCAGCAGCTCAATGGTACCAAGAATGAAACTATTCCCAATCAGTTTCAGTGCAGACGCTACGGCACACTCAGGCCATTGCCTCTGGATACATGACAGAAATGGACCCACGCTTTTCGACGTTCTCTCCCAGGTCAATTGCCTTGCCATACAGAATTAGGCCATAGGGTTTCGGTTAGGCCTGCGTACCTACCTTACGACCCACCGAGGGAACCATGAGGTAAGCTATTTCTTTCCTAGATTCGTAGTCTCCTCCCAAAACAACAATGAGCTTGGCGGCATCGGCGGCCGGCGGCGCGCCGAACACACTGCACGGGGTTGTAAGCTACCTTGTGTCACAGCAAGGGTATTTGTTCAAAATGGAACCTACGGGGCCATCACGAAATGCGCCGAGTTGAATGCACTGATTTTGTCCTTAAGTTGACCCGCAAGTGTTGGGTATATCTAACGTTTGTTCGTTAGTAATGCCTTCGTTGTCAAAGGCCTCATTTGAGGCGAATATATGCATACAGTGGAAGTGTCGACAAAGATCTTGGTTGCATTAGGAGGATGCTCCTTCGATCGGATTACATTAGCCATCCAATGACGAAGGGAGCGAGCGTGGCACGAGTAGGACATACGGTCAATACATGCGAAATCCTGTCATACACCGAGTTAACGACCTCGTCATTCGCGAGGTTCGTAAACACCACGTCGCTCGCTATCACTAGCTCCGAGATCGCGTCAACAACTTTAATTTTGTTTGGTCCCAGCTCCTCCTGGAGCTTTTCGCTCTTAGCTCTCGTGCGATTGTAAACGATGATGCGACCCTCCAGGTGTTTGGCGAGGTTCCTCGCCATAAGATAGCCCATGGAACCTAGTCCGATCCATCCTATAGATTTATGTAACGAGGGAGTGCTAGGTCGGGAGAACGGGATGCCAGGATGAAGGTAGGAGCTCGAAGACATGGGGGCTGTCTCCGTGCCAGAGCCAGATCCACACATCACTGCTGTTGGTGCGTAAGATGACTATGTAGGATTAAAGTTTGTCAGGCTAATTATGTCGGTTCCCCATTTATTATTTATAGAGTCAAAGACGACATTATTCATCAACACGAAAGCAACTGTATCAGCTATCAATAAATGGCACTTGCTCAAACTCTTAAATACTACTGTAAATGTGCCGTTTTTGTAAATGACACGACGCCCGTAGACTCAACTAGGCCCATACGTCCTGGAGGAAATGGGGGAATTCCCTTCCATGCCATGTATAGTACACCTGATAATTTGCGTAGAGAAACCAGGGGTATTAGGATCGCATAAACACATCTAGTTGCTGTCAGATGGCACATCGTCCGAGTTGTCATCGGAATCTGGAGAGAAGTATGTAAACTATGCTGCCTGCGGTGGGAACAAGCACACTCGCCATGCGCTACATCAAGTACGATATCTGGTTAGCCACTTGCGCCAGTCGGAATGCGCCTCGAGTTCGTTCATCATTAGCAGGCACCAAATCTATTGCAATGGTACCCCATTTATCTTTGATCCTAACATTCCGTCAACTCGAGTATAAGCATGACGCCAGACACTGATGCTTACTTCGTGTCAGCACCCGCTTCGAGGAGACTTTCCACCACGTGAAACCGTAATTCAGGATCTGAAATTTTCACGGCCAAGTGCAACGGGGTTGCTTTCTCCAGTCGATTGATGGGGTCCACGTCGCAATCCTCATGCGACAAAATGTGCTCCAAAACGTAAATCGAGCCCTTGGAAGCAGCGTAATGGAGTGCTTCAATAGCGACTGAGCGTGTGGTTACTTGTTCGCGTTGTACTATCTAACCTGTATTGCCAAGCCTGGGAAGTACATGTTAAGTTGGATGGGACTCGGCGCATAGAAGAGCGCGCGATCTCACCCATCGATATAATTTATGTTGAAGGATCCCGGCTTTCCAAATATCTCAAGGATCAAATCCTCGTTGTCGTTCTTCGCAGCAAACAGCAATCGTTCGTCTGTTCAGAAGGTGTTGAGGTGTCAGTCCAAGTTGTGAGTCCGTTTGGGATGGTGACACCAACAAGCTCACTATTAGATGCCATAAATGCCGATCGCTTCCTGACTTCGTGTTATTTGGATTATGTCAAGAGCGACTATTCAACAATCGGGCCCCTGAGCGGTTGAGATCAGGGAGCTCTGTTCATCTGTGATCTGTCGGCATCTTGCGTAATTCAGTCGCGCTATAAATACACTACAACAATGTCGACACGTCGAACGACGCGCTCGAAGGCAGAGGCTCCGACTTCTTCGAGGTCGGCTCGATCTACGACAAGTTCCCGAAGTAGAAAGGTGAAGGAGGAACGCATATCCGACGTGGAAGAGGAAGAGGCACTCCCCCCCAAAGTTACTCGTTCGAAAGCTTCTTCGACGTCTCAATCCAAGGCTAGGACAAAGAAGTCTACCGCTGCCCCGCCTCCGAAGCCTCCTAGTGATGATTCTGAGCCAGAGGTTGAAGATAATGGGGCCAAAGAGGAAGCTAGCCGCTGATGCGTCTCCACCTCCCAAACGCACCTCGCGCAAATCGAAATCGGCGTCTTCCACTTCCAAGCGAGAACAAAGGCAGCCAATAACCCTAGGGGATCCGCCAAACGAAATTATAAATCACCTGCAGTCGATATGAAGACGAGGAGGACTATCCGGATCCACACAGCGAGCAAACCGACGAGCAAACCGAAAAGTCGGTCTCTAAGTCTTCCGGGAAGAAGAGAGTACAACGAGGACGCGTCACAGAATCTGACGGAGACGAAGTGGAATCCGTAGAAGGCCAGAGGCCAGAGGCCAAGGAGCCGACACCTCATTCGGCTCCTACCAAACCAACACCCCCGACCACTAAAGATGAGAAGAGCTCATCGGAAGAAGAAGATTTGATACCCCAGGCCTCAATACGATCATCTGTGGCCCCTCCATCTCGTTATGGTCGTGGTTCTGTTCCTCCTGTATCGCGAATTGGGCATTCATTTCTGGCACCTTCAACCCCACTCCCTATACCTGAGGAAACGGAAGTAGAGACAGGCCCGAAGAGTCGGCTTGTTATTCATAAGATGGCTTTGGTGAATTTCAAGAGCTATAAAGGACGTCAGGAAATTGGACCATTTCACAAAGTGAGTTGATTGCTCCACGTTTCGCGACATGATCGCTCATGAGCCACTCCCGTTATTCGATTACGGGCCCGCATAGTCATTTTCTGCTATAGTTGGACCCAATGGCTCTGGAAAGTCCAATACTATCGACGCCCTCCTCTTCGTATTTGGTTATCGAGCCAATAAAATGCGGCAAGGGAAGCTGTCTGAATTGATTCACAACTCGACTAGGAAGGGAGATGATAGCGACGATGAAAGCGAGCTGGACTCATGTAGCGTGGAAGTGCACTTTCGAGAAATCATAGACCACGTATGTTCTCGTCTTTACACTTAGAAAGTTAGCACCCTTCATCCGTATGTTCAGCCGGGCCCCGATGACTACGAAGTGGTATCGAATTCTAAGCTAGTAATTGCTCGTACTGCCTACAGATCGAATAAATCCGAATACACCATCAATGGAAAACCATCCAACTTCACAGAGGTCACAACATTACTGAAGGCCCGCGGTATCGATCTTGATCACAAACGTTTCCTTATTCTGCAGGTCTGTAATATAAGATTATTCTCTCTTTTTTTTCTGATGTGATTGGCAGGGAGAGGTCGAGTCAATTGCTCAGATGAAGCCTAAGGCTCCATCGGAGCACGAAGATGGGCTGCTCGAGTACCTTGAGGATATCATTGGAACATCGAAATACAAGGCACCCATTGAAGCTGCGAACGAGGAAGTGGACAAGCTTAATGAAGAACGGGGTGTTAAACTGAACCGTCTTCGGCTCGTCGAAAAAGAGAAGAGTCGGCTTGAGGTGCGTCACGTTTCGCCCAACGTTTGTCGCGTCTCTCAAAGAGGTTTTAGACTGCCAAGCGCGAAGTGGAAGATGCGTTAAGGGATCATAATGCTCTTATGCGTGCTCACTCCGCTTTGGCTCAGTACTACGTCTGGCAATCGTTGAAGAATGTGGATGGTTGCAAGCGCGAGATCGTAAGTTCTGAACTTATAATCTTGATATCTATTTTAATGGTGTTTTCAGGCGAAACTAGAAGCCAGGCTCACCAAGGAGATTGAGAAGAACAAGGATAACATCGCTGAGACTGAGGCTCTCCAGGCCGAGTATAAGGATAGGGAAGCTCAATACGAGGTATAATTTTTTTCAGTCCTTTGTCACACCTGCTGACACCTTTGGGGCAGGTTGTCCGGAATGAAACCGCAAAACTAGTGAAGGACCTTGCTGCCCACGAGAAGGAAGAGGTGAAGCTCCAAGAGAAGAAGAAGCATGTCGCCACGAAACATAAGAAGCTGAAGAAATCTATTGTGGAGGTAAGATGTGTTGATAATCATACGTCTACTCCCTTTTGACACTCGTGATGGAAGGATGGGCACGCCAAGAACGAGGCGGAGTCGACTGTTGAGACTTTCGCATCCCAGCTCAAAAAGCGGAAGAGGGAAATTGATGCTCTCGAGGTTGAACTGGCGAGAGAGGAAGAGGAAATGGAGGTAGTTCAGGAAAGCCTTAAGGGTGGATATGATGTGTCCCCTAGCGCTGCAGATGACCATTGACCGAATTTATGGTTAGGCAAAACGGAAGGTTTTCAACGTCAAATCGAAGCAAAGCAGAAAGAGCTGGCTCCATGGATGACGAAGGTTACCGCCAAGCAGGCTGAGATCGATGTCGCTGAGAACGAGCGTGCGTTGCTGGCTGAAAAGGCTGCAGGGGCTCAGAACGCCGTTCAAGACGCAATTAAGGATCTAGAAGCTCTCAGGCTGACGCAACGACGAAGCAGGAGGAACGTGAGGGACTTCTCTCCCAAAAAGAAACACTCCAGCAGCAGGCAAGGATGGCGAGGCGAAGTTGAAGGTAAAATTTTTGGTGTTACTGGCTTTGCAACATTGGCCTGACAATAGAACTCAGATTGTCGTGGAACAAACTGAGAAGCTCCGTTTAAAAGCAACTGGCGCCCGCCAGAAGGTAGAGGAGGCTAAAGCAAGCCAGGCAGCAAGCACGTCGCAGAACGCCGTCCTCGACAGCCTAAACAGGCTGCGCGCCGCAGGGAGAATTCAGGGCTTCCATGTATGTTGCCCAACATCATCCTGGCAGCAAATCTCTAAAGTTTGATTCAGGGTCGGCTTGGGAGCCTCGGAACCATTTCCGAGAAGTACGATGTCGCAATATCCACAGCCTGCCCTTCCCTGAATCACCTTGTTGTGGATACAGTCGAGCAAGGCCAAGCCTGCATAGAATATCTAAGGAAACAGAATGTCGGGCGGGCATCATTTATCGTTCTGGAAAAACTCCCTGCCGATGGTCGGCTCAACAAGATCCCAACACCCGAAAACGTCCCCCGGTTGTTCGACCTTGTCAGCCCTAAAGACCCCAAGTTCGCCACCGCATTCTTTAAGGGACTCGGAAATACCCTTGTAGCAAACGATTTAGACCAGGCGAACCGCATCGCATACGGCCAGCAAAAGCGTTGGCGCGTCGTGACCCTAGCCGGACAAGTGTTTGACACCTCTGGTACCATGTCCGGTGGTGGGACCAAGGTCGCCAGGGGTGGAATGAGCTCTAAACTTGCCTCGGATGCTGTGGAGCCTGCTGTGCTGAAGAAGTACGAGACTGACAGTGCGAAGTTCCAGCAGGAGCTTGAAGAGATGCTGTCAGATCGACGTCAAGTTGAAACTGACTTAGAATCCCTCCTGAAGCAAATCCCCAAGGTAGATATGTCCATCTCGAAGGTGGAATTGGACATCCAGACAGCGAAGAAGCGTATGAATGAATCGGAAAGACGCATAAAGGAGCTTGAGTGAGTTTCCATCTTTGCCGGAATCAGTGGCTGCAAGTTAGTAATTCCTCCCTCAAATAGTTCCCAAACTAAACCCAATGCTTCTGATGTTCAACGCATAAAGATATTGGAAGCTGAAATCCAAGTTTCGACATCGGAGCTCGAGAAGCTTCGTGAGAAATCCGGTGTCATTGACAAAGATATCAGTGCACTTCAAGACAAGATATTGGAAATTGGAGGTGTTCGTCTACGAACACAGAAGGCGAAAGTAGACGGTCTTAGGGAGCAGATTGACCATATAAATGACCAGATTACCAAAGCAGAAGTAGGCAAGACGAAGGCTGCACGAGATGCGGAGAAACTAGCCACTAGCATCGCGTCCGCGACGGAATCGCTTCAAGAGGTCGAGTCTGAACTGGAAGCCCTTGAGGAAGATTTGGAACTGCGATCGCAGGATCTTGCTAGAGTTCGTGCCCAAGTCGAAGAGGCGCAGAGAGTGGTAGAGTCCGCTAAGGACGACCTAGCGGAAATGAAGGCCGAATTGGATGAGAAGATGGAACAACTTAATGAATTCCGTGCCAAGGAGGTTAGTAGCCTTTGTCTACCCATTTCCGTGTTTTCATCTCGCTATCCTAGATGGAAATCAAACAAGCTCTTCAAGATAAGACCAAGGCACTTCATGACAACGAAGCCAAAGTGCAGCATTGGAATGAATTCCATGACAAGCTTGAGCTCCATGAAATCGAGTACGTTCATCTCACCGTCATCTACTAGTACTCTTGAGCTAAAATGTCCGGTCATTATAGCGAAGACGAAGATCAAGATGAAGAGCCAACGCCAAAAGCAGATGACGTGAAGGACGGTGAAAATAGCACTCCCGTGAAGACCGAAGTTACTGATGATACACAAGAGAAGATCACTGGAAAACGGAAAGCAACAGAGTCCAATGAACTTGAAGTTCTAAGTGAAGAGATGCTTGCAGGCCTCGACCTAGATGAGCTCAAAGGCGACGTTGCTGCATTAGAAGGTATCTGCCACCACAGTTCGCCGCGTTTCTCAACTGAATATATTTCATTCCGTATAGAAAGAGTCAAATCTTCCAAACCCAATATGGGGCTTTTGGAAGAATACCGGAAGCGAGAAGTGGAATTTCTCGATCGCGCGAAGGATCTTGAGGATACTACTGCAGCCAGAGATGCTGCAAAGTCTAACTTTGATCAACTTCGGAACCAGAGGTTAGACGAATTCATGTCTGGTTTTAATGCTATCTCAAGCAAGCTCAAAGAGATGTATCAAGTGGGTCATTTTCAGTAGTGTCCATGCCTGAACCCTAAACTCATCTCTATCGCCGTAGATGATCACTTTGGGAGGAAACGCTGAACTTGAGCTCGTTGACAGCTTGGATCCATTCTCCGAAGGCATTATCTTCAGCGTCATGCCTCCAAAGAAGAGCTGGAAAAACATATCCAACCTGTCTGGTGGGGAGAAGGTGAAACGATTGATGTCTGCCAGAAGCTGGTCTAATATTCCTCTTCAGACCCTGAGCTCTCTCGCACTCGTCTTTGCTCTCCATGTATTCAAGGTACAGTTTAGCCGCGACATAAACTGCCTCCAACTCACTCTAGCATTAGCCTACGCCTTTGTACTTCATGGATGAGATCGATGCAGCATTAGACTTCCGGAACGTGTCGATTGTGGCAAACTACATCAAGGATCGGACCAAGAACGCACAATTCATAATTATCTCTCTGAGGTGAGCAGAAAAGTCAAGTCATTATTCCGTGGTAAACTTACCGTCGTTGGTCCGCAGAAATGATATGTTTGAATTAAGTCACCGTCTCATTGGTATTTACAAGACATCGAATGCAACACGAAGTAATTGCTACACTGATTTTATTTTTAAAAAAAACCTCACTGATGGTCTTTTCGTCAACAGGTGTTTCAATAGATAACCATGTTCTAACTCCTTCCGTGCAAGCATGACCACATCTAACCTTATTTAGTTTATTCCTGCTGTATTGTTGTTCTACGTATAATACTCTGTGTTTTTCTCAGTGTCAATCTATAATGCAATTTTCGTACTGGATAATTACCCACCCAGTGCATAATTCCTGCTCAATGCATTGGTTCCGAGTTCAGCTAATTCTCTGGAATCTCATATGGAATACTCGGCACATTTGATTGTGTGATTGTCAGCTGCAGGCTTGCAAAATCTGAGGTTCATCTACCAGTATAGCAGTTGCGTCCGAGCACCGGCCATGAAAGGACCCTGCGGCGAAATATACTTAGAGCAAGCTAGCAAGAAAGCACACTGATCAGCAGAACTGCATGCATAGACGGGAACCTGCTGGGAAGCTGTCGGAATAATCAGTGGGTCTCCAACCCGAATTCCCAACAAGAGTTTCCAATTCCCCATCCGCTAACCACGCCACGCTGCCTACTCTCACATAAAACACTAAGATCTACTCAGTTATGGCGGCAATATCACGCTAAAAAGGTGGTTGGCAGCAGGGTGAAGGTTGTACACAACATGTGTTTGAGCATTGTCGGTGGAAGGGAAATGTCGGGGGGGATTGTGAAAATGATGGAATGCCCTAACAGCTGAGCGCCGCAAAAATATTTTCCAACTTATTTATCTATTAAAATATGATTTTCACATACCATAGCTTGTAGTGGTTGCGGGCAAGAGCGGGAGACGGCAATCCCCGAAAGGCGTGGACGGTCGTCTTAGCTGCTGGAGGCAAGAGGGCCGTGCTGTTGCATTGGACAGGCGTGGGATCCTGACCTGAAATCGTTCTTCTCTCTCACTCTCGTTCATTTTTTGATGAAAATACTGGTATTGCAGTAGCAACAGTGAGCGTGGGAAGATGACAAACGGTAACCCGGCAGTCTCCATCACTCCATTGTCCAAGCACCATGTCGTCAAAGCGCGATCCACTCTCTGGACGCGTTGGCCACCTTTCTGTAAGGATAATTCGCAAAGGGAAAATGTATCGATCTCTTACCGACTGTGTAGGACCATCAACAAGAAGCTCTAACTCAGTTTAGAACGGAGCTAAAGAATGAGGGTTATTTGGTGCCTTTGAGGCATGATGATGCATGTCTATTGCGTTTCTTACGCGCCCGAAAGTTCGATATTCCAAAAGCGAAAGCGATGATTACTAGTCAGGAGAGATGGAGAAAGGATTTTGGTGTAGATGAGCTTCATAAGTGAGCAACAATGCGTGTTTTTGCAACTGTCGATGACTCACGAAGCGCTTTAGGGGCTTTGATTTCCCTGAGAAGGCTGAAGTGGACAAGTATTACCCTCAATTTTACCACAAGACTGACAAGGTGTGTTGACGTCCTCCACACCAAACTGCAATCAGCCATATGTAACAAACTTCGTTAGGACGGTCGACCAGTCTACATCGAACGTCTCGGAAAAATCGACGTAAAGGCACTCTATACCATCACCACTCAGGAACGCCTTCTCAAGCGACTCGTATATGAATATGAGCGATGTCTGAACGATAGATTCCCTGCTTGCACCATACACTCCAAATCTGAAATCCCTATAGAAACTTCTTGCACCATTCTCGATCTCCACAACGTCGGCATCAGTGCTTTCGTCCAAGTCAAAGACTACGTTTTCAAGGCTTCTGCGATTGGCCAAGATCATTATCCCGAGTCCATGGGCAAGTTCTTCATCATCAATTCGCCATGGGGTTTTTCAACCATCTGGAAGTTCATCAAACCATGGTTGGACGAAGTCACTGTCGCGAAGATCAATATTCTCGGCTCATCATACCAAAAGGAGCTATTAGCTCAGATTCCACCAGAGAATCTGCCAGTGGATTTGGGTGGAACCTGCGCATGCGAGGGGGGATGCTCGCTTTCGGATGACGGCCCCTGGAACGATCCTGAAATCATAAAAAAGGTAGAGGAATGGAAAGAAGAAAGGCGTAAACGAGTAGATGCCGAGGAGAAGGACCCTGCCACGTCGATTGTTGCGCTGGCGCCCGAGCCTTCCGCGCCGGCACATGGTATTTCTGCTGATCTGCCTCAGGAAGGAGACACCATCACACCAGTGGTATCTTAGTGCAGCTGTGTCTTACGTTCAATCTCTGAACGCCGGATTCATCCCCGTTGCGGTAGAAATTAATTTCGTCGTCATGGGCAGACATTGGGGTTTACAGAATCTCACCCATATATAAACCACAATAAAATCCGTCCCGTTCTCAAGGAGACCAACTTCAAGTACAACGTAAATACCAAGGTCCGCAAAAAGCAGAATGAATGAACGACGAAGGCCAAAGGTTGTAATTAATATCGGTGCTATTTCTCCCATGGGTTCATAGTGTAAGATGTCTTGTTTGCTATTGCAGCAGCTAGCCCGATTGGCATCGGCGCCCATGGGTCGCGGTCTACCCGAGTTCCTGTATCATATGAACTCACCGATCCATCAACCGAGCCAAAGGATATTGAGGGTTCCAAGTCTGAAAATGATCCTGAAGATGAGCCGCGCTCGGTAAAGCGGGACGCGTATTGAGGAGAAGATGCCGTCTCTTTATTGGGAGCCCAAACAGTACCATCAGACGATGCGAATGAAAGGAGTGAACTAGCGGGTGGCCATGAAGGAGTCGCTCGATTGCCTGGCAACCAAGATTCTTGTGGCTTCGGGAGTGACGATGTATAACTAGTTGATGTCCCCTGAAGATCTGGTTCATCACGCTGTGAACTAACCTCGAATGACATTGAGCGGGTGAAGTTCTGCCGCAGCTCTTCCATCGACGGTAAGGTACCGGCTTGAGAAGCTTCTTCACTTAGATGATCTAGGTCACGAGGCTTGACCTTTGGGGTGGCCAGTGGGGAAGGGTCTTGCGTTAGAGGTGGGGGCGCTGATTCCGAACGTCCCAGCGAAGGAGCACTGGTAGGGGCTCCAGAAGGTTGTGGCTTAGGGGCAAGGACAACAGTGGGAATATGTTCAGGGTTAAAGTCATCTCCTTTCCCTAATGCCTTTCCAATAGCCTGGAAATCGAACCCAGCTTTGGCAGGTATCTTTGGGTCAGGTATGGGAGATAGGGATGAAGTGACTTTGGTAGAAGTTGAAGGGTGCTCAACCCGCTCAGGCAGGTCGTCATCGCCGGAAGGTACCGGTGTGGATGACGAGGTTGATGGTATCGAAGGTGGCAACGGGGTACTTTCTAGCTTCGGGGGCGTCTCCGAGGTGACAGTTTCCGACTTATTTTCGAGGAGGCCGGAGCGGTTCTTCGCAGCCGTCATTTCAGCGGCTTCTCGCATCACAATACGGTCCTGTGTCATATCAGGTTCCTGAAAAGAACTAAGTCAGATTTGGCGCTTATACGAATGCGGTTTCTTTCACCTCAGGTTCATCGAAATACGTTGCGGTAACTGGGAAACCCAATTGATCCAAAATGACAGGCATGTAGATGCGATAGCTTAAATGGCCGGAGATTTTGTCCGTCACGTCAACATTCTCCAGACCAGGAACACCTTCAATGGGTCGCAACCCAGCGACAGTGCCCCCACCAGAAGTTGCTCTGAACAAATAGTTAAGTATCCAATCATTACAGGCGTAACAATTGACAAAGCGTCCTGACACGACTCCACGGACTTCAAACCAGGATTGCATTGGAGCAGTGACAGTCGCTCCAAAGAAGAACACGTCCTGGACGATTCCAAAGGCCTTTTGCTTGGCGAGTTCCAGCAAAGCAAAGAAAATGACGCGAGCCCCAAGGGAAAAGCCCATCAGCGTGATAGGCCGAACGCCCAAACTGCGATTCATCAAGATATCAGCTAGAACGAATCCAGCCGCCTTGGCTCTGTCTAATGCGTTAGACCAAGGATTGTCGATGAGATAACCGAGTTTCGTGAGGACTTAGCGAGGCTGAGATGTAAGTGATGGGTCATAGGCGCCCAGAATGGGAGAGTACGGACCAATTGGCCATTGCAAAGCACTCATTAGTGCAGTCATAACCGTCGCTTGCAATACTGTCTGACCCACTTGGGACAAGACCTCAGCTGTCAATAATTTGAGGGCATTTCCAGTTTCACCCATCATCTCGGGTTCCCAGCGTACGCTGAACACGTCGCCGACGAGGGGGTCCAAGACGCTAAACGGTAACCGCACGTCGTCTCGCGGGCCTGCCATGAACCTATTACGGTAGGATAAGCAAATAACGCAAGGCTAGCGAGCGAAATCTCGCACCCAGGCACGGTGATGATGCACGAAACTCTCTTGTTATTATGGAGGGGGAGCAGATCAAACGTCCTCACTTGTTGTGTGCGTCGTGACATGCCCCTAGCTGCGATACCAGACCCCGTGAGCACACCGCCTGTGGTAATCGCAGCAGCGCCCCCGACTCCACCCAGGAAACCTGCCGTGCCGGTCACTCCGACCGTTGTAAGCGCGGCGCCAATCCCCGCACCAATCACGGGTGCGAGTAACCCAGCGGATAAACCAATCACTAACCCACCACCTAATGATGTTAATTAATCCCATCAGAAATCATACCGTAAACCAGAAAGGACGCTAACCTATAGTTGCCAATCCTACCATGACATATCGTTTCTTTCTAGCCGACTTCTCCCTGCCTTCAATGATCTCTTGGTGCTTCATTTGCTCTACGCCTTCTTGGATTTCCAATGCATCCGTCACTCGCTTCTCAAAGCGGACCACCTCCAGCCAACCTAAACCCAGCCTGGACGCAACATTCTCCAGCAGCGTTCGAGATCGGGCATCATAGACGCTATCGGCAATGAGGATCAAAAACAGATCGCATAGAACTGTCCACCGAATGTCCAAGGTGACATTTTCATCGGTGGAAGACAGAGTTGTGCTGACACCAGGGACCGAGGTTGCTTGGTTAGGCTGCATTATGTTCGCAGTTGTTTGGCTTAGTACAGATTGACCAGGACGAAGCATGCTATGCTCTTTGGGCTGTCCTTCTAGGCCATGTGGAAATGGAGAGGTGGGAGATGCTGGCAGAGTAGGTGGGCTATTTTCGGGTGACGCAGAATCTGCATGCCGAGATTCTTCGACCTGTTTCTTACGCGCTTCGGCTGGATCATACTCTGGGTTGGCGACAGTATGGGTGGTCAACAAGGATGGGACGAGGTCCATGGGATCGACACCGTGCTCAGCGAGACTTTCGATCATCTTCTGCTCTGTCCTTGACTATTCAGGATTCGTGAGTAAACAAGAAGACATGTACTCACCCTCCGTCTCCAGCTCCATATGATAGAATAAACGGCCAAGGATTCGTAACCTCCACAAGTCCATAGCTTTGATCGCTAGATTCACCTCCTTCCGCCGTGATTGCTGCAACATTTGCAGCATTTTACGTGCTACCAATGAAACCAGTCCAACATACGCAATACGCTGCGCTTCAGTAAGAAGATCCTTGGTCGCCTGCATTTGACTCAACGGCGTCATGGCCTTGTCTTCGTCAAACAGGTAGCGCGTGCGCAGATAGGCTTCGTCCGCATCGTCATCATCATCGAGTCTCAAACGAGTATACTCCTCTTCATCAGCTTCGAGCTTCTCCCGCCATTCGTTGCCCATGTCATCGAAGTCGATAAGATTCCCAGTAGCATTCCTCCCCTCAGTTGCAAGCCTCCCAGAAGGGACCACATAGTGATATTTCTTCTGGTCCTCTTCGTCCAGTGCGAGATTTGGATCGGAGGCACGGACGACGGGCATTTCCTGCCAACCATCCACATCGTCGTCATCGAAGATATTGGGCACAATCGGAGCCAGCTTGCTCAGAGGTTTGAGCATTCTGCAAGGAAACCTTCTGACCCCCCAACTCGCTATTCAGAAGCTATCCCGACTGCCTTGAGATCGGAAGAACAAATGCAGGAAGAAGTGACAAGTGTTAATCGGCAGATACTTGCGTAAGGACAACCAAGATTGAAATCTAAGCTTGCTTCCGCAGGCGACGAATTCAAATTAGACGCCCAATGCTCGAGGTTGTCATTCACCCGATTTCGTTGTACATGATACACGTTAAGTTTGAAGTCAAAGAAAGATTGAGCAAACAAGAAAGCGAAGTTAACGCTAGCACCCAATTCTAATTATGATATGCAAAGCGAGACCAAGTCTTTCACGCTGTCCGTTGCTCTGCTCTGTCTTTTTCCCGTTCGGCTATCCTACTGCGAATCTGCGTTTGAGTGATGACTGCCTTCAGTTTGCGCTGGTACTGCCGGCGACCCTTTCCCCGTTTTGGACCAGCCAGAATGACATCCTCTTCGAGCCTTTTCCGACGAAGAAGGGTTTGCTCGTGACGAGCCTTTTCTTTCTTCTTATCGCGCTTTTTGAGACTTGGCATTGATGCTTTTAGGAGAGAGCCATAGGCAACGTAAAAACTGTCCAACTCGCTTGGCTTAACCTGGAGATGCATTCCAGAACCGCTGGTAAACCGTGACATACAGAGCCTCACAAACTTGGCCACCAGTAACACACCTGAGTAGATATTTTGGCACCTTTCCCATTCGTTGCTTTGATAATGCAAGCATACTCATTCGAATCAGGTTCATCTGCGGGACCCGTCATGTTCGTGTCACCGCCTCCATATGTCACTTGGACATGAAAGGTGTTAGTCGTCCCTTGATCGTCAAAGCATAATAAGCCACTTACAGCGTTTGTGAGTCATCCACACAGAGTTCTTCTTATCTTTATTTGTCGTTTCAAAGAGAGTCCTCAGTCTTCCAAGGAACTGTAGCAGGGGAAAGGTTGGGATACTGTTACGCGAACACCAATATCCGCTCACCTGGTCTTTGTCTAGAAGCTCGCTAGAACCATTGGCTTCGTTCATTTCCAGAAGGCTGCACGCCCTGGCCTTAGTGGGCGCTCGTCCGTCTGCTGGTTGAGTTTGCTTCCGCCTCTGCTTGGTCATGACGTCGGGTCGTCAATATCCCCCACTAATTTCGCATCTCGTGGATGTCCATTGTCATCCAACTGATACGCAGATCATCGACGAGGTCCCAGGCTCCCTTGACTGCTCCCCGTTGTGTGGCTAATGAGTCATTAGGATATAGATGCACTTCCCCTTCGACTTTGCGCGATGGCGTCGCGGGACTCCGATCAGCAACTTGTAGCCGACCTCGCAAGAAAATGGCCCCACAAAATCATTCCTTGCTTTGGTTGGCATCCTTGGGTCTCTCACACTGTCTCACTTGAAAGTCCACCTCAACCCAAGGCAGCGCATTACGCTGCATTACTACTTCCTGAACGAAGTTCGGATAATGCTCTATCAGACGAAGAGTTCAAGACAGTCCTTTCTTCCCTCCCCGAGCCTAAACCTCTAAGTGAAATTTTGGCATCTGTCCGATCAAATTTGGAGCGATTCCCGAATGCGATGCTAGGCTTGTGAGCTTCTGACGACGACTATCATATGCTGAGATTACCTTACAGGCGAGGTTGGGTTGGACCGTTCATTTCGACTGCCATTCACGCCATTTGGAGATCGTAACAATCCTTCCTATGAAAATCGTCGTCTTTCAAGTTTCACTGTCCCCCTCGAGCACCAACTTGCGATACTGGAGGCTCAGATAGGATTGGCCGTAGAGTTTGGCAGGAATGTTAGTATGCATAGCGTCAAGGCTCAGCAAGCCACCGTGGAACTCCTGAAACGATGTAGCAGCCAGCACGGAGAGGCATGGGACCGTATTAGTTTCGATCTGCATTCATGTGGACTCAGAGCCGAAACATGGCGCGAGATTGAAGTAAGGACTAATAGTTCGTATCCGATCGTGACATGCCTGAAACAATGCTATGTGATGGTTAGAAAGCCCATAACAACGTTTACATCTCCCTCTCCGCTGTCATCAACACTCGTTCGCAGTCGCACGAAAATCTGATTCAAGCTTGTGCCCCCAATCGCATCCTCGTTGAGTCCGACTTCAACGATGCCAAGCACTGCGCAGAGCAAACATGGAAAATGCTCCTGGTTATTGCTCGAGTTAAGAAATGGAAAGTGGAGGAAAGCGAGGAAGAAATAGAAGCCAGTACCAGTAATCCCGGGGCAATCAGGCGCATTCGCGATAATTATGGGGCATTCGTCCGAGGCAATCATGCACGAGTGGTGCCGAAACTGAGTGGGAAAATTAGGAAGAGGAACGATTTCCCTCATGCTGAGGAGGACTGGGAAGATGACACCGACGAACCCGAAGTAGTCTACGGCGACAACTAGTCCTGCATCTCTCACTCATGTAGCTCACGAACTGGCATCGGCGTTGACATCCAACTCTCTCAATCTGGCGTCCAGCCCCTTGCTTTCCGTTTCTGCGCGTTGAATTACCTTTGTCAGATGCTCTTCTCTTTCCACTAGTCTTTTGTCCATCCCTAGAATAGGAGCCGTGCCTGTTCCACCTGCCTTTTCATCATCTTGAGCTCTTGTTCCAAGGCTTTCTCTCGGGGCGTTGGCTCAGCCTCGAGCTCGACAGCCTCGTCTTCTGGATCAGTGCTATCCTCACGTTCTCCGTCTTCTTCATCCGAATCGACGTGTGGGATACCGGTGAGCGAAGTTGGGAGGATTTTTCCTTGCCATCTCCGTGGAACAGGAACCGAGGAGAGTGATAAAGAGGACATGGAGCAGTTGGGATTGCCACCTAACGTTGATAATCCCGGATTCCGTGAGTATACTGTGGCATTTGTATTTGATGTGTCGGTAGAGGAGATGTTCAATGATGACTATTGGTGCATCTGACCCGTCAGCACCATTCAGTGCACATGTTTTAATGCACACCATACCTGCCAATTCTCTCCGTAGAGTTTCTTGAGCCCGTCTCCAACATCTTTCGCGTTTCTTACTACGTTCCAATTCTGCCATCATCTTTTCATTTTCTCGTTGCGTGCCCTGCCATAGATGAGTAAGACTGAGCAGGAAAACCAAGATGACGTAGAGATACCAATAAAATCATGTCCAGTGTTTTCTTCTCGTTTTCCAGCTCTTGAAGAGTAGACAAAGGTGGCCTTTGAGCGAGCTGCACCTGCAACGAGAGGATCTGATCGAGCAGCTGGCGACTAAACGTAAGTTGCAGAAGTGACGAGGAAGATGATATGCGCGTACACGATCCTTCTCGCGGTCTTTCTCAAAAAGCTCTGTCCTCAACGAAGCCTCGACCGCGTTCATCATCTCAGATTGTGTCACCTCAGTGCGGTCCTCACGCAGAGTCCCAATTTCATTGGCAAGGGCATTAGAGGCAATGGACGTGCGGTGCGCGTTCTTTAGAGTGTGCGAGCGCCTCATGCTCAAGTGGAAGCCAGCCTAAGGAAGTTTGCAATGATAGAAGCGTGGCGAACACCACGTCGGTTGGTCTAGATCGGGACTTGTAGCCCATTGTGTATGGTTATTTGGGCATCACGATGCGTCACTGGGACAAGTTCACAACGCCATCATGCTTTCCATCCTCAGGGAGCATCCTATCTTGACTTGGATGAAAGCGCTCTACGTCGTAGTCTCTCTGCCCCTTCTCCTAGGTGCTATCAAGAATCATTTCTTAGTTATAACCATTGCTGCCTCATCCTTTCCTCGCCTCGAAACATTGGGTCGCGCTGAAGCTGGGGCTGACAATCCTCTCCGCGTTTTAGACCCTTATGATAACCTTACTTTGTCGAAGCTTTTCGCTAACTCCATGCAGCCGGCCGTGTTGTCCCTTACTACTATCGTGCATCGCATCGTTTCCCTGCGGAGGACATAACTATCACTACTCTAGTGACAGGAAACCGATTCCACATACTTTCAGACCTTGCTCAGAGCTATCACGGTGCCTAGCATTACCAAATAAGACAGGGAATAATAAATGACCTGTGTGATTAGGACCCATTTCTGTTGCTGTGCACGTTTCCTCGGGTCCACGATCTGAGGTCAGCTCTCTTCTTGATAGTCTGCATAGTCTTTACGAAACCATTCCTGCGATGTCGAAATTTGTTGACGTCCATTTGGTGCTGGATCCATTTGAACGTCAATTCAACTTTGGCGGAATATCGCGAGATTGCATGCCAGGACCGACTACGTCATGATGCTTGATGTGGACTTCAGCATATGCACCGATTTCAGGAGTAGAATCCTGGAGAGCCAGGATGTAATTTCTAAACTAAGAATGGGAGATGTGGCTCTGGTTGTTCCTGCCTTTGAATTCACGGACCAAAGGGATGGGATCGATCCCAGTACATTCCCGAAGGACAAGGAGGTAAAATTCTTCGATTCGACGCGTATAAAGCACTAAACTCCATAGAAGGGGCTCCTTTCTCTAGTCCAGAATGGAAAGCTGAATATGTTTCACGCCTCTTGGCTACCAGGGCATCACAGCACCAACTACGACAAATACTATGAGGCTCCAGCCGGGCATGTCTATCGTGTCACTGATTATCAATACTCTTATGAACCCTATATCATTTTTAAGAGGGACTCGGCACCTTGGTACAATACTCTCTGTGATATTGCCCATATAATGCAACATTCTTGTTTTTAGGTGCGATGAACGTTTCGTTGGATATGGGAGCAACAAAGCAGCTTGTCTGTTTGGCATGTACTTGTCTGGGATATCCTTCTACGTATTACCCGATGATTTCGTGATTCACAGAAGGTTGCAGAGTCCCCACTGCTCCGTTTCGGAAACCTCTAACACCGCCCATTGCTTGATAGTCATATTTATGCCGAAAAAACCCGTACCTATGAGGTATGCTTTCTTTGCTCTGAGGAGGGCTCACACTAAACTAACTACGTGCGCCAGCGCAAGTACAATAGTCTGGTTTACGCTGATTTCCGAGCAGAGACATGCCTCCGGTATTTCATGCAACGTTTGCTGGATGGGACGCTGGAGCTGCAGAAAGGTGAAAACGTAAGGACAGAATGTATCCACATCGATGGTGTTCCTGGAGCAGTCAAAGAAGTCAGTGCCTAAACACATGTAGAACTCTTGGTTGCTGAACAGGCCCCTCTAGCTGTTGTCCCACCATATCTCCAAACTGTAACCTTGTCGTGCTGTGTCGTAAATCCGGCGTTCCAAATATGGTAACCACTCGCAGTCCAGATGTAATATAGAATGAGAGAAGAAACTAAAGAACATACGGTGCTAAAGCACCCATATTTATGCTATGTGATGGCAATCCGGAGCTTTCTATGCGCAGCACTTAAGTGGGCGCTTAGTCACATCCTCCACATATGTCTCCGGTGACTCACATTTCCAACACGAGCTTCGGGTTTATTCTTGGCCAAAAAGTCATATCACCTGTCTTGTTTCTGTAGTCACCCTAGACAATGCAAATTGAAGGGCCGAGGTTTGTGTTATATTCGCAGCCATCGGAAGTCGTTCCAAATTCAAACTCTGCTTGAATCCAGCCTTTCTGGCGCATCGCTTTGAAGCTAACTTTCACGATCACTGCTCTACACCCTCTCCGCATCTCGTGTTGTCTGCATCATCATGCTAGTATGTTTCATATATTATTGTTGCTTTTTTTTTATTTTCATGCGGAAGATCTAAGTTGAGGAGAGAAAACTGTGCGAGCGAGAGCTACTTTGCATGAAAGAGGTGTGCGCTGTCTGATCATATTTCTATATCATTTGGCTCACTCTCACATTTTTTTTTTTTTTTTTTTTTTTTTTTTTTTTTTTTTTTTTTTTTTTTTTTTTTTTTTTTTTTTTTTTTTTTTTTTTTTTTTTTTTTTTTTTTTTTTTTTTTTTTTTTTTTTTTTTTTTTTTTTTTTTTTTTTTTTTTTTTTTTTTTTTTTTTTTTTTTTTTACATCGGGTCATAATACTAATGAGTGCGGAGACCTCTTCGGCAGAAAAGTCATTCTCATATTCAGCTGTGGCATTCCATTCCATCATTGCAAATCACAACTACGTGAATTCCCAAAATATTCCAGGTTCTCGAAAGGGAGAAAACAATGTGCGATTCCTCACATCAACCCCCGGGCTGAGTACGTGTTATCTGCAGTTCCTAGATTCTCCTCGGATACAGGACAATTTGGAAGCCTAAATGTAGATGGTCTCATGTCGAGGAGACATCTATGCTCGCACGCAGTACTCTAAGCATATTCGAGGAATCCAGCAACTTCTCTCCGGTTTGTCCCGTATGGCTCGTCGTCTTTCACGTCATCCTACCTTGACCACGCTACCCTAGTCGACTAACAAACGGTCTGGTTTTCACGTCCGCGTGCTGGGGTGGGGTACACATAACGGTTTGCAGTTTACCATTCCTCCTCTCACGTACTCCTGTAGACGAACATCACGAAATCACTGTAGGACGGACGGAAGGATGGGTTGAGCAACGAGAGAACTAAGTTGCAAGGGTACAGCTCCTCAGTGCTCCAGGAGCATGGGACCAAGTGAACGTCCTCGAGGGCGTCGGTTCCCCCGCGTGAGGTTCAAAACAAGCCTAATCGCTTTGCTGTTCTTGGCGAGAACCCTTGTAAATCCCTGGTCAAGGTGAAAGTGTGCCAGGCTTACTAAAGCTTCTGCAGCGACCTAGATTGTAGAATTTAGCGCCTTGGAGTGTTTGGTGCAACCCGGTTCCACGACTTTCGAGAATGTTGCACGTCCACGCGTGGCCGTGTTGACGTACTTGTTCAATTTGTCCACAGAGGCAGTGGTTTATCCTTAAATCCTATATCTTATCTTACCGACAAATAGACAAATAGATTCGGCCAACTCCGCGATACAGCAATCGTCTGAGGGTCATGTGATTGTCCGAAAATGGCAGCAAATGAATGATGAACGATCGCTAGTTTCCTAAATAGTCAATTAGGAGAATTCCTCATCCAAATCGGACGAGCCGTTTTTTTTGTCTCCTGCTCATCGCTAATTCTGCTCGCGTGAACTAAAGGCCCATCGTATCATTTCCTTCTGCCACGTACGGACGTCCGCTTGCGTTCAGGCAGGCGATCACCGTGTGAGAGTGCACAGCCCAACGGGGGGCTCTACTTTTTATGCATACCATCGTGTTGGTGGGGACCAGTCTCAATTGGCTCGGGCATGGCTGCGATGCTGTGGGATGCGAATCACTTCCGAAAGTGTGAACATACTTATCACTTTCGGCGTTGATAACTAATTTGGAGGGACAACATCCACATCAACACTGATCAGCGGCCAACAACGTTGACGGACGGGCCAAACCGCCCGCTGGGCCTGCTAGTTGTTAGATTGAATTGCAATCCCATTCAGGAGAGACCTACTCCTAGGAGAAGGATTAGAAAGGGGTATCGCTCCGGCTTGGAGAGGGGGATTTTCTGATGCGGAACTAGACCATGGGAACCTTAATATCTACACTTAGTCATTTTGCAAAGTCCATGCCGTTGGGGCTGCCGCACCCCATTTTGGCACCATCGGAGCACCACACGCGATTTTCCCAGATGACTGACCCTTTGTGAAAGGGCCATCATGATTCCGTTGTGGTGTTGAAGTTCTGCCTCCTTGATGCGACAGTGGACCACTGAGTAGATGCACTTTTAGCTTGATTAATCGAGTCTTCAAATATCACCTCCCCTTCAGGGAGCCTTCGGTCGTTCTCGGGAAAGGCGCGGCACGCCAGTCCAACATCTTACGCAGCTTGCAACTCTATGATCTACTTAACCACCCAATATTAACTCTGGGTGGTGACATGGGTGTGTATTTGGGATGTCTTACGTTAAGGATAGGATTGGACGTTAGTGAGGTCATCCTTCGAGCATGTTAGGCAGAATCCCAGCCTCTGCTAAAGTAGAGAGCATGTCTATTGCCAATGTTAAGCGCCTTGCGTCCTAATCAGGAATAAGGTATGAATTGCGTCGGAAGTAACCCCACAAGATCTAATTCAATGGGCGCCTCGATCATTTGGGATGTCCTTGTTTTGTAATGAGCGTTGAAAGAGAGAAAACCCCCTTGGAGGTCGATTTTGAGGTTACTCAGGTCCTAGACACTGACGACGCAGCTCTAACACGATTAGGGATCTCCCGGGAGCTTCGGCGAGAGCTCACCTCATGGAGCACCTTATCAATCGCATTCTCAATTTTCGGATGCGTTGCTACGATCGCTAGTACTGTCAATACTCCTATTCTTCTTGGTGGACCTGCCTCCGCGATTTGGACCTGGTTTCTAGGTTTTTGGGGTAACTTCATGATAATTCATCCTCGTGGGCTCAGGATTCAATTTTGTTCAAGGTTGCCTCGCGATTGCTGTTTCCGTAGCCGAACTCGTGTCGGCGTACCCTTCGAGTAGCGGTGCATATGGCGCAGTGTGTTCCTCCTTCCGTTTTATACTCATGCGAGAGTAAGTTAACGTACTTGATATAGACTGGATATGTGTTCGCCGGCCACCGATACGGGAAGGGCATTACATATGTGAATGCGTGGTGAGGGCGTTGGCTCAGGCAGTATTATCATCAATTTTACTCCATATCAAAGGATCACTACCGTCGGACAACTTGCTGTACCCGCATCGGGAAACTTCGCCTGCAGTCAAATGGTTTGGGCTGCAGTTACCATTGCGAAAGATGGAAATTTTACCGCAACGAAAGGGGAGGTACTGGGTTTGTGAGTTAGATATAGCTTCCATAAACCTGTCCATCGCTCCTAATTCTAAAAACTGTCCAGATACTGTCTATTGAACGTATTAATGGGTGCATTTAATGCGCTTCCGACTCGCACGCTCAATGGACCAACATCGCTCTGGAGTATGTTGTTGATCATCGTCGCCAAAATAATATCGCCATAATTGACGCTGTACCGAATCTCAAGTGTGGGTCAATCTCGCCACTTCGTTGACTGTTATTGTGGGTACTGTCCAAGCACCCTTTCCCGAAAACTGAGCGGCGACACCCCAGATAGCGGTGCCGATAGGTGCTGCTCACCGGCACGCACTTGCTTCATCAAGATTTGTTTGGACCGCGGTGAATATTCATTGTTCATGTACGCTCCAATGCCAAATGAGTCATTTTGGTCTTTGATAGATTGTTGATGGAAGCGGATGGGGAAATAAACCTTTCGCTTTCTTTTTAGGTTTACTTTGGTATGTCACACTTGAACTTGGATGATACCGCTTCTGAATGATCTTCTTCCAGTGTACAATGGGTAATGTGAGGCAATCTGATCATGTTGCACATTGCCTCAGCTAGCTGATTTGCATCGATCAGGACGGATTATGATGGTGTCGCGCGTAGGGCCAGCGGAATGTGGAAAATATCAAAATATACTGATTTGAGGAAATATATATGTAGATTTATCAGAAGAGATCAAGCATGCAGCCATTGCAGCTCCTGTCTCTATAATCGTTTCATTAGTCTCCACCGGAGTCATTGGTTTTGGGGTGATTGTCGCATTATGTGTGAGTTCAGTCCCATCCCAATACTTTGACATTTCGGTATCATATCTTTGGCACGCAGTATGGTATTAGGGATCTGAAGGCCCTCCCCGGGCCAACCAGCATGGTTTTCCCTCAGATATTATGGGATACCTTGGGGAAAAATGGCGCACTCGTACTTTGGAGCTTTGTTATTCTAATCCAGATCTTTACCAGCTTGGCTGTGCAGCTGGCTTGCGTACGAAGTGAGTGTTTGCCAACTTGGTTGTAAGAGCATGTCATTCAATTAACTGAATGACAGGTATGTACGCCATTTCGCGTGATGTGAGTAGAAGAAACATCTTCATCCCTCATTTTGGACGGGATGACTAACTAAGCTTCAAAGGGCGCGTTTCCAGACAAGCGCATCCTCAGTAGGGTTTGGCGAGTCACGGAGACGCCTATGAACGCATTGGTTGTTACTGTCATCCTCCAATGTTTGTTCGGACTACTATATCTCGCCAGTTACACGGCGGTGCGGGACCCAACGGCTACTTAACAAAATTGGTTATTTGACTAATTGACACCAAATGCAGATAAATGCCGTTTTCAGCATCACTGCTGTGGCCCTTGGTAAGGAGCTTATCACACGCTGAACCTGTTGCAGTCTGACATATCAATCAATAGATCTGTCTTACATTGTTCGAGTTGTTTTCCAAGTCTTAACACCTGTCTGAGAAACCTTCTAGATTCCGACCGCAGGGAAGTTATATGGTTACCTCTCTGGATCCTGTGAGATACGCTTCCAACCAGGCCCATTTTATCTTGGGCGCTGGGGGTATGCCATCAATGCATATGCCATTCTGTGGTATGTCGTAAGATTTTCGTGCGATCTTGAAGAACTTACATCCTCGTCTGCAGGACGATTTTCGAAACTGGGTGGGTGTCCCCGATTCAATTAGTCATATTTGCCTGACTTCTCGATGCAGAATCCTCATCATGCCTCAAGTATATCCGGTCACATCTAGCACTATGAATTATGCTGGGCCAATTATGGTTGGCGTGGTAGTATTTAGCGGAGTCTGGTACAATCTTTGTGGGGTAGGCGGGCAATCACGGATCCGTGAAACCTACTCATTTGTATTTCAGAAACGCACTTATTGGCCAGCTCATTACGCAGGCAATCAGACGGAGAATACTTAAGTGGCAAAATCAGCTCCCCCCCACGTTTACACATCACTACTAAGCGTCGGGATCCTAATTACTAAATCGACACCGTTTCTATGATGGGGTCATATTTGGGCCTGGTTGTAATTTACTTCAGTATGCAATATTATGGACCGAAGGCAAATCAGGATGGCATCGCCTCGCTATGACATGTGCAGCCGGCCAGGAACAATGTTAAATCAAGAGTGAATCTGTTAAACATGCACCACCGCAAGCTGACATCTTAATATCGGGAGTAGGACCAATCGGACGTTGCGTTGGCATCAGGATCGCTCTGCACCATTGTGGTGCCCACCAGGTTGTAGATGATGCCTCGCAATCTCTTGCCGGCTGGCGGGATTCACTGATCCGCCGTAAAGACGGAGATGGTTGAGGTGTATTCTCTAAATGAAGTTCGATATTACCTTCCTAAAAATACGGCGTATACAGAACACCACCGAATAGGACATGGGGGTATCTACGCTATACAATAATCTTCCTACAGGCTATCTAAAGGGTGAAAGTTGTTGAAGTGAATTGCGCTTCGCGCTATATGCGTGGTTATTTCAAGCCCCATCACCGTCTCGCGAAGTCTTGCAGTCGCTTTGAAGCGTGTGACAGAACGGAGATGTGCGCGCGCACTGCAGATTGATGATCTGAACTAGTGATGGAACCTTGATCCCAACTTGATTGTTCTTCCCTTAGGACACCCAATGCAACATCCCAACAAGGCTGTATGATCAATGGCTTGTCAGTTGTTCGCTCATTATGATTATCGCAAAGGTGACTCACCCCACAGTGCCAATATATGTCCTTTGCGTCCAGTTGCCCAGAAGTGCGGGGAGAACCTTTGGCACGATCCACATCCATGCCTCGTCGTACGAGAGCTGCCATCAAGTACGCATTTTCCCTAGCCGCTCGCAAATCACCCGTCCTTTCCGATCCGGCTAAATGCAGAGTAATCTGTGCTGCCAGAAGGGACGAGTGCGCAAATAATAGGGTATGGTGGATGGCAGAAACATCAGGCGTGTGCAGATTATTGCGAGACCCGACGGACGAAAGAAACTGTTTAGGATCAACTGAAGCGAGCGATCTTTGGAACGCGGATAGGATTGCTTCAAGATGTTGCTTCCTGGAGACATAATCTTGCCATGTGCGGTAGCGCCCTTAACCAGAATTAGGACAAGCAAGTCTACAAGATATTGGGGCCCACACCTTCTCGCAGCCATCGATATTCACGTCTTGCAGCATCATGTAGGGCGACAGCCTTGGCTTTCATGCATATTAATAAATCCTCGATGTTCATCACCCTAAAGAAAAAATCAGCGTACACGACGGAACACCTTCGAAATGGACGGACATCTGATTTGAAACGAAAACGTGGGGTAGAGTCATGCCTGCATTCGCATTCTCAAAGAAGGCGAATTCTGAAGGCCATGGGGTGCAAATCTCCTGTTTTCAGAAAAAAAGGTCAGCAGACACAACTAATAAGTCAGCTGGTAGCCTGCCTGACCTCGTCCAGCACCGACGACGCGATACCACATACATGACAGACATCCTTATCCAGCTGTGGTTGATGAGCCACGATCGCCCATCGATTTGATTCGTACTCACTAAATAAACACTCCACCACACGCTGATACGCAAGCAGAAGTCACTCTTAGATTGAGGAGGGGGGAGCAAGAACATAGTTCCTTCATCGGGCGACCGATCGTCCCAATGCACTGGCAGCCGGTGAAGCCCGCAGCTCTTTGCAAACATTAACGCACCTTTCAATAAATTTAGTATAGTCAATCGAGACGATAGTAGAAGGACTTACTACTCGCAAGATAGCTTGCTCGGGCGAGCTGGCCTACGAGCAGACTGTATCTGCAAAGAAGTGACGCGGCAAGGACCGTGTTTATCTGGTGGTGGTCAGGAAGGTGTTTGAGGTGAAAGAACACCAACTTACTAGTCTTGCAGCGTCACCTTGTGAGTTATTGAGCTCCGACACTGCTTTGTTGGAGAGATAGGTCTCAAGTTCTAGCGTCCCGCGATTGGACCATCTACAAGCAACGAGGAGCATCGCATTTAGTAAAGATGGATGCGGACTGCGGGGGTCTGAACTCGGGAATTGCATCGCAGCCCTAAAGTTGGGTTCATTTCCGGGGAAGTTGAACTGGTACGAGTATTTGAAAAATGTCGCCAGACTACTGATTCATCAGCTTTAAAATTCAAAATCTCAGGGAACCCACTGACAGGTGATCTACCAGTTCGGGTGGAACGTTCGTATAGCTGCTATACTGACCATGCCCAGAGCCACCAGGGGCTGTCCCAGCAAGTGGCACTTGGGATTGAGGATTTCCCGGAACATAGCCATGCACGGGCGTAATCTGTGAATAAGAAGCCACGAGGTTTTCTAGTGCATCCACGCGTCGCTGAAGGCGTTCTTCCAAACTTGCTTGGGGAAGGTCATACTGACATTGTCGGGAACCCCTCACACATTGGCCGCATGAAGGACGTTCTGAGGAACCAAGAACACTGTGAGGATCATAACAAGGACGCTAGACTACTTGAGTGGGGATCGAACCTGCAGTACATTTCTGGTTCATCGAAGTTCGATTGAGTGGCGGTCAGGATCGTTCGGGTAAATATTGATATATACGCTTGCCTGCTTCCTTCGCCTGCATGGGAGACAAGCACTTCCACGTCGTAACGTATCATTCTGGGGCAGAGAGGGATCCATGAGCTTGGTGGTGTCGCACCATCGATACCAATCGTTGAAGTTATATACATGCGGCACTACATTCACTCAAGAGCGAGCTGTTGGTCAAGACGTAACTGATATTGTGTCAATTGATGGATCCCACACAATCCTGCTTCATCCATTGACGGCGAGCGGCTCAGAGCAACGCGGAGACTCCAAACCCGAAACAAAGGTCCGCTCAGAGTAACTGGAATAAGGGATTTTTCGTCGAGACTTATTGCTCAATAGCGATTTATGAAATAGGGTATTGACAGATGACGGCAGTGAGCGGGGCCATTGAGATCAAACGGAAAATGGCAGATTGTTTGGACTGCTGTTGAAGAGCGCCGGACCACGTTATGAAAAAGGAAATTGTGATGTGAAACCGGATGAAAGCGGAAGGCATGGATCGCGATTCAAAATGACATGAGGGGTAACCGTTCGCTCGTGGTAAAATTGTAGGACCGGCACGTTCGAATCATTCCTCGTCAATGTTTACTCATTCTCTAAGCGTCCCTTAAATAGTTCCAACTCTTCGATGACAGTCATTAGCGCGTTGATTTCCCATTTCCCGAAGATGAAACCGCAGTAAAGCATAGTCGTGCCCAGCCACGCAAGTATGCACCCCGTTAAAACAATCAGGGGGTTCACGGCATTTAGGGGTTGCCAGGCTGAACCGACAATAAGGACAATTTCCCCCACTACGCACAAAACAAATACCCCCAGATGGCGTTTTGAGTTAAGTTGTGACAAACGATAAGCGGCTGTAAGGTTTTGAAGAATACGATTGAGTGTGTGTTGTGACATATGGCCACCTTCCGGGGAGCTGGGTTCTGGAGGATCGGCAGCTATAGGAGCCGGAAGAACATCATGATACGGCTGTGAACTTGGCGCCGCCGATTTGGGACCCCAAACAGGTGGAGCCGCTGGGAGATGCGGGATAAACGATGATGCGGCGGGTGATGATCGAACTTTAAGAATCGCTTCTACGCCAAAATGGTCTGAAAAAGAGAAACGATGGCCAGGGACCTGTGATGTCAAGACGACCCTCGATGCAACGCAATGCAACACCGGATCAATATGCGGTGAGATTTGATCATCATCAGAATGCCCATTGATGAACCGAATGCGGTCATTCACGAGAATGGACGTGTTTCCCGTCGTCCTCAATGGCCCACGGTAGAAGACGTAATCAAGTCGCTTGCCCTGCCACCGCTTAGCTGAGGGGTCCAGAGTTTTGTTGGCAGTATATGTATTCAGAGGTGAGTCAGCTGTGACTCCGAATTCCTGGATTGCATGCTCTGCGGAAAGGGCGGAGCCAGCGGGGGGAGATAGGCCGCAAGAATGAGTTGCGGTCCACGCGTCCGTCAGGCACGCGTGATCTCGTATTAGCGTGATTGCGAGGGAGGCAGGAACATCATTAAAATCACCAACCTTAGTTGAGATGCGTAGGAAAAGTTAGGAGTTTACCGACAGGAGTCAATAATCCATGCTTACAACAATAACATGTCTCCCAAGTGCTGCAGACAGACGAACCCATTTCGTGAGCTCCCATGCACCAACGATTCGATGGGCTCGGTGAATTTCGGAGCCCTCGTCTCCTCCTTTGGCATACATCTTGGGGACGACGAATCAGTCAGGAGCACGGGGTCGGTCAAAATGCTATTACAGCGGTGAACAAAGCTTACGTGAGTGTTAAAAACTTCTACCTGGTTTAGCATTGGATGTGATATCACAATACTGACTGCTGCCTTCCCCACGAACCAATCACCAGCCGCAACATCAATTGGGGCACCATTCAGTGCATAGGGGTGCGTGTGGGTTTCAAGTATGGGATATCGGGAGAATATGGCCAAACCAGAGCCCAGAGCGCCACTAGGTTCGCCACCATCCATCAAAATCTGATGGATTAAATCTTGGACTTGAATTTCTTACGCACGTATAGAAAAATTTCGCAAATGGAAGGATTGTTGACAATATGACACGGATCGTCTGGTAGTCACTAGTGACCCAAACCTCTTGTAAGGCTACCAAATCGTAATGTGACTTGTAGAGTTCCTCTGCGATGGCTTGCAGGCGGTGAGTCCGGTCCTGAGATATGTATTTTAAACCCCTGCAAATGCATCAGTTCAGTCCCAACGCACGCGCACTTTCACAGCAAATACCAGCAATTAAGTGACAGAACTTTGATGGTTTCGTCGGATTTCGCGCTAGATGCCCCGGGTGTCGTCGAAAGTTCCATGTCAAATGACCATCAGAGCTCCAGGATGGACACAAGGCAGTTTGGTCAGCCTACGGGTTTAGCCGCAGACACCTTAGTGGAGAATCCTCGATATCTCAGCGTCGCGGGCCCAATGGGCTACGGAACTCTTTCGCAGCATTCTGTCCCCTTCAAGGCAGGGGTCGGGAGCCAATCATAGTAGCCTCCATGCACATCTATATAGAGGCTGGTAACCTGCCTAGTGCGCAGCTTTCGTGTTTACTGCCCCAAGAGCTTGTTCAGGTCTAGGCACAAGATTATCGGTATACCAGCCTCACCGTCCTGACAAGGTTCTTGCACAGTTTCACTATGGGGTGTTCTGTTGCTTTCGTCAATGCTGCGAAAAAACTCTTGTCTCGGCGCCGTCGCCGGCCTTTCTCTGGTGTCTGCGCATTGTGAGGACGTCACCACCTTAAAAGCTGTATGTATGACGATGTGTTGGAAGCTCGTGGGGATCGCCTAGTGGGGCAAGCGATTGGGGGGAGTCACGATCAATAGCGGTAATGCCTCCAGATTAACTTTGGCCCAATAGCGCGCTTCATCCCTCGATTGTGTCAATGCGCAGCATTTAGGCGTGCGCTGTCCAAATAGTTGTTGCGGTTTGCCAGCTATATCAGCACCCCCGATCGATCGACCAATCGGAGACATATGTCAGATGTCGCGGGCAAGCATGGTGTTCGTTCTTTTCTTCATGCTTGGGATCTCATGCGAACTTTGTGTGGAGTATTGAACGATATGGGAAAGTCCCCTAATGTTTACTGCTGGTTCCTGGTACTGGTAGGAATGGGATTCATGTTATATTAGGATATCTGAGATCGTGGAGGTTACGGGTCGTCAATAAATTGCCGGTTTCGATCGTATACGTTGATTCCTGCTTATGGAGGCCGAGAAATCATGAATTTGGTCAAGGATCAGGTGGGATCAAACCACCACATAGGTGGTGCTGGAGATGATTCATTAACCACCTGCGGTCTTGAGACATGGAGTTACACCATAGCATACGCCAAAGGACCACCATGCAATACATGATAAGGGGTTCTGGAGTGGTCTTCAGGTAGCGATTCCGATCCAGCTTGCCTGGCGCCCAGACTACGATGCTTACACATTCATTCACAGACTTTGGAGTCAGATTCTACACCCTGTCAGCAAGACAAAAACGCCACCCAAGCCCCATCCCTTTAGCGCTTAACCATGAGTCAATAACACACAGGAGGCTATTGCATTGTACACTAATGTAATGTACCAGTACAAACGAGACAAAAAATAAACAAATGCAACAAGAAAAAAATTCACTCTTCGTCTGCCTTCTTAGTTTTCGATGGCACTAGGATTGGTGTCAGATACTAAAACGAGGACATACGGACGCCGACCACTTACGCAGCTCAGGTGCTATGTGTGGCACAACACCACCTTGCGAGATAATAACCGACCAAGAAGCTTATTCAACCTACAATGGCAGGTTAGGCTCCACATCTGGAAACTTGTAAGGCTACGCACTCTTCATCATTCTTGATGGCAAGCTGAAGGTGACGAGGGACAATACGAGCTTTCTTGTTATCACGAGCTGCATTGCCAGCCAACTCCAAGATTTCGGCAGCAAGATACTCAAGAACGGCAGCAAGGTAAACAGGGGCACCAGCACCAACACGGTGTGCGTAGTTACCACGCTTCAAAAGACGATGGATACGGCCAACAGGGAATTGCACTGGTTTGATGAAGTCAGGATTGCATCCTTGCGAGGAGTCGCGACATTACTCACGTCCAGCCTTAGACGAACGCGAGGTACCCTTCTCACCCTCAGCGCCAGACTTGCCACTCTTTCCGCCGACCTTTCCAGACTTTCCTTTGCCTACGGGAAGGGGACGCCATAAGCACGCGATAGCGAGACGACCATTTATCGACGTACCAGACATTGTTCGTTAGTAGTAAGACAGTGGGAACAAGATTATTGTCGTTGAGGTGTTGCGCGGGAGGCTTGATCGAAGGTTAGAAGTCCAAAGTCACGGCGCTTTATAAGAGAGCTATTCGAGTCACGAGCACTCCAGGAGTTGCATCCGCATCGGGACCAAAACAAAACCAGGAAATAAATAAACAATATGTAGAAACAAACAAACAAACACGCAGTAAACCCTCCTCTGGAAGATTGTGCCCGAGGACGGCGCAACGGCGATGAAGATTCAAGTGCGAAGCGCATTGGGCCGCAGTGGGTGCTGCCAACAAGCACGCAGTCGCGACTCTTACTTTGGTACGTACAAGCAGAACAGCAGCCAAAGTGCGATAATAATTGCTGACTCTAAGCTTGCTTCAGGCCACTTGCTTCAGAACATGCCTGATATGTGACATGTACAGATACACATTCAAAAACGGAAAGGCCGATGAGAGAACAAACGCCTCGCAAGCTCGGCCAATGAGTGCATGTACTAGAGATTTATGGTCTTGGGAGAGGCGAGTTCCGTCTCGGGGCCCAAGTAGAGTGGAATGGGAATTTAATGGAGGAGGAGATTTCTGTGAGACTTGTTGTGCCCCGGGTCGCGGCGCTTGTCCCATCCATTTTCCTCGCGTCTATGGCACGCTTGCCTAATCCGTCTGACCTTCCGTACGCCATTTTCCGCTGATCATCCGCGCATGTTCAGTCTGCACCTCTTATGATCCCTCAAACTGGCTTTATTGTCCTCTGCTTCATGTTTCCTTATTTTCTCCCTCTCCCTCTCGCGTCCGATGTTCGCTTCGGCCTCCTTTTCCTTATTTCGCGTCCGCTGTGCGCATCGGCTCTCGTGTCTTCTCTACTGAAGTTTTTCCCGACATCCGCTGCATGCCTTCTTTTAACCTCATATTTCGTCTACCTTTTCCCCCCACATACACTTTTTGGGGTGCGGTTCCATTTGTAAGTATTCTTATGACCCTCGATAGGGTCCCAGCCCTTCGGTTTTCCTCTTGTCGTCTGTTGTTCATTTTTCGAGTCCTTCCTAATCTTCACTCTGTTCGTTGCTGCTCCCTGTTGTTTCAGCGTTACTCGCCACCTTCTCCAGTGTAATTTACCGCTTTGCACATGTAAGACAACCGACGTATGGGAAGCGGAAATGTCCAAGGATAGAAGTCTCGTACTAAGAAAGAAAGTCACTTAACGACCAGAGGTACTCCTGAGAGGAGAGGAAAGGATCATCAGTTGCTGAAAACGATAGGTCGAGACCAGGTAGAAATCAAGCGCGTTCAGCTTGCAAATTATTATGAATATTCGTCAGGGCCCTATTTCAACCCCTTCATCATTCGGTTAATGCCTATAGCAAAAACGCAGAATCGAATGGGGGAGCAAGGATGTCTCAGACTTGTGCTCGTTCTCATCAAAGCGCGAAACAAGCAGGCAAAGAATTGGTCCTTACCACCACACAATGAGCCACTGATCTCCAGATACACTGATTTATCATATGGATCCCATCCCTTGGACGAATCATCAGTGTCGGTGACAGGAAGTATGCCTACATTGACTGAATTGGGTGCCCTTGCTTTGTAAGCACGGAGGAAGCGCGTTCGTTAGAGCGGAAGACCGTGGGCCATTTACACACTGGCATGTAACGAGAGCACCTCCGCTATCGAACCCGGACAACGGATCCTCGACCTCAACTCCAGTGACACACTCGGCCTTTTGCTTTCATCTGTATCAAAGGCCAGATGGGTACTCTATACGAATAGAGGCTAGTAACCTGCCTAGATGGCACGCCGTTGTTTACTACGATTGTTCTGATTTATCCTGTTTTGAATTCTGGATGCGGCCGATCTGCATTACCCACTTCTCTGCAGGCTAAATGCCCAGGAGCCATATCCCCTTCAGGGAAAAGCCGGCCAGACATATCTCATGGATGTCTCTATTGAACCTGTGTTTACTGCTCATACCCAGAATCCCATGCCAGCTTCTGGATGCTTTTCGTAGCATCATGCTTCACGTGTCCGCGATTCCCAACATGTTATCCAGCCTTTCGCTTCCATGACTGTTACGCAAAGCCCAGCTGTAGAACCCGCTCGGTGATCGCATATTTTTGGATCAGCAGTCTACGCTACTGCCGGAAGTCCATCAGCACCGAATGGAGAGCCCACCGGTCGTGCAGAGAATGGCAATATCTCGGCACATCTTTGCACATGAAATATTGAGTTGCTCGATACATTTGTGGCAAAACCTATGGGCTTTCTTGCCAACAACACCCAGCCGAATGTCAGGGATTTCCCAGTGCAGTGGAGAACGTCCTGATTAGGTGTATATCCGCCGCGGTAGTTATGATGATGACACATTCGGCCAACGTATACCCGCATCGATAAAATTGACCACTAGATGGCGGGGGGTCCTAGGTGTATAATTTTAGATCTCGACAGCCACGAGATTAAATGAGACTTGTATACTCACATCCTTTCCCTCGCGTCCGCTGCACGCTTCGGGATTTCTGCCTGTCCTCTCGTATGCCATACCCGCCGATGGCTCTTCGGATACTGACCGCCCGTGTATGCTCAGTTTGCAGGTTTAAGTAGTAGTCTTTCCAGTTGCTCCCAGGCCAATCTCACTCTACTACTTTAGGTACGTTTCCATTCTCTCGCGTCCGCTGCATCTTCACGATCTAATTCTCGGTTCTTTTACTTGCTGCCTTCGAGTGTGGTGAAGGCATTATGACCTTTGCTTTAGTGGTCCCGTGTATAGGTTTTTGTTTTTCGGCTCTTTCCTGACTTTTATAACTTTCGCTCTGTATTCTGTTTATGTGTGTTGCTGCTGCCTGTTTTCCCGCCACCACACCTTAGTGTATTTCACTGGGGTTTCGGCGGTTCTTGAGGCCGCTGCCACTCTACTCTTTCGGTGCCCATCCGGTCGCACATAAGAGCTATTGAAACATGCAGTATTATACATTATAGATAGTGTTAGTTGTGTCATTATTTGAAGATCACTAGTACGCAGCGTAGTAGGCAACACCGCTCTCCATGCAAGAGCGAAGTCAATGAGTTGTTGAGAGCCCGGTACACCCAAATTTTGTTGTTGGCCGCCACTTGGGTCCCAACGCCAAAGAGTCATGAATAGCCGAACTGCTGTCCCTGATATCCTAGTGGGAAACCCCGTGGTCTGCCATGTGTTTGACGTGTACTGCCTTCCTGGCTAAATTCCTGCCAGTGGCAACCTGAACCTGCGGTTTATTGGGAGAAGTGCGGATGGCTGTGTTGGAATTTAAGGATTATGGGATATGCGCCTGATAATCGGGAGGGCCGTACAGAGGTGAGGCGGTACGAGGCAGGCGTGATGGTGTGGTTCTGTCTCCCAGACGAGGATCCTGACCTAGTGCTTGGGTTAGGTGCGCACCCACATCCTCACGAGTTATCCACTCACTCTCGTGCCCGGATATGCGGGACAGCTGTCTAGAGCCTTGTCTCCTGTTCTCCGCCCTAAGCGAGGCAGTGCGCTTATGGGAAATTCGACGCATCGGCTGGTTCATCTCCTCCGACTGAGCATTCCCTCGTTTCCACCAGCGAATCAACAGCCAAAGTCCTAGCACAAATGCGTTAGAAAGGATCGCAAATTCCACTTTCACCTGCAGAAACGCCATACCAACGCTGAGTAAGAAGATTCCAACGGCTACGAGTCCAGCAATGATCAGTACGTCAAACTCGCCCATTAATCAGCGGCAGAGAAAGCATGTCTACGGGGCAATCGGAAGCCGTTATACCAGGCTATAAAAAATTGCGTGGGGGAGGTAGCTATATATAGCACGCCTCTATGGGTCGGATGTATTCGCGGCAAGTCAAAGTGGATGCGCTGACTCTAAAAATAAAGCAACGTGTCTCCGGCTGACTCCGGATGGTGGCCGCCACAACAAAAATGTTGCTTCGCAACCATGACCTTGCTTGCGGATTACATGAGCACTGCTAGGCTCACAAGCAAGGTAACTGTAAGCCTCCCGAGGATGACTCGAGCCAGTTGATTTATTCTATCTAATGTTACGAAGTCATAGAGGCTGGAGTCCTGGTAGAGGCTGGTATCCTGCCTAAGTCCTGGGGGGTTTGGTTTTTGCTTCCCTTATTTCTTCTTACGGACCAACAAGGTCGGCCTGTATGTCTTACCTTAGCTACAGTGTAGCGGAGTTGGCTGAATTTATTTGTTTATTCGATTATTAGAGCGGTGTTGGGGCATGTGATCAGAATTCCCACAAAATCAGCGTCAGAATTGCCACGAATTGTGACCTGGGAAGTGACCTTGCAAGCAAGGTAATTGCTTTGTGCATAAGGGGGCAGGTCACGGAGTTTTAACAGCGTTGGGTGTGTCGGTTTGGGATTTTAGACTACAAGTGTGGGCAAGGGTCCCCCAAATTATTTATCACGCCACCAGCCGGAGTCACTAGAGCTGCCCCACCTGGTAAATGTCTTATTAATTATATCGTGGCAACCACAGATCCCAGTGTTCGAAGTGTCTGCAACCGCAGGGCCGTGCTGACAGAAAGGCAACCAGAAACTCATAGCAGAAACCGTGAACTAACATAAGCAGCATCCCAGCCTGTACTAAAGTAGAGAACTAATAGAATGTTGCATTCCAAAAACCATTGTGACCCAGCTGTGAATGTCCCTATGCACTTGTGCAATCAAAAGAAGTCAAGAATACGAACGAGCTTCATAACTCAACAGCTTCACGTTGTTGGCGCACAACTACCAATCGATTTTCAAAAAAGAATGTATTAGCGTCGTGTAAGCGGTAGGAAAATGTGTACAAGATGTGAATTAACGTTCAAGAGAGAAGAGAGAGAAAAACACATCAAGGTGGCCGTTAAGCCATCCACAACTGAGTCCATCGGTGTGGACACCAAGAAAGGAGATGACGGACAATCTCCATGAAAATTTCCGCGCGCGACAAGTGTGGTGGTACGCGCACGGACCCTACTCCAATATAATAGTGAAGAGGCCACCGCGCACGTTAAGAAATCAAACAGAGCTTGCTGAAATAACTGTTCATCGACATATTGTGTATGTTGAAACGAAGAAAAGTGGTAAAAAATTATTAGAGGGGATAATCAGGAGCCAGGTCATGGGGTACACATGCTGGATGGCACTCACCCCGTGTGAGTCTCGTCTGCTCATTCGCGGCGTCCCTATCACTTCCACGATTCGCGGGCCAACATCTCACTTCTGATAGCTGTTAACTTATGCCACACGCTCAGCTTCGAAACGATGACAAACTATGATTGCAATTAATCATATTTAACGCGGTAGTGATGCGATGGCTCCTAATACCATTACATATATATATTGTGTTTGTTGTTGGCTTAACAAATACCCACATGCCATTGAGCTCTTAGCTAGGCTACTCTAGTGCGAACAATTTATCGTGACAGGCTGAGCACATCACTCGCAGCTGCTGCGCGCGCGCCCATGCACAGCTGAAACGCGAACGGATCATATCAACTTGACTCTATCGGAGCTCACGACGACGCTATCGTGATCGCCGTTACTGAACTCCGATGCGGGGCCCGTTGGGCCTCAACGTTACGTCAGCGCTCTTTCGCGCATATATCGGTGATGAACTTTCTTGCGTCCATACCTGCACCCCGCAACTCAATTCAAATACGAACAAGACACCACGAAGGAACGGGCATCGATAAAAGTTAACAGCGGTCAGCCGGGCTACGGCTTGAATTGATAGAATCTGCCTTGGAATATTTGTCACCCAATGCAGTCGCATCATATTCACGTCGCCGTTGCAAGAATGGCCATTGTAAGGATTCAAGGGAAACACCGGCCGGACGGGACAGCGCGGCGGCGTTTTGTGATTCCATGCAGCCTATATGTGTGATTCAGGTGACATAATAAGCGTTCTGTCGGGCTGCGCAGCTGGCCATGAATTGTGTTTTCGTTGGCGAGTTTCGAAATAGGCCTCTTGATAGGCTTGGAACGGGTCAAACTGTAAAGGAACGGAAAGTGGCGGGTTCCCAGGAAGACCCGAGCCACCCCCCAAAATAAAAAAAGATGCTGCCCCTGCAGCCTGTGCCTGGCCTACCGACAAAAAGGATGTAAAGACCCCGCCACTGACCTCGTCCTAAACCTCACCCTAACTACAACCCACACAGCGATACCGTTCCTGGAGAACGCGAGGGCACACGCCGTCGGCAACCCAGAGGACATCAAAATATTCAACCCCGAACCACTACGCGGCCTGCCTCTCCGCGGCTGCTTCGGAATCTTCGGCAAAGGTCCCAACCCCCCCAGACACCATACCCTTCGCGGACAGATCTTGCATCTAAAAGGGGGACGCCAACGCGACAGCGGGCTTTGGAGCCTGGCACGGTCCGAACGACCCCAGAAACCAGAAACTCGAGTAGAAGAGTAGGCCCCTCACCTCCCGCAAGCCAACAAACCAACAGAAATGCTCGCAATACACACACACATCGAGACCGACTCGAAATGGCGCATCAATACCCTATTGCCGAAACCTAAACGACATGGAAGACCTGGACTATATATCCACGTCAAACATCCAGAACAATCAAATTAACAGTCAGCGCCCTAAGACACAGACACAAACCCACCTCATTCAACGGCCACATGCACCGGCATCCAAGGCAACGAAGGAGCCGACGAACTGGCCAACCTAGGCACCCAGCCCGCACCGACGCAGTATCCTCCCATAGCGCAAGGCCTCCCTAACCCAGGATCCCCAGCGGGAGCCCGACTAAAGACAGTCTAATGCCCACAAACTAATCCGCCGTGAAAAGCAACAAGCCCAGAGCCAACCTGACAAACAACGTGCTTGCCCTTAATCTGGCCAAGCGCTAAAAAAAAACACAGGCAAATGGCAACCCTCGGAGAAAAGGTCAGAATCTGCAAAAATCTTCTCCAAAAACCCGCAAAGGCCACCCTCCCGAAATACGGAACTTTCATATCTTTGCAACTTGGAGACGAGTTAATCAGAGACCAGAGGCACTGGCAGTCGGTTGAGAAACTGCCAGTGATCATAAACAGAACTGGCCAAACGTCGCTAGGAGGGGGGCAGCTAGATGATACCCCATAGAGCAGAGGAGCCATGCACTTAAAAACAGTCGATAGTTAAATGCGTCCCCCCCAAACCAAAGACTGATGCTGAAAGGCATGTTCAAAGAGTTGACTTGCTCTGAGAAGTTTTCTACAGCGTGCCTGGGGATGAATGAAGATGCGCAGTGAACGGGGTGATCATTGATGGTGGTGGTATAAGGGCAAACGAGCTTATGAGACTAAAAAGTAAAACCGGGTCAGGCTATGCGATTCTACACAGCCACCTTTAGCTAACTCATCATGAGACCTAAAATGTGCAACTGAGTGTCCACGGCCATAGGACTCGGAAAACACCGCATCCCGTCCGATCTGCGAAGTTAAGCCGAGTACCGCTCAGTTAGTACCATGGTAGGGGACTACATGGGAATCCTGAGTGCCGTGGTTCTTCTTTTTCTTTTTCTTTTTCCTTTGTCTTTCCTTGCCTGTCAGTCAACCTTAAGTACGTCACTTGGCCAACAGCCGATTTGCTCTGAGTCTTATCAAAATTATTCATGGTGTATCTTGGACACCGGCCGCGCTATTGGTTCCATTTGTTATGCAATGTAGCTTTCTCTGTCTGTAAACCTCAACCGTTCCGATGTTCTTGCATGATAGCATCGCGTTTGTGTGGGCCTCACGCAATGACTCCTACTACTTGCAAGCAAGGAGTAACTGGCCTGGCCTGGCTCGCCGAGCCAGCCCCAAGCCAGCAATCAGTAGTGAACTATGCATGAACATGTATATATGTTGATCCCTCAATCTCCGACAGTTTTTCGAATCGTTATATAGTTACATATGAACGTACGAACATGACAGAATATTGGTACTCATCGCTGGCACTGGTATGCAGGTGAGTAGCCTCTAGAACCGCTTGCCTGACAGTGCTGGCTGGCTGACTTTGTTTGACGAGCGTTTGATCACATTATAACATCTATTCATGCGCACCGTCGCCACCTGGATGTCAACGGTCAGTCAGCACGCCGCATCGAGCCCCTGAATGATCATACGATTTATTGGGTAACAAAGTGGGGGAAAAAACACCTAGCGCATATCGATGAATTTAGGAAGATCGTGATCGCAATCGACTCATCGACCAGGGGGGGCCGCCCGTGCCGCAGATCGGGGTTTATATTTCCTATGACTGGATACATATGAAGCTAGCTAGAGCTAGCTAGACTTGGAATTATCGATCGCTGCCGAATTCAATGGTGACATGTGGGCGTGATAGCGGCTACTTATCGATCTATCCTAGCATATGACAATGCATAGTACGAAAGGGAAAAGGGAGCGAATGGATGTGCATGCACGGGTTATCGATTTATCGATGGGATGGGATGGGCGCGCGAGCGCATCACTAAGTATACATGACTCGGGATATATACCTTGCAAAGTTCCAAGTACAACTTTGAGACGGATCGAGGGAATCGGCAGCACTTAGCACTATTACATATTTATTACTGCATGTAGTTATCACGGCGAACCCTTGAATCATGCCATGCTTGTTGCACCTGGCAGGTGATCACCGGTCTCTATAAGCACAAGAAGAACCTGGCAGAGATAAAAGCTGATCATGCGAGCTCGGAAAGGCTAGTACGGAGTTGATCATGTAAGGGGGCATGTACACGTGCGATTGCTAGGTCATCGGACCGTAACCCTTATATAATTTGATTATTTTTTTGCGGGGGGGGTTGAATGCGGCCACGAGATTCTTCGGAAGCTTTGTACACTTGTGCATACTATCCTGCCCCATGGGTGTGGCGGAGCTAAGAGGAGCACTTGTGGAGGCTACCTCTTGGGCTAGCTGCGTAGGGCAGTGCACTAGTAATGTGGTGCAGCAGGTACTACTTTGCAATCATGCGGCGCCCACTAAGCGAGCTAAGAGAACGTGATGTTACGGATACGGTAGGCGTTGCATGCATGCGGTTACGGTTGCGAGCAAGCGGTGTTTGGAGCCGTGATGAGTATGATCGTGGCAAGGTAACGGGCAAAAGGTAGGGATTGGGCGATTAATTTGGGCTTAATGACTCAATTGGACATCTGATCATGGCATGGCATGGACGAAGCAGAGACTGAGAGGCTACTTACGCGTTGTATACGGACCGGAGAATGGATCGCACGTTTTGTTGACGCGATTTTTGTTCCGCCCCATTACACTAGAGGAAAGTACTACGGAGCACATGGAGAATGAGAATGACGATAAGGTTGCGGAAAAAAAAGGGGGGGGGGTGCTGATCTGGTTGTTAAGAAACACATGACCCCCCTCTGTCATGGGTGCTGTGGGTGTAGCCTCGATTTAGAAAGTGTGCAAGTCATAGAGGGCGTGGTTTTGCAGCTGGGCAGTTGCAGCTGTTTGGACGTTTCGTGAGTAAAAAAATGCCATAGGAGCCATCTGATGATCGCGGGTGGCTCCGTCTTTGCTTGTGATAGTGAAGTAAGAATGGAACTCTGCCCTTGAGGGAAGGTCGAATCAAGACAAATGTTAATGTTGAATGCGGGGGGTTTTTTGTTGATTTGATTGATGACTGCTTATGTAATCGGGTTAAATGGTAATCCCATTCAATATGGTAATAACCCCCGCAAAACCCATTTCACGTGTGATCACCGACTGAATTGAATGGGACGTCTTGTTGCGTGGCACGACTCACGCGGACACGAACAAACTCGAACTACTGAAATGCTCCTTTCCCCGCATCACTAAACCCCCCTTTTTTGCATATAATTACTACTACTGCTACTACTATCGCTTTACTGTTGACCCCCCCGTCTAGTTCAAACTCACCACTTGCTCTCGCTCAAAGCGCTCCTCAAAGCGCTCCACTCACCATTAATACTATAACGACCAAACACGCCCCTCCCCCCTCTTGGCTTGACTCTTCTCTTGAGCTGGTATATCTCCTAGAGAAAGACTTCGTCTGGCTTATACTTTGTAACTCCGTGACACATTCTCGATCCAACTTGTACGACGCGAAGCCTTGTCCCTCGGGGCTAGCTCATCGCAATCCCCCTCCCCCTTTTTTTAAAGACTACTATTAGTACGACCAAGACGATTCAATTCGTCTACGCTCTTCTTCCAACCTCCTATATCGACTTTTGGGGGGGGTTTGACTTGATACCTGAGTCACGCCCTTGGTCTATTTTTTGTGCTTTGATCAGACCCTCTCCAGGTGCTATCGAGTACGCCACCTCTTCAAACACAAACCGTGCAGATGTCAAATCTACTGGCGTTGCGGTGGCTCTTTGGAACTTCACCCCCACCCAGCTCCGTCCGTACCGAACTACTCTCAAACTCTTCTGTATTTCCATCTTCCTCACACTTCGCTCCTCCTCCCCCTCCTCTTACCTCTACTCAATCAACAATGCCACTCCACACCACCACCACGACCTCCTCCTCTTCATCAGCACCCAACCATTCTGCTGCTACCGGTAAAATCAATTCAAAACCACCCACTCCTAAACCCAACAGTACTGAATCACTCTTCCCACAAGAAGATCTAGACGCCCTTCTTGAACAATTCAAATCGTCTTCCTTACCCCTCTCTTCTCGATGGGCCGCTGCAAGCGAGAGAAAAGATTGTAGCGTCACTCCAAATGCCCAGAGCCGCGATGGTGGTGGTGGTGATAATGATCTTGACCAAGGGGGTGACGGTAGTGGACGATCGTTCGTTCAAAAGGATGCGAAGCCGTTTACGGTGTTGGGACTTTGGAGACATGCGTGGTTTTTCGCTGCTAAAGGTATGTTTTATATTCAATTATTCATCCTTTTTTTTTCATTTCACCGATTCATGATCTCTGCACAAACATAACCATACCCTACCCCCCCAGCAAAAGATTTAGCAACCGACATAGCCATTCATCACATCCTAGGCCCCCGTCGACCAACCTGGGGTATCGAAATGACGATTCTAGCTTCTCTCGCCCGTGACTTAGCCTCCAACACGCACCTAGCAGACGTCTCCGTTCTCCGAGCCGCCACGGCGATAGGAGGTTACTTGGCCGCACCTTCCGATGCGTTCATCACGCCCGTGACGTATAAAGTGAGGAAGAGAGGGTTGAAAGGGTTTTTGAAAGTGTGGGATGAGAAGGAGGATGGGAGAAGAGTGTTGGATGGTGAATGGGTCATTGGGAAGAGGTTGTGGGGGAGGTTACAGAGGGAGTGGAGAAGTGCCAGTGTCAAGGGGAAGGAAGGGTTTGGAGAGAGGGTGAAGGTGAAGGAGGGTCATCGTGTGAAGGCTAAGGAGAGGGTTGTTTTGTATATTCATGGAGGTGAGTTTGGGATTTTTTGTTGAGAAGACGCGATGCGAAGAGGAGGCGGGCGTTCCCCTTCGTCGCGCGAATTTTGACTTGGGTTTTTTTCTATTGTGTGAGCGCTTACTGATTATCTCACTCCCTCTTTTCCCTTCTTCAACTTGCGCGCGCCACACATCCCGGACTCGACGGCATACTTTCGTCATCACTCTCTCACACACATAATGTTGGCTTCCACTTTCGTATTAACGGAACGTCATCGCATTTCCCACATTCCACTTAATCCGATGGGCCCCACTTCCATCCCGATTCTAATTCAAATCCCTTCCACTTATAACAATCAGGAGCCTATTACATGGCCTCCGCCTCATCCCACCGTATCGTCACCATCGCGCTCTCCAAATCCCTCGACGCCCGAGTCTTCTCCATCAACTACCGACTCGCCCCCGATACGCGCTTCCCAGGCGCCGTTCACGATTCGGTGGTCGCTTATCTCAGGTTGGTGGAAGATTTGGGGATACCGGCTGGGAACATCATTTTAGCGGGGGATAGTGCTGGTGGAGGGCTATGTCTTGCGCTCATGATGTATTTGAGGGATGAAGGGTATGAGATGCCCGGTGGGGCTATTTTGATGTGTCCTTGGGCTGGTGAGTTGAGGGATGACAATTTCCCTGGTTTTTTTACATCATCTTTTTCCCTACGTGGAACATTGACTTCTTTTTTACGATTTATAGATTTGACGATGTCTTGTGCGTCATGGGAAACGAACGCAGGCCTGGACATCGTCACGTTCCCTACGGACCCCGAGGATCATATGAACCCCGTGGCGTGTTACTTGGGACCTGAGGGGATGAAGAAATACATCACTCATCCGTATGCGAGTCCGTTGTTTGGGGATCTCAGGGGGTTACCGCCTCTGTTGGTTCAATCTGGGGATTGTGAGGTGTTGAGAGATGAGGTTACGCTTTTAGCTCATAAGGCAGCGTTGGCGGGAGTTAAAGTCACGCATGAGGTATATGAGGATGCGGTGAGTCTCTTTTGGGGGGTTGGTGCCTGGCTTTGTTTACTGATGAAAATGGCCCGTTGCATATATATATTATATATATATGACGACTATTTAGATTCATGCATTCCAGTTGTGGCCCTTTTTGGATCAGTCCCGAAAGGCGATCCGTTCGTGTCGATACTTTGTTCTTCATACCCTTCCGGAGATACAACGAGCTGAGGCCGCGGCTAAATCGAAGGTGGCAGGATCATCTCCTTCACCGTCGTCGGCTCCTTCATCTTCTGAGAGGCTCGGAGAAGGTGTGGAGGCTTCGCTCGAGAGGGAGATTGAGGGTGGTGGGAGGATTTTGGTGGTGGATGGGATGGGGGATGTCGAGAGGAGTTTGGGTGAAGGTCCAGAAGGGGAACGTGGGTCTAGTCTTGATGAAGTTGAGAAGCGAAAGGAGAAAGGGGAACGGCGGGTGGAGAAGAAAGGTTCGGAGTGGGATGGAGATTCTGGGGAGGATGAGTATGAAGATGAAGATTTCCCGGGAACTATTAGGTCTTCCAGTGGAACGACGAAGAAGTGTGATGAGGTGGAAGAGAAGGGAGAGGAAAGGGAGAAGGGAAGGGAGGAAGTCAAGGATGCTGTCGTGGAGGGAGAGGCTGTTAGTGATGCTGATGCCTCTTCCTTGCGGGAGTCTTCTATCCTTACACCCACTCCAGACAAGGGAGAATCTTCGCTCTGGAAATCATTCACTTCGAGGTCGTTCTCGAGTATCCAATCAATTGCCCCCTTCTCAGCGACGATAACGCCTTCATCCTCTACTTCCACTGCCACTGCCGAACCTACTAACGCGAGGACACCTAACAGGGCACGTTCTGGTTCCCTCACTCATGGAACGACTCGTCGATTTACCCGACTCAGTTCTACGCCTGGAATCTGTATGCCAATGCCCAGTGCTACGACTCTGCATGACCCCTTTGCTAATACCACTACCACTTCGATGAGTCCTGCCACCGCCAATGGTACGACGATGACAACACCCGCCTGCAGCAGCAGCAGCAGCAGTGGTGCTAGTAATGACATGTCACCGAGGGCACGAACGACGAGTCATCCGGATATGGTAAAGTTGTTGAAAGAATTCGCGATGACTGGACCTGCGAATGCGACGAGTACGTTTGGGTATCGATACGTTGACGGTGATGGGTGATGGACGTGGGGTCCCTTTTCTTTTTCCCTTTGTGCATTGATGGCTTCTTTTTAATGATTTGGACATAGTACTAGTGGTATATAACTTGGCAGGATACCCAGGTAGTACCATACATATATGCATTATACTTAATTACAGTAGTTGCCATATGTATGTATACATGTATGTACACATTGCAAAGAAAAATGGTTTTCTAGTGGCGGGGTTCTTGTGCCCGGTTTCTTTAACCTACTTGTCAAACAATAATATAATGAGCGGTCCCCCCCGCCCACCCGCTCTAACTAATTAGCGTGCTTGCGAGCATGTTGTGAAGAAACAAAAAATGAAAAGTTACTTTTAATGAACAACCAAATCCAATATCGAGCACGCAAGGTCAATCTCCCAAGCGTCGGGATAAAACTCCCGGAGACAAAAAATGAGAAAGGATAGAAAGAAGGGGAGGAGGGAGGAGGGGAGAGAGAGGGAAAAAAAAAAACCAGGATTCCCATGTAGTCCCCTACCATGGTACTAACTAAGCGGTACTCGGCTTGACTTCGCAGATCGAACGGGATGCGGTGTTTCCCGAGTCCTATGGCCGTGGATATTCAATCATACATTTTAGGTCTGATGATGAGTTAAGTAGAGGTGGCTGTGTAGCATCTCATAGCCTAAACCAGTTTTTTCTTCGACCTGACGGCTTTCCAGATACTAAAGGTCTGGTTGTTATCTCCTATAATTCATGGGACAAGGCCGTTGCATAGACGTTGCCACTAGGAGATAGCAGGTGTTGTCACAAAGTGGTTTTTATCTTCAACATTGAACCACTTTTCATCTTTGTCCTCGCTAAAAGTGGGCTCGAGGCCGGCCTAAGATATTTTTCGAATACATCGACAGCCTCAGCTAAGTAAGTAAGGTAAGCAGGGTAGAGAGAGCAAGTTCTGGCCTTATGCACGCTACGCGTTCATGGAGGTCAGCTGCAACAAGGTAGTACATCTTGAAGCACCCACGCTCGAGTCGTAGGTTCAGCGGCTGGGGGTAACTAGTCCATGTACCTCATAAGGCTGATACTCGTAGAGAAGTTCTTTTTCTTCAGGGGTTTGAGTCGCCAAGATACACATTTCCAAGGTAGTCACAATACCGTAGCGATGGGGAGATTAAGTCCAACAATGATAAGGAATCTTGGCACTACAAAACAACAACCGGGACACAACAGCGAAAACGCAGCGGCGGTTTCCTTTCCAGAAGGGCAACAAACAGCCCACACAACACTGTGAAGATCCATGACCGGACACGTTCAGGTCCCCTCACCTATCGTGCGACTTGTCGATTCACCCAGCTCAGTTCCATGCTATGCCGATTGCCCAGCGCTACGACTACTTATGCATGCCCCCTTTACTATTATAGTAATGACATGTCGCCGGGGGCGCGGCATGTCATTGACGGAATTTGCGATGACTGGAGCTGAGAATGCAACGACAATGATGGACCAAGGAGGCAGCTGGTAGCACGGTGAATTCGGTGTGCCGGTGTGAAGATTAGGGGCCATAGTAGTCACGATGAGTGGCTCGTTAGTTGGTCTTGGCTGCTTGGCTCCGCGCGTACAGAGTACTTCTCCTTTCTCCCTTCTCCCGTGGGGGTATTTCCTAATTAGCAGCAGATAATTAATGCGACATGTATATTGCAATGTGTCATGATTTTCTACTCCGTAGCGGGTTCTTTCCCTGTCTAACCGACCGTCAAATAAGTCCCAGCTCTAACTAACGTGTGAAAAGAAAAAAATCTAATTCAAGGTCAATCTACATATACGGGCTCTATATAAGGCCCCCGGAAGAGAAGGGAGTAAGTGCGTGGAGAGGGAGAGAAAAAGAGAAACCGCAGCATTTGGGATTCCCATGTGGGGATCCACCATGGTACTAACCAAACGGCACTCAGCCTAACTTTGCAGATCGAACGGGATGCGGTGCTTCCTGAGCCCCATGGCCACGGATATTAGATATCCAATTGTGACGTCCCATAATCATTAGAATCCGGTCGCAACACATCCATTACTGTAAGACAGCGCCGATACAAGGACCCAATATGTAGACCGACATCGAACTTCTTTCATCCCCTGTTCCCGCTAATTAGTGGCTTGGATTGTCGTTTGAATGCGCTCATAGTTCCTGTCAGCTGAGCAACAGAGGAAGCTGACGCTGGCGACAGCATCAAGATCACGACCAATCAATCTGTGAACACCCTCGCGCGCGTATCCACAGAGAAGGTTGATGGTAACAAGCCAGCCTTGAGTGCCATACATCAGCTAGTCGAAGACTGAGACAGGACCCGAATGTCATGTCCACCGTTCAAGTTGGAGGTTAGGCTAGTTGCCATAAAGTCGAGACAATGGAGATAGGGGCAACTACTCCTAAAGGTGCTAAAGCCTGTGGAGATGTACGGGCTGGACACTTGATCTCGTGGTAGTGTTCGGCACTACCAGATGGAACATTTGTATGTCGACATAACCAACATCGACCACATTGGTGCATCCACAGCTGGTCTGCAGGGAATGAAATAACCCAAGTTGAGGTAGAAGGAGAAAAGAAAAAAAACTACAGCACTTAGGATTCCCATGTAGTCCCCTACCATGGTACTAACTAAGTAGTGCTTGGCTTAACTTCGCAGATCGAACGGGATGCGGTGCTTCCCAAGCCCTATGGCCGTAGACACTAAAGGACTAATTATAATCAGTAACATGGGTGTCAGAAAGCAGTGTTAATACAAAGATCCAAAATGTGGATTTATTTATCCTCGATATTCTCTTTCACCCCCCAACGTAGAGGAAGCAAGTGCTGACCACATCAAGATCATACTTGATCAATCCATGAGTTTCCTACATGCACGTCCATGCGGACCAGCGGTGGCCACGTCCTGACGTTCGGGTTACAGGTGGCTCCGAGATATACGGGTCCAAAGCATTACGGTACGTACCATGCACAGCGATGTGGAAATCGAGTCCAACAAGAACGAGTCTTGGGATTGCACAAAGGAACCAGGGCACAACGACTACGGAGGAACGCCAAAAGGGGCAACAAGCAGTTCATACAACTAGGTCGGAGCAATCAGTTCGTCGTGCACGGATGCGTAGTAGAACCCCTGCCCTCGGACTACGTTAGTCTCTCACATGGAACAACAAGATTCAAAGCAAAACTGCGATTAGATAGGTTGCAGACAGGACTGGTGTGCCTACGATGTGCACGAATCGAGAAATGAATGGGAATGAGACAGTGTAAATGGCTAGGCTAAAAAAAAAAAACAACCCAAACCTGAGACTTAGCTTCTGCAGAAATTGACATGATTCTGTTCGTTTCTGAGTGAAAAGCCAAAGAATCGCGTACCTTCGCGTCGAACCGTTACCTTAGTGAATCATTGTGGCGGTGGGGTTTTCCATCTTCCTGCAAAAATTAGTTTGGACGTAAAAGAAGCTTAAGGCGCACGCAGTGACAAGCCACCATCCCCATTGAGTGCCGCACCGGGCTTCCACCATAAATTGAACATCTTTTTTACTAAGCCGCGGTCGAAAATTGAGATAGGATCCGTTCGTCGTTAGGTAACACAGGGGGCTGAGTTGGTCCCGCCAGAATAATGGAGACAAAGACACGATGTTGGGCCAACTACCACAAGGAGTGATGATCTGCGAAAGCCGGTGGAAGTTGTGTGAGTTGGACAGCCGGTTCCAAGTCGTGGTAGCGCTTGGCATCCCCCGATGAAATGTTTAGGCCGGACCGGATCTGTAAGACTCAGAGGGGGAATGAGTGAAAGAAAGTGGAAGGAGAAAAGAAAAAAGGAACCACGGCACTTAGGATTCCCATGTAGTCCCCTACCACGGTACTAACTAAGCGGTGCTCGACTTCACTTCGCAGATCGGACGGGATGCGGTACTTTCTGAGCCCTATGGCCGTGGATGACAGTGAGTTAGTCGTTATGTCCTATGAGCATATGAGGCTACTGAACATACCTAGACACTTCTAAAATGAATTTATCATTTACATTAGACCTCTTCCACCCCTGAGCGATTGGGTAGTATAGTCATAGTCAAGCTTGCTTTGCTGAATGATCAAGCAGTGACTGAGTGCTCATCGCCCAGGTCATCGGAGTTGAAAACATATGGCATATGTTATACGATGTGCATGCAGTTGCACTCAATCTAACGTTGTTGATACGTCGAAGGGTTCCATACCAGGCGTTCTTTTAGCTCCAAACGTCAGGATGCTACGATGATAGTGTATTCATGTGCCCGGCGGGGCGGAGAAATATCCCCTTAATCTTGATGGGCAGGGGCTTGAATCTTCGATGCGCACGCGTGTCCAAAGCAGTTACGATATTGTGGTGGTAATTGGGATTGAGACTAGCGATGATTTGAAAGATCTTGGCATCGCGAAGGGGACCTGGGCACAACAGCTGTAGAAGAAACGCAGCAACGTTTGTCACAAGGAGCAGGTACCATTCTGCTAGGATCCATTGCACAATTCGTTTCCGACGTCGCGGGCGCGCGGAGTAATCGACCCAGCAGGGCACTCAAAAACTACGTTTACTGCCCCACATGAAACAAGATTGGACTCTGATCAGATACACGCGTTGCGACCACGACAATAGTGTACTTACGTGCGAATCGAGAAACTCATCAAGAAGCATGTGCATCGGCACGCTGAGGCCCAGGCCAAAAAAAAACACTCAAACTTGAGGCTAGCTACAGCTGCTTTTTCTTCCGGAGGGGGTTAACATGAGTCCGTCCGTCCCTGCGTGAACGAGCAGATGATATATCTGCCTAGCTTCCCAGACTCATGGTGGAAGTTCCACGTGAGATATCTCACCCCTTGCGCCGGGTGTTCTTGGCCGCATAAATTAATGTGAAGCTTGGTGTGAAGGGTCGGCAGTGACAGACCACCCTTGAGTACCACATCGGACTTCCATCGTGAGAGTGAATATATGGTAAGTAGCATGGCCACCAGTCCAAATCTCAGGCACTGAGACAGGATTTAAATGTAGTGTTTGAGGATTGCCATAGAATCGAGTTAATGGTTCGAGATCGATAGGAAAGGGTCAGCAATGTCGGCAACCGCCACATCGATGATATCCATTTCGGTCCTGATAACAAGATCGACGTCTGAGAGGGACTGAGACCATTGGCATGAATAGGGAGCAGCAAAAGTGAAGCTAGGAAATTCGCCTGCGCATTGGGGACATGATCCAGTTGAACCCTTATCTAGGGCCAGCCATTATAACGTTTGGCATCCTAGCTCAGAATCGAATATTCGTATATCAACACGACCAATGATATACTACCAAAATAGCGAGCTGGGGGCATTGTTCTCCCTCTGAGGACGAAAATAGTAAGATAGTTGGTGCAATACAGCTAGTATACTGTATGCGGACCGTCTAGCATTACGACGTAAGAACCAAAGTGCGAGCTGTTCAGCCATTCCAGGCGGCCGGACGATAAGCCCTGTCCGCTTTGCAGATTCACTGCATTGTGTTCAAATCACGAGCAACCGGCGTGGAAGGGTATATCAGTCGCGCAGTGTCTTTAGAGCGTGCCCATTTGTGAAACGTCTAACGGCTGGGAATGGAATGATGCCAGTTTGCAGTGCTGCAGCCTAATGGTCGGAGAGGGTGGTGTCCACTCGGCGTGGATCGAATGAGGGGATCGCGAGCGGAAACGGACTACTGTATGCAAACTCAAGATCCCCGGGACGGACACGTGCATAATAGCCAAATGCTCCGGGATGAAAGTTTGGATGCCGTCGAATTCGAAAATAGCGATGCAGCCTTGAAGTGGCAAGAGTACTTACTGATAAGGATGTTCCAAATGTTCCCAAATGAATGAAAGCCTTGATGAATAGACCATATCGCGATGTCCTCCGCAACCCATCGGATTGGGTACGGAGTTCCTGAAGGGGTAAAATGGGGCCCAACTTCCTCAAAAAAGATCAAGAGGATAGGGAGGAACAGGTGGAAGATAGGTGGTCGGGTTGTTTTGCTAGCTGCGCTTACGAGGGCGTATGTGCTTTCAAGTGGGCCCTCGGTATGTACTGTCCTTGAAATGATTCGGCCTGCAGGGGTGTGCTTCGAGAACCAGTTTTCAGCTGGTAAAGTGATGGTGCATGATGCCGGAAGAAAAAAAACTTGACTATCTGGGAAACGGGATAGAAAGGTCTTTGGAAACAAAGTGCTTCGCCCCTCTCTCCACTGACCAGCTCACTGCGTCAGAGTTGTAAAACGTTTCTCCGATCTGCGTGGTGAGTGGGGAACGGCCGCCTCTTGCGTAAGAGAACAGCCACCATAAGTAATTTAATTCATCCAAGACTGGGACGGTCCTCAACTTGTGATTCCCTAATAATTAACAACGTCAAAGGAACCATCACCCTCCATCTCTCTTTCTCTCTCTTTCTCCCTCTCTCCATCCTAATTTCTTTCTCGGCGATGCCAAAACTCGTCGATGCCGAAATCGATATCCAATCTCCATCTTTGGTCTTCACCGTCCCCGTGCTTTTCTTCGTCTCATTAGCAGCCGCATACCTCCCTGTGGCTTCACAACGTTCCACGCTTTTCCGTGTACCAAAAATATGCTTCTTCTTGGCCAAGTACTTTGGTACAGGTAGGACAGACTCCTTGATTTTTGCTGATTCATCCTCGATTCGCTGACAATATTGCTGTCTCTAGGGGTGATACTATCTACCGCTTTGACGCATCTTCTTAATGATGGTTTTGTCAAACTGGGCTCGGTCCGGTGGCTCGGGTTCAAGCATTGGCCTGGTATGATCGTGTAAGTGTTCTCAAGTCCGAATGACCAAAGCGCGGTCTCTCATTTTAGCCACAGTCTCCTCTCCATAATAGCCATATTCCTAGTCGATTGTCAGTCACTCTCTTTTAAAACAAAAGCCTCCGTGCTAAACTTCCTGGGTCGCGATCATTAACATTCATCATCATTATTTAGTTTGTTCCGACGCCTATGTCCGATATCTTGAGAATCGAGTGCTAACCGCCGGTTTGGAAGATCGTGAGCGGAACACTTCTGAACAGTCATGGTTCTCTTCCGATTCCAAGGCACGCCAAGATGGCACTAGCACGCCTGGCAGTTCACTCACCGCACTGGAAGATACGCCATTGCTTGAAAGTGGCAGTATTCCCGAGGTTGAACTGATTCAACAAAAGGGAGATGTCGTAGGTTTGCTTGTAAGCTCTTGTCTCAACTCCCGTAAGAAGGTTTTCATGCTGATCTTGGTACCCTTTCCCTTTTCCTCTGTCTTTAGACTTTGCAAATTGGGGTTGTGATGCATTCCATCGTGCTCGGTTTCACACTTGGGGTTGCAACGGACGCCAAATTCACATCTCTCCTCCCGGCCATCATCTTCCATCAAATATTTGAAGGATTTGCCGTAGGCACACAACTTGCGGCTTTCGCTGCACCCAGGACAACGCGCCGCCGCACTGGGAGGAACGGAGAAAGGGCGAATGTGATCCAAACCGCTGATCTATCAATGGATCGTTCCCGATCCAGCACAACATCATCGACCCGATTAAACTCACCGTCACCTATTCCCCAAACTCGAGCCCAACTATTATTACCGCCGATTCTAGCTTTGTTCTTCGCCGTCCCAATCCCCCTCACGATCCTCATCATCTCTTCCATTCCTCAACTTCGCCCTCCAACACCATCATCCATCTCATCTTTCCCAATTTCGAAAATGCTCGAGTCAACTCTGTCATCACTATCATCAGCATCATCGCGAGCAAGAACCGATGTATTACAAGGAATTACTTGCGCCGTGAGCGCTGGTCTGCTCATCTTTGTGGCGTTAGTCGAGCTTGTTGCGGGGCAATTTAGATATGATCCCGAGCTTCAGCGCGAGAGTCTCAGGAAGCAATTTGGTGCTGTGGCCGCTTTTATTGCTGGGTGTATCGGAATGGGGATCATACCTTGATTTTCGCCTTCCATTGTTAGACGTTGAGATACTAACTACCTGCCACCTTCCCCCCCCCCCCCCCCTGACTCGCTTTCAATCCCAATCACGAACCAGATTTGTTATCGTACCCATTATTTTTTTCCGGTTCTTTTCTGCATTATGTATTGTACTTCGATTTTGTACATTAATTTCACAGCAATGAAGCCGCGTCCGTGCGGTTAGTACGTGTGTTTGGACGAAAAGGAAGACGGGACATCGAGCGTTAGGGGGCGTTCGCCGATCCCTGGAACTGAAAGAAGAAAGGAACGAGAAGAGGCAGAGAGAGAGTAAGGAAGAAAGGAAGAAAAAAAAAAAAGGAACCACGACACTTAGGATCCCCATGTAGTCCCCTTCCATAGTACTAACTAAGCAACACTCGACTTAACTTCGCAGATCAGACGGGATGCAGTGCTTTCCAAGTCCTATGGCCACGGATGACCAAAGCCCATCGAGTTTGCAAGAAGTTCATAAAGTTCTTCACACATCATCAACACGTCGAGATCCCAACCATAAAACCAGGTCCCAGTACCCCCCTCGCCGCTCAGTGAAAACCACTCCAGAGGTTACTGGCTCTTTTGATCTTGAGGGCATAGCGAGGAAGTGTTTTATGAGTAAGAGGAAATTAAGCCCTGATCAACTGATTGGGTAAATAGTGAGGTGGTCGAATTGCTCTCAACCACCTCGATCTTCCTCGGGGATTCCTGATGGCAGGTGGTAAATACTCAACTCTACAACTCCGAGATGAAAAAGCGTGCCAAATCATACTCGTCTGGAACAATCATGCTCAGTTGAATTCTCTTCGATAGATACAGGAAAATGCGTTGGTTGCCAGAACCTGAAGTGGTTCCGTTTAGTACGTGGTGGAGGTTGCCTCAGATACATTCATTCTGATGCGGAGTGAAAGCAAACAAAGGGACTACGGAAAGGGCGAAATCAAAAAGTCTCTTGTCGAAACGCTGAGCACTTATTTTGTCCGACCCGGAACTAAATGACAATCCAAGGGAAGGGCAACGAAACTTCGCGATTTCCCCCTCTGACAGTGGATATACGCGCAAGGTAAATAGGAAGAAATTGCAATTGACCACGAACATCCTAAACGACTTGGCTAAGATCAACAACAATTGGGGCTGTCTGCTGGCCTTGGAGAAGGATTCGAGTCCCATCTTTGCTGGACCGAGGGCTGTACATAAAGGTAGGATCAGACGGCACTTGATCACCATACCAAACACCTAGACCGTGACCGTGGCCACCAGAAGAAACATGTGGTTGATACTCCATGGGAATAACGAATTCTAATTTTCCATTGAAGAACATTGGTAGCCCAGTGAGTCGTCCACTGGCTCGGAACAGTGGGGATCTTCCTGCAGCGGATGAATGGATGTCAAACTCCTCCTCGTCCTTGCTTTGTGAGAGAACATAAAATGGGCGCTTGATCCAGGACTCGTCCTGCAAGTTATGGACCGCATCTGTTTTGGAATGATGTCTATCTGCTGCGCTGCCTTCTGTCATGGGAAGGGTAGGTCGAGCGGATACAGGATCAGGGATGTGATAAGAGCAGGCAGGGGGAACAGCGGGATTCATGATCCAAAATCTGAAGTCTGTCACGCGATAATGCGCAATGAGCTCACCCGAGTCTGTCGACCAGGTGAAAGCGCTGAGGCCATTGAAAGCACCGATATAATGTGCTCCCGGAGAAAACCCAAGCGTGCGACGATGAGGAATAGCAAGCGTGTCACGGCGAGGAGAATCATCTGATTGGGAAGGAGGAGAAGCGAGGAGCTGCATGTGCGGGTTGTCCAGAATGGATATGAGAGTCAAGTTGTTGTACCACGTGTTATCAGTGTTCCATGGGGCTCGTATGATAAACAATCCGTTATCTGATACTCGAGTTACAGCAGGAATAGGACCATTGGGAAGAGTACCAAGATTAATGGGGGTCATATCGTGGCTAAGGATGGTGACGTTCCCCTCATTGTCCTCAGCAGCAACTCGGTGGCTGCCATGGACAAATTCGATCCAGACTGGGTGGTTGGGTGAATCAAGCTGGAATCGGGAGATCGTGCGCTGATGGTCGATATCAGCAAGCTCAATGATGCCACTGCCAATACCGAGAGCTATATGATGACCATCGAGGGAGAGCGCTGCACATGTCACAATACCGTTACGAATATCAGGATCGTTGAATTGGGCATCATAATCATCCTGACGACTACCAGCCTTCTTTGGAAAATTAGGTAGCTTCGCCTCCATGACCATTCGAGCATCGAGTAAATCCTCACTCAATGGGATTCTGTGCCCGGAAAACTCGCCGGAAATGGTGAAGATTCGGAAAGGATCAGAGAGGTGGCCATACAATTTGTGAAAAGGTGATGAAGATGGGGTGAAAGGAAGGCTTGATCGATGGAGGTGCCATGGTGCCGAAGAAAACACAAAAGGCATGTCGGACTCCCAAGACGTGTGCAGTACAAATTGCTTTTTTTGAGCTTCTTTCAAAAGTTTGAATGAATCGCAATTCTGTTAAAAATGACATCATACTAAAATAATCGCGACACAATGATTTTTATTTACCTTGAATCCATCAAATCCATCAGGGAATCCTTTACCATATTCACTGTTTGACGTCAGGTGCATAAATGTAACCAAGTTTCGCGTGAGGAATGTATTAAACTCGTTCTGCAAATTGGACTCTTGTGCAAAGAGTTGTGAGGGGTCCAAGTGTCCTAATAAGTATTCACGAGTATATCGGAGATGATGAGGGAGACAACGTTTTCTCTCCCAAAAATCTCCCCATGTCCATTCATCTCCTAAAGGGAGAATGGTGGGCTCCCCAAACACATCCCGCTCACAACTATTATTGAAAAATCGGAGGAGTGGCAGTCCGATAAAATACTTGTTCGCATCCTTGATAAAGAATACTTGGTCATTCTCACTACCAATCGAATCCCCTGTTATAAACTCCTTCATCGTTGCATGATAGAATTTGACGCCCTGCATTTTCTTGGAGGAACTTTCTGGAGGGACTTCCGAAAAACGTTCCAAGCCACTTTCTGAAGAAAGATCGACAATTGAGCCAATTGGTTCCAATATGGCTAGGACCTCTTCCTCGGCAATTCCTGACAGCTGCGATATAAAAAACACACTTAGTGGTTCGAATGCTGCATTGATTATGGCAACCACGTGGCGATACTTCTCAGCAATATCTTTACGGACTCCAGATGAGCCGACTATATAGGCACGACGAAGCACACGCAGGTACTCCAAATTGACGTCGACAGGGGCATCGGTGAGATCACGAAAGTATTCGAACTCGGATTGAAGAGTTGCACCACGATGAGTTTGAAGGCAGACATCCCGGACCCGGATTGAGGCGATAATCGGCAATCCACGACACACTGAGACAAACGCATTGACTTCTTCTTTTGATGGTTTCCAGGAAGAGTCATCGATGCAATCCCGAAGGCCTTCCTCCACAATGCGGTGGATAGTGTGGAACTTCTCTTCCTCAGCGACAATGTCCACATCTTCACAGGGTATAGCAAGACCCTGAGCTCGAGCTTTAACCCAAGCTGACACAACAGATGACTCTGGCCGACAGCTGACCAACACGGCAAATGCGGCAGGCAGCTCATCAAGGATAAGTACTAGCTTCATTAGGGACGTAAGTTCCTCCTGAGTCCCGCACTCGTCTAGTCCGTCCAAGATGATCATGGAGCGCTCCTCGCCCAAAGATAAGAGTTTGTGCATGGGATCAATAATCCAAGCTCTCATTTGCTTCTCCAGAGTGGAGCCAAGAACACCCTTCAATGATGAAGGCTGTCGGAGTCGACTGACAAGAAGACCCTCGTACTCGGTGTTAAACATGGCAAGCTGATGTGCAAGAGTAGAGGGAAAGTGTTCAATCGAAGCAAGTCCTGCGCCCTTCCGATTTTTGTCCCAGAAGAAAGATGCTGCCAAGCGACTCTGTTCGTAAAGAGTCGACGCGACACTCATTGATATAGCGGTCTTTCCAGTTCCCGGAGAGCCGCGAAGCCAGACAAATCGGAGCTCCCGTTTCTCCAAGTGATTGAGTATCGATTCCTGAATCCGGACACAGGTGTTTTCCAGGCATTCCGACTTGCTTTCCACCGCAGAGAATTCCGCCTTTGCTTTGTAGAGTTTCGAGAGCTCACCTGAAATATCATTAAATTCCAGGCAGTGAAATCGGAGAAAACCAACGAACGGTCTACCGATGACTGGATTGTATGGAGGAGATTTAGAGTTGTCGCAGCGGTCTATGCAGTATATCAGTCGTCGGAAGTCCGAACATCAACGAAACGAACCGTAAAGCGGGCGATAGCATCACGGATGCAGGACCTCACGGTGCTTATCTCCTGCGATATCTCAGTCGCCAGGATTACCCTCTTGGCAAGTTTTTGATGCTTGAGTGCTTCAATTTGCTGCAATTGTTGCTTTACAGCTCTGTAGCTGAGAGTTGAGATTTGGACGACGGAGCGATCAAGTAAATGCACATACAGGTTAAATTGTTGAATTAGATCACCTATTTCGGGAGGAACCTGGCCGGTCCACAACAGGAGTGGTCTAAAGATCGTTTCGTGAGCCTTTCGAACTTCATCGTCTAATCCCTTGAGATTTTCGTCATTGTTGTCGATCGTCTGAATGAAAACATAAAAGTTATATCATCAGATCGGAAAATTGCAATGCCCTGCGGACCTCGTAAACTTGGAGCCACGATAAGAGTATGTTTGGGATCTGATCGAGATTTGGAATAGGAACGGACTTAAGAGCAGAGGCGGCAGTTTGGAGGACGAGCCTTGTGGCGGCGATGATTGTTTTCTTTCCGCCACTAGCATCAACGCCTGAAGATGGCGACGTTTGATCAATTGACGATGGAATGTCTAGATCCACGCCTGTGAGTCCTGGCTGCGTGGCGGGACTCCCAGTGTTGCCATGAATGACGCGCTCGCTGGGCATCGTGTGAGAGATATCGATGGCCCCCTCAGGGAGAATGGGAGATGGCCATGGATTATGGGATGGCGGATTTGGTGTAGAGGGATCAGATTGTCTGGGATCGGAGGACTTCGATTGGTCGATATGAGTGGGACTGGGACTGGGACTTCTGCTGAACGGCTCAGCTATAGCGTGCCAAAAAGACCTTCTCTGCTTCCGGTCTCGAGAACTACGATCAGTTGACGCAGTAGGAGGCTGAAGACGAGATCCCTCAGATCCATCACGATCTTTGCTAGTGGTTGCATCGTTCGCAGTGGGGGAAGGAGTGATCTGGATGTTGGGAGCAGGAGTTATGGGTTGCCCGCCAGGACGCTTGGAGGAATGCCGTCTCCCGGAAAACCGAAAGAACCCAGATCGGCCAGACATTGTGCGTTAGCAATCGCTGAGGGGGTGCTGAACAGATGGGACAGGTAGGCCGCTCAACCCACGACGAATAAGGCAGTATCCCAGCCTCTTTACCAAAGCAGGATGGTAAATACAAAATGCCCATTGTGGAGATAAAGCCAGGACGTAAGCCACGCTACCCAAATCATTCGGCTCGATAACAAAGCCAAAAAAGATCTACCTGTGTTGACTACGTGCCTTCGGACATTTTGCTAATGATATTTAGCAAGGAAATCTGCTTCTCAGTTGGGAGTCCTTTAATTGATTAGAGCTACGGTCCTTTTTCGGTTGGGCTAGATAAAGCTGAAAGCCCTGCAGCCGATGAGAATTCCGTTGTTGTCGCGTTCAGTTTCTTTCCTCCACGCTGTCAGAACTGAGCGCGACCATCGCTAGTCCTCCAGCAAACCAAGGGAGAACTACCCAGATGTTCAGGGTGAATACAAAGTCGAAGAAACTTGCCTACTTGCCTTCAGCGTTTTAGAAACAATTTATGGCGTGGAAATCGACTTCTGAGTTATTGGTGGTTATTTGTCTTCGGAACCTGATTGACTGCACACACGAACATCAGTCTCCTGTCACTCTCTAGCAACGTACCCCACCTCGGTTATTTCAGCGCTCTGTAGCCTGCCAGAATCTGTCGCAATGACATCTTCTTCGTGTGGGGGCCTAGGATCTCGATGTTGTGCTATGCGCTGGATGTCTTCGCGCGATCATGACACAAATTCGGACAAGTGATTGCTTCGCAGTGTTCGGTAACGCGTGATTGAACCGATGCATAAAAATTTTCAGTCATGCGCTTCGATATCTCGATGGGGTTGTGAACCCTCCGAAGGTCGTTACATCAGCACATCACGATCGGCTTCTTTGCCAGCTCCTTCCCTTCCTAGTGTTCATGTTCTATCGATTCTCCCTAAGTCTTCCAAACAAGTGGAGTCCTGTTCTTCCCAAACATTGAGTCAACACTGACATCACCGCGGGCAAGATCCGACATATTACAGGGAATTACTTGCGCCACGAGCGCTGGACTGCTCATCTTTGTGGCGTTAGTCGAGCTTGTTGCGGGGCAATCTAGATGTAGCACTGAGCTTCAACGCGAGAGTGCTAGGAAACAATTTGGTGCTCTGACTGCTGCTTTTGTTGCTGGTGTATAGGAATGGGGGACTTTCCCCTTCATCGTTAGACGTTGAGATTACCTACCGCCTTCCCCCTGATTCGCTTTCGATCCCAATCACGAGCCAGATGTGTTGTTGTCATCTCGGGGTACTCGTTATTGCAACCTTTCCTCTCTATTTTGTACATTAATAGTAACGAAGCCGTGTCATGCGAGCTGGTGTGGTACGTGTGTTTGAGCGAAGAAGAAAATGGGACTTCAAGGGGGCGTTCGCCGATTCCTGGCGACTGGAAGAAAGAAAGGAAAAGGAAAAGGAGGACCACAGCAGTCAGGATTCCCAAGTAGTCCCCTACCACGGTACTAACTGACCGGCACTTGGCTTGACTTCGCAGATCAGACGGGATGCGGTACTTTCCAAATCCTATGGCCGTGGACGGCTGGAGTAGAGCCAAAGTTCCTCTATAGGATTGATCGGGTCGCGGGATGTTCACAACCCATCATCCTACCGGCCCCAGAACCCTATGGGAGCTATGCTATTGCATCCAGATCTTTATTCGGGGTGGTGGTGCTTCGCCGTTTGACTTGAGAGCTAGAAGATGTTGTTCCCCCTTTACTACTAGTAACTCATTATCATCGCAGCGATGTACAAATCGGAGGACAATATATGACCCTAAACAACTTGCTACTTTCGACGACAATTGGAGCCGTCATCCGGTCTTGGAGCAGAAGTCGAGTCCCGTCCTTGTTGGATCGGAGGCGATAGAGATTCGTAATTTGTAGCATCAAGCAGCACTCGGACACCACACGAGGCTCCTAGATGGTTGACGCAACCCACCCTGAAGTGAACGGGCGGGTACCGTATGGAGATAGTGGGACTCTGTTCTGTCGTCAAACCATATTGGTCCCCTCCCTTATATTTCCCATCCAGAGCAGTGGGTTCTCCCGACGACAGACGAATAAACGCCGAGGTCTTCGTGCGTGCTTGGTGGGAGGCCACAAAATGGGATGCATCTGAGTCGTGCATCCGGATCAGAGAGGTACATGTTTGCTATATTACCAGGGAAGATTGAGTCGAGGGATACAGGGCCAGGGATGAGATATGAGCAAGTGATGGGGACTGTGGTCATAACCCAAAGAACTGACATTCGTAACGCCGTAACGCGCAATGAGCTCGCCCGACTCCGTCGACTAAGTGAAAGCGCTGGCTCCATCGAAAGCGCCAAAACGCCATGCTCCGGGAAAAAACCCAAGCGCGCGACGACGACGAATGGCCAGTTCGAGAATTCGGTGGAAGGATGGAGTGGAAGGGTCTGAAGGGGCTGAACGTGCAGGTCGTCGGTATGAGCGTCATGTTGTCCTAACAAAGCCCCTGACATCAGTGTTCCAGCAGGAAAGGGGCCATTTGGGAGAGTACCAAGACTCACGGGGACCATACCATGGCTAAGGGCGACAACGACCGCGGAACATCTTAGGCGACTTGGCTAATGTCGAAAACAATTGGAGTCCCATCCTTGCTGGACGGGAGGCGGTAGGGAGTCGTAGCATCAAACGGCGCTCGATCACCATACCAAGCTCTCAGACGGTTGATGCCATACACCCTAAGATCACCATGGGCGGCCAGAAAATTCTGTTCTACAATTGGTAGCTCCTCGGTCACGGTTCCGATGCACAATAGCGGGATCGTTCCGGCAACGCATGCTCGGATCTAGGGCCCATCTGGGTCCTCCGTCCACTTCGGAATAATGCATGTCTGTCGCAGCCAGGGGAGGAGTGAGTCGGGTGGATACGGGATCGGAAATATAAGATGGGATTCATAATCCAAGAACTGGAATCCGCAATACCGACTCTGTAGACTGGGAGAGAACCCAACCGTGTGGGGATGAAGGATGGCTAACAAAGATTTTGAGCGGAAGGGTGGAATGGAAGGGTCAGGGGGAGAAGTGAGGAGCTGAACGTCTGAAGCCGTTGCAAGCGTTATGTTGTCGTACCAAGGCTTGTCAATCTTCCACGGGACTCGCACCACAAATATTTTTATCCGACGCTAAAGTTCCAGTAAGGAGGGGGCCAGTGGGCCTGCCATGGCGCGTTTCCCTCGTTATCCTCGCTAGCTAACATGGGCAAATTCAATGGGGCAGGGTAGTTGGGTGGATCGAACTAGAATCGAGAAATAGTGCGCTGATGGTAGATGTCAGTGAGCTCAGTGATACCATTACCAAACCGAGGGCCACATGCATAACGACCATCGGGGGAGAAGTGCCACACATGTCACAACACCATTGCGAACTCGGAATTATTGAATTGGGCATCGTAATTGGTCGCCTCAGCACCCCATCTATCTTGGCAACTTTGCTTCCATGACCGTTGAGTAAACAACGGAAATTGTGTGTCCAGAACGATCGCCGGAAATGACAAAGACCCGGACAGGATCAGAGCGATGGCCGTATAGTTCGTAAAAAGGCGGTGAGGATGGATTGAAAGGAAACAGCGATCGACGAAGGTTCGATAGTTGATTAGTAAGGAAGATTGACTGTTCCGATGGCAAGTTGGGAATATATTTCACTGACATATGGGAATGGACGGAAATCTACAGGAATTACAGAGTCGAACCGAGCCAGGAGCATTGTCGCCCTGAAACGCATTCACCCCCTAAGACGGGAGTGGTGGGCATCCCAGATATGTCCGGCGCACCATTGGTGTGCACCAGAGTCAGAGGAACTACACCTTCACATGAAAAAGAATACCCTGTCACTACCAACCAGATGCCCTGTTATGACTTCATCATTACGTGGCGCCCCTTCGTGTTTCCTGAGCAACATTCCGGGCCCGCAACCCATCCTTCGTCTGCGCAGAAGGTCGGTGTCATTATCTGGTCTAAAGAAATACTCCTTTCGTCCAGTAAGACGCGCGAGGTACTTGAACTCCACCTGACATGGGCGACTTCCGCAAGGAGTACCGTTACTGACCAATACGTTGTGTGATTGCAGATGTGAGAAGTTGGCCAGCGAATAGTGCCTCAGCACGCCCGGTTGGGTTGACAACTGGAAAGTAGGGTCTCTCCGAGCCAAAGCCGCCCAACGATCCAGCAACCCGCCCGCAAAATGATTGAATTGGAAGAGTGTAATTTGCAAATCTATGACGCACATAGGACTCCAGCCTCTATGACTTCGTAATATTATTAGCATTCGTAACATTCATCAAAGTCTCCGCCACGAGTGGGCGGGGGCTCCGCGCATCTTCGTGATGTGTCCCACCCTCCAGGTGTCGTACGTAGCAGTTCGCTTCATAATGCAGCAGGAATGGCGTCCTGCCCGTCATGAGTATCTTGTTAGTGTCCCAGGGGTCTGGATAGCAACTTTGATAGAAGGAAAGGTGAGAAGAGTGACGTGCAAGATCACCAGAGCTGCCTGTGATCGATCCTTTGCCTTCAGTGATACACACACCCTCAAAACAAGCCGCCAGCTCTGGAAAAGCCATTGACGATACAAAGTTCGTTGCCTAGGATGCAAAGACTATCACTTTTGTCCCGGTATCTTATAGCACTAGACGCTCGCACACACGCATATCTAGCATTTATATAACGTTGGTCTTTTGTGCAGCTGAGGATGAACGCCGGGTGAAACGGTGGAACTGGCAAAAGAAATATCGTTTTTTGTAGCAGGTTCAAAGAAGTGATAACAGAAAAATTTGTTTCGGAGTGGTGGAGGTTGCCTCAAATGGACAGATACCTTCATTCCGATGCGGAGTAAAAAGCAAATCAAGGAATTATGGAAAGGGTAAAGCCTCTGTGGTCGCAACGCTGAGCACCCATTTTGTCCGACCCGGGACTAAATGACAGTGCAAGAGAGGGATGATCGTAGATCTGTTGAAGTCTCCGACTTTATTTATTTAGACCCACTGCACTCTAGGGAAAGGGAACCTCGTCCGAGGGAAGTCCGGAAGAATGGAAGGCGACCTAACGAAACTTCACGATTCCCCCTCTGACAGTGGATAGAACGCGCAAGGTGAATGGGAAGATATTGTAATTGACCACGAACATCCTAAACGACTTGGCTAAGATCAACGACAATTGGAGCTGTCTGCCGGCCTTGGAGAAGGATTCGAGTCCCATCTTTGCTGGACCGAGGGCTGTACATAAAGGTAGGATCAGACGGCACTTGATCGCCATACCAAGCGCCTAGACCTTCGCCACCAGAAAAAACAACTGGTTGATACTCCTCGGGAATAATGAATTCTAATTTGCCATTGAAGAACATTGGTAGCCCAGTACGTATTTCCTTGCTTTGGAACAGTGGGGTTCTTCCTGCAGCGGATGAACGGATGTCAGACTCGTGGTCGTCGTCCTTGCTTTGTAGGAGAACATAAAATGGGCACTTGGTCCAGGACTTGTCCTGCAAGTTATGGACCGCGTCTATTTTGGAATGAGGTCTATCTGCTGCACTACCTTCTGTCATGGGAAGGGTAGGTCGAACGAATACAGGATCAGGGATGCGATAAGAGCAGGCAGTGGGAACAGCAGGATTCATAATCCAACATTCGAAATCCGTCACACGATAATGCGCAATGAGATCACCCGAGTCTGTCGACCAGGTGAAAGCGCTGAGGCCATCGAAAGCCCCGATATAATGTGCTCCCGGAGAAAACCCAAGTGTGCGACGGTGAGGAATAGCAAGCGTGTCATGGCGAGGAGAATCAACTGCTTGGGAAGGAGGAGAAGCGAGGAGCTGCATGTGCGGGTTGTCCAGAATGGATACGAGAGTCATGTTGTTGTACCACGAGTTATCAGTGTTCCATGGGACCCGTATGATAAACAATCCGTTATCCGATACCCGAGTTACAGCAGGAAGGGGCCCGTTGGGAAGAGTACCAAGATTAATGGGGGTCATATCGTGGCTAAGGATGGTGATGTTCCCCTCATTGTCCTCGGCAGCAACTCGGTGCCTACCATGGACAAATTCGATCCAGATTGGGTGGTTGGGTGGATCGAGGTGGAATCGGGAAATTGTGTGTTGAAGGTTGATATCAGCAAGCTCGATGACACCACTACCAATACCAAGAGCTATCTGATGACCATCGGGGAGAGTGCTGCACATGTCACAATGCCGTTACGAACATCAGGATCGTTGAATTGGGCATCATAATCAACCTCAACAACCGGACTGTGACTATTGGCCTTCTTTGACAATTTAGGTTGCTTCACCTCCATGACCATTCGAGCATTGAGTAAATCCTCACTCAATGGGATTCTGTGCCCGGAAAACTTGCCAGAAATGGTGAAGATCCGGACAGGATCAGTGAGGTGGCCGTACAATTTGTACAAAGGTGATGAGGATGGGGTGAAAGGAAGAGTTGATCGATAGAGATGCCATGGTGACAAGGAAATCACATTCCGATAAAACACAAATTGCTTTTCTCGAGCTTCTCTCAAAAGTTTGAATGAATCGCAATTCTGTTAAAAATGACATCATATTAAAATAATCGCGATACAATGATTTTATTCACCTCGAGTTCATCAAATCCATCAGGGAATTCCTTGCGCGGTTCACGGAGTGGCACCAGGTGCATAAATGTAACCAGGTTTCGCGTGAGGAATGTATTAAACTCGTTCTGCAAATTGGACTCTTGTGCAAAGAGTTGTGAGGGGTCTAAGTGGTCTAATAAGTATATATGAGTATATCGAAGATGATGAGGGAGATGACGTTTTCTCTCCGAAAAATCTTCCCATTTCTGCTTGTCTCCTAAAGGGAGAATGACAGGCAACCCAAATGCATCCTGCTCACAACTCTTATTGAAAAATCGGAGGAGTGGCAGTCCGATAAAATACTTGTTCGCATCCTTGATAAAGAATACTTGGTCATTCTCACCACCAATCGAGTTCCCCGTTATAAACTCTTTCATCGTTGCATGATAGAATTTGACGCCCTGCATTTCCTCTGAGAAACTTTCTGGAGGAGCGTCCAAAAAACGTTCCAGGCCACTTCTTGAGGAAAGATCAACAATTGAGCGAATCGGTTCCAATATGGCTAGAACCTCTCCCTCGGCAATTCCTGACAGCTGCGATATAAAAAACACACTGAGTGGCTTGAATGCCGCATTGATTGTGGCAACCACTTGGCGATACTTCTCAGCTATATGTTTACGGACTCCAGATGAGCCGACCATGTAGGCACGGCGAAGCACACGCAGGTACTCTAAATTGACATCAACAGGGACTTCGGTGAGATCACGAAAGTATTCGAACTCGGATTGAAGAGTTGCACCACGATGAGTTTGAAGGCAGACATCCCGGACCCGGATTGAAGCGATAATCGGCAATCCACGACATGCTGAGACAAACGCATCAAGTTCTTCTTTTGATGGTTTCCAGGAAGAGTTATCGATGCAATCCCGAAGGCCTTCCTCCACCATGCGGTGGACAGTGTGGAACTTCTCTTCCTCAGCGACAATGTCTACGTCTTCACAGGGTATGACAAAACCCTGAGCTCGAGCTTTAACCCAAGCTGACACAACAGATGACTCTGGCCGACAGCTGACTAATACGGCAAATGCGGCAGGCAGCTCATCAAGGATAAGTACTAGCTTCATCAGGGACGTAAGTTCCTCCTGAGTCCCACACTCGTCTAGTCCATCCAAGATGATGACGAAGCGCTCCTCACCCAAAGATAAGAGTTTGTGCATGGGATCAATAATCCAAGCCCTCATTTGCTTCTCCAGAGTGGAGCCAAGAACACCCTTCAATGATGAAGGCTGTCGGAGTCGACTGACAAGAAGACCCTCGTACTCGGGGTTAAACATGGCAAGCTGATGTGCAAGAGTAGAGGGAAAGTGTTCAATTGAAGCAAGTCCTGCGCCCTTCCGATTTTTGTCCCAGAAGAAAGATGCTGCCAAGCGACTCTGTTCGTAAAGAGTCGATGCGACACTCATTGATATAGCAGTCTTTCCGGTTCCCGGAGAGCCGCGAAGCCAGACAAATCGGTGCTCCCGTTTCTCCAAGTGATTGAGTATTGATTCCTGAATCCGGACACAGGTGTTTTCCAGGCATTCCGACTTGCTTTCCACAGCAGAGTATTCCGCCTTTGCTTTGTAGAGTTTCGAGAGCTCACCTGAAATATCATTAAATTCCAAGCAGCGAAATCAGGGAACAACAACGAACGGTCTACCGATGACTGAATTGTGTGGAGGAGATTTAGAGTTGTCGCGGCGGTCTATGCAGTATACCCAAGTCAGTCATCGGACAATCTGAACGCTGATGAAACAAACCGTGAAACGGGAGACAGCATCGCTGACACAGAACTTCACGGCATTTATTTCCTGGGATATCTCAGTCGCCAGGATTACCCTCTTGGCAAGTTTTTGACGCTTGAGTGCTTCAATTTTCTTCAATTGTTGCTTTAGAGCTCTGTGGCTGAGTTTTGAGATTTGGACGACGGACCGACGAAGTAAATGTACACACAAGTTAAATTGTTGAATCAAATCACCTATTTCGGGAGGAACCTGGCCAGTCCACAACAGGAGTGGCCTGAAGATCGTTTCATGAGCCTTTCGAACTTCATTGTCTAATCCCTTCAGATTTTCGTCATTGTTGTCGATCGTCTGCATGAAAACATAAAGGTTATATCATTAGATCGGAAATTCGAAATGCCCTGCGAACCTCGTAAACTTGGAGCCAGGTCAGGAGTATACTTGGTATCTGATCGAGGTTTGGAATGGGGACGAATTTAAGAGCAGAGGCGGCAGTTTGGAGGACGAGCCTCGTGGCGGCGATGATTGTTTTCTTTCTGTCACCAGCAGGGACGGCTGAAGATGACGACGTTTGATCCATTGACGATGGAATATCTAGGTCTGCGCCTGTGAGTCCCGGTTGTGTGGCGGGGCTCTCAGTGTTGCCGTGGATGATGCGCTCGTTGGGTATCGTGTGAGAGGCATCGATGGCCAGAATGTGAGATGGCGATGGATCAGGGGATGGCGGATCAGGCCTGGAGGGGTCAGATTGTCGGGGATAAGAAGACTTCGGTTGGTCGATATGAGTGGGATCGGGACTGGGACTTCTGCTGAACCGCTGAGCTATAGCGTACCAAACAGACCTCCGCTGCTTCCGGCCTCGAGAACTGCCAGCAGTTGATGAAGTAGGGGGCTGAAGACGAGATCCATCAGATCCATCACGATCTTTGTTAGTGGTTGCATCATTTGCAGTGGGGGAAGGAGTGATCTGGAGGTTGGGAGCAGGAGTCGAGGGTTGCGGTGGACCGCCGGGACGCTTGGAAGAATGCCGTCTCTCGGAAAACCGTAAGAACCCAGATCGGCTAGACATCGTGCGTTAGCAATCGCTGAGGGGGTCCTGACCAGATGGGACACCCACGACGAATAAGGCAATATCCCAGCCTCTTTATCAAAGCAGGATGGTGAATACAAAATGCCATTGTGGAGCTAAAGCCGGGACGTACGCCACGCTACTCAAATCATTCGGCTCGATAACAAAGCCAAAAAAGATCTACCTATGTTGACTACGTGTCTTCGGACATTTTGCTAATGATATTTAGCAAGGAAATCTGCTTCTCAGTTGGGAGTCCTTTAATGTTCCTTTTTCGGTTGGGCGCTTAAATGAAGCTGAAGGCCGATGAGAATTCCGTTGTTGTCGCGTTCCTTTCTTTCCTCCACGCCGTCAGAACTGAGCACAACCATCGCTAGTCCTCCAGAAAACCAAGGGAGTACTATCCAGATGTTCAGGGTGAATACAAAGTCCAGGAAACCCATCCACTTGCCTTCAGCATTTTATGGCGTGGAAATCGACTTCTAAGTTATTGATGGTTGTTTGTCTTCGGAACCTGATTGACTGCACACACAGACATCAGTCTCGTCCGGCTTCCTGTCATTCTCTAGCAACGTACCCCACCTCGGTAATTTCAGTGCTCTGTAGCCTGCCAGAATCTGTCGCAATGTCATCTTCTTCGTGAGGGGCCCTAGGATCTCGATGTTGTGCTATGTGCTGGATGTCTTCGCGCGATCATGACACAAATTCGGACAAATTTTCAACAGTGATTACTTCGCAGTGTTCGGTGACCGATGCATAAAAAATTTCAGTCATGCGCTTCAAAATTGCCATCGGGCTATGAACCCTCGAAAGGTCGTCACATCCGCGCACCATGATCAACTTCTTTGCCAGCTCCTTGCCTTCCTAGTATTCATGTTCTGTCGAACCCCCCTAAGTCTCCCAGACATGTGGAGTACTGCTCTTCCGGCCTCTCTACCCTGATGCTCCGATATAGCATCATCAAAAAGCTACCGTTCGACGCGGAAAACATTCACTCGGACGCCACCTACTCAAACGCACCTACCGATGTCCAAAAACATGATTCATCTTCTCCCATTTCTGTTAAACCCGCAACTCTAGGTTCGAAAGAGAGTATTCCTGATACTAGTTACTGTTGTCTCTGGATTTGCCTCGGGCTCCGAGCATAGTCAGCGGGATGACGAAGGAATTTGAGCTTCGAGGAGGGGCACATGAAACTCGATAATGCTAACGAACAGCCAGCCCATTTACGCTCACGAAACCGTAAGTGTGCAGATCTTCGAGGACATTTTGGACCATGTTCTTCGCGTCAGTAGCACCCTTAATCCCCAGAACGATGAAACCGTCACCAATCTCACATACTGGGTTTCATACTTGAGGTTGCAGTGGGCGCCAAAATCGGCATCTCATCCACTCTTTCTCCGTTTCTCCGAGTGCGGCGGCGTGTTATCCTGGATGCAGCGAAATCCACAAGCCATGTGCCTACGGAAAACTCTTCGACTTTTTGATGGAAAACGATGGCTGGGAGGAGAGATTCAAGCCGTTGATTTATCAACGGATTGTTCCCGATCCAGTTCAGCATCATTGACCTGATTGAACTCACCATCACCCATTCCCCGGACTCGAGCCCAACTTTTGTTACCGTGAATTCTAGCCTTGTTCTTCGTCGTCCCAATCCCGCCCACAATTATCATCATCTCTTCCATCCCTCAACTTCGCCCTCCAACACCAACATCCATTTCATCTTTCCCAGTTTTGAAAACACTCGAACTAACACTGACATCATTGCGGGCAAGATTCGACATATTACAAGGAATTACTTGCGCCACGAGCGCTGGACTGCTTATCTTTGTGGCGTTAGTCGAGCTTGTTGCGGGGCAATCTAGATGTGGCACTGAGCTTCAGCGCGGGAGTGCTAGGAAACAATTTGACTGCTGCTTTTGTTGTTGGGCGTATAGGAATGAGGAACTTTCACCTTCATCGTTAGACGTTGAGATTACCTACCGCCTTCCCCCTGATTCGCTTTCGATCCCAATCACGAGCCAGATGTGTTGGGGGTACTCGTTATTGCAACCTTTCCGCACTATTTTATACATTAATAGTAATGAAGCCGTGTCATGCGAGCCGGTGTGTGTGGTACGAAAGAAAAGGAACATGGGACTTCAAAGGGGCGTCCGCTGATCCTGCAAGAAAGAAAAGAGAAGGGAAGAAAAAAATGGAACCACGGCAGTCAGGATTCCCATGTAGTCCCCTACCATGGTACTAACTAACCGGCACTTGACTTGACTTCGCAGATCAGACGGGATGCGGTACTTTCCAAGTCCTATGGCCGTGGATCGCCAGAGTAGACCCAAAGTTCCTCTATAGGATTAATTGGGTCGCGGGATGTTCACAACCCATCAACCCATCAAGACCCTACCGCAAAACCAGGCTCCAGCACCCTATGCGAGCTATGGTGTTGCATCCAGATCCTTATTCGGGGTGGTGCTTCGCTGTTCGACTTGAGAGCTAGAAGATGTTGTTCCCCTTTTACTACTAGTAATCCATTATCATTAATGTCAAGCGCAGCAATGTACAAATCGGAGGACAATATATACTACTTTCGACGACCATTGGAGCCGTCATCCGGTCTTGGAATAGTCGAGTGCCGTCCTTGGCTGGATCGGAGGTGATAGAGATTCGTAATTTGTAGCATCAAGCGGCACTCGAACACCATACGAGGCTCCTAGATGGTTGACACAACCCCCCTTGAAGTGAACGGGCAGGTACCGTATGGAGATAGTGGGACTCTGTTCTGTCGTCAAACCATATTGGTGGCCCCACCCTTATGTATCCCATCCAGAGCAGTGGGGTTCTCCCGACAATAGACAAATATACGCCGAGGTCTTCGTGCGTGCTTGGTGGGACGCCATAAAATGGGACGCATCTGAGTCGTGCATCCGGTTCGGAGAGGTGCATGTTTGCTGTATTACCAGGGAAGATCGAGTCGAGAGTCATAACCCCAAGAACAACGGTGTAACACGCAATGAGCTCGCCCGACTCTGTCGACTAAGTGAAAGCGCTGGCTCCATCGAAAGGGCCAAAATGCCGTGCTCCGGGAGGAAACCCAAGCACACGACGACAAGGAATGGCAAGCAAAGAACCCGGTGGAAGGATGGAGTGGAAGGGACAGAGGGAGAGAGGAGGGCCTGAACGCACGGGCCATCGGTATGTTGTTGTACCAAGGCCCCTGATATCGGACATTTGAGAGAGTACCAAGGCTCACGAGGACCATACCATCGCTAAGGGTGACAACGACCGTGGACATCCTAGATGACTTAAGTAACCAATGTCGAAAACGATTGGCCGGCCTTGGGAGTCCCATCCTTGCTGGATGGGAGGCGACAGAGATTCGTAGCATCAAAGGGCGCTCGATCACCGTACCAAGCTCTCAGACGGTTGACGCCACGCACCCTAAGATCACATTTACCACGGGCGGCCAGAGAATTCTGTTCTGCAATTGGACTACATTGGTAGCTCCTCAGCTACGTTCCCGGTGCACAATAGCGGGATTCTCCCGGAAACAGGTGAATAGATGCCAAGGTCTTCAGGCATGCTTGATCCAGGACCCATCTGAGTCGAGCTTTGCGTCCGCTTCGGAATAATGCATGTCGGTCGTGTCGCCTTCAGCCAGGGGAGGAGTGAGTCGGGTGGGTGATCGGGAATATATGATATATAAGCAAGGGATGGGATTCATAATCCAAAAACTGGAATTCGCAACACGACGACGCGCAACCGACTCTGTAAACTAGGAGAGAACCCAACCCAGCGTGCGGCGATGCAGGTTGGCTAACAAAGAATTTGAACGGAAGGATGGAATGGAAGGTCAGAAGGAGAAGTGAGGAGCTGCGGGTTGTCTGAAAGCGTTATGTTGTCGTACGAAGGGTTGATCTTCCGTGCGTGGGACTCGTACGACAAATATCCATTGTCCGACACTAGAGTTCCAGTAGGGCGGGGGGCCGGTGGGCCAGCCATGGCTAAGGACTTTCCCTCGTTATCCTCGGTAACGATACAGTGGCTACGATGGGAAAATTCAATGGGGCAGGGTAGTTGGGCGGATCGAACTGGAATCGGGAAATAGTGCGCTGATGGTCGATGTCAGTGAGCCCAATGATACCATTACCAAAACCGAGGGCTATATAACGACCATCGGGGGAGAAGTGCTACACATGTCACAACACCATTGCGAACATCGGGATCATTAAATTGGGAATCGTAATTAGTCGCCTCAGCACCCCATCTATCAACCTTCTTTACTTCCATGACCGTTCGAGCATTGAGTAAACTCTTACTCGACGGAATTGTGTGTCCAGAACAATCGCCGGGAATGGTGAAGACCCGGACAGACGGCCGTATAGTTCGTAAAAAGGTGATGATGGGTTGAAAGAAAACCGCGATCGATAAACATTCGATAGTTGAAGATCACTGTTCCGAAAATGGAATTATGCGCGATTCTTGTTGAGCTTCTCTCGGAGCTTGAATGAATCGCAATTCTATCAGAAAATAACATCACATCCTTAAAACACGCGCGATGGCAATATGTTTCACTCACATATCAGAATGGATGAAATTTCACTGGTATCGAACCGAGCCAGGAGCATTGTCACCCAGGAAGCCACAAAACAGGAATAGTGGGCAGCCCAAGTACGTCCGGCTCACCGTTGTCGAGAAATGGAACGTGCGTGCCGGAGTCAGAGGAAATACCCCTTCACATCGTTGAAAAAGAATACTCTGTCTATTTTCACTACCAATTAAGTTATGACTTCATCGTTGCGTGATAGTACGTGACGCCCCTTCGCCTTTCCTAAGGAACGTTCCGGGTGGCTTGTTAGGGGAAAGATCAACAAGTGAGCTAATTGGTCCCAACATCGCCATGACCTCCCCCTCGGCTATTATCTCTCATATAACAATCCCTGGGCACGAACCATAGATCTCACTGCGTCATTCACACCCAGTGGAACTCCTCCGGGCGCCCATTCTTGATCCGTTCATTGCCTCACCGCCTCTATCCACTTTACGGGCCGCATTTTCACCCCAGACCTCAGCACCCAGGCCACCCTCCGCCTCCGCGTATGCGAGGTAGCACCAAGTCGTGCCGCCCAGCGGTGCAGGTCTAGTTCTTCTTGCGTGAGTTCCGAGCCAAGTGTCTCCACGCCGAGCGCGATGAGGGGCACACGAGGCGTTCGAATTGGTGATGGAGGCGTCCCGCTTCCATGGAAGAGACGTAGGGAAGATCGCGGATCGGAGGGCCTGAGAGGAACAACATATTGTTTATAACGCCTTCAACGAATTGAGATCTAAACTCGAGTTTTGGAAAAGCCGTGAACAACGAAAGTGTCGAAATGACAACACACGTCCTGAAACCGTTTCTTGGACTTGCCAAAGAGGAGACATTCGTACTGGAATTGGAAACTGCCTCAACAAATGAGAGGTGCTACTCTGGGATGAGGTACTTGAACTCGATCTGATATGTGGCGACTTCCCCAAGGAGTACTGTTACTCACAAATACGTTGTGTGATTGCTGGTTGGTCAGCGGCACCAGAGAATACAGATACTAGGTGCCTCAACACGCCCGGTGGGTCATAGCTATGGTAAGGGAGGCCTGAAGCCAATTCGAACGTGGAAAGCAGGGCCTCTCCGAGCTGAGATTGGATGTTGGTGATAGCTTTCCACCGACTCGTTCAATACATACTTCGTTGGCTTTTTCCAAGAGTACCAAAGTCACCCGACAATCCATAGGCGGACAGAAACCCGCCTAGGTAGGGAATGGTTATTTCGAAGAAAGGGATTCCGCTAGTCTAAGTTGGAAGAGATAGATTACACCCTTAGAAATTCGCAAATCTATAACGGTTCCGACCCACGCGGTCTCTGAAGGTCTGCTTGGCGACATGGTTCGTCGTGCGCTTATACTCTTCAGAGTTTTCGAACTGCATGAAAAGCGTAGTGCTCAGGGAATCGTAGATCATCCATTGAAATTCTGGATGCTGTTGGCAGGGGCTCATCGTATCCGAAAGAAGTATTCTCGTATCCGTGCCACCAGAGAGTGATGTTATTCCGTACATACTTGCAGAGGAAATTATTCGTAAGTAGGAGGTGGACCAGGTTTAGGTTGCGGTGAGGTCTGAGGCATTTAAGTGGACGGGATGCAATTTGCCATCAAATGGGGTTGGTAGCCACGAAATGTGGCAGGAGAGTGCCAAGAAAAAAAACAGCAAACAGAGAGGGACCAGAAGGGATGATTCTTGGTGTAAGTTGATTGCGCGTTGCAAAAACGAGGGACAGGACTCTGAGCGAGCCTGTTAATGGGGGAAAGAACAAGGCCCCGATGCTCTAAGGAAACGTTACTTACGTGCACCACCGTAATGTAAAAGTCGGAAGGACAAAGACTTCGGGATCGAGCGCCCCGGAAGCAATGGTTCACACGCAGCGTTCAGGTCAAAGATCAGTGGACTCGTTTTGAGCCCTCACTGCTACAAATGATCGTTCTATTGAGGCTGCTTTAGCCTAGTTAGCCAGAAGCCCACCCGCGCAGTCGCGAACCCCGGAAATTTATTATCCCACCTCAAACAATTGCTGGCAGCATACGTCCGAAAGAATGACACCTACCATATTTCCGCTGTGCAGATAGATGTTGTTTGGCTCTCCCTCTCTGTTCCTTACTCTCAAAAATCCGCAAGCTTCAGCGGACGTGGAAAGGGTCCGATATCTGGGAATATTCCTGAACCCCAGGCCATTTTACTCTACAGATATTCAGATATACTTTCACAATTGCCATCATAGGTTGAAACGATTGAGTGGACCTACACTCTCTACAGAATGGGTTCCCTTGTACGGTGATTCGTGAGCATGCATTACTTGTAGCATGTTATCAATGCCCTTCCAGTTGCAGATATTGGACCCACCTTCTATTAAATTATTCTAGATCGTGCAGATGTGTTGTTCTGTAGGTAGGGTTGTGGGGATAGGATGGATCAATCCCCCCAGGCTGATGCTGGTACGTCGAGGATCCTAATGTGTCATGGTCGGAACACAATAAACAGTTGGATGAAAAATTACTCTTTCCTGGCATGCGTGATTCTGGAACGAAGTCATTGAGAACTGCAAGCGTGGGTGGGAGGGCTTAAGCTCGGATAACAATACCTATCCCATGTCTTTGGGCATCGGTCTTGGGATTAATTCGAATGCGGCACACATTCTCTTTGGATTTTCAACTTTCGCTGGCCACAGGTTTCGCCGCGATCAGGCCCAGACGGGACAGGGGGACATAACAAGGTATTCTTCGAGCCTCATAAGTTCATCGGCTAAGTCGGGACAGGGTTACCCTTGCGTTGGCTCGATCTATTCAACGCGACGCAAAGACTGTCACTTTGTTGTCGCACTAAACACTTGCACACACACATATTATACAACGAAGGTCTTTTATCACACTATGTGCAGCTGAGGATGAATGCCGGGCGAAACGATGGAACTGGCAGAAGAAATTTTGTGTTGGCCAAGGTTGCGTCAAATTGACAGACACCGTCATTCTGATGCGGAGTGAAAGCGAATCAACGGACTATGCAAAGGGCAAAATCACAAAGTCTCTGGTTACAACGCTGAGCATTCATTTTATCCAACCCGGGACTAAACGACAGTGCAAGGGAGGAATGGTCATAGATCTGTTGAAGTCTCTGCACTCTAGGGAAAGGGTGCCTCGGACGAGGGAAGTCCAAAAAAATGGAATAGCGAAACCTCGCGATTCCCCCTCTGACAGGGGATAGAACGCGCAAGGTAATATTTTGCATTTGACCACGAACATCCTAAATGACTTGGCTAAGATCAACAACAATCGGAGCTGTCTGCTTGCCTTGGAGAAGGATTCGAGTCCCATCTTTGCTGGACCGAGGGCTGTACAGAAAGGTAGGATCAGACGGCACTTGATCACCATACCAAGCACCTAGACCTTCGGCACCAGAAGAAATAATTGGTCGATACTCCTTGGGAATAACGAGTTCTAATTTGCCATTGAAGTACACTGGCAGCCCCACACGTCGTTCACTGGTTCCAAACAACGGGGTTCTTCCTGCAGCAGTTGAATGGATGTCAGACCTATGCCACATCTCCTCCTCCTCTTCCTCCTTGCTTTGCGAGAGAACATAAAATGGACACTTAATCCAGGACTCGTCCAAGTTATGCTCCGCATCTGTTTCGGAATGATGTATATCTGCTGTGCCACCTTCTGTCAAGGAAAGGGTGGGTTGAGTGGATATAGGATTGGGGATGCGATAAGCGCAGGCAGGGGGAACAGTGGGATTCATAATCCAAAACTTGAAATCCGTCACACGATAATGTGCAATGAGCTCACCCGAGTCTGTCGACCAGGTGAAGGCGCTGAGGCCATCGAAAGCCCCGATATAACGTGCTCCTGGAGAAAACCTGAGCGTGCGACGGTGAGGAATAGCAAGCGTGTCGTGGCGAGGAGAATCATCTGCTTGGGAAGGAGGAGAAGCGAGGAGCTGCATGTGCGGATTGTCCAGAATAGATATGAGAGTCATGTTGTCATACCACGAGTTATCAGTGTTCCATGGGACTCGGATGATAAACAATCCGTTATCTGATACTCGAGTTACAGCAGGATTGTTGGGAAGAGTACCAAGATTAACAAAGGCCATATCGTGGCTAAGGATGGTGACGTTCCCCTCATTGTCCTCGGCAGCAACTCGGTGTCTACCATGAACAAATTCAATCCAGACTGGGTGGTTGGGTGGATCGAGGCGGAGTCGGGAAATCGTGCGTTGAAGGTCGATATCGGCAAGCTCGATGACACCACTACCAAAACCGAGAGCTATATGACAACCATCAAGGGAGAGTGCTGCACATGTCACAATACCGTTACGAACATCAGGGTCATTGAATTGGGCACCGTAATCAACCTCAACAACCTGACTGTTATTATTAGCCTTCTTTGGCAAATTAGGTTGCTTCGCCTCCATGACCATTCGAGCATTGAGTAAATTCTCACTTAATGGGATTCTGTGCCCGGAAAACTTGCCGGAAGTAGTGAAGATCCGAACTGGATCGGAGAGGTGGCTATACAGTTCGTGAAAAGGTGATGAGGATGGGGTGAAAGGAAGGGTCGATCGATGGAGGTCCCATGGTGCTGTGGAAGTAATATTCAGATACGACACTGATTCCTTTTCTTGAGCTTCTCTCAAAAGTTTGAATGAATCACAATTCTGTTTAAAATGACATCATATTAAAATAATCGCGACACAATGATTGTATTTACCTTGAATTCCTCAAATCCATCAAGGAATCTCATGCCAAGTTCATCATATGATGCCAGGTGCATAAATGTAACCAAGTTTCGTGTGAGGAATATATTAAACTCGTTCTGCAAATTGGACTCTTGTGCAAAGAGTTGTGAGGGGTCCAAGTGTTCTAATAAGTATTGACGAGTATATCGGAGATGATGAGGGAGATGACGTTCTCTCTCCAAAAAATCTCCCCATGTCTGTTCATCTCCTAAAGGGAGAATGGTGGGCTCCCCAAACACATCCTGCTCACAACTATTATTGAAAAATCGGAGGAGTGACAGTCCGATGAAATACTTGTTCGCATCTTTGACAAAGAATACTTGGTCATTCTCACTACCAATCGAATCCCCTGTTATAAACTCTTTCATCGTTGCATGATAGAATTTGACGCCCTGCATCTCAGAGGAATTTTCTGGAGGATCTTCCGAAAAACGTTCCAAGCCACTTTCTGAAGAAAGATCAACAATTGAACGAATTGGATCCAATATGGCTAGAACCTCTCCCTCGGCAATTCCTGACAGCTGCGATATAAAAAACACACTGAGTGGCTTGAATGCCGCATTGATTGTGGCAACCACTTGGCGATACTTCTCAGCAATATGTTTACGGACTCCAGATGAGCCGACCATGTAGGCACGGCGAAGCACACGCAGGTACTCCAAATTGATATCAACAGGGGCTTCGGTGAGATCACGAAAGTATTCGAACTCGGATTGAAGAGTTGCACCACGATGAGTTTGAAGGCAGACATCCCGGACTCGGATTGAGGCGATAATCGGCAATCCACGACACGCTGAGACAAACGCATCGAGTTCTTCTTTTGATGGTTTCCAGGAAGAGTTATCGATGCAATCCCGAAGGCCTTCCTCCACCATGCGGTGGATAGTGTGGAACTTCTCTTCCTCAGCGACAATGTCCACGTCTTCACAGGGTATAGCAAGACCCTGAGCTCGAGCTCTAACCCAAGCCAACACAACGGATGACTCTGGCCGACAGCTGACCAACACAGCATATGCGGCAGGCAGCTCATCAAGGATAAGTACTAGCTTCATTAGGGACGTAAGTTCCTCCTGAGTCCCACACTCGTCTAGTCCATCCAAGATGATGAGGAAGCGCTCCTCACCCAAAGATAAGAGTTTGTGCATGGGATCAATAATCCAAGCTCTCATTTGCTTCTCCAAAGCGGAGCCAAGAACACCCTTCAATGATGAAGGCTGTCGGAGTCGATTGACAAGAAGACCCTCGTACTCGGTGTTAAACATGGCAAGCTGATGTGCAAGAGTAGAGGGAAAGTGTTCAATTGAAGCGAGTCCTGCACCCTTCCGATTTTTGTCCCAGAAGAAAGATGCTGCCAAGCGACTCTGTTCATAAAGAGTCGACGCGACACTCATTGATATAGCGGTCTTTCCAGTTCCCGGAGAGCCGCGAAGCCAGACAAATCGATGCTCCCGTTTCTCCAAGTGATCAAGTATCGATTCCTGAATCCGGACACGGGTGTTTTCCAGGCATTCCGACTTGCTTTCCACCGCAGAGAATTCCGCCTTTGCTTTGTAGAGTTTCGAGAGCTCACCTGAAATATCATTAAATTCCAAGCAGTGAAATCAGGGAAAAACAACGAACGGTCTACCGATGACTGGATTGTGTGGAGGAGATTTAGAGTTGTCGCAGCGGTCTATGAAGTATATCAGTCATCGGACAGTCAGAACACCAACGAAACGAACCGTAAAGCGGGCGATAGCATCACGGATACAGGACCTCACGGCGCTTGTCTCCTGGGATATCTCAGTCGCCAGGATTACCCTCTTGGCAAGTTTTTGACGCTTGAGTGCTTCAATTTGCTGCAATTGTTGCTTTGCAGCTCTGTGGCTAAGAGTTGAGATTTGGACGACGGAGCGATCAAGTAAATGCACATACAAGTTAAATTGTTGAATTAGATCACCTATTTCGGGAGGAACCTGGCCAGTCCACAACAGGAGTGGCCTGAAGATCGTTTCGTGAGCCTTTCGAACTTCATCATCTAATCCCTTGAGATTTTCGTCATTGTTGTCGATCGTCTGCATGAAAACATAAAAGTTATATCATTAGATCGGAAAATTGCAATTGCCCTGCGAACCTCGTAAACTTGGAGCCAGGTCAGGAGTATACTTGGTATCTGATCGAGGTTTGGAATGGGGACGAATTTAAGAGCAGAGGTGGCAGTTTGGAGGACGAGCCTTGTGGCGGCGATAATTGTTTTCTTTCTGTCACCAGCAGGGACGGCTGAAGATGACGACGTTTGATCCATTGACGATGGAATACCCAGGTCTGCGCCTGCGAGTCCCGGTTGTGTGACGGGGCTCCCACTGCTGCCGTGGATGATGCGCTCGCTGGGCATCGTGTGAGAGATATCGATAGCCCCCTCGGGGAGAATGGGAGATGGCGATGGATTAGGGGATGGCGGATCGGGCGTAGAGGGGTCAGATTGTCTAGGATCGGAGGACTTCGATTGGTCGATATGAGTGGGATCGGGACTGGGACTTCTGCTGAACCGCTCAGCTATAGCGTGCCAAACAGACCTCCGCTGCTTCCGGCCTCGAGAACCACCAGCAGTTGACGCAGTAGGAGGTTGAAGACGAGATCCCTCAGATCCATCACGATCTTTGTTAGTGGTTGCATCGTTTGCAGTGGGGGAAGGAGTGATCTGGATGTTGGGAGCAGGAGTCAAGGGTTGCCCGCCAGGACGCTTAGAAGAATGCCGTCTCTCGGAAAACCGAAAGAACCCAGATCGGCCAGACATTGTGCGATAGCAATCGCTGAGGGGGTGCTGAACAGATGGGACAATGTAGGCCGCTCAACCCACGACGAATAAGGCAGTATCCCAGCCTCTTTACCAAAGCAGGATGGCAAATACAAAATGCCCATTGTGGAGATAAAGTCGGGACGTAAGCCACGCTACCCAAATCATTCGGCTCGATAACAAAGCCAAAAAAAATCTACCTATGTTGACTACGTGCCTTAGGACATTTGCAAATGATATTTAGCATGGAAATCTGCTTCTCAGTTGGGAGTCCTTTAATTGATTAGAGCTGCGTTCCTTTTTCGGTTGGGCGCTCAATTTCTTCGATAAAGCTGAAGGCCCTGTAGCCGATGAGAATTTCGCGTTCCTTTTCTTTCCTCCACGCTGTCAGAACTGAGCGCGACCATCGCTAGTCCTCCAAGGGAGAACTACCCAGATGATCAGGGTGAATACAAAGTCTGCCTACTTGCCTTCAGCGTTTTAGAAACAATTTATGGCGTGGAAATCGACTTCTGAGTTAGTTATTTGTCTTCGGAACCTGATTGACTGCACACACGAACATCAGTCGTCTGGCTTCCTGTCACTCTCGAACAACGTACCCCACCTCAGTTGTTTCAGTGCTCTGTGGCCTGCCAGAATGTCTTCTTCGTGTGGGGGCCTAGGATCTTGATGTTGTGTTTTGGTAACGCGAACCGATGCATAATTTTTTCAGTCATGCGCTTCGATATCTCGATCGGGTTATGAACCCTCCGAAGGCCGTCACATCAGCGCATCACGATCGGCTTCCTTGCCAGCTCCTTCCCTTCCTAGTGTTCATGTCCTGCTGATTCCCCCCAAGTCTTCCAAACATGTGGAGTCCTGCTCTTCCCAAACATTTGGCGTCTCTACCTTGGTGCTCCAAGATTGCACCATCGAAACACTGCCCTTCGGAGCGGAAACCATTCACTCGAATGCTGCCTAGATCCGAAAGAGAGTATTCCTGATACTAGTTACTGTTGACTCTGGATTTGCCTCGGGCTCCGAGCATAGTCAGCGGGATGACGAAGGAATGTGAGCTTCAAGGAGGGCAAATGAAACTCGATAATGCTAACGAACGGCCAGCCCGTTTCGCTCAGGAAACCGTAAGTGTGCAAATCTTCGAGGACATTCCGGACCGTGTTCTTCACATCAGCAGCACCCTTAATCCCCAGAACGATCAAACCGTCACCAGTCTCACAGAAGCATTTGTTTTGAGGTGATGCATTCCATCGTACTGGGTTTCACACTTGAGGTTACAGTGGGCGCCAAAATTGGCATTTCATTCACTCTTTTTTCTCCGAGTGCGGCGGCGCGTTATCCTGGATGCAGCGGAATCCACAAGCCATGTGCCTATGGCAAACTCTTCGAATTTTTGATGGAAAACGATGGCTGGGAGAGATTCAAGCCGTTGATATATCAACGGATTGTTCCCGATCCAGCTCAGCATCATTGACCCGATTGAACTCACCATCACCCATTCCCCGGACTCGAGCCCAACTTTTGTTACCGTGAATTCTAGCCTTATTCTTCGTCGTCCCAATCCCGCCTACAATTATCATCACCTCTTCCATTCCTCAACTCCGCCCTCCAACACCATCATCCGTTTAATCTTTCCCAGTTTTGAGAACACTCGAGTCAACACTGACATCATCGCGGGCAAGATCCGATGTGTTACAAGGAATTACTTGCGCCATGAGCGCTGGACTGCTCATCTTTGTGGCATTAGTCGAGGTTTGTTGCGGGGGAATTTAGATGCGGCACTGAGCTTCAGCGCGAGAGTGCTAGGAAACAATTTGGTGCTCTAACTGCTGCTTTTGTTGTTGGGCGTATCGGAATGGGGGACTTTTACCTTCATCGTTAGACGTTGAGGTACTACCTGCCACCTTCCCCTTGATTCGCTTTCGATCCCAATCACGAGCCAGACAGTATGTTGTTGTCATCTCAGGGTACTCGTTATTGCAACCTTCCCGTTCTTTCCGCCCTATTTTGTACATTACATAATATTAATTTCACGGTAATGAAGCCGTGTCGTGCGAGCTGGTGTGTGTGGTACGTGTGTTTGAACGAAAAGGAATATGGGACATCAAGGGGGCATTCACCGATCCCTGGAACTGGAAGAAAGAAAGAAAGAGAAAAAAAAACCACAGCAGTTAGGATTGCCATGTAGTCCCCCACCATAGTACTAACCAACCGGTACTCAGCTTGACTTCGCAGATCAAACGGGATGCAGTACTTTCTAAGTCCTATGGCCGTGGATGGCCGCAGCGAACCCAAGGTTCCTCTATAGAATTGATTAGGTCGCGAGACGTTCAGAACTCATCAATGGATCCTACCGCACAACCAGGCTCCAGTACCATATGCGAGCTATGCTATTGCATCCAGATCCTTATTCGGGGTGGTGCTGCTTCGTTGTTCGACTCGAGGGCTGGAGGATGTTGTTCCCCTTCACCAGCGTTTACCTCGCTATCATTAATATTATAAAATGTCAAGCGCAGCGATATACAAATTGGAGGACGATATATAACCCTAAACGACTTGCTAATTTCGACGGCAATTGGAACCGTCATCCGGCCTTGGAGCAGAAGTCGAGTCCCGTCCTTTGCTGGACCGGAGGTGATAGATATTCGTGATTTTAGCATAAAACGGCACTCGATCGCCACACAAGGCTCCTGTATGGGTGACGCAACCCACCCTGAAGTGATACCGTGCGGAGATAGTAGACTCTGTTCTACCGCTAAACTATGTTGGTACCCCTCGCCTATGTGTCCCATTCAGAGAAATGGGATTCTCCCTGTACCAGATGAATAGACACCGAAGTCTTCGTGTGTACTTGGTGGGAGGTCGTGAAATGGGACGCATCTGAGTCGTGTGTCCGGTTTGGAGAGGTGCATGTCTGCTGTATTACCAGGGAAAATCGAGTTGAGGGATACAAGGCCAGGGGGAGATATAAGCAAGTGATGAGGAGGACTGTGCGATTCATAACCCAAAGAACTGACATTGGTAACGCTGTAACCTGCAATGAGCTTGCCCGATTCCGTTGTAAGTGAAAGCGCTGTCTCCATCGAAAGCGCCAAAAATTCCATGCACCAGGAGGAAACCCAGGCGCACGACAACGAGGAATGGCTAGCGAGAAATTCGGGTGGAAGGATAGAGTGGAAGGGTAAGAAGGAGAGGGGAGGAGTTGAACGTGCGGGCCATCGGTATGAGCGTCATGTTGCCGTGCCAAGGCCCTGACATCAGTGTTTCAGCAGGAACGGGGCCATTCGGGAAGTACCAAGACTCACGGGGACCACACCATGGCTAAGGGTGATAACGACCGCGGACATCCTAGACGACTTAATTCATGTCGAAAACAATTGGAGTCATCATCCGGCCTTGGAATCCCTCCCATCCTTGCTGGACAGGAGGCAGTAGGGATTCGTAGCATCAAATGGCGCTCGAAAACGAGACCAAGCTCTCAGACGGTTGACACCACACCCAAAGATTACCACGGGCGGCCAGAGAATTCTGTTCTGCAGTTGAACCATATTGGTAGCTCCTCAGTCACGTTTCCGGTGCACAATAGCGGGACTCTTCCGGAATAGACGCTGAGGTCTTCATGTGTGCTTGATCTAGGACCCATTTGAGTCATGCTCTGCGTTCACTTCAGAATGATGCAGGTCTGTCGCGTCACCTCCAGCCAGGGGGAGTAAGTCGGGTCGATATGGGATCGAAATATTATGAGATACGATCAAGGGATGGAGACTGGGATTCATAATCCAAGAACTGAGGTTCGTAACACGATGACGCGCAACCTCGGATCTCTGTAAACTGGGAGAAATCCCAACCGTGCGGTGATGAGGGATGGCTAACAAAGAATTTGAGCGGAAGGATGGAATGGAGGGGCCGGAAGGAGGAGAACCGAGGAGCTAGACGTGCGGATTGTCTGAAGCAGATGTAAGGGTTGTGTAGACGTGTTGACGTCGTACCAAGGCTTGTCAATCTTCCGTGGGGCTCGTACGACAAATATCCATGATACGACGCTAGCGTTCCAGTAGGGAGAAGGCCAGTGGGCCTACCATGTCTAGGGGCTGGCGTTTCCCTCGATAATACCATTACCAAAACCGAGGGCTGCATAACGGCCATCGGTGGAGAAGCGCCACATATTTCACAACACCATTGCGAACAGCTTCCATGACCGTTCGAGCATTGACTAAATTCTCACTCAACGGAATTGTGTCCAGAACAATCGCTGGAAACGGTGAAGACCCGGACAGGATCAGAGAGATGGCCATATAGTTGGTAAAAAGGTGATGAGGATGGGGTGAAAGGAAACAGCGATCGATAAAGGTTCGATAGTTGGATCACTGTTCCGAAATTGGGATCACGCGCATTCCCTCTTGAGCTTCTCTCGGAGCTTGAATGAATCGCAATTCTATCCGAAAATGACATCACATCCTTAAAATACGCGCAATGTCAATATGTTTCACTCACATATCAGAATGGACAGGAATTACAGAGTCGAACCAACCCAGGAGCATTGTCGCCGACGCCCATGAAGGCATTCTTCCATAAAACAAGAGGCAACCCAGATACGTCACGCTCACCGTTGTCGAGAAATGGAAGGTGCGCACCGGAGGCAGAGGAAATACCCCTTCACATAGTTGAAAAAGAATACTTTGTCGTTTTCACTACCATAAATTGGATTCTCTGTTATGACTTCGTCGTTGCACGATAGTACGCGACGCCCCTTCGCATTCCCTAAGGAACGTTCCGGGCAGCTTGTTGAGGAAAGATCAAGTGAGCGAATTGGTTCCGATGTCACCATGACCTCCCCCTCGGCTATTATCTCTGATATAATAGCCCCTGGGCACGAACCATAAATCTCACTACGCCTTTCGGACCCAGCGGAACTCCTCCAGGCGTCCATTCTTAATTGTTCCACTGCCATAGTGCCTCTATCGACTTGGTGGGCCGCATTTCCACGCCACATTTCACCAAACCACCCTCCGCCTCCGCGTATACAAGGCATCACCAAGTCGTCAGTCCTTAATTCAGCTGCCCAGCGGTGCAGATCTAATTGTTCTTGCGCGAGTTCCACGCCAAGTGTCATGCCGAGCGCAATAGGCTCGTGTAGAGGCATATGAGATGATGCTCGAATTGGTGGTGGGGGCGTCCCGCTTCCATGGCAGAGATTTAGGGGAAATCACGAATCGGAGAGCCTGAGAGGAACAGCATATTGTTTATAACGCCTTCAACGGACTGAGATCGAAATTCGAGTTTATGGAGAGCCGTGAGTAACGAACGTCTTGAAATGGTAACACATGTCCTGGAACCGCTTTCGGATTTGCCAGAGAGGAGGCATTCGTACTGGGATTGGAACGCGCCTCAACAAATGGGAGATGCCACTCTGTACTGTCTGTCATACCGCCGATGGAGTAGTGGGCTAGTCTAGATCACATCCACTTGTCCTTAAACCAGTTACATGTAACAGACTCACGACCAAGCGACTACCAATCTCCAGCCCAAAACGTAGTCCACAACCCATCCTTCGTCTCCTGCAGAAACCCGGTGTCATTATCTGGTCTAAATAAATACTCCTTTCGTCCAGTGAGACGCGCGAAGTACTTGGACTCCATCTGACATGTGGCGACTTCCGCAAGGAGTATTGTTACTGACCAAAACGTTGTGTGATCGATTGCTGATGTGATAAGTTGGTCAGTGGCATCAGAGAATATGGATAAGGTGCCTCAACACGCCTGGTTGGGTCATAGTTATGGTAAGAAGCCGATTTAAACGTGGAAAGCAGGTGTCTCTCCGAGCTGAGATTGGACGTTGGTGACAGCTTTTCTACGGACTTGTTCAATATCTACCAAGTCACCCGACAATGCATAGGTGGACAGCAACCCGCGTAGGTCGAGGGAAAGGGATTTCGCTATTCTGAATTGGAAGAAATAGATTACACCACTAAAATTTATGGCGGTTTCGACACACATGGTCTTTGAAGGTCTGCTTGGCGACATGCTTCATCGCGCGCGCTTGTACTCTTCAGAGTTCTTGAGCCCCATAAAAAGCATAGTGCTCAGGGAATCATAGATCATCTATTGAAATCCTGAATGCTGTTGGCAGTATCCGAAAGCAGCATTCTCGTGACCGTGCCACCACACAAACAGGTTCACTGATCATCCCATACTTGCAGATGGAATCCTTGGTAAGTAGGAGGTGGGCAAGGTTTTAGGTTACGGTGGGCCTGAGGCGCCTAAGTGCGATTTGCCATCAGATGAGGTTGGTAGCCATGAAATGTGGCAGGAGAGAGCCAAAACACAGCAAACAGATGAATACCACAAGGGACGAGAACTCGGGTGGCAAGATGAGAGGACCAGAAGGGATGATTCTTGGTGTAAATTGATTGCGCGTTGCAAAGAAGGAGGCACAGGCAGAACTCTGAGCAGCATGATAAACAAGGCCCCGATACTCTAAGGAAACGTTGGCCCAACTTATGTGCACCACCGTAATATCAAAGTCGGGATGTGATGGAAGCAATGGTTTAGATGCAGCCCTTCCGCACGTTCCGGTCAAAGATATATCAGTGGAGTTGCTTCGACCCTCGATCGTTCCATCGAAACCGTGGGTGGGAGGGGATAATAATACCTTTGTGCGTTGGTCTTGGGATTAATTCGAATGCAACACAAATTTTCTTTTGGGTTTTCAACTTTCACTGGCCACAGGTTTCGGCGTGATCAGGCTCAGATGGGACAGGGGGACAGAACAAGGTACTCTTCGAGCCTCCTAAGTTCATCGGCTAAGGCTAAGTCGGGACAGCGTTGCTGAGGACAAATACCGGGTGAAATGATGGAACTGGCAAAAGAAATATTGATTTTCTAGTATGTTCAAAGTGATAACAGAAAGCGAATCAAGGGACTATGGAAAGGGCAAAATGAAAAAGTCTCTGGTTGAAACACTGAGCATTCATTCTGTCTGACCCGGGGCTGCAAGGGAGGAATGGCCATATATCTGTTGAAATCTCCGAGCTTTATCTGCACCCTGGGAAAGGGGACCTCGTCCGAGGGAAGTCAAGAAGAATGGAAGGCGACCCAGCGAACTTCGCGATCCCCCCTCTGACGGGGGATAGAACGTGCAAGGTAAATAGGAAGACATTGCAATTTGACCACGAACATCCTAAATGACTTGGCTAAGATCAACAACAATTGGAGCTGTCTGCCAGCCTTGGAGAAGGATTCGAGTCCCATCTTTGCTGGACCGAGGGCTGTACAGATGGGTAGGATCAAATGGCACTTGATCGCCATACCAAGCGCCTAGGCCGTTGGCACTAGAAGAAACAACTGGTCGGTACTCCTCGGGAATAACAAGTTCCAATTTTCCATTGAAGAACACTGGTAGCCCCGCACGTTGTTCACCGCTTCCAAACAATGGGGTTCTTCCTGCAGCAGATGAACGGATATCAGACTTATGCAACATCCCCTCCTCCTCCTCCTTCTTGGTTTGCGAGAGAAGATAAAATGGACACTTAATCCAGGACTCGTCCAAGTTATGCCCCGCATCTGGTTCGGAATGATGTATATCTGCTGTGCCAGTTTTTGCCAAGGAAAGGGTAGGTCGAGTGGATACAGGATCAGGGAGGCGATAAGAGCAGGCAGGGGAAACAGCAGGATTCATAATCCAATATTTGAAATCTGTCACACGATAATGCGCAATGAGCTCGCCCGAGTCTGTCGACCAGGTGAAAGCGTTGAGACCATCAAAAGCTCCGATGTAACGTGCTCCTGGAGAAAACCCGAGCGTGCGACGGTGAGGAATAGCAACCGTGTTAAGGCGAGGAGAATCATCTGCTTGGGAAGGAGGGGAAGCGAGGAGCTGCATGTGCGGGTTGTCCAGAATGGATATGAGAGTCATGTTGTCGTACCATGAGTTATCAGTGTTCCATGGGACTCGTATGATAAACAATCCATTATCTGATACTCGAGTTACAGCAGGAAGCTGATTGTTGGGAAGAGTACCAAGATTAACAGAGGCCATATTGTGGCTAAGGATGGTGACGTTCCCCTCATTGTCTTCGGCAGCAACTCGGTGGCTGCCATGGACAAATTCAACCCAGACCGGGTGGTTGGGTCGATCAAGCTGAAATTGGGAAATTGTGCACTGATGGTCAATATCAGCAAGCTCAATGATGCCACTGCCAATACCGAGAGCTATATGATGACCATTGAGGGAGAGTGCTGCACATGTCACAATACCGTTACGAATATCAGGATCGTTGAATTGGACTTCATAATTGATCTTCGGGGAACTTCCCCATCTATCAACCTTCTCTGAATCAGGTAGCTTCGCCTCCATGACCATTCGAGCATCGAGTAAATCCTCACTCAATGGGATTCTGTGCCCGGAAAACTCGCCGGAAATGGTGAAGATCCGGACAGGATCAGTGAGGTGGCCGTACAGTTTGTACAAAGGTGATGAGGATGGGGTGAAAGGAAGGGTTGATCGATGGAGATGCCATGGTGACAAGGAAACCACATCCAGATACTCCACAAATTGCTTTTCTCGAGCTTCTCTCAAAAGTTTGAATGAATCGCAATGCTGTTGAAAATGACATCACATTAAAATAATCGCGGCACGACGATTCTATTTACCTTGAATTCATCAAATCCATCAGGAAATACTTGGCGATGTTCATTGATTGGTGCTAGGTGCATAAATGTAACCAAGTGTCGCGTGAGGAATGTATTAAACTCGTTCTGCAAATTGGACCCTTGTGCAAAGAGTTGTGAGGGATCTAAGTGTTCTAATAAGTATTGACGAGCATATCGGAGATGATGGGGCCGATGATGTTTCTTGTCCTCCCGAACAACCCGGCTCCGTTCATGTCTTAAAGGGGAGCTGGTGGGATCCCCAAACACATCCCACTCACAACTATTATTGAAAAATCGGAGGAGTGGTAGTCCGATGAAATACTTGTTTGCATCCCGGATAAAAAATACTTGGTCATTCTCACTACTAATCCAATCTCCCGTTATAAACTCTTTCATCGTTGCATGATAGAATTTGACACCTTGCATTTCCCCTGAGGGACTTTCTGGAGGATTTTCTGAAAAACGTTCCAGGTCACTTTTTGAAGAAAGATCGACAATTGAGCGAATCGGTTCCAATATGGCTAGAACCTCTCCCTCGGTAATTCCTGACAGCTGCGATATAAAAAACACACTGAGTGGCTCGAATGCCGCGTTGATCGTGGCAACCACTTGGCGATACTTCTCAGCTATATGTTTACGGACTCCAGATGAGCCAACCATATAGGCACGGCGAAGTACACGTAGGTACTCCAAATTGACGTCAACGGGGGCATCGATCAGATCACGAAAGTATTCAAACTCGGATTGAAGGGTTGCACCACGATGAGTTTGAAGGCAGACATCCCGGACTCGGATTGAGGCGATAATCGGCAATCCACGACACGCTGAGACAAACGCATCAACTTCTTCTATTGATGGTTTCCAGGAAGAGTCATCGATGCAATCCCGAAGGCCTTCCTCCACCATGCGGTGGATAGTGTGGAACTTCTCTTCCTCAGCAACAATGTCCACATCTTCACAGGGTATCACAAGACCCTGAGCTCGAGCTCTAACCCAGGCCGACACAACAGATGATTCTGGCCGACAGCTGACCAACACGGCAAACGCGGCAGGCAGCTCATCAAGGATAAGTACTAGCTTCATTAAGGACGTGAGTTCCTCCTGAGTCCCACACTCGTCCAGTCCATCCAAGATGATCATGAAGCGCTCCTCGCCCAAAGATAAGAGTTTGTGCATGGGATCAATAATCCAAGCTCTCATTTGCTTCTCCAGAGTGGAGCCAAGAATACCCTTCAATGATGAAGGCTGTCGGAGTCGACTGACAAGAAGACCCTCGTACTCGGTGTTAAACATGGCAAGCTGATGTGCAAGAGTAGAGGGAAAGTGTTCAATCGAAGCAAGTCCTGCGCCCTTCCGATTTTTGTCCCAGAAGAAAGATGCTGCCAAGCGACTCTGTTCGTAAAGAGTCGACGCGACACTCATTGATATAGCGGTCTTTCCAGTTCCCGGAGAGCCGCGAAGCCAGACGAATCGGTGCTCCTGTTTCTCCAAGTGATCAAGTATCGATTCCTGAATCCGGACACGGGTATTTTCCAGGCATTCCGACTTGCTTTCCACGGCAGAGTATTCCGCCTTTGCTTTGTAGAGTTTCGAGAGCTCACCTGAAATATCATTAAATTCCAAGCAATGAAATCAGGGAACAACAACGAACGGTCCACCGATGACTGAATCGTATGGAGGAGATTTAGAGTTGTCGCAGCGGTCTATGCAGTATATCAGTCATCAGACAGTCTGAACACCAACGAAACAAACCGTAAAGCGGGCGACAGCATCACGGATACAGGACTTCACGGCGCTTATCTCCTGCGATATCTCAGTCACCAGGATTATCCTCTTGGCAAGCTTTTGACGTTTGAGTGCTTCAATTTGCGTTAATTGTTGCTTTAGAGCTCTGTGGCTGAGAGTTGAGATTTGGACAGCGGGCCGATCAAGTAAATGTACACACAAGTTAAATTGTTGGATTAAATCACCTATTTCGGGAGGAACCTGGCCAGTCCACAACAGGAGTGGCCTAAAGATCGTTTCGTGAGCCTTTCGAACTTCATCGTCTAATCCTTTGAGATTTTCGTCATTGTTGTCAATCGTCTGCATGAAAACATAAAGGTTATATCATTAGATCGGAAAATCGAAATGCTCTGCGAACCTCGTAAACTTGGAGCCAGGTCAGGAGTATACTTGGTATCTGATCGAGGTTCGGAATGGGGACGAATTTAAGAGCAGAGGTGGCAGTTTGGAGGACGAGCCTCGTGGCGGCGATGATTGTTTTCTTTCTGTCACCAGCAGGGACGGCGGAAGATGTCGACGTTTGATCCATTGACAATGGAATATCTAGGTCTGCGCCTGTGAGTCCTGGTTGTGTGACGGGGCTCTCAGTGTTGCCGTGGATGATGCGCTCGTTGGGTATCGTGTGAGAGGTATTGATGGCTAGAATGTGAGATGGCGATGGATTAGGGGATGGCGGATCGGACCTGGAGGGGTCAGATTGTCTGGGATAAGAAGACTTCGATTGGTCGATATGAGTGGGATCGGGACTGGGACTTCTGCTGAACCGCCCAGCTATAGCGTGCCAAACAGACCTCCGCTGCTTCCGGCCCCGAGGACTACCAGCAGTTGACGAAGTAGGGGGCTGAGACGAGATCTCTCAGATCCATCACGATCTTTGCCAGTGGTTGCTTCGTTTGCAGTGGGGGAAGGAGTGATCTGGAGGTTGGGAGCAAGGCCGAAGGTTGCAGTGGACCGCCGGGACGCTTGGAAGAATGCCGTCTCTCAGAAAGCCGAAAGAACCCAGATGATCGGCCAGACATCGTGCGTTAGCAATCGCTGAGGGGGGCGCTGAACAGATGGGCAGGTAGCTCAACCCACGACAAATAAGGCAGGTCCCAGCCCAAGCAGGATAAAATGCCTGTTGTGGGGATAAAGCCGGGACGTAAGCCACGTTACCCAAATCATTCGGCTTGATAACAAAACCAAAAAACCCACCTATGTTGACTACACGCCTTCGAACATTTTGCAAATGATATTTAGCATGGAAATCGGCTTCTCAGTTGGGAGTCCATTGGAGCTTTTTCGGTTGGGCGCTCAATTTTTTAGATAAAGCTGAAGGCCGTGCAGCCGATGAAAATTCCGTTGCTGTCGCGTTCCTTTTCCTCCCAGAACTCAGCGCGACCGTCGCTAGTCCAGCAAACCAAGGGGGTACTACCCAGATGTTCAGGGTGAATACAAAAACTTGCCTTCAGCATTTTAGAAACAATTTATGGCGTGGGAATTGCATGACAGGAATCGACTTCCTGGGAGTTATGTAAATTCAACTCAGGCTCGTACCGGTCAAGTCTCTGGCCAGAAACGAACGCGGTCTCCTCTTCATACTCTCCTTTTTCAAAGTGAACTACCCTATACAGATTAATTGCGCACACGAACATCAGTCTCGTCTGGCTTCCTGTCACCCTCCAGCAGCGTACCCCACCTCGGTTATTTCAACTCCAGTGCTCTGAGGCCTACCAGAATCTGTCTCGATGTCATCTTCTTCGTGTGGGGGCCTAGGATCTCGATGTTGTACCATGTCAGACTGGATGACTTCGCGCGATCATGACACAAATTCGGACAAGTGTTCAATAGTGATTGCTTCGTAAATATTTCTGTTCGGTGACCCCCCGTGATTGAACCGGCCCATCGTCATGCGCTTCAAAATTCCATCGCCACGGGCCCTCTTTCTGCAGCGTCCATGGTCGATCCTAGCTATCCTTCGACTCCAATTAATGTCCAGTATTCGAGTAACAGAGGCGTATTTCGCTGTCGTCCCGACATATGGCACACCAAGTCGTGCACATATCCAACGCTACTGTGTTTGGTGGTGAATAGATAGGGGATGTTAATGTTTTGAGTGGTAAGCAAGGGTCGCTGGACGGTCCATTTGGTGCAGGATATCTCGATCGGGCTATGAGCCTTCAGAAGGTCGTCACATAAATGTACCAGGATCGGCTTTTTTGCCAGCTCCTTCCCTTCCCTAGTGTTCATGTTCGTCTCTCAGACATGCGGAGTTTTGCTCTTCCCAAACATCTGGTGTCTCTGCCCTGGTGCTCCAAGATAGCGCAGAAGTCAAGTCCTGTCCTTGCTGGATCGGAGGTGATAGAGATTCCTAATTTGTAGCATCAAGCGGCACTCGAATACCATACGAGTGGTTGACACAACCCACCCTCGCTTATGTTTCCCATCCAGAGCAGTGGGGTTCTCCCGACAATAATGCTGAGACCTTCGTGCGTGCTTGGTGGGAGGCCATAAAATGAGACGCAGCTGAGTCGTGCATCCAGTTCGGAGAGGTGCATGTCTGCTGTACTAGATAGGGTCCAGGGATACAGGGCCAGGGATGAGATATGAGCAAGTGAACTGACATTCGTAACGGTGTAACACGCAATGAACTTGCCCATCCATCGACTAGGTGAAAGCGCTGGCTCCATCGAAAGGGCCAAAATGCCGTGCTCCGGGAGGAAACCCAAGCACGCGACGACGATTTCACAGTAATGAAGCCATGTCGTGCGAGCTGGTGTGTGTGGTACGTGTGTTTGAACGGAATGGAATATGGGACATCAGGAGGGCGTTCACCGATCCCTGGAACTGGAAGAAAGAAAAGCGAAGGAAACAAAAAAAAAAACCACAGCAGTTAAGATCCCACATAGTCCCTACCATAGTACTAACCAACCGGTACTTGGCTTGGCTTTGCAGATCAGACGGGATGCGGTACTTTCCAAGTCCTATGGCCGTGGATGGCCGAGGGACCCAAAGTTCCTCTATAGGATTGATCAGGTCGCGAGACGTTCAATCATCCGATCCGCACAACCAGGCCCCAGTACCATATGCGAGCTATGCTATTGCGTCCAGATCCTTATTCGGGGTGGTGCTGCTTCGTTGTTTAACTTGAGAGCTAGAGGATGCTGTTCCCCTTCACTAGCGTTTGCTCGCTATCATTAATGTTCAAGCGCAGCGATGTACAAGTTGGAGGACGATATATGACTCTTGCTAATTTCGACGGCAATCGGAACCGTCATCCGGCTTTGAGCAGAAGTCGAGTCCCGTCCTTTGCTGGACCGGAGGTGATAGAGATTCGTGACTTTAGCATAAAACGGCACTCGATCGCCACACAAGGCTCCGTATGGGTGACGCAACCCACCCTGAAGTGAGATACCGTACAGAGATAGTAGACTCTGTTCTGCCGTTAAACTATATTGGTGCCTCTCGCTTATGTGTCCCATCCAGAGCAATGGGATTCTCCCCGTACCAGACGAATAGACGCCGAAAGTCTTCGTGTGTGTTTGGTGGGAGGTCGTGAAATGGGACGCATCTGAGTCGTGCATACGGTTTGGATAGGTGCATGTCTGCTGTATCACCAGGGAAGATCGAGTCGAGGGATACAAGGCTAGGGATGAGATATCAGCAAGTGATGATGGGAACTGTGCGATTTATAACCCAAAGAACTGACATTGGTAACGCTGTAACGTGCAATGAGCTCGCCCGACTCCGTCGTAAGTGAAAGCGCTGTTCTCCATCCAAAAATGCCATGCTCCGGGAGGAAACCCAGGCGCACGAGGACGAGGAATGGTTAGCAAAGAATTCGGTTGGAAGGATGGAGCGGAAGAGTCAGAAGGAAAGGGGAGGGATTGAATGTGCGGGCCATCGGTATGAGCGTCATGTTGTCGTACCAAGGCCCCTATCAGTGTTCCAGCAAGATAGGGGCCATTCGGGAGAGTACCAAGACTCATGGGGACCACACCATGGCTGAGGGTGATAGCGGCCGCGGACATCCTAGACGACTTAACTGATGTCAAAAACAATTGGAGTCCTCATCCGGCTTCGGAGTCCCTCCCATCCTTGCTGGACAGGAGGCGGTAGGGATTCGTAGCATCAAACGGCGCTCGAAAACGAGACCAAGCTCTCAGACGGTTGACACGATTACCACGGGCGGCCAGAGGATTCTGTTCTGTAGTTGGACCATATTGGTGTTACGTTGCCAGTGCACAATAGCGGGATTGTTCCAGCAACAGGTGAATACATGCTGAGGTCTTCATGCATGCTTGATCTAGGACCCATCTGAGTCATGCTCTGGGTTCACTTCGGAATGATGCAGGTCTGTCACGTCACCTCCAGCCAGGGGGAGCGAGTAGGTTCGATACGAGATCGGAACATATGAGAAATATATGAGATATGATCAAGGGATGGAGGCCGGGATTCATAATCCGAGAACTGAAATTTGTAACACGATGACGCGCAACCTCGGACCTCTGTAAACTGGGAGAAATCCCAAGCGTGCGGTGATGAGGGATGGCTAACAAAGAATTTGAGCGGAAGGATGGAATGGAGGGGCCGGAAGGAGGAGAGCCGAGGAGCTAGACGTGCGGATTGTCTGAAGCAGATGCAAGGGTTGTGTTGACGTGTTGACGTCATACCAAGGCTTGTCAATCTTCCGTGGGCTCGTACGACAAATATCCATGATACGACGCTAGCGTTCCAGTAGGGAGGATGCCAGTGGGCCTACCATGGCTTGGGACTTGCGTTTCCCTCGATAATACTGTTACCAAAACCGAGGGCTGCATAACGGCCATCGGTGGAGAAGCGCCACGTATGTCACAACACCATTGCGAACATCGGGATCATTAAATTGGGAATCGTAATTAGTCGCCTCATCACCCCATCTATCAACCTTTACTTCCATGACCGTTCGAGCCATTGAGTAAATTCTCACTCAACGGAATCGTGTCCAGAACAATCGCTGGAAACGGTGAAGACCCGGACAGGATCAGAGAGATGGTCGTATAGTTGGTAAAAAGGTGATGAGGATGGGGTGAAAGGAAACAACGATCGATAAAGGCTCGATAGTTGAAGATCACTGTTCCAAAATTGGGATTACGCGCAATTCCTCTTGAGCTTCTCTCGGAGCTCAAATGAATCATAGAAAATGACATCATATCCTGAAAATACGCGCAATGTCAATATGTTTCACTCACATATCAGAATGAACAGGAATCACAGAGTCGAACCGACCCAGGAGCATTATTGTCACCCGGAAGGCATTCTTCCATAAAACGAGAGGCAACCCGGATATATGTGTCACGCTCACCGTCGCCGAAAAATGGAAGGTGCGCGCCGGAGTCAGAGGAAATACCCCTTCACATCGTTGAAAAAGAATGTCGATTTCACTACCATGAATTGGATTCTCTGTTATGACTTCATCGTTGCATGATAGTACGTGCGCATTCCCTAAGGAACTTTCCGGGAGGCTTGTTGAGGAAAGATCAGCAAGTGAGCTGATTGGTTCCGATGTCACCATGACCTCCCCCCTCTTATATAATAACCCCTGGGCACGAACCATAGATCTCGCTACGCCTTTCAGACCTAGCGAAACTCCTCCAGGTGCCCATTCTTAATTCCTCTACTGCCCCAGTGCCTCTATCGACTTGGTGGACCGCATTTCCACGCCATGCCACACCTCACCAAACCACCCTCCGCTTCCGTGTATACAAGGCCGCACCAGGTCGTCAGTCCTTCAGCCGCCCAGGGGTGCAGATCTGATTCTTCTTGCGCGAGAGCTCCAAGCCAAGTGTCTCCACGCCGAGTGCGATGAGGCTTGCGTAGAGACATACAAGATGATGTTCAAGTTGGTGGTGGGGGCGTCCCGCTTCCATGGAAGAGATGTAGGGGGAATCACGAATCGGAGAGCCTGAGAGGAACAGCATATTGTTTATAACGCCTTCAACGGACTGAGATCGAAATTCGAGTTTATGGAGAGCGTGAATGATGAAAGCCTTGAAATGGCAACACATGTCCTGAAACCGCTTTTCGGATTTGCCAGAGAAGAGGCATTCATACTGGGATTGGAAAGCGCCTCAACAAATGGGAGATGTCACTCTGTACTGTCTGTCATACCGCCGACGGAGTAGCGGGCTAGTCTAGATCACACCCACTTGTCCTTAAACGTACCGGTTGGTCATAAATGCGCATATAACAGACTTACGACCAAGCGAATACCGATTTCCACCCCAAAATATACTCTACAACCCATCCTTCGTCTCCTGCAGACGGCCGGTGTCATTATCTGGTCTAAAGAATTAAATACTCCTTTCGTCCAGTAAGACGTGCGAAGTACTTGAACTCCATTTGAAATGTGGCGACTTCCGCAAGGAGTATTGTTACTGACCAAGACGTTGTGTGATCGATTGCTGATGTGATAAGTTGGTCAGCGGCATCAGAGAATATGTCAACACGCCCGGTTGGGTCATAGTCATGGTAAGAAGCCGATTTGAACGTGGAAAGCAGGTGTCTCTCCGAGCTGAGATTGGATGTTGGTGACAGCTTTCTACGGAATTGTTCAATATCTGCCAAGTCGCCCGACAATGCATAGGTGGACAGCAACCCGCGTAGGTCGAGGGAAAAGGATTTCGCTATTCTGAATTGGAAGAAATAGATTACACCACTGAAATTTATGACGGTTCCGACACACATGGTCTTTGAAGGTCTGCTTGTTTCATCGCGCGCTTGTACTCTTCAGCCCCATGAGAAGCATAGTGCTCAGGGAATCATAGACCATCCATTGAAATCCTGGATACTGTTGGCAGCTAGGAGCTCATCGTATCCGAAAGCAGCATTCTCGTAACCGTGCCACCCACGCAAATAGGAATGTATCTTTCACTGCTAGACACCGATCATTCCATATTTGCGGAGAAATTTTCTTCGCAAGTCGGAGGTGGGCCAGGTTTAGGTTGCGGTGAGGCCTGAGGCACCCGCCTAAGTGGACAGAATGCAATTTGGGGTTGAAATGTGGCAGGAGAGAGCCAAAAAAAAAAAAAAAACAGCAAACAGAAGAAAACATCACAAGAACTCGGTAGCAAGACGAGAGGACCAGAAGGGATGATTGTTGGTGTAAGTTGATTGCACGTTGCAAAAAGGAGGGACGGACAGGCAGAACTCTGAGCGAGCTTGTTGATGGGGAGAGTGTTCAAGAGATGGGACAAGGGGTGGAATGAGGTACTCTTCGAGCTCATAAGTTCATTGGGACAAGCAAGTCGTCCACATGTTGGCGTTCTCACGATGTGCACAAAGACCACACACACACATATCCATGTAACACTTATACTACGTTGGTCTTTTTGTTACATTACTTATGTACAGTTGGGGATGAACGTCGGGTGGAACGATGGAACTGGTCGAACGATCTTTTGGTGCCTCAGGTGGCGGATAAATTCAACCTAATACAGAGTGAAAGCAAATTGAGGAACTATGAATAGAGCAAAATCAAAAAGTCTGTGGTTGCAATCAATGCTGTGCATTCCAACCAGAGACTGAAAGACACTGGAACGGAGGAATGGTCATAGATCTGCTGAAGTCTCCGAACTTTATTTATACCCACTGCACCTCGGGAAAGGGAACGGAGTCCAAGGGAAGTCCAGAAAGATGGAAGGGTGAACTAGCGAAAACTTCCTAAATAACTTGGCTAAGATCAATGACAATTGGAGCCGTCTGCCGGCCTTGGAGAAGGATTCGAGTCCCATCTTTGCTGGACCGAGGGCTGTACATAAAGGTAGGATCAGATGGCACTTGATCACCATACCAATACCAAGCGCCTGGAACTTTGGCACAAGAAAAGATAACTGGTCGATACTCCTTGGGAATAATGAATTCTAATTTGCCATTGAAGAACATTGGTAGCCCAGTGTGTGTTTCATCGGCTCGGAACAGTGGGGTTCTTCCTATAGCGGATGAACAAATGTCAGGCTCAGGCTCGTCGTCGTCGTCCTTGCTTTGTGAGAGAACATAAAATGGACACTTAATCCAGGACTCGTCCAAGTTATACCCCGCATCTGTTTCGGAATGACGCGTATCTGCTGTACCACGTTCTGTCAAGGGAAGGGTAGGTAGAGTGTATACAGGATCAGGGATGCGATAAGAGTGGGCGAGGGGAACAGTTGGATTCATAATCCAAAAATTGAAATCTGTCACACGATAATGCGCAATGAGATCACCCGAGCCCGTTGACCAGGTGAAAGCGCTGAGGCCATCGAAAGCCCCAACATAACGTGCTCCTGGAGAAAACCCAAGCGTGCGACGGTGAGGAATAGCAAGCATGTCAAGGCGAAGAGAATCATCTGATTGGGGAGGAGAAGCGAGGAGCCGCATGTGCGGGTTGTCCAGAATGGATATGAGAATCATGTTGTCATACCACGAGTTATCAGTGTTCCATGGGACTCGTATGATAAACAATCCATTATCTGATACTCGAGTTACAGCAGGAAGACGATTGTTGGGAAGAGTACCAAGATTAACAGAGGCCATATCGTGGCTGAGGATGGTGACGTTCCCTTCATTGTCCTCGGCAGCGACTCGGTGGTTACCATGGACAAATTCGATCCAGATTGGGTGGTTGGGTGGATAGAGGTGGAATCGGGAAATCGTGCGCTGAAGGTCGATATCGGCAAGCTCAATGACACCACTACCAATACCGAGACCTATATGATGACCATCGAAGGAGAGTGCTGCACATGTCACAATACCGTTACGAACATCAGGATCGTTGAATTGGGCATCATAATCAACCTCAACACGCCGACCGTAACTATTAGCCTTCTTTAGCAAATTAGGTAGTTTTGCCTCCATGCCCATTCGGGCATCGAGTAAATCCTCACTCAATGGGATTCTGTGCCCAGAAAAATCGCCGGAAATGGTGAAGATCCGAACAGGATCGGAGAGGTGGCCATACAGTTTGTGAAAAGGTGATGAGGATGGGGTGAAAGGAAGGGTTGATCGATGGAGGTCCCATGGTGTTGGGGAAGATATGTAACTGTGAGACCTCTGAGATGAATAATCCACCCATTGCTTGTTTTGAGCTTCTCCCAAAAGTTTGAACGAATGGCGATTCTGTTAAAAATGACATATTAAAACAATCGCTGCACAATGATTTATTTACCTTGAATTCATGAAATCCATCAGGGAATCCCAGCTTGCGCTGTTCATGGAGCGGCACCAGGTGCATAAACGTAACCAAGTTTCGCGTGAGGAATGTATTAAACTCATTCTGCAAATTGGACTCTTGTGCAAAGAGTTGTGAGGGGTCCAAGTGTTCTAATAAGTATTGACGAGTATATCGGAGATGGTGAGGGAGATGACGTTTTCTCTCCCAAAAATCTTCCCATGTCTGTTTATCTCCTAAAGGGAGAATGACAGGCTCCCCAAACACATCCCGCTCACAACTATTATTGAAAAATTGGAGGAGTGGCAGTCCGATGAAATACTTATTCGCATCCCTGATAAAGAATACTGCGTCATTTTCATTACCAATCGAATCCCCTGTTATAAACTCTTTCATTGTTGCATGATAGAATTTGACGCCCTGCATTTCCTGAGAGGAACTGTCTGGAGGATCTTCCGAAAAACGTTCCAGTCCACTTCTTGAAGAAAGATCAACAATTGAACGAATTGGTTCCAATATGGCTAGGACCTCTCCCTCGGCGATTCCTGACAGCTGCGATATAAAAAAGACACTTAGTGGTTCGAATGCTGCATTGATTATGGCAACCACGTGGCGATACTTCTCAGCTATATGTTTACGGACTGCAAATGAGCCGACCATATATGCACGGCGAAGTACACGCAGGTACTCCAAGTTGACATCGGCAGGGGCATCGGTGAGATCACGAAAGTATTCGAACTCGGATTGAAGGGTTGCACCACGATGAGTTTGAAGGCAGACATCCCGGACTCGGATTGAGGCGATAATCGGCAATCCACGACATGCTGAGACAAATGCATCGACTTCTTCTTTTGATGGTTTCCAGGAAGAGTTATCGATGCAATCCCGAAGGCCTTCCTCCACCATGCGGTGGATAGTGTGGAAGTTCTCTTCCTCAGCGACAATGTCCACATCTTCAGAGGGTATTACAAGACCCCGAGCTCGAGCTCTAACCCAAGCCGACACAACGGATGACTCTGGCCGACAGCTAACCAACACGGCAAATGCGGCAGGCAGCTCATCAAGGATAAGTACCAGCTTCATTAAGGACGTAAGTTCCTCCTGAGTCCCACACTCGTCTAGTCCATCCAAGATGATGATGATGCGCTCCTCACCCAAAGATAAGAGTTTGTGCATGGGATCAATAATCCAAGCTCTCATTTGCTTCTCCAGAGCAGAGCCAAGAGCACCCTTCAGCTGTCTGAGTCGACTGACAAGAAGGCTCTCGTACTCGGGGTTAAACATGGCAAGCTGACGTGCAAGAGTAGAGGGAAAGTGTTCAATCGAAGCAAGTCCTGCACCCTTCCGATTTTTGTCCCAGAAAAAAGATGCTGCCAAGCGACTCTGTTTGTCGAAAGTCGACGCGACACTCATTGATATGGCAGTCTTTCCAGTTCCCGGAGAGCCACGAAGCCAAACAAATCGGTGTTCCTGTTTCTCCAAGTGATCGAGTATCGATTCCTGGATCCGGACACGGGTGTCTTCCAGGCATTCCGACTTGCTTTCCACTGTAGAGTATTCCGCATTTGCTTTTTGGAGTTTCGAGAGTTCATCTAAAATATCATTGAATTCCGAGCGATGAAAATCAACGAACAGCAACGAACAGTCCACCGATAACCGAATTGTGTGGAGGAGATTCAGAGTTGTCGCAGCAGTCTATGGCGGATGCTCCAGTCAGTTAATGGACAGTCTAAACACTAACGAAACAAACCGTGAAACGGGAGACAGCATCGCGACACAGAACTTCACGGCATTTATTTGCTGGGATATTTCAGTCACCAGGATTATCCTCTTGGCAAGCTTTTGACGTTTGAGTGCTTCGATTTGCTTCAAGTGTTGCTTTAGAACTCTGGCTGAGAGTTGAGATTTGGACGACGAAGCGATGAAGAAAATGCACATACAAGTTAAATTGTTGAATTAGATCACCTATTTCGGGAGGAACCTGGCCAGTCCACAACAGGAGTGGCCTAAAGATCGTTTCGTGAGCCTCTCGAACTTCGTCGTCTAATCCCTTGAGATTTTCGTCATTGTTGTCGATCGTCTGAATGAAAACATAAAAGTTATATCATTAGATCGGAAAATTGCAATGCCCTGCGGACCTCGTAAACTTGGAGCCACGATAAGAGTATGTTTGGTATTTGATCGAGATTTGGAATAGGAACGAACTTAAGAGCAGAGGCGGCAGTTTGGAGGACGAGTCTTGTGGCGGCGATGATTGTTTTTTTTCCGTCGCTAGGTCCTGTGGCAGGGCTCTCAGTGTTGCCGTGGATGATGCGCTCGTTGGGCATCGTGTGAGAGACACCGGTGCCCCCCTCAGGGAGAATGGGAGATGGCCATGGATTAGGGGACGAATCGGCGTAGAAGGGTCATATTGTCTGGGATCGGAGGACTTCGATTGGTCGACATGAGTGGATTCGGGACTGGGGCTTCTGTTGAACCGCCCAGTTATAGCGTGCCAAACAGACTTCCGCTGCTTCCGGCCTCGAGAACTACCACCAGTTAACGCAATAGGGGGCTCAAGACGAGATCCATTACGGTCTTTGCTAGTGGTTGCATCGTTTGCAGTGGGGAAGGAGTGATCTGGAGGTTGGGAGCAGGAGTCGAGGGTTGCGATGGACCGCCGGGACGCTTGGAGGAGTGTCGTCTGTCGGAAAGCCGAAAGAACCCAAATCGGCCAGACATCGTGCGTTAGCGATCGCTGGGGGGTGCTGACCAGATGAGACAGGTAGGCCGCTCAACCCACGACGTATCTTTTTACCAAAGCAAGATGGCAAATGCAAAATGGGCATTGTGGGGATAAAGCCAGGACGTAAGCCACGCTACCCAAATCATTCAGCTCGATAACAAAGCCAAAAGACCTACCTATGTTAACTACGCGCCTTCGAGCATTTTGCAAAAGACATTTAGCATGGAAACCGAGTTCTCAGTTGGGAGTCTTTTAATTGATTAGAGCTACGTTCCTTTTTCGGTTGGGCGCTCAATTTGTTTAGATAAAGCTGAAGGCCTTGTAGCCGATGAGAATTCCGCTGTTGTCGCGTTCCTTTTCTTTCCTCCCAGAACTGAGCACGACCATCGCTAGTCCTCTAGAAAACCAAGGGAGTACTACCCCGATGTTCAGGGTCAATACAAAGTCCAAGAAACTTGCCTACTTGCTTACATTACAAACAACTTATGGCGACTTCTGTGGTTATTTGTCTCCGGAACCAGATTGAAGTTAAATTCAACTCAAGGTCAAGTCTCTGACCAGAGACGAACGCGGTCTCGTCTTCATACTCTCCTTTTCCAAAGTGAACTACGCTAGTACTACGCTATACACTGATTAATTGCACACGCGAACACTAGTCTCGTCTGGCTTCCTGTCCAGCAACGTACCCCCGCCTTGGTCATTCCAACTCCAGTGCTCTGAGGCCTACCAAAATCTGTCGCAATGTCATCCTCTTCGTGTGGGGGCCTAGGATCTCGATGTTGTACTATGTCTGAATGGATGTCTTCACGCGATCATGATACAAATTCGAACAAATTTCAACAGTGATTACTTCGTAGGCATTCACCATTTCTGTTCGGTGACCCCCCCGTAATTGAACCGATGCACAACAATTTTCAGCTATGCGTTTCAAAATCCCATCGCCACGGGCCCTCTTTCTGCAGCATCCACTATTGATCCTAGCTATCCTTCAACCCCAATTGATGGCCTTGCCCCTCCCAGTATCCGAGTAGCGGAGGCGTCTTATTTCGCTGTCGTCCCAAAATATGATACACCAAGTCTTACATACATATCCAACGCTACTGTGCTCGATGGCGAATGGATGGAAGACGTTAACGCTTCGAGTGACGAACAGGGCTCACTGGATGGTCACTGGACGGGTCCCTTCGGTGCAGGATATCTCGATCGGACTATGAACCCTCGGAAGGTCGTCACATAAGCGCACCACGATCAACTTTTTGCCAGCTCCTTCCCATCCCAATATCCCTGTTCTGTCGATTCCCTCTAAGTCTCTCAAACATGTGGAGTTTTGCTCTTCCCAAACATCTGGTGTCTCTACCCTGGCCCTCCAAGACAGCGCCATCGAAAAACTACCCTTCGACGCGGAAAACATTCACTGGGACGCCGCCTACTCAAATTCACCTACCGATGTTCAAAAACGTGATTCGTCTTCGCTCATTTCTGTTGCCACTCTAGGTTCGAAAGAGAGTATTCCTGATACTAGTTACTATTGTCCACTGGATTTTCCTTGGGCTCCGAGCATAGTCAGCGGGACGACGAAGGGATTTGAGCTTCAAGGAGGGCAAATGAAACTTGATAATGCTAACGAACGGCCAGCCCATTACGCTCAGGAACCCCTAAGTGCAGATCTTCGAGGAGATTCTATCCAGAACCCTGCTCTTCGCACCCTCAATCCTCAAAACGATGGGAGTCTCATAGAAGCATTTGTTTCTAATGAGAGTCCTAAGTGGATGCCAGACGGTGACTCTATGAGCGCAGGTATCCATGGGGAAGGACGCTTGGGTCCCTGTTCCATTGTGGAAGAGGCGTCAGGCCAGGGAACAGAAGCTTGAACTTCCGAGCACTCAGGGACCGATAGTTCGCCCTCACACAACGACCCGCAAAGACCTAATGACCGAAAATCATACTAAACACACCGAAGCAGGTGTCACTTGCAACGTCGCACAAGCTACTTTACCAACTACCACCTTGTCACGATGTCTCCCCGATGCAAATGTCCAACCAGGTTTTACTATCTTTGCAGCTAACAGCAACATGCCCCTTGTGTTCCTTCACCTCGCTCTTTCAGGTCGAAGCGAGCCATGACTGAATCATCCCAGACCGTGACACCTCTCAAAGACAAACTTTACCTCACATTTCTCTCATTGACACACCAGACTTGCATCGGTCTCAGTTACCTGCCTTGTCACAGAAAGCGGCATACAAACTACCACCTCTCCGTTCAGACCTCGACTCCTCGCGAAACAACTCGTCCCTCGCAACGCACGACCCTCTCCCTCGGGTTGATTGCATATTGCAGGGTGGTCCTTTCCACTGAAAATGGATTTAGCGAAGGACCCCACTAATTGTGTCCAGGGGGCTGCAAGGGAAAAGCATTATATATTGGATTATCAGGACTTGTAAATGTGATACAAAGTGTCCAAGGGAGAATGTAAACCAGTCTATTCGTGAAGCGGTAAATAAAATATTGCTTAGCCACAGCTGTCGAAATTATCACTGTGCTTGTGTATGTGATCTATAGCTGAGTTAATGGTTGCCTTCGGAGCCGTCAAGTCTACCCCACCTCCAGAACGAGAGCGAATCGCACCATTGCGTGGGACCTGATCCAGTTAGAACTAAATTGTGGTGCGGGGTAAGCCGGCTGACGCGTGTATAAAATTGCCATCGAGCCTTCAGAACGACTGGCGGAAAAATACGTACAAATTCGTCAGTCTGCGGTGAGTGGTGATATTCCATCGTTCTTCTCTTTCCCTTTCTTTCTTTCCTGGGATGAAGCTTCTTGAAGGCATTTGGAAGAGCCGTCTGAAGCGTCTCGCTCATATTTCAGAGTTGGAGATGCCGAGTTGATCTTCAGTTTTTGATTTCTGATTTTTTTGTTGTTGTTTCGCTTTGGCCCCTGATTCACAGCTCTGGGTACGGCGCTAACTGACCGATTCTCTTACTACTATTAGGGGGTTCTTTGTGTTCTTATCGCTTTCGTTTCCCTGTTTAAAAAAAAATTCACGCGTTTTCTTGTGGCAAAAACAATTTCTTTTCTTTCCACATTCTCATGTAGGCGTGCGTCGTGGTCATGGCAGCGTAGACATGGGTCAATCCATCCAGGATCCAGGTGTCGTTCATCACTATTAATTTCTCGATGAGGCGAGTTATGAACGACTCCACTACCAAATTTATCGGTATCCACCGTCAGCTCCACAACGTACCTTAAGTTCTCTCGATCGTTTGCATATGTGTGCACTAAGCCCTGCCTTCGTTGTAAATGAGAGATATCCGCCGGACGAGCTGGATGAAAAAAAAAAATCTTATGATCGCTGCAGTTATTTGCGTGCCTGGTTGTGATGGAATTCCGCTCCTCAGCGTACCCGGCCTTCTCTTCGCATACTCTTCCTACTCACCCCACCCCACCCTTTCCTTGTATTACACTCAGTTGTGCGCGGTGGGTTTGGTCCTGCACCTCAAGCACTTGCGTTCAATACCTGGATGCACTTTCATACCTCGAGGATTTACCGATCACGGACAAACGATCGTTGTCAGCTTCAGTCCCCTAGGCCATGCCTCATCGACTCGCAAACTACGAGTTATCCCTCAAACCTGTTACCGAGAATCGTACGCATTTGTATATCTTGCACTCCATCTCTCGCAAGCGGTGCTGATGAGTGCTGTTGTTTGTCTGCTTCACACACGCACGCACGGGCCTCACCCTTGTTTGGATCTTCCAACGTTCTGTCGCCAACTTGACTGCTCGATCAATCGTTGTCTCTATCCACATATGTCCTCCTAACCAACCCCCGTCTCATACTTGTGATCTGTTGTAAAATTGACTTACGCGCTTTGGCCGCGCGACCTTATCACCCTCACTCGCACTTGTGCAAACTCAAATACTCGATCACCACCATCATGACATATCTTCTACCTGTACGCGCGTGCCATGCTACAACCAGGGATGCCAACGTTCGAACGAATTCTGGAGCGAGCCAGAGCTCTCACATCCGCAAGTGCAAATTGGGAACCAGCTAAATCCGTTGGGGATGTAAAGACGTTTTCAATGAAACCTTTGGGTGGTCGTGGGCCGAGATGGTGGGCTAGGGTGAGCGAACATACGGGGAAGAATGGAGGGAATGCGTTCGATCAGGTGTGTTTCTTCGTGCTTCTCGAGTCCTTCGGCTACCGTTACGTTTCCGGAGACTACTATTTTGGATTACCTCCCCTCAGATCGGCTCATGTTCTTTTGTGTGTTGTCTAGTTGTGGAACGTTGTGGCAAGCGAGGATCGATATACCCAAGAGAAAGAGTATGCCCCAATCCCACATCTCTGCGTTCCAGCGCTGATGTTGCATCTTCAACCGCCCATGCATATTGCAGATATAATCCTGATCTTACCTCTGCGACATCTCTGAAGGCTGTTCAATGGGGTGAAGGTAATGAGCTTTCCATGTGCACCAATCGAATTTTGGAATCGATGATTTTGATGCATTGCGAATATTGTACAACAGTATGGTCACTCCATTATACGTTCCCTCCACCAATATCCCCTCGAACGGTCATCCTTCTCTCGACCACACATCTCGAAACTATCAATCCCCGGGTAGGATGGGTCATCAGCATCCCATTCGATATCGGCGAAAATGATATGCCCCTATCTCTATTTGTCGAAGCGGGTGTCAAATCAAATGTCATCAGCGTGGATCGATTCAGAGAATTGGAAGACGGGAAAGTTGAATGGCTGTATGTCGCCATCACTCCTGTTCGAGTCAAATTTGCTCATAGTGTGCACTTTCCCTTTCTTCTGTACAGGGCCGCATCATCCACTTCACCTGGTGGTTCCATACCTCTGTGGCTCTCGGAGTACTATGCTGTTAAACGAATCACCGCGGTTCGTTTTTCTTCCACTCCTATCTCCAACGATTTTACATGACAAAAGAACCTTCGATGCTAATTCTTTCCTCCCCCCTCTTCGCACCGACCCTTACATTTTTTTAAAACAAACATCGAAGCAGATTGTTCCCAAAGTTGACAAGTGGATGGAAGAACGTGCCACAAAGGCCTCCACCAGAAGATCATCATCCGGTCGTAGGAGAAGTGGGAAGACGCCTTCTCTTTCTTCGCTAAACCCGATTTCGACTAGTTTTGCTCCTCCCAGATGAGTGGGCTCCCATCTTGACGGTAGGGACCTACGAAACTTCTACGTTCCTGTATATCTCGCTTTGGGAACAACAACCTCAGAATCCACGAGACTCCCAATGCCCGATCATTACCATCTCTTTTGCGTCCCCCACGCCACCTTTCAAGTCTCATCCACTCCCAGGGGTTCCGCATACCCATGTACTATATCAAATGATTGACATGTTCTTGCTCGGTTGCAGTTTCATTTCTGATTTTTTTCTTTTGGGTCTCCTTACTACCGTTGTTCGGGCTCTGGTATTGCTTTTTCTTTTTTTAATTTCTTTTTGGGTTTTTCTCCTTTCCTGCTTTCTTACTGAATTCTCACGAAGCTCAGTGGTTGAATGGGTGTACGTATCTTCTCTACAGCTTATGGCGCTTCTTACGTGGGAGGAAAAGCAAGAGAGAAAGCAGGAGAGAACGAAGGGGAATAGGAGTACTATTACTTAGCACTAGTGCTCGATTCTATGCACAATCAATTGTTGTGTGTGATTTGCGACAACGTAACTCGGCCTGCATCTCCGCAGACCACTACATGCGGTAAGATCACAATTGCCTTTTCGCCATTTACCTTTCAATCAAGGGACTAGTCAATTTGCAATTGACCCCCGTTGTATCGCAGTCGAAATGAAAAAAAGCAAATTTCGAGGGTTCATTCCTAGATGTACAATGGCGGCCCGATTGCATTCATCTAGCTCAGAATGTCGATGCACGGACATGTGCATCTTCGACTCCTGTGCGCTGCCTGGATCATGGGCCCTTAAGCGATCCCCCTTCTAGCCCTCTCCACGTCTGTTCTGCGACTTACGGCCTTCTGTTTAATGTGTGGCTTGGATCTCATTATGACAAGACAGCTCGTTGCATGTCTACTCCAAATGACTAATGAGGCGATCATGACAATTACAACCATGCGCTTATGACCGCTTTTTGATGTGTCAACAATGAATGTCACATTGCAGTCAGATGATGTTATGTAGAAGACAGTGAAAGATCAAAATAATGCAGCTACGTGTGAAGTGTAAGTCAAGGGGAATATTACGCGCTATTGCACAATCCGAGCCATCCGCAGGAATTGGTGGGTGGGCAAAGAATCGGGTGTTGGAGGCAAGGAGAGAAATGCTGAGACATATGAAGGATCAAATGATTCCCGACACGTTCCCTAGGAGGCGAGAGACAACAGGGTGGAAGAGCAAGGATACAGGTAGAGCGGGTTCCACGCGAGAAAGCGAAAGCAAATCAAGAGCGCATGGAATGTAAGGTTTTGAGGCAGTCCCAAAACATCGGAATGAATGGAGAGATGAAGAGATGGGGTGTCGCAAGTAGGGTGAAAGGGGAAAAGAGTGGTTATTATGAATCATCATCATACCAAGGGTCCGTGTCCGCTTCGGGAGCTGTATCTGTCCCTTCAGATAGCGGCGCAAAAGCTTGCGCTTGTAAATTGTAAAGTGACGCATATTCGCCTTCAGCGCTTAGGAGCTCTTCGTGTGATCCCGCTTCCATAATCGTTCCGTTTTTCATGAACAAGATTATATCCGCATATTTGGTTATATGACCGAAGCGGCTACAATCAATAAGTGATTTAGGATGGCGCTAAGGATATAGGTCGAAGGACTAACTGTGTGATGAACAGCATGGTTCTCTGGCCTTTCATAGCACGAAGTCTTTCGAAAAGGGCTATAGCACTTCCTCAGCAGGGCAGAGGAGAACTATGAGGGTGCAACGGACCAAACTCAGCTTTGGGATCCAGACTCGCACTTGGCTCATCATATATTGCCATCTTCACCCCGTTCGCGCGCATAAAGGTCCTCGATCTGTACAAGAATCTTAGATGGTGTCAACTATCTTGGGAACCACAAACAGTCTCACAGAGCCAGTCGCTGCCATTGGCCACCAGACAACTTCAGGTCATTCACCATTTCGCTTACCCGCTGCTGCAAAAGACTGTCCGGCTGAGCGTTGTAAAGCGTGTCACGATACGGATACGTCCCCTCAATATGGGAGTCGAACTTCTGGGGTAGGCCCTCAATGAACTCGAGGGACTCTCCCTGGGCGGCCGCTTTTCGTATCTCATCCATGTCGTTAACATTGCTAACATCGCCGATCCCTATATTTTCACCGATCTTTAGGATGTCAGAATGGTGTTGTGTTTGCAGAAGACAACTCCGCTACTACGTACCGAAAGTGGGTATGCATCGAAGTCTTGACGCAGAACCGCCATTGCCTTGCGCAGGTCTTCACTTTTATAGGAATTTATTGGCCTGTCATCAATAATGATTTCGCCTGCGTCTGCATCAAATAATCTTAGGAGAAGCTTCGTGGTGCTGCTTTCTGTGATTATGTTAGCTTTTGGGCGCCACATGCGGAGAAGCGGGGTACGTACTGCCACATCCATTTTCTCCGACAACCACACAAATTTGACCCGGATTGATTTTGAAAGACATGTTGCGGATTGCGAGCGCATTACTCTGAGGGTATGAAAAAGAGACGTTGCTGGGACAAAGAGTTAGATAGTGAGTGGCTTCTCGGGCTTGCAATCGTCTCATGAGCTCACTTGAATTCAACCTTCATACCCATGTCAGGATCGCTGTTGGGTTGGGGGTAGTCCAAGATCCCGTCCATTATCTGATTTTCCACTTTAACGGCATCATATACTTGGCGCAGATTCTGTAGCCAGGTAACGATAGATCTCCCATCTCGGATCATATCTTGCGCATGGAAAGTCAGGGTTGATACTGACTGTTCCAACAGCATGAGTGCCTTCAGCGGAAGGCTTCCATTAGAGTAATAGGCATAAACAGCGAAGAGAATCTGTTTCATGTTCAGAGGCATGGACGATAGAACTTGAACTGCTGCGACACAGAAACTCACCCAAGGCAAATCGAGCGTTATCCATGGGAGCATAGATTTCCAATAGGTGATGGGTGGTCTAGTGTCCCATGGATCATTAATAGGGGTATCGCCAAGGGCCTTATCCGCCTTATTATATTCTTGGAGGAGGGTTGAGTCCAGCTCAAGTGCGAGCAAAGCTGCTCACCGTCAAGAACGTAGTTGCGTAAGCCACTCCCCACCAGCTCTTCCCGGTAAGAAGACCTAGAAACAATAGACTCGATGGTTGTCATTCTCCTATGGTAAGGGTTTGCATGGAATACGGCGAAAACTTTAATGTCGTCAGCGAAATCAACATGGCGAAAATTTGAGGGGGCAAGAAAGTTTCGCACCACCGTTGAGATTCAACGGATTCTCGTTCGATATTGCAAACATCAAAAACAGCGGTTGTATGAGCGCCAGCGCAGCAAATTCAGCACCTCCTTTTTCATGACGAAAAACTGCAAGCAACACACTCAATTGTGACATGATAGTCACAAGTTTCGTGAGGGTGCCCGTCATCCCAAAAAGAGCTTTGAAGCTAATATCACTGGAAGCCAGTTGGTCCAGGCGGGAACGAACCGTTGGGTCATTCGCTGTGGGGACATCCAGCCTTGAATACACTGGGAATAATGCGGGTAAGGGGGATGAAGGTAGAGCATCATGTAATTGTACCTTGGACCTTGTATGCGACCATTTGTCGTTTGAGCCTTTCGCGAACCACCCTTTCACTATATTCGCTGTCGAGGGTGAACAGTAAATACCACGTTGAGGCATTGGACTCGGGTTCATATGCAGATAGGATACGAACAGGATTTCGTGGGACGCCCATTGGAATACACTGAACACTATCCGGGTAGTTACTACGAACATCAACCGGCCTGGAGTTGGTCGCCTTCGCTCGACAAAAGACTCCACCAAGTCGAGCACCAACGAAGAGATGTATAGGGATAAGGCCCCAGACACACTTATCGCCAGACGCGCAAGAATCCATATGATGAGGTGTAGTGGGGCAAGGGAATAGCATTCTTTAAGGAATTTGCGCGCAACTGGCGCGCACTCCCAAATAAGTTGCAGCTGTCGATATATGCGAAAGAGAGCGAATTCTTGCGAAAACCAGCCTTTTTTGACGGGAAATTCGGTCAAAATCTATGATGTTAACGAAGACTTGAGTACATGAGCCGCGCCACACGCAGATAAACGCGGGTTGAACATGACATACGCGCCAAATCCCCCATTGGGTCTCCACAATGCGATATTTCGGAGGGTCTGCATCCTTTCTGTAGCTCCCAGCAGATGGAGAGCGGGGGAGCAAAGGCTCGTCGAACATGGCAGGTTGAGGGACAAAGGCGGAGGGAAAGGAATGGATGTGAAGTTAGGGATTGCATATATAAACTGCCAAAGCGCGTTCCCCTGTCCCGGAGCCGATTCCTCGTGCTCCTTTCTGGATTCATTTGTGGCAGACCCTGCTTTACTCTCACTCACACAAGTTATTTGTACTTTATTCTACGCCTATACCCGTTGCGGGGCGGAGGCGTGTGCGGAGAGTCGAGGAGCTACGTCTGATGAAACTCGATAGACGACACAACGATCCGTCGTCTCTCAGATCTTTTATGACGATTCAGCCCTGAACCGGCGACTCTTGCGGGATATGGCAGGTCGAGCGGTCAAAGTCTCGTTTAGATTGACAAACATGGCGTTCAAGAAGATGAGTTGTGTTTGCTTCCGCCAGCTGCAGGAAACAGCGTGGTTTCTGCACTGCACAAAGGCATCAAGAGGCGAGGCTTAAAGAATAATCTCACACAGTCATTAGTTGATATACTAGTTGAATAGGGAACAGGGAGCGGGGGCCTCGGTAATGCCTGTATTCAAGGTAACACAAATTCCAGAACTGCAACTGACATGAAACTGGGGAGGGCAATACCATGAGGCTTTGGCGCACCTGCTCGCTAAAAAACCTCGCAGATACCTCCAATCCGCCAAGATTCGGTCACTAGGGTCAACATGTCCAATAAAGAGTGGGTGATACACGTACCTTCCATAAATGGGGGATCTGGGCAACAAAGAAATTGACTGCACAACAAATGATGTGTTATGCAGCTTTCCGTATAACAAAGGTGTTACAGTATTGCTGTGGGGGTTCAACCGCCGCGCCGAATGCTCGTTGGCCTGTAACAAAGACATGGCCGCTTGCCAGTCACGAATATGACACAATACGCTTTTGTGTCAGATTCGTATTGGGTCATGGTTCCTAAACGATGATTTTGATCTAAAGGAGGGGGCGGTGAAAAGGCGAGGACTATTGGACCATCAAAGATCGGGCATCAGTACCATGAGGATGTTGCGAAGGGCTTGGGTCGCATCTTTTGGTAAATTCTTATTCCGCATAGTTTTGACAGAGCGAGCCGCAATTGAACTTGTGTTTGGACACCAAAAACTGCTCGGGGGCGGAAATTTTGAAGCTACTGCTAAAAGCTAAGTAATCCCTGTGTGCATAATGAAAGGTCAAAAAAGTACCTTGTACCACAAGCTACTTATGGCCAGATATTGGCCTCGGAAATGAGAGTAGGCCTAGCTCGCACTAGATGCACCAGAAGTTTAGGCTGAGATTCGAAAGAAGCAGCGGAAAAATCTCGAGGACAAATGTTGAACTTTGACAATAGACTTTGCTGGGGCGGCTGATGTTAAGCTGGAAAATTGTAGGACATAAACACAATGGCTCCCCGCGGGTTTGGGGCACGAGAATACCCTTGATGAGTCCGCAAAGGTCAACTAGTTAATATAACAATATAACAATAAATTCGGACAACTCCGATACAATACAGCTATAGTTAATATAACAATATAACAATCAATTCGTTGGCTTTGACCTAAATATCCACGTGACGGCCAATTGTCTACGTCCGGCGCTCTACGTTGATGGTAAGGCTTTCACTTGTTGGTGTAGTGTCCAAGGTGGGGGCTATGACGAAGACCACCACTGTCATGGTCACTCGATTCGTTGAGCATCCAGTGACTCGGAAGGTACACTTGCTGTTTGGATAACCGATGGGCCACTCACATTACATCCCACGACAGCTCGTCCCGCGGAGCAACAAGTACCTGGTACATGACCCCGAACACCGTAAGGAGTATTTCTTTTTGGTTTTGAGGCTGTCTCAATGTTCTTTTAGGTTGCCAGTTAGAGGATCGTGTGCTCATAAGGCATTGTGCCCCCGTGTCCGCACGCAAGCATTTCTCTCTCGAGCAGATAATTGACAGCCCTCGTTCACGATCAAAAAGCGCTTCCCCAGTTCCTGGATATTCTCAATATTCCCAATAATCTATGTAAGTTCGCTCTCGCTAATGTCTGGGTGCCGCTCAAGCGCCCACGCTGTCCCGCTTTCCTCACGCTATAGACCTCGATCCATTTCTATTCGTGCGTTCACTCAACTGGCTCTATGTTGGACTCAATCCCGAGGGTCTGAGCAACCTAGATGCAAACGCGGCGTCCGTTCCAAATATTGCAGCCCCGATGGGCTCTAAATGTGGTGGCTTCCTAAATAGTCAGCTGCTCAGATATTGCTGTCTGGGAGTACCACTTACTTGAGCATCTGTGTTTGTGGCCTTTAATCCTGACGAGCCTATGATTTTTGGCGCTACTGTGACAATATGCATGTCTACTGTGGGCGTCTCGTCCTGATCTTGTAGCTTCATGAATGCCGCAATCACGGTGGCCCCGCCTTCAATCATTAGGGATTGGATCCCGAGTCGTCGAAGTGCCCCCAATGCTGCCTGAATGTTGACTTCAATTTGCGAGAGATGAGAATTGAAACATGGTGATCTGTTTAGTAGCAACGAGTAAGATAGACACCTTTGTCATCTTCAGAAGAGACCTCGATCACTCTAGCACCGGCTGACTCGAGAGCATGGCGCCGCTCCCACCAAAGGTCAGTAGTGACCGTGGATCCATCTCGCAGTGGCCGCTGGGCACATACGATCCATGGTTGTCGTCCGGTTTTGTTTTGGTAATTGTGCAACAGCTTGCAAGAGGGCGGTGTTCCTAGGGAGGTATCAAGGACAATTGGTCTCGGTTGAGGGTAAGATGGTGAGCGAGGCGGCAAATGACGAGCTATGCAAGGCAAAGAACTAGTGTTACGGGGAGCTGAGTTACTCCGATAGACGTTCTACGGACTGTTAAGTTGGGGGTCGTCATTCCGAATTGTGTTTACTCCCACGAGTATCCCATCATGCATAGTTCTCAGCCTTTATCCAGGTTGGTCACCCCGGCTTCACGTGTTACAGCTGTGCGTACCAGTGCGTCATAATCATGCTCTCTCTCCCGCTAAGCAAGACTTGGGTACCCCCTTTCCCCGCAATACAGCCATCGAGAGACTGGGCATAAGTTAGCGTAATATATGGCCGTGACCGACTTCCATCAGAGGGAATTGCTTCGGGGTATATTCGTTTGAGGAATTCTGGGGGGATGCCTGTTCGTTGCTCATTTGAGGCTTGTACGACACAGCTCATTCAAGTCGGATCCCAGTCACTGGTATCAGAGCCAGAGAATGATGTCCCAATCTGGGTCCCCCCTCAACTTGTATATCACTTATTTTGTTTTGGTCCAATACTTTGTGCGGACCAGGGATGGCTTGTCAGTCACAGCTGTGCGGGTGGCGGAATTGGCCGAACTCTTTTAACATTGTGTCACTACATCATTGATCCGCGGGCACAGAAATTAGGTAAAAGAAAAAGGAACCTAACAAAACAGGAGCAATGAGGAGGGTGACGGTCGACCGAATCTCTGGATACATCTCGCTAGCAGGAGCTGGGATCCTGTATCCCCAAAAGCTTATATTGAATACGATGGACTCGGCCAATTCCGGTTCGGCCGCATGTTGCGTACATCACGTGAACCACATTGTTTTGAATTGACTGTGGTGCCGCCGCCTGGAGCCTTTGCCATCCTGTTGCCTCCCTTCACATTACGGATATTGCAGTACTCCTCAGCATAGATGGGGAAGTTGACTGGGAGGCTCTGGTGTGTCTCGGATAATGGCTCGCTGTTGCATCCTTACTGAACCTTGACCCTAGGGTCTCGTTCACCCTCTTCTTAATTACATTTATTGCGTATTCATCCCAAATATTCGTGTTTTGGCCTTGGTTTGGCCGAGAAGTCACTGTGGCTCTGCTCGTTTCTCTTGGGCCGTTCAAGTGCGATCTCAGAAATTGTGATTGGTGCACAATTGCCTTTCCTAATGGCTTTTGACCAGTCTCCTCGTTGGTCTCCTACTATGGAATTATTACGCAATTGTCAACACCGACCCTGGAGGCGTACCCTCTGGATGGGTGAGTGGTTCCATACATAGTTTAGGAGATGGTTGTGCTGAAGATGAATGCAGAAACCCGACCGGCGGTGGGATGCTGTGTATGAGGTAAAGAAGATGGGGGGGCCCAGATATTGTCAAACATGCAAAGAATACAAGCCCCCTAGGGGTTAGTAACGATTATTTAATTCATTTATCGCACCCCTAATGCCTCCTCCAGCCCACCACTGTAAAAAATGCAATCGGTGTGTAGTGAAGAGCTTCCAGGAGATCAATGTCTGACGCATCCTGTGCAGCTGCGTTCTCCGCATGGGTAGGACCGCCCCTTTTCCCCTGATATTGGACGTCTACTTATCTTGATTCCACGGCTTTTTTTGGGGGGGACGGGGACCAGATCATCATTGGTATGCCATTATTTGTCGGTTTCTTTGGCAGTGCGCCTCGCTGAGACCACTGGCAGCCCATGGGTCAACAATTGTGTCGGTCACTACAATTACGCACACTTTATTCGGTTTTTATTCCTAGTTGATATATGCTGCACCTATCATATTATCCTGATGACTAAACGAGCGTGGGCAGCTTTTACGGTGACTAGTTACATGGTAAGGACACCTTCCCTGAAGAGGGATATAGTTGACGCTATTTTCTTCAGGACGACCCTAGCCTGGTAGAACTGGTATTCATAATTCTTAATCTTGTATTTTGTGGACCCGTGCTATTGTGCGTCGGGATTTTCAGGCAAGATGTGCAGAATATCATTTTTCGCACAAACTAAATGCCTTGCTCATCAGCCTATACCACTTTTATTGCGTGGCTACTAATACAACAACTATTGAAGGTTGGGAGAAGGATAAAGTGGCAACTATGGTGAAAAAAGGGAGGATCAAGGAGGTCAGAGCATCCTTTTCACTACTGAATTGAATACTGAATTTCCCCTTTTTGCAGATCAAGTTCCCATATGTCCGTATGCTTCGCTCCTCTGGAGGGCTAAATGCTTATTTTCCCCTTAGCATCTAGGCACCTTTCGAAACATTCGCTACATCATGGGCACCAACCCATTGGGTTTATTTTCTCCACAGAAGCACGTCAACGGAGATGGTCTAAGCTTCCCAGTCACCGATGGAGCCGGTAAGTGGTTTGAATTTCGCAATGAGCTCCCCGAGAAAGTGGATACGCTTGCCCCAGACGTGTGGTCAAGTTCAGCTGCACAATCGTCGCAAACTCCGACGGAGAATCCCGACTTGCTGTGGAGAAGAAATGCAGATCTTCGCAACTCCGGGTTGCAGGGTGTATAATGAAATAGGTTTCAACACCAAGGCCAGTGCGTATCTGGGCAGCGGCATCAGGACTCGCATCTCTCACGTCATCTTTTTGTTTTTGTTTTTTTTTTAACTAATCAACGCTTTGCATTGTCGTCTTGGTTTCAGAACCTGATGTCCAGGATATCTGGCCACCAAAGGATCCCTATCGTTCACTCAATCCACACAAACCCGCGAAAGCATTGCAAAGGAAGTTCACATTGCCAGAATTCCCATGGACATATGGTGGCAATAATTTCAATCCAGATCTTCGTCCATCAAACTCTGAACTACGTCGTCGCACACAAGCAGGACTTGCTGACGACGATTCAACGCTCACTGCTCAGCCTGGTGCTTACAGTGTGCCACCTTACCATGCGTCGTTCAGCGCCGGCACTGACATCACAATGCAATCGGGGCCCCTCTTGTCATCGTCTTCAGATTTGATTTCATCGGAAAATGATAGTGATACCCATACCACCCATGCCAACATTGAACCGGGACGTCGCGTGCGCGTGCGCCGAGGGTCCGAAGGATGGGAGGTGCGACCTCGTTCTCCAGAAAGTTCGCCGGCTTGGGATGCGGATACTTGGCGGCCAATCGGCGACAAATATAATCGTTACATTCCAGAGGAGTCCTCCGACGATGAGTCCAATATTGATGAGGAAATGGACCATGGTGTCAATAGTGGTGACATGTGATGTGTGCCTTAAATCCGATAGACTCCATGTTCGCTCGTGCTTAAGTCCGTTTCGTCTCCGTATCCGATAAAGTAGGGTATTTCCCGTGGGCGGCCATGGCTGCGAGTGCGCCAGAGACTTCAAAGAGGAAGAGAGGAGGTGCTGATGGGACCAGTCCTGTCGAGCATGGTCCAAGAGCTAAGAGACGACGTGAAGCGACAGGGATATCAATCACGATACCGGGACACAAACAACGCAAATCTCCAACACCAACTCAAGACGCGCCTAATTCAGACCACGCTACCTCAAACCAAGATGTAAATGGTACATCTCAATCACCCGATGCCGCCACCCAAATCAAAGAACACGGTATGCAGATATGGAATGCTGTGAGGGCTGCACGTTCCAATGAGTGGGTGTTGTCTTAGTGTGTGTCATTGGAGTATCGTTACTGAACGCCCGTTTGCAGAGGGCACGAAATAGCATACGACTTTCTCAAACTTCCACCCAAGCGAACATACCCTGACTATTATAGGATCATAAAGAAACCCATAGCTCTCGACGAAATAAAGGTACATTGATGCCTCCTTATTCCTCCTGGGTACTTGCTAACTAAAATTTTGCAGTCAAGAATCGAGAAGGACTCGTATTCTTCGCTCAAGGCAATCAAAGCTGATTTCGACCTCTGCTTCCGAAATGCCACACACTATAATCTGGAGCAGTCCCCCATTTGGGTCGCTGCTCGCGTTATGCAGGTATATGAACGCATACCCATCTCTCGAGTATGGCTAACCTGATGCTCACTGGCCAGAACATTGCATCACAAGAATATAAGGCCTTAACTAATGTCGAAGACACAGAAGATGAGGAAGTTGACGTTGGTGATCCAGAGGACTCGGAAATAGGCGATGAGGATACAGCTGACGACCATGCAAAAAGGCATCGCCAACAAGATTTGTCACGATTGCTAAGATTGAAACTTAAGAAGCTAATTAAACGCTCTCCTAAAAGGTAAATCATACTTCCACCCACTTCAAGATGCCTTTTGACCCATTCTACTAGCCCCGAAGGCATTCCTCTAGTCACTCCCTTCAATGTTCTGCCAAATAAAAAAGAGTGGCCCGATTACTATAAACAGATCGAGAAACCTATTGCTTTAGATAATATCTTCGTGCGCATCATCATCCTATACCCTTTTCCTTCGAGTAATTTCCTTCACTAGAAAAAGCTCAAGAAGAAAGCATACGCGAATTCTAGCGAGTTTGCCGCGGATGTCGAGTTGCTGTTTGACAATGCCTTGAAATTTAACGAGGATAATTCGCCCGTCTGGCTTGCAGCAAAAACCCTCCGGCCTATCTTCCGCGAAATCCTTACCGAATTACCCCCTGAGTACGCTATTCCAAACCAACCCCCAGCTGCGCCTTCTGCAACCAAGATCAGACTGAAGATGGGGAATCGCAAGCCTGAACCTGGCTCCACCTCCCAGGCGCTTGCCAAGGAACAAGTCTCAGTCCCTGCAAAACCGACAGCAGCATCTCCAGGGTCATCGAAGTCACCTGCAGCAGCAGCCAAATCGAGTGCAATCCCTTCTGTGCCAGCTACCCCAACCCCAGCCGCCACAACATCGACACCTAAACAAGTCAACGGTCCTCAGCAGTCGGCATATTATCGATACCCTGCTCCCACCACAGCGGGCGGTGCCGCCCAGCAGCCTCCACCCACAACCCCTCGTCCGGCAACGCAGGCTACATCAGCACCAGCAGGCGTGGCACCTGCACCTTCAACTATACCAGCTTCTGCACCTCCCTTGCCTCCGCCCACTCGAGTGCCTCCCATACCACCACCTGTCTCAACAGTCCCTGTAACGCCCCGCTCCCCAACCCCGGATGCGATTGTAACGACGACTATCCGCACTGTGACTGTGGTCGCGTTGCCCTCAAAGCGGAAGCTCGCATTGCGGAACGAAGGGCTAGGCATTCGCCATTGGTCTATCCGGCTAGGATCCAATGAATCCTCGGTACAACTTGCTGTCGAGGCTGAAAAAGAACGACCTTTCGACCTTTCATCCCAGAATCAGTCTGAATTGGAAAACAAAGCCACATCCGTCGAGATCGAGGATCCTGACATTGCGGGTGCCAGGGTCCGCTTTCCTGCCGAGGTCAAGTGCAATGGGTTAGTAGTAATGCCTCTGCCGTCATCCTCCAGCACTTCCTCGAGATGGTCAAGAACTCCCGATGATATGGTAATCGATGACGATGTTTTAGAAGGCAACGGAGACGTTAAAGTGAATGGTCATGATGGGACCGACCCTGGCGGACAGTCTGCTTCTGATACTGAAGACCCACCAAGTGCCCCGAGGGCCACTCGATCGGGTCAAGTGCCAGTCCAGCGAAACGGGAGACTGAAGAAAAGACGTCGATACAGGAAAGGACAATCGAAAACGGCTGTGCTAGACCTGGGACGTTGGGACGTGAGTGCTCTCGCCTTGGGACCCAATGTACTCGACTTACACATGGGAGGCAAGGAAGGGGAGCGGTGGAGAATATTCATCGATCGGACATACTAATTTGTGGCGAAATAAGTATTGTACATCTTTGTGTTTGTGTTTTTTTTTGTCTACCCTATTTCACTGTTTAGTTCTTTGGGGTTCTTCTAGCTTGCGTATTAAACGGTCTTGTACGGTGTATTCTTGCTGCAATAGACTGTGATGCCTCGGGAGTGGAGTTGAGTTCCGCAACAGTGGCTCGACAAGCACGTCGATGAGATATCGGCAATTCCGGCTATCAATGGAGACTGGTCCTGGGATTGTTCCAATGTTTTACTATACAAATTGCTACGCTCGGGCTGCAAAATAGTCACATTAGGCACGCAATACCGCCCTTCAACTTCTATGAATGGCGGTTTGCACATGGATGGGTTCCGCAGCATCACGATCATTGGAAACTAGCTGTATGGACGGACTATGACATTGAGATTCTGTGAGGGCGTGCCTATACTCCAGCGAAGCGACTGGGAATGAACTCTGTGATCGAAATTTACATTGATATCTATCTCTCCGTCGAAAAGGTTGCAACCCTCTAGCTGGCGACCTCCTGAAGATTGAAGATATGACGCGTCGATGATTAGCCGAGGTTGCGGGGCATTGGTACATGCGGAACACTTTGAGCCCTTCAAGCACTAATTCGGAGTTCTCCGAAATACGCATCGAACTGGTGCGAGTATTCACGACGAATCAGCCCCTACGGTGTAATGGACACCATACAAGCAGGGCATCCGTACAGTGTTTTTCTTCCTAGGATTGCAAAAACAACATTTTGTATCATGAGTGGCTTGGCGGCTTGGCTCCAGGGGGTTTTCCGGTACACTCTGTGGCGTTAGGAGGTTTCTGGACTTAACTATTTGATCCCCTCGAACACCGCATGAGTTCGCATCGGCACCATACCAGGTGGAGGGCGGTATGTCTGTTCAGATTATCTGGTGGGCATATGTGCTGACGTTCACTAGGTTGTATCATCTGCCCTGGTGCCGTTAGTGAATTTCCCTTCTATATTGGCCAGTGCGTCAGAGCGGATTAAGGGGACTTTACAGAACTGCTGTTGTTTTTGCAATCCCTGGGCTTGCGGAGAATGTAAGCCATATCTGTTTTGTCTCCACTGGCGTACGACTTCAAACGTTGGCGGTAGTGGTATCAGCGAAAAGGTGCAACCAGCGAAACCAAGACTGATCCCGTGCTTCTCATCATCGGCCAATCGTTTGGTCTTTTCTTCAATGTTCTGGCATCCGTCCTACTCCTTTTCTGCATAAACGGCTCTGAAACCATGATCATTACAAGCTCGTGTATCGGCTCCCTCGGCATTGCTATCCTACTGGATCTAGTGTGCTTAAGCATATTTGGAACATCCCATTCGAACGTGGAGCAAGATGGCTATGCACTATCTACTGCTTACTATTTGACATTGTCTTCGGGGATAATGTCTCTCATAGCGGCCCTTCTGATGACGGTCGATGCTCTGAAGCACGATTGGGTCCCGTATGGGCGGGGAAAGCTTCTCACACAGAAACAAAGAAGACTGGCGATGAGGACCTTCCATTTCATGGCCTATCTCGCAATCGGTAGCATTGTATTTAGGTACCTTTTGGATATTTCGTATGTACGTCATCACATCATCGAGGTCAATCATATATTCTCTTCATCATTTTAGATACCTGGATGCCATCTATTTTGTCATGTCATCATCTCTCACGGTTGGTTATGGTGATATAGTGTGAGCGGATATGCGTTACATCGTCTTGGCTCATGGGTACGTTACTGATGTGCTGCCTAGACCAAACAACACAGCAGCCAGAATATTCTCGTTCTTTTATTTCCCATTTGGCATCATCCTCATCGGTATCATTGTCTCCTTGATCCGAGGCACAGTCTTGGCCAATGCAAACACTCGACTCAGGAGGCGGATACGCAACGAGCTACAGAATCCTCGGATGCAAGAGCGACTCGCCAACATCCAACATTGGGCTAAGGCTGGATCAAGCAGTGCCCAATTTGCCGGCAGCAATCAAACACAACAACCTGTGCAAAGCCCCACCCGGGAATTGAATTCCTACTTCGATTCCCTCCGAGAGGCGATAAAGGAAGATGCAATGACGGATCATAGAATCGAAGTGAGCAAGTGCTTTGTCGCATGGTGCTCGGGCTTGCCTATGGCTCTTTAGATATTCTTGTCCTTTTCGTCATTTATCATTTTCTGGGTGGTAAGTCGGCCAAGTTGTCTGTGCCGTGGCACCTGGCAAGAATAATCTCGCGGTCTACTGTGCAACAGGTTGGAGCGGTCGTGTACATGATTCTAGAAGGCTGGGACTTCTTTGCGGCGTAAGCATGGCTTGTTGTAGTTACGTGAGGGGCCTGGGGGGTGACACACAATTCCCTTCTGTAGTTTCTACTTCACCTTCGTGACCTACTGTACCATTGGATATGGGGAATATTATCCACGCGTATGTTTGTCACTTGAACGCGGTTGGGCACCTCACTGATTACGAAGAGTTTTAGACACCCGGAGTAAGATGTTTATAATGAGTGTGTATGAACTGTGCTTAATGTAATTCAGGGCCGAGCATTTTACATTGGATGGGGAGTGATGGGAATCATCATCCTCACTATCCTTTTCTCTTGTAAGGATGCCTCTTGAGAGTATCTTATACCGATAGCTGAGCCATGCCCCTTGTAGCGGTGGCAGAAGCTTGGACTGTCACATTTTGTGAGTCCCGAGGGGCACGATGCAAATCAGGGCTGACCACTTCTACCATAGCGGACATACTGCGGAAGCGAGTCATGCGCCACCAAGTCAAAGCGGTGACCCGCGAAAATGATCACGAAGCTGGGTTTGCCCTCAATGGGAGGCAGCACATACAAGAAAAGCAGGAACACCCCCACTCAACCGAAGCCCATGCCGGAGAAGCCATTCATGATACTCAAGTGGACGGCAATAATGCTGGAAGAGATACTCTCATGCAGATTTTCAGCCAAGACCTTCGTCACTTCCTCGATGAGTGCGAGCAATTCTTTGATCATTTGGTGAACGAGGATGCGGAGGCGATGCGACAAAGTCTGATGAGAATTATTGTTGAGCACGACCGCATAGAAGATGAAGTTGCCTGGGTTATCGTCGATCAAGATAGCGACGAGGGGATTGAGGTAAGGGGCTATCTTCCAACACGCGGGAAGAATGAGTAACAGCTGATACGTCAACCCAGAAACTGCTTCTAAAGCATGCTCAAAGTGAGTACCGATACAGTTCTCAACCTAGATGAAGTCAACTCTCATTGGGGGGTGGCCGTGCGCTAGATCGCTTTATGCACCTACGTCGACGCCTGGATGAGATCAGAACGGCGTGAAACATGAATGGCCGAGACGACGGTGATCATCCGTAGACCGTAGCTTCTAATTCCCTATTGCGTGCTGGAACTGTATGATAATAAATTTCTGGAAAGAGGGGATCGTCGGAGCTTCTTGGTACACCTGGGTCCTGCAACAATTACACGACCTGGAGAGTATTAACTTTGTGACACATGATGACCAGGTACCGGCTTACTTTGGGAGCAAGGCTGGCGATTTTGCCCCATCCTTTAAGCCGAAGCTCGTTGCTGACGACACCGTTGATACGAGTTGCCAAGAGCTCTCTTTTCTTGTTTAAGAGAACAGCGGCATTGTCGTCAAAGCGAATATAACGGCCGTCTGGACGTAAGACCTCTTTCTTTGTGCGGACAATAACAGCACGATGCACGTCTCCACGCCGAACTTTTACAATATTCGAAGGGGCAGCACCCTGTGGAATTGGACGTGCGCGTTTGATCACAACGACGCATTCATCCCCAACGGTCCCCACACCTGCAGTGCTCTTCGCTTTCAAGACGTTAACGCACTCCGCAATGAGCGCGCCAGAATTGTCAATGATCTACCGAAGAACGATAGCTGGAGCGAAAACGAAAAAAGGGAGGACTTTTTCTGAGAGGCTGAAGAGGTGCTCACATTTAAGGTGCCCTTTAGCCCAATCATTTGGGCAATGTGCAAATGACAGGCAAAATATTATTGGGGTCCCTGTCTAGGTGTCGGAAAACACTGCGGACGCGTTGTGACCCGTTAGAAGGCGTTGTAACGCCTCTCAACGGCACGTGCCGTTCTAACGCTCTCAACACTGAACTCGATCGTTCCAACGCTTCGAGGCGTTGTAACGCTTTCCCTCCGTTTCAACGCGTTGCAACGGCAACAAGGTAGGGTCAACAAAAAGAGACAACTCCTTGCAGGCCAGGATTGAAGCCTACCTTCATTTCATTACGTCCCCACACATTATCCTCAATTTTGGTAACTCACATTGCGGAATAGGACCAGAAATATCATTAAATGGTTGGTACAGGTGAGAATTGAACCAAGGAACGCTGTGGTCATTATAGTAAGTACATTCATAACCGCTACACTATCATGCACTCTCGGCTTTGCACTGATATGTTGACATAAAGTTGTGTCGATAGGTCTTTTGGGCTAAGTTACTTGATATTCTCAATATGTGTACACCCGCTGTGGGATTGGACCATGTCTCATTGTGGCTCTCAATGGTGGTGCTATGTGGAGTTAGAATTCGAACGAAGTTGAAGTTCATTTCAGCAGTGGTATTGAGGAGAACATGAAGCGCAAACACAAATCAGAACTCAGTGAATGAAGTGGCTTAAATAAGAATGTGCGGTGGACGTTGAGGGTGGTGGAACATGGAGCGATAAAGGAAGATTCCTATGCTGAACACTGACAGTTGATGGGGGGTGCACTCTGTTATGAAGTGAGTTACCGAAAAAAATTGCTGCAACGTTCTCTGTGTGCGTCGGAATCGTTGTCCATGCTGTCCCTGAATGACATGTGCAAGTTACGACTCAGCGCCCGGCCTCCCATATGGAACCCCACTCATTAAAATGACACAGGAAGTGAACGGTGGGGTTGTTGCGGATTCGTCACTTGCTGAAGTGGTCGTTCGCCGTGAGAGTGGTTGGCCGTCAAGTAGTAGACGTCATCGATGTGAAGCAAGCGAAGGTAATTTGTGGCAATGAATCATGAAACATGTGTTTACCTGAGTATGGAGAACTCCCATGTAGCTTGAAAGTACAGGGTATGGAAATGTGAATGTGCAGTTGCTACAGCCGTGGTTGACAGTGAAAGGAAAGCGCATCCATGCATTTGTGAACAGGGATGTTTACAGCGCGGCTGAGTATTTACAATTTGATTTTTGCTTTGAGCGTTGGAACGGACTAACAAAGTGTTGGAACAGATTAATAAAGCGTTGGAACGGATCAATAAGGCGTTGAAACGCGTTGAGAGCTCTTAACGCGTTAAAACGAAATTCCGTGTTTTCCGACAGGAACGATTATAGGCACGTGATGGCTCACACAAAATTGCCCAAAGTCTGGCGGACTCTTCCTCCAGAACCCCACCCTACGAGCGCCTCTAGCCTTACACACTAAAGTGTTCTTTGCCTCAACCGATCACAACCCGATCAAACCTCTACTCATAATTCGCTTGCTCTTCTGTAATCTACTTATGCCTACATGCCCTTCTTTTTACTTCCGTTTATACCTTTCCTTTCCATGACGATACCCTCCCTCTTACGAATCATGTTGGCACGGACACATACTCTAAAAATGAATGAACACAGCAACGACAACGAGCACCGATTGTCAAGGGGCTACGCATCACTCCAACGCGCGCGTGACGATCCACGGCGGATACCAGATATTTCCTGGACGACGCCCCCTTGTCAGTTGGTGCTTAGATTCTGCGCTGTCTTTTCATAGCAGTTGTTTGGGTTATTTGCCAAGCATCGACTTTTCCCTGGAACGACCCTTGAATCACCACTCCTTTGGCATTCTCGCTGTGTCCAGGAATTCGGGCTTGCAACGTCCATTGCCATCTTATTATCTAATCCGTCATGAACTCGTATAGCCCGGTGACCAGCCTCTGGCCCTTAGTTTGCCGAATTTACTCGTCCTGATACGTACCTAAAAATGAATTCATCATCATCATCATCATCATCTATTCGTCTATTCGTCTATTCATCCGATATTTTCCCCATTTCTCATGTCCACATCATCAATTTTTCTATATCACAATTTTTGAATCCTAGCTGCGTTGTAGGGGTTGGCCGGATTCACAAAGCACTCTTCCATCATGCCCTGGCCCCTGACCCAAGTGCCTTGCATCAGTATTCATCATTGTATCCAGCGCAGCCTTCAATGCCGAATTGCGCGGTTGTCTTGTTTGACCGCTCGTAACAATTATCCAGTATGGGCGTGCCTCATATAGTAGCAGTCTAGTTATCGTCTTTCACCAGCACAACCATGGCTCTGACTGCGGTCGCAACAGTTTTCTATACGTTCAACGTGCTGGGCACCTGCGCCATTCTCTGCCTTGTTTTGACCTCCACAGTATCGGCTAAAGTGAAGCTTCGTCCGACGCTCTTAAATTTGTACATGGCCTGCATCATCACGGGTACCGTACATTCATTTCTGTGAGCTGTGACTATGCATGCAGCTATCTTCTCCGTCATACTAATGAGGCTGACAGTTTGTTCAATGACAATCCGGGACCAACACTCTGTCTTGTACAATCCGTCCTTCATATTCCAACTCCTCCGCTGTTCGTCCGCCAATGTATACACTGCTGGTCTATGGTCTCACTTACATCATTTCAGATTGGCTTCAAGCGCGCTCCTTGTTGTAGCAAATGTAAGGGAAGCCTTGGGTCCCTCTGGATCCTTCTGCTCAGCCGGCTATGACAGATTGCACATATGGTATTATCGTTCCACTACAATTGGCCCCATGGGTCGGACGCTTGGACATACATATGTCTCTTGTGGGTTGGTCATCAACGGTCGTCGCTGGACATTAATGGAGAGTCGATCCTTCTAGACTCCCTCATCTCACATATGTGGCTGTCGCAATCCCCGTACTCAAAGTAAAACAAGAGATATTTCTCTTTATTCAAATATGGCTGATGACTTTGTCCCCAGTACGGTCGAAGACATCCTGAGCAGCTCTCCAGACACCGATTATACTGCTCACTGGACATGGCGTTTGTGTGCGTGCATGCGACATCACCATATGCTGAAGACTCATCTCACACCTCAGTTCCCCACTTGTGGGAATCCTGACGGGGACACTTCTGTTAGCCACATTTATTTTACAAGGTTTGTTAGCGAGATCGGATCATATTCTCTTTAGAAACTTACGACCGGTCCGATTAGCATGCACAACGTATGTGTTGTGGCGGAATTACCGATCAACATTGGCCAGTGCGTGGTTGCATATTACCCCTGCGCTGATTGACTTGGATTTAAAATTGTAGATGGATTCATAAACACCCCCATCGCCATTCGCGCTTCTATCTTTTCCACCTACGTTCTGATGGCATTTGCGTAAGTCTGATTAATCCGCGGTGATTGCAACATATGGTGACTTGAATACGCCATCCCCTCTGAATAGCCTGAACTGCTTCTCCACAGCCGACCCGACTGCGGTTGCTCCGGCCATCACTTTGTCCACCGTCCCGCTGGCAGTATTTTTTATTTTTGGGACTCAGAAGGTACGATGGGGGATGTCCCGTTAAGGCCGACCGAGCTGATAATATGTCCTGAAGGATGTCTTGGACGAGTGGAGACGTCTCGTCCGAGGGTGCAGGTGGTCACGCACTCGTCTCCGGAGTCCATCAGACTGCCAAAATCAAGGGAATGGAAGTAGTTTTCTAGAGTTAGATTCAAATCGCGGGAATCTCCAGGGACGTACGACTGCTCACAAACCCCTTCCAGTGCTTCCTCGTGCCTCCAACAGCCGCTCTCCACACTCCCATGATGACACATGTGCAAAAGCTGATAGCGACCTCGAATCGCAACAAAACTAAACAAAGACAGGCTTACAACTCCCCGCCCCTTCCTCTGTTCACATTCGTAGCTTCCATCCACACAAGAAACCGGAGAATCTTATATCCGGCAGCCCTTCTGAGCTTTATCGCGCGCAACATCTCACGCCCTACAAGTCATGTATATTAGCGGATCATCTTGGTCGTGTTCTTCCGGATTTTATTGCTTTGTGCAGGCACACGTTGAACAGCGCGGGACGCGCTGTTCTCCCGGTGCCTATTCCCATTTTCAATGGATGCCTTTGAAATGTACTAAAAATACAAACACAGTTTTCTGATTAGAGACAAGCAGTTCGTAACTCCGCGCAGCAAAAACCGCCACTCTTGGTCCAATTTCATTGCGGTGGCGCTCAGACATTGTTGAACCTTCCTTCATCCCTACGTTTCTTGGTCATTGCTAACCATAGACTCGCGGTGAGTTGAATTCGGAGGTCAAGATAAAAAGAAGATATTCGCACCCGCAATGATCGCACTTCCAACACCGCTCCCATCTTCCGCATGGTGCGTTTGTATGTTCCTTTAAAGAAAGAAAGATTGTTTACAATGCTTTTTTTTCGGGGGGGGAGGGGAAATGTTTGAAATAATCATACTTTGCTTTGTCACCGAAAATATCTTTCAGACCCTCTTGTAGTCTTTCCGCAAACTTAGGGTATTTCTGGAATAACGCGAGGGGGATTGTTGTTTTCAGCTCCCACACCCAAATAAACGGCCAACATAAAAAATGTGGCCCTAATGTGTAGGTCCCACACACACTTACACCATACAAACTGCCATCAGCTGCGACTGCGCAACCTTCTTCCAGATAACCCATCTTAGAAACAAGCGCCGCGATACCGCATGCACTCAACCTCGCTGCACGGGTACCGATAACGCGAGCGAGAGACCTGAAGAATTGGCGCTCTTCGATCGTAGTCTCGAGATTGAAAAAGTAGGTGAAAATCCCGATGATTGTGAGCAATTCATCTGTCGGATCGCTGGAGGATCGGGAACGGGAAATTAAAAAAAAATTTCAGCGAGTTCGTGATAAGTTAAAAAATATATTAATATCGCTTACGTTTCCATCAAGGATAGAAAGGCAGTGTCGAAAATGTAAGGCTTTTCGATCTTGTAGGTATTTTGACCCAAAAAGAACGCCCCGTCATCGATCAATTCACATATGATAAGCCGCATGATCTCTCCAAGGTAACGGCCTGAAATCATTTTCTCAAATGCTTGCTCCCCAGGTTTGTTCGATTCGGTATCAACTTGTTTATCGTATTTCGTACGAGGTAAATGTTGATGAGTAAAAGAATCGAATGCACCCCATTCGCAGTTGATTGCCATCTCAGCCTCAGGGTCTTCCGTAAGGATACCAAGGTCTTTGATCTTGCGTATGTCTTTCACTTTTTCCATGTAAGCTGCGTTACAACCCGTCCCGAGGATAACGCCGATCCTGGTGCGTGGATTAACGTAATGAGAAGCGATGAGTGTTCCAGTCGTGTCGTTGATGATAGCCACTAGTTTGACGGGGCATTTGTACTTTGCGAGAGCGTCGCGGAACAATTCGGCAGCATCACGGCCTTCGACATTCGGATTTCCGAAGCCCTTCGTCCAACGAATGAGTTCTCCATGGTCGATGCGATTCTGGCTGCAAAGGGATTTAATAGGATGGACGGCAAGCAGGGACATATGAAAACTAACGAGCAAGGATACGAGAACTAGATCGTGTGACATGAGCAAACAATTGGACATGGACAAAGGTGAATGGCTTACTGTGAAGCCTAAGGCTATTTCCTGACCTGGCTTGACGAAGCCGTCCTTATCGCCTGTATGAGCCTGAATGAACTCCGCAACACATCGAGCACAGAAATCGAAAAGGACTTTTCCATCCACTTGTTTTTGTTCATCGGTTAATCGATATTTGGACTGGGTAATCTCGAATTTGCCTCCGCCGCGCAGAGTGATGAGACAGACACGAAGATTGGTTCCTCCAAGATCAACGGCAAGATAATCTCCCGTCTCTTCTCCAGTTGGCCAGCCAAATACGTAGGTTGGGATCATAGGCTATTTTCGTCGGCAAAGCGACACGCCAATGTGAAATGGATTAAGCGCGTTTTTTTAAAAAGCCATGCAATTCATGGTGCGTACAACTGTCTGACCATATTTCTCAAGACCAAGCCCCAAGGTATCCTCAAATGCGGAGACGATCATCCTCATGCGTTGAGAGCTAAGTTTGAACAATGCTTCATATTTACGAAGATGATCGGACAACGTTTTCGGGGTGGCATGGGGGAACTTTTCATCAACGTCCGTCCTCGTATGGACCGCTACTGTTAGACCAGAGGTAAGCGTGATACTTCCTGAGCCTCTGCGAGAGGAAGGAGTTGATCCTGAGAGTGCAAGAGATGGACGACGGATCGTCCCTTCAGAAAAGGAGCCTTTTGTGCTCATGATGAAGTTGGAGAGTGTAAGTGACTATAGAGTGAGCGTTTGCGAGGGGGAATGCAGAGATCGAAAACGCCAGCGGACAAACAGGGTTATCTCATATGAACCGAACTATCGGTAATTTAACAAAATCAATTGAGTGATGTCAATATAAATGAAGTCAGAATATCGGAAAGAATTAAATCGCTTGTTCTGCAGGGGCGAGGAACTGCCTCCCGCCACAAAAGCGAGTAACATCTAACTGCAATTGGCCTTCGAGTGGTAGATTGGCAACGTCAGCGAGGTCCTGGTCCCGGTTGAGCACATATAGGACGACCGTTTCTCTCGCCTCCATCCCGGTTCGGAAGAGTCGGGTGTGGTGGCGAAGCTTCGATATGTTTTTGGTACGGTTCTTCTAAGCTCAACTCATACCTTCCTCACACTGAGCAACGGAGCATTGGGTACTCCGGCGAAATGTAAAGCGTCCGGCGATATGAACCAAGAACTTCATCCATCCGCATTTCATTTCTTGGTTGTTTGACCATGATTGCATTATCTCAATGTCTCAGCCGGACTTGTCATGAGATGGCCTCTCCTTTAATCTGAAATTGAAGCGGCCAAGCGGCGCCACTGTCCTTTCTCCCAAGTCAACAACCGTCAAGTCCGCCGCCCAGTGCCTGAACATTGCACTGCCACTACGGGCCTCATCGCAAGGGGATCCAAGCACTTAGAGATCGAGTTCTGAGGCAGAGGGATCGAATGCTTGAAGCGATAAAGGATGTCTTGATGATTCGATCACTCAACGATCATTATGTAATAATTTTGTGTGTCATGGCGACCTTTGGTAAATTAGTAGCAAGCGTTGTCGCCATTTACTAGTTTTCCTCGTCACAATACCTTAGCGTCAACCCAGACAGCAGCTGGTCTGCCGCACAGTCTCTCGTTCATCGCCCACTCTCCTTCAATTGCTTGCTCATACATGAATGGGCCTTGACTATCTTTGTGTTTCCCCCGTGGAATCGCTTCGTTGTTCTAACATATCGCGGGCAGGAAGGATACTTCTTCTCATGCCCCCCGCCGCCCAGGTCATTCTCGTCTTTTTCTTGGCCAACGCATCGTTTGGCGCGCATGGAAAAACGAAGAACAGTCTTCTGTTCACCGAAGGGATCCTTTCTTTTGCGCTTTCCGTTGGGGATATCGCCTTGCATGGAAGCGGGGAGTCTGTCGCTCACGGATCAGGCTCATTCAATTCATTTAACGCTGCTGACCGTGCCATAGGTCCGTTGTTATAATCTTATTGGTTTCCATCGGAGCTGATGGCTCACTAATTTTCAAGGCGCTATGTCACCCTTTCCCCTATTCTTCTATGCACTGTTCATCCTCCTTTTCCTCATTGCCTCCGTTTTCCCTTTCGTCTTAACTCCGATTCACACCGTTGCTTTCGTGGGTCTTTGCGCCTGCATCTCAGGATTCGTTATCAGTGACGAGGTTGGCGGTCTTGTCTGGGTTAACAACCATCTAAACAACAATTCGGTCTTCCGCGGGTTTCTATCTCCCGCAGACCAACAGCGATCACATGCATTCATAACGGTGGCATTTACGACGATCACCATCTTTCAATTGGTGGCTTTATTGTTGCTCCTTTATCTTCTCCACATTCATAGGTTACAGAACATTGGAGGCTCAACAGAGCTTTCTGCAATCAGATGGATTGCTTCAGGCGTTGCCCTGGGTTTCCTGGAGGCGTTGATCGGGTTTGCTGGTAAATACTACGCCATTTTACTTCTAAGAAAGTGCATGTTGGCTGTATCCCGTGCTTTGCTTATTTATGGACTTATCAAGTGCGTGCATAATTTCGTTCTGGTTGATATTACATTGTAATACTTGTCTCCAGGAAAACCCATTCCAGTACAGGAGGTGTGGGTGGCGTCAGACCCTCTGGCCGGTTTATGTCTCTTCCCGGAGAAAATCGGCGCGTGGTCCGCGGCGCTGTCAGTACGCCACGTTATAGCACGTTTGTGCACGTAGAGACTTGGGGGGTCCACACGCCCACCGTACCTACTCCGATCCACCTATCCTTCCTCGACTTGCGAGAGAGTGGGGGTCCTAAGGACAATTTCATCCATTCAAACCCCCAACTTCGACCCGTCTTCTCGCAGCCATTGATAGCACCTACTGCCGCAGAAAGCCAGTCCAGCCAGCGAGTTACGGTTATGGTTGACCGGTATGGAGAACTGGCACCCAAATTAGCCATGCGACTCTCGCGCGACTCGCTCCCAACCGCTGATCGAGCCCTGACCATCGCCGTAAACAAGCAGGTAGCAGGCAGTTCGTTGGTCCGTGAACGTAGCATCAAAGCAAATCAAAGTCTCTTCCGATATCGACCGGAGTATTTCGCCTCTGTGCCCTATGCTGCTCACACCCCACTGAAAGGCGCGAATGGTCGAGGAAGCAGATTACCGATGATGGACGAACCCGCGGAAGAACTTGGCCCTGCATTCAAGTTGCACTCGCCACACAAGTCGAGTGATGACCTGGATGATTTGGAAACTTTCCATAGTATTATGTCTCAATTTCCAAGTGCTCCAGCGTCATTTCCCAAGTCCCACTCAGACTGCCATAGCCCCTGTTCGTCGCACGGACATGTGCAACACGAAGAGAATCAATTTGCGGACACCAGTCCTCAGGCTCATCCAGATTCGACCGAATTCATTGCGAATTCAGGGTTGATGAATCGCAGTCCAGGCCCTGCTAACGAGAACCCCGCTTTTTCTTTTAATATGCCTGAGCCATCGGTTTCATCATCTCACCCTGGTACCGCTTCCACATCTAAGGTTCAAACTGGACCGTCATTGAACGAAGTTTCGGACGCATCTCCGTCCTCCTTCGTAGAGCTCGTTGCTCCCCGCCGCACAGAGATTCGGCGTCGCAGGGTGCTGACAGTGGGGCTGGCACCACTGGACGTGTTCCGCAATCGTTTTGCGGGGCAACGCCGAGCCCGCAAAGAGCGTTTAGTACACTCTATTTCGCTATTGACTGCACACAATGCAGGAGGGCCCGTGGTGCCTGGAGGATCGGGTGTCAAATCTTCGGGACGTCGGAGCGAACCTTCGATTACTTTGGCACCGCACTAAACTGATGGACTGGCCTACCGCCAAGGAGATGGTGCTGAGCGGTTCCCCAGAGATGCGTCAGGAACCTGCTCTGGGATTTCCAGGTGGTAGTGGCGTGAAGATGGTTAAAAGTTGACGAGATACCCCCGAAGTTGTCGAAAGCTCGATTCTTACCGGCCGAGCAGTATAATCTTGTCTATTGTGACAGCCAAGACTTATCGCCTTATTGTATTTTGTGAAATTCACTATACTTGTTGCAGTTGTAAAGTGCGTGATCATAGTTAAGTCATACGAAACAATATTATAAGTCCAAGTGATTATACTGGCATAAAGCGCTGGAAAACTATCAATTCTCTGGTATTCGGAATACAGTGATTTCCTAATGTAAACACAAAAACATCAAGAGGCACCAATGATAGAATGCTAACCGGAACTCACTTGCTGTTTGAAATATCGCCGATTTTCCTCGTCGATTAATACGAGATTAAGGTAGTACCGGGTACTGAACTTCTTGTTCACATCACGAAATGTTGGGGTGAGTTCAAACCCTCCCAAAAAGAGTCGTATAGGTATCGTTTCACCACGGACAGGTGCGCCATCCATAATCTCGAACTTGGTGATCGTCTCCGACTCGTTGTATTGGTTTGGGGGAGCGCCTGTTGTTTCTCTGCGAATGATGGAGAGTTCCATGTGCTTTATCTTTATTCGCACGAGCAAGAAGTAGATTTTCCCAACGATTACATCCTTCAAGTGGTACCTTAACGAGTTGGCGATTTCCCCTTTAGTGATACGAAAATCCGTTGTATTTTCGAGAAACTCACTTCGATTTGTTATATTCGAACTCAATATGTAAGCAGTCTTCGATACCCACTTCCATTTTGATCGAATTATTGCTGTCGGGTGGCATGCGGTAAGAATGAACCCATAGTTCCCGGTCCTTTGTGACATCCGCTAATCTTCGCGACACAGTAACCCGAAGCAGATACCTAGACCATTGTTAGCAAGATTTCGAGAAGCTCAAACCGAAACGATCATATTCGCCACAGTTATGGGCTCACTAACCGTAGTTTGACGTTGATGCCTTGGTAACTCTCAAACTGCTTTTCGACGTTCTTGAAGTGGAAATCGTACGTCTGGGCTGACCGCATTTCTCCTGGAGCGGCGAGCTCTTGCGATAGTGACAGGAACTCATGATGATTCCCTCGATCGTAAAAGAGTTCTAGGGCATCCCATTAGCGTTTGGTGTGGTGGAGTTTTGAATAGTGTAATAACCGATGCTCCCAACAAACTCTACTTTGATGCCTTCATGGATAAGTTTCTTCCCGTCACGTACTCTTACCGTCGCCTGATAATAACAGTTTGAAAATATACGCATACCAGTAGTATCCAGAATGCGCACTTACCTGACCGACGATTGACTCGCCATCGAAGTAAACAGGGGAGGTTTCTTTACGGTCTTTCTCAAGTCTAATCTCCACTTGCTTTCTATTCTCCTCCCCTTCCAAACGAATATCAATATCGACTGGAGAACTGAAGAAGTACCCTGCCATGTTGCTTTTGGCAGATGGGTATCACGGTGACCGTCACGGTCACACTGTTTGGGCTCAGCGAAAAACAGTTTGAACTTGACCAAGGTTTCAGTTTGAGATATTTGCTACGTTTGACATGGGGACAAGTATAAAGATGACTTCCATGCGAGATACAAAGATTCCTTTTGGTCGAGACTACTATGTCCCACCAGGTTCGCTTCGCCTTTGACAACACCTCCGAGAGTGACTCCACACTTTCACAATCTTCGAGCGATCTCGCAGGCGAGAAGGAGGGCTATCTTCATCCTCATGAACCCCCATCAGCTTACCAAGGGCAACAATGGGGCAGTGAAGGCCTTGTGGCTGCATCAAAGCCTCGCGTCTCACGCCTCCCCTTGAGCTCGGATCCGCGATATGCCAGGAATCTCCCATCATTACAGGATTCTTCAACCCCACCTAAGAATCCCAACGAAATACCCCAAGCCTTAGAGCCTATAAATATCTATGCTGGGGATGCTGATACTGCCGAGATGGCGCTCAGGCAGCGCCCGCGGTTTCTCTCGTACCAAACTGCGGACTCTATCATGGTCTTGGATAGGGATGACCCTGAAATAACGCAGGCGGGAAAGAACAAGCTGGACTTGATTCAGGATGGTCAGGACCCGAATGCCGCGAGTGACGCTGACATCCCCTCGCTGGTTCGAGAAAGCGGTAAGTGTGTCATCATGCTACATGCTACCTTGGTATTAATGGACCACTCCTCAGCTGAGCGCCATCGTCGCCATTACATTGTAATGCTTGCTCGCTCCTATCTGGCCTATGGAACTCCCTCGCACCGTATTGAAACTCAACTAGCATCTGCTGCAAAGGCTCTTGACATCCATGCAGATTTCTTGCTCATTCCGAACACCATATTTGCTTGCTTCTACGATCCGAACGAACGTCGGCAGGCGTCCATGCATGTAATCAAGGTTGTCGGTCGATTGTCCTTGGCGGCAGTTGAAGATGCGTGGAGCATCTATCAAGACGTTAATTCATCTCGAATTACGGCAGAGGTTGGGGCTGAGCGGCTGAAGGACATAGAGGATCGCGAGGAGGCTCAGAAGAAGAGGTATAGATGCGTCATCGCGTTTCTCTGTGGCTTTGCTGTCACCCCTCTCGCTTTCGATGGTTCGTTCGCGGATGCGCTTGTTGGGGGCGCATGTGCTGCCGGCTCTGTCCTCATCGCGGAGTACTTTGCGGCACGTAACGTCCTGGTGGAAAAACTTTTCGAGTAAGTGACAAGTGCAGTACAGCATTCGAACAAGTCTTAATCCAAAATTCTTCTCAGAGTTTTTGTTGCCTTCTTCATTTCTTTCATCGCCCGGTTTTTGTATTCGCAGTGGGATCATAGGTTCTGCTATAGTGCTGTTGCTTCTGGGGGAATTGTGCTGATTCTTCCGGGCTTCACCGTCAGTGAGTGCACCGAATTCGATGAATATTCGATTTCCTAATGCTGATTGTAGTGTGCGCATCGCTCGAGTTGTCCCACAAGAAAATGCTGACAGGATCTATTAAACTTGTTTACGCTATCTTTTTCGCGTTGATTCTTGTGAGTGTTATCCAGCTTCCTTCCGCGATCGCGCATACCAAGCCAGTCAAATGCTTGTAGGCCTTCGTCCAAACCTCGGGGTCAGATCTTTATCTCAAGTTCAACTCGAATGCGGTTGCAGCTCGCGCAAAGATGATTCAAAGTATCACTGAAACGAACTACCTGAGCGGAACGCTTGTGGCAAACGGCACTTTGAACATCGCGAATCTCACATTGGGTTTCACTCAAGCTCTAGATCCTGACCGCTCATATCCGGAGTGGAAGTATAAAGGAACAGGGTGTTACCGTGACCCAGGGTGGATCTGGGTTTTCCAGAAACCGACTCTTGGATATTTCTTTCTCATCGTTCCTGCATTCGCGTTCTTCTTGACCCTATGGAACGGCATGCCGATCAAGTTCAAGTGGAGAAACACTGAGCATGTAATCATGATGATTCTTCTCGCTTGCGGGAGCTACACAGGTGTGTTCACACTCTTTCCATCGAGTCTCTCGCATCTGACCTGGGTTGTACAGCAAATCTTGTCGGGACAACATACCTGACTGGTTCCATTGGAAGCTCATTGGGTGCATTCGTTGTATCTTTTTTGGGTTCCATCTACACTCGCCTGAGGAAAGATATCACGCCTTTCGTTCTCATGACCCCTGGTATTCTTCTGCTTGTGCCGGTAAGATAAGTCTCCTTTGCAACTGAATAACAGCACTGACATCCACCTCAGACCGGTTTGACTGCGGTTGGTGGTTTGTCCAAGAACTACACTGGAGAGGATGACCAGTTTTCAACTGTTCTAAATACTGGTTTCGCAATGGTCGAACGTGAGTTGTCCATCTTCCAACTACCATGATTAAGGTTGTGACAGTGTCTTTCCAGTCTCCATTGGTATCATTGTAGGATTAAGTTTAGCGTCGCTTCTCGCAAACCTGGATGAGGTGTGGCGGTCAGCTGTCGGAAGGTCGAAGACAGAGAAGGTCGCCATAGCTTTTTGAGCCGGGTCCACGAACAAACTCTGCCCGTTCGATTTGACCCCCGGCCGGGCTTCTTATGGACCAACTGTCGTCTGAATATGCATGTAGAGGCTGCTAGACAGCCATTGATGTATCGCATGTACTCTTACTTCCAGAATTTGATCTGCACCATTTCCCATATTTTTTTTACTTCAATTTTTACATGGTGCGCTCTGGACAGCTGAACTTTCTCAGCACATGACTCTTGTGCTCCAATTTAAAGTGCTCAGATTCCATTCCTCTTGACCGCTTTCAACCTTTCGCCCCCCTGTGCTGTCACCGAGAATGGCAGACAGCTCTTCGGATCACTTCCCAGAAGATGCCGAGCAACATGGTGAATCCATGGAGGAGCAACGTGAGGTCAATTATCGGGGCGAAGTTGGGTGAAGTTCTTACAATTTTGTATCTTGCTTACCTAGCCATTATTATTTCTTAGCAGTCCGAAGCCCGCCCAGAGGACGTAGAGGGAGAGGAGGGTGGTGACGATGAAGAAGGAAATGGGGATGAAGATGAAGATGATGGCGATGGCGATGAGGACGAGGACGACGAGGACGACGAGGACGAGGACGAGGAGGAAGAAGGCCCAAGCCGGAAGCGACGAAAGGTCAGTCACCCAAGGGGTGTCGTCATATCGGATGACGCTGGTATTGAGGTTTCCTTTTCCATGCAGAAATCCAAGCGACCTGCGAATCGCTACATTGACTGGGAGGCCGAAGTGGATAATGATGAAGAGGATTTCGATGACGACGAGGATGAAACCCTTAAGGAGACGCAGGGCTTCATTGAACCAGACGATCCATCTCTTGAAACTCCGGATGGGCGACGTCAAATTCTTGCCGACCATCAGCGTTTGGACCGTCAGCATGAAGCAATTCTCGAGGAGGACGCCGAGGCAATGGCACGTCGACTGAAAGAGCGATATGCGCGTCCGGTTTCACGTTATGTCGGAGACAGCGATCAAGTGCCTCAAAGACTATTAATGCCAAGTGTTAATGACGCCTCTTTGTGGCAAGTTCGTGTCAAAGTGAGTAAACCACCGTTGCTACTGCCAGGGGACGTGGATTCATGCCCTCTTTTAGCCTGGGCGTGAAAAAGACATTGTCATTAGTCTTATGAGGAAGTTCTTGGACAAAGAATACTCTGGTGGCCAATCCCTTAGTATTCTCTCTGCTTTCTATCGTGATTCACTTCCTGGCATGATCTATGTTGAAGCAAGAAACGAGAAGCAGGTTAACCAAGCAGTCTCTGGGCTAGTGGGTGTATACCCCAGCCGCGGTTATACTTTGGTTCCTATCGATGAGATGGCGAGTCTGCTCAAGATTAAAAAGCAGATGACGACCATCAATCCAGGCAGCTGGGTTCGCATAAAAAGAGGGAAATATGCTGGAGATTTGGCCCGTGTCATTGATGTCACGGATAATGGCGAGGAGGCTGGCCTCATGTTTATTCCTCGAATTGATCTCACGCCGAAAGAGAACGAATCCATTAAGCGAAAAAGGGGACCAACCGCTGCACAAAACTCTGCCATCGCACGGCCTCCCCAGCGCCTCTTCAATTTGGAAGAAGTCATAAAAGTGTATGGAAAGCACTCTGTCAGTGCCAGAGACAAAGGGAGATAGTGTTTCATGGAGACACTTATCGTAATGGCTTCTTGGAGAAGGACATCAAGTTACATGGCATTGTAACCGAGAATGTCAATCCGACCTTAGATGAGGTTGCTGCTTTCCAGGCGGCAGAGAACTTGGAACGATCATATGATTCTCGGCTTGCAGCCCTTCCACCTGTCGACCTCTCTGTTATAGCAAATGCAGCGAGGAGGGCAGCCACGGCAGTCTTGCAGCCTGGAGACCATGTCGAGGTCTTTGAGGGTGAGCAAACCGGTGTCGACGGTATCGTGGAGAATATTCGAGACGACGTTGTGATTCTGCGACCCAAAGTCCTCGACATGGAAGACCAGAAGATTGAAGTGCCTGCTGCCAGCGTCCGCAAGCGCTTCAAGCCTGGGACCATGTCAAAGTCATGACGGGTAAGAGCGCGGACGAGACGGGCCTCGTGGTTGCTGTCAATGGGGATGTCGTTTCGATATTATCTGACGTTTCGCATCAAGAGGCGAGTTCCTTCATATTTGCATTTCTGACGATCACTTCATGTAACTCTTCGCAGGTCAATGTATTTTCCAAGGACATTCGAGAGGCTGCAGAGGTTGGGAGCGGTACAAATACTGTTGGGGCCTACGAGCTCCATGATCTAGTTCAGCTCGAGTACGTATCTCAATTTTTGTCGGAAGGAAAGTATATTTACGAGTTCAACAGTCAGCAAACGGTAGGGGTGATTTTCAAAACAGAACGAGTGTCATTCCGTGTTTTGGATCAGCATGGCGCCGTCCGCCACGTGCAGCCCCACCAGATTACCATGCGTCGAGATTCGTCGAGGGCTGTAGCAACGGATGCTGAAGGACATCCTATCCGCATGGGGGACGCCCTCAAAGAAACTGACGGCGAAGTGTGTCTAGAAGTACCTCAACATTGTTTCTCGTCGTACTGACATACACCGACTCTGTAGCACCGGAGAGGGACTGTTCTGCATATTCATCAATCACAATTTGTGTTTTTATTCAATCGTGAAGTTCCAGAGCATAGTGGTGTCTTCGTGGCACGCAGCCGTGCAGTAGCATCCGTTGCACCTAAAGGAGCATCGAACGGTCGACCCGTGATGGATTTATCTACTATGAACCCCGCTGTGGGAGGAGGTGCTCCGGGGGGTATGGTTGGTTCGGGTGCAATGGGGCGCGGTCCCAGAGACCGACTCATTGGTACTCAAATTACTGTTGTAAAAGGAGAGTACAAGGGATACATGGGCACAATCAAGGACACAAACGGCAACATGGCACGCGTCGAACTTCTTACTAATAACCGCATTATATCTATTGACAAGGCAAAGTTACGTCGCAAAAAGTATGTGCGAGCAATGTGGCTTCGTGTGTTTTTATTAATGTGTGTCCTCAGTCCTAACACCGGGGCTTTCGAAGAACTTGATCAATCTTACAAGGACCACACCCCATTCCGAATGCCTCCGCCGGATAAGTTCGGAAACCGGAATTCTTGGGTCGGGGGTTCCTCCCGGACGGAAGTCACACCAAATCCATATCTGTCCTCAAATGGAGGTCGTACACCTGGACATGGGGTCACTGGGAGAACGCCGAATCCATACGCCAGTGGAGGACGGACACCTGGATGGAACCAGGGCGTTACGCCGAACCCGTATACGTCAGGGAGTCGCACGCCAGCTTGGACTTCTGCAACGCCGAATCCCTACACTTCCACCTCAGGTGGGCGCACACCTAGCTGGAACAATGCTACTACACCGAATCCCTATCTTGCTGGCAACAAAACACCTAGCCACAGCTCATCGACTCCTGCAGAAGCATGGGGTGCCTCGTCCCCTTCATGGGAAGGGAACAACAATACTTCCGACACAAATTGGGGCAACTCTTCGCCTGACTACGTAAGCATGGCAATTTCCCTTGCTCAGTATTTCCAACTCACGCGATGGATAGATCGAGACCACGCCTGGTTCATTCCCTGCTCCAACTCCCTTCTATGCAGTGCAAACACCTTATAACGCAGCAACTCCATACAGCGCTCCCACTCCAGGCACTGCATTATATGGGGATGGCCCAACCCCTGCATCTCATACTCCAGGGGGATTGGGGGCTTACGCAACAACCCCTGCTGCGGCTGCTACGCCATTCACAGGTGGAGCCTTGTCATCGTCCTCCCAGAACGGTAAGTATCTGCTTCTGACGAGATGCTGATTTCCGACGTGGTCTCCACCCTAGGTTTGCCAGAAGATTGGCTAATTAAGGCTGGGCCATTATTGACACCCAATGGTATCAAGCTTCTGGTTAACATCGATTCGAAACTCGCTTGGCAAGATGGGGAGTATGATGGCATGGATGTTGCTGTCCTGTCTGTGACAGACCCAGGACCATGGTCGCAAATCGACCCCTCCGCCCGGATCAACATTAATCATCGAGAAGCTGTCCTGCCGACACAATATCTCGCTCCTCGACACCCAGACGCCGCCAATCAGTACGCACTCGCTTTACATGGCACATTCATGAACAAAGCCATCAAAATCATCCATGTCGATGAAGATCTGTGTATGACGAGTCTGGCCCGGGATGCATTGTTTGGGAAGACTGAAGGATATAATGCAAAGGAGTTGATTTTATGTGAAATGTACTAAGTTTCTGTAATATAGTGACTACTACAGGTGCTGGGGCGCTCCCTCAGATCACTTGCAGGAAAGGGGATGCGGACACAAAGCACACGGACAAATTAAAAGGCGAAAATGGCTTGTTTTGGACCTTTCCTTTGCCATTTCCGGTCCATTTCCTTGGGCCTTAGCCTCTTGGTCCAATTCCACGAACTCGCGTATATAAGGTAATTCGATAGTCCGAATCCAGTCGTAATGCCAATTGAGACTGGGTTAAATGAGCATGCTGTTGGTAGAGATGGAGGAAACGTTATTACCTTGCAGGATGCGGACCGTAATATCCTTCCCCGTGTACGAATCTGCACTGCCTGAAGGGATGCCGCTCTGGAGATAAAACTTTAGTTAAGTCAAAGGGAAGCAGGCCAGGAATACCTACCGGCACAAGGAACAGAACCCCGGGCACCATAGCAGGGTAGGCTTGACCACCAACAAGACGAGAATACAGATTCCCAAGAAGGCCCACGACAATAGCACCCACAGCAGTCACAGAATCGGAGCGCATCAAGTACGTGAATGACGCACGATTTGCTGGAGGATAGCATGACTCAGTGACACCCACGAAACGACAGGTGTTAACTCACCAGCATAGCTCATACATGATATAGCTATCATAACTACGAGCGTCTTGTTCTTCTTGAAGGTGGAATGCAGAGGCTGGAAATTACGGAACGCCGTGGCGATGGAGTATAGAGGAACGAGAATGAAGAGCGTCCACCATGGAAACGGTTGCAAATACCATGGGAAGGTGTGGCTCCTATAGCAGGTATCCGCAAGGAAATGATTTTGGGATATAGTAAGGGGTGTGGACAACGCCTCGGCAGTGAACCTTCCTGATGTCCATGGAACTGCTGATGTCTGTCTGTGTGGCTGAGAAAATGACCCGTGGACTATGTTCGACACTTTTGCTGCCTGGACTGCCACATCCCGCAATCTTCCTTCATTGTGATCGATAAGAAGGTAGAACTCAGAGCCAAAATCTAAAGCATATCCCTGCATGCCTCCATCAGTGAGATGGCCCCCATTACTATTCCGAAACTTACTAGGAACAAGGAGTATACTATTACATAGACAAACTTGACGCAGCCTGAGAGTCCGCGCTTTGCCGCAAGCTCTTGGACAGCAGACACTATCGCGTGAGATATTGTCAATTGAAGTGCCAAAGAAGAGCCTTGCGCAACTTACAGATAAGGAAGCCGGGAAGAAGGGAGACAATCCCGGCAGTTGATACTGCTTGATAACAGAAGTATTGGCTGTTGCGAATAGCGCTGATCCCTCGTGCCACGAACGAAACGATGATCACCGCAACGATTCTGCGAAAATCAGAATGCATTTGAATGAGTCAGAAAACGCACAGGGAAGAACGCACTCGAAAACGGTAGAGAAAATAGAGAGCTTCTCCGTGGCAAAAACGGAGAGAACGTTAACAAAGAGTCCCAGTAAGCCAGCGGCCCACATATCGAGGAAAGAGCCGGAAAACGCAAGCGGGCAGACTAAGAAGGCTTGGGCAAACCCAAAGAAACAACGTGCCACGTTTCCCCAGCATGGTTTGAAGTTCTCATCCAGCAAGGCCCCAAGCCGATCAGCCGCTTCCTTTGCGCACATGCGGCCATGGGTGATTGCCTTGTAAATATCATACGTTGAAGAGAGCCTCCCCAGGTCCAGTCTTGGGTTCACCTTCGAGACTTTCAGCTCCGAGCCTCGAAGTGATGCCTCATCATCGAAAGCAGTGATAATGGTATTTGGAAGGAAAATGAACTTGCTGGATTCGTGGACTTCCATCGCAGCCGCTGCAGTAGACATGATGCCTTTCATCCGATGCAGAGGCGCACCAAATCTCAAAAAGGACTTCCCAAGCCTTGACAAGCAGTGGCGGCGGTACATAGGCACTAGTAGTGGTAGGGGTAAATTATTGTCAAGACCGAGTCACAAAAATAAGGACGAGTGCTCACATAACCCTCGATACTCATTGACTTCCCAGGGATAGGGAGCGCGACCATACTCGGTGCGAAAGAAATTCATCCAAAGTTCTTGGTCAAGCGAGTCGTCCTCAATCACGAGGTCATCAATCTCTTGGGATACTAGTCTGAGCGCGGGCTCAGAGCCCATGCTTCGAGATGGCGTCGTCATTGGCAGAATGGAAATACTCCCTCTGCCAGACGGAACACGGGGGCTATTATAGGTTGTCTCATCCCTGTACCGGAATGAGAAGTCTCACCGAGACCATCGGATGCAAACTAAGTAGGAAGGACTGTGTCAGCGCTGTGTCACTCCAAATCTGGTTTCGGCATCAGATGTCTAAGATTGGTTCAGTCGAAAACACGTTCGCAAACCTTGTGGGCTGGATAAATGCTACATCGAGCGCTAAGAAATTTCCCAATTTCTCATTCCGCTGATAACTATGAACTCCTCGGGGCGACGCAGCGGACATCTCGACATATTGGACAGCACGCAGGTTGAGCATGAAAGTCCTCTTGAGTCTCTTGCTCGATATGTTATAGAAGATCGGGCGCCTCCAGGAATGGAGTACTATGGCGATCGAGAGTCATCTTTGCCCATGAGCTCGATCTCATATGCTCCCCGTCGACTGCGCAGTGGCTCTATGGATACCTTGGCAGCCGGAATCCCTCAACTCAGGCGGCGCTCCAACTCCCTTCCAATGAATAACGGACCTTCCTTGACGCACGTCCGCCTCAGTCGAGTACCGCTCCGGCCTTCTGAGGACCTTCCGCCATCTTCTCGACGGAAATCTTCCGCTTTCTCCAACGTTAACTTGGCTCCAGAAGATAATGAAAAGGTGGACGACCCATGGCTTGTTTCCTCCGGCCGCCCCCAAACAGCCAAGGAACAGTCTTGGTTTCGCCGAGTCCTTTACCGTCTGCGACATCTGTTGGACGAGCCTGGCAGTGACACTGTCTTGCGCCGTGCAGGAATCGACGAAAGCAGGGGAGGGTTGGACTTCTACCAGCCACCTATCGAGATTCCTTATTATCACACTGCTCGCTATCATATTTCTTGTAAGTTGTCTTAAACTGGGAACTTGAGATGTGCCCAACCTGTTACTTCTAGCCCCTCACAAGCGACGGATTTTTATCACCGAACTTGCTTACGCCTTAATGCAGTTCGGGTCCCCTGTTCACAAGATCGAGGAGCATTTGATTACGGCCGCACGGTTCTTGGACGTCCCTGCACGCTTCGTCATTTTGGACACATCAGTGATGTGCGTTTTTGGCGAGTCTGACGGCTCTTCGTCTCAGACGCAGTACGTCGATCAAGCCCCGGGACTATCGTTGAGCAAATTACGAGACACGCACCTTGTCTTCTTCGATGTCATTCACGACAGAATCAGTGCGGGGGAAGGTATTCGTCGATTGAGGGTTCTAAGATCCATGGGCCCTCCGTATGGAAATGCTATGCTTCTTGTTTTCGCTTTCCTTGCCGGGTTCAGTATTTGCCCTATCGGATTTGGCGGCAGTTGGGCCGATGCCCTCATTGCTGGTGCACTGAGCTGTGCGCTCAAGGCCTTGCAGATTTGGTACTTTCAACGTGAGATATTCATCGGCATATTCGAGTAAGTGGGTCTCTTCTGCGTGGGAGGTTTAGTGGTTAACGTCTTTCAGGATGACTATTTGTATATTGAACTCGCTTGCGGCGCGGTTGTTGAATTCTATCCGTGGACATATTTTCTGTTATTCTGCGATCTCTTCCTCCGGAGTAGTTCTAATCTTGCCCGGTTTTGTTGTCTGTGAGTCCCCTGGCATGCCTGTAGGGTGTGTTGCTGATGAGTTGTCCTTTAGTCTTGGGGTCGCTCGAGTTGGCGTCGAAAAATATCCTCACTGGAGCGGCGAAAATTGTTTATGCAATCGTCTATTCGTTATCTCTGGTACGTCTTTTTATCACAGTGTTGACACTCAATCTTAAGAACTCATAATAGGGCTTCTGTCTTACTTTGGGATCTGACATTGCGTTCGTATTGGAACCAAATTTCCGTCAAGCCAGGGGAGCCATGGCACGCGATCTCGAACGAGTAGTTGTCCTCTCTGGCACCTTTACTCCCATGAATGGCACCAACACAACTGCCATCGAAAAAATCTTCTCCTTCACTCAATCTTTCTTGCCCACCGAACCCATAGATAAGTACCACTATGTGCTTGAAGGTTGCTACCGCGATCCTTCGTGGCCCGTTATCCTCCAGCCCCCACCGTGGGAATTTGTCTTCCTCCTCGTTCCGCTCTTCGTTTTCACCTTGACAAGCTTGAATGGGTCACACTGGAGGAGTTTTAGTTGCTGGATACAGGTTCTCTTCGGGTGCGCAAGCTTTGCCGGTATGCAGCTTCACGTTGATTCATGAATGGCGATTGTCTGACGTGTTGCACAGCCAAGAAAGTGGGTGACATCTATATCTTCGACCGAGGCGACATTGTCAGTGCGATGGGTGCTACTGCAGTCGGTATTCTGGGCACAATTTATGGACATTGGCGTCCCAGCGATGCCTTGTCCTCTATGATACCTGGTGTCCTTGTGCTCCTTCCCGTACGTTCCGCTAACGACACACGTTCCTCTGCTCATCTAGCTGGTTTGTTCTAGTCCGGGCTCTCCGTTGTCGGTGGATTAAGCCAGAACTATCATAATCCCAGCGGCTCAATTTCGACTTGGCTAAGCACGGGCCTTCGAATGCTTCAAGGTAAGCCAGCTCAAATCCTGCATACTTTGGCATTACATGATGGCCATCACTTCTAGTCACTATTGGCATCACTGTCGGACTTTTTGCGTCTCAGGTCGCAGTAATTGCGTTCATGGGTATCGTGTTGCATGACACTAGCAAGTCATTAGCATTCTAGTCTTTCGTAGGTATGGATTGTCAGCGTTTGTGCCGGCCGAAGATCTAGATGCAAAGCGCATGGTTAGATTGGATTGGTTCTGACTTCATTGACAGTGAGAATGGACGTCCCATTTACCTAGACAGCTCTTTTGTGCTTCAAATGCCATCCACCCGTATACTTATATAGCGAGCCACAGACACCAGTTGCAGTTGCAGTCAGGTAGAATTTCACCACAAATTATTAGAGAAAGTCGACGTCCCACAGTAGTGGCGCACGGACTTGCCAGCCGCCAAAGATTGTCCATCATTCCCTATCCCTTGTTGATAGGCGGCGTTGTAGGCTTAAAAGCCACTCATCGCGACTGTTTTTTCTCTCTCCTCAGTTACACTAGTATCGTGAACTGAGGGTCTCATTTCTTGGTCGTGTTAGACCTTTTACTCAACGTCTATCATTGTCTAGCGCTAGATTGTTACGCTAGTTCTCTCACACAAATCTTCACTCTTGACCAAATTTCCATAACCCAAAATATAAGCAGATGCATAGTACGGAGCGCACAAACACTGGCTATCAAGCCCATAGTAAGAGTAACGCCGCGCGGTATTGTTTTGAGGGGCGGAGTTTGCCGGTTTGCAAGTGGTCACGCATCTCCACCAGCAACTTGCAAGCATGAAGAAGCAGCCACTCTCGATCGAGGCACTTCTGCAGAAACAAAAAGATGAGCGTGAGGCTAACTCAAGGGTAAAGTTATTGCGTTTCTTTGGGCTGGCTATGATTGAGTGGATATTACACAGCCAAAATTCCTTACCAAAGAGGATAGGGCCAAGCTGGCAATTGAGCAACGGGTAAGGGAGGTCCAAGAACAACGAGAGCGCGAAGAGCGGCTTAGACTCGAACGAGAAGAATTCGAGAAACGTGCGGATGATTTGCGACGGCAGGAAGAGCAGCAGCGATACGGCGCCAAAGCTCCACATGGTACCCGATACAGTGTGTGCTCTTGGGTCTTTTGCACCATCATGTCGCACTGAATATTTTATAGGCGATGAGCGTCAGTCTGGAAGAAAAGATAGCAGGCGGTATGACGATCGCACTCAGAGCAATCAGTCTGCACCTCAGCGTCCTGCTTTCCAGAATGGAATCCCAACAGGCCCTCGAGCTGATAGACGCAAGACTACATCAGGCGTTTCCCAGGAATCTTCCGTGCGCCCATCACCTCCACCACCTCCGCCCTCCGGATCCGAGCTGCCGCCACCAACCGAAGAACCCTCACCAAGCGACTCCAATGCACCATTCGTTCCCCCCCTATCCGCGACTGACTTGAGTGCTATCCGCTCCCGGTATTTGGGGGTAGATAAGAAGAAGAGGAAAATAAGGAAATTGAGCGACAAAAAGTTCGTTTTTGATTGGGATGAACAAGAGGACACATTCGCCGATGCTCCTGAGCCAGTCAGTGGGTCTTCGAAGCCCGTTGGGTCAGTCATGTTTGGCCGAGGGCATTTGGCTGGTATGGACGACGGTGGAGTCCAAGAATCTATGTCGAACAACAATCGACATGCCGATCCTTTGGAACGCAGGAAAGCGAACAAAGGAGGGGGTGATGAGCGTCACTGGTCAGAGAAGTCTCTGGAGGAAATGAGAGATCGTGACTGGCGCATCTTCCGGGAAGACTTTAGCATAGCTACTCGAGGTGCGCCATCTCCAGCTGTCTGGCAGTCCAGTGTAACATTGTTCCCGCAGGTGGTCATATTCCGCTCCCACTTCGGTCATGGAAGGAGTCCAAGCTTCCCCTTGAGATATTGGAAATAATTGACACCGTTGGTTACAAAGAGCCTTCGCCAATTCAAAGGCAGGCTATCCCGATCGGACTCCAGTGTCGTGATTTAATCGGCATAGCTGAGACTGGTTAGTGCTTTTGATCCATCGGAAGTCATTTTTTGACGCTATTGGGTGCAAGGGTCTGGAAAAACTGCAGCCTTTGTTCTGCCAATGCTCGTGTACATTCAGCATCTCCCTCACTTCACCGACGAAAATCGACATCTAGGACCATATGCCTTGATTCTTGCACCAACACGTGAACTGGCACAGCAAATAGAAACTGAGTCGCGCAAATTCGCAGCACCGCTTGGTTTCAGATGTGTTTCTATCGTTGGTGGAGTACGTATCTTGCACTCACCTTACGACTAGGTGCTAACTGACTATTTCTCAGCGAGCTGTGGAAGAACAGCAATTCAATTTGCGCGAAGGCGCAGAGATCATCATCGCCACACCTGGCCGTTTGAAAGATGTCATTGATCGACACGTTTTGGTCCTTTCGCAATGCAGATATGTTGTTATGGACGAAGCTGATAGAATGGTACATCTTGGGTTTGAGGCAGATCTCACTTTCATTCTTGACTCACTGCCCGCGGATGCCATCGGACCGAGTGAGAACGGAATGGACGTTGACGCCACACTGGGACAGCAGGGAAAGACGCGAGTCACGACTTTGTTCTCAGCAACCATGCCCCCAGCTGTGGAGAGACTTTCGAGAAAGTACCTGCGGCGGCCTGCAGTCATCACAATTGGCGAGGCTGGCCGAGCTGTCGACACTGTGGAGCAGCGCGTTGAATTGATTAGTGGAGATGAAAAGAAGAAGTAAGTACTGGCAAATTTTGACATCGACATGTGTTTGAATTCATCCTCGTAGGCAACGAATGATTGATATCTTGAATAATGGAGGATTCTCGCCGCCTATGATCGTCTTTGTCAATCAGAAGAAAACCGCAGATATGGTTGCTAGGGATATTTCTCGCGCTGGTGTATGTCAATTTCCCAAGGACCTCGCCTCTTAATGCTCATACTTCATGTAGTGGAGCACATCTACTCTACACTCAGGGAAGAACCAGGAGCAGCGTGAAGCAGCGCTGGCCGCATTACGGGGCGGCGAAGCAGATGTTCTAGTGGCGACTGATCTAGCTGGACGAGGCATCGACGTCCAAGACGTGTCATTAGTCATCAACTATCAGATGGCCGGGACAATTGAGGCATATGTTCACCGGATCGGTAAGTCTGACAACTTGAAAGGAGACCTCTTCTTACTTTCTACACCTCAGGTCGTACTGGCCGCGCTGGAAAAACTGGTGTTGCAATTACGTTCCTAACAAATGATGATGACGAAGTCATGTGAGCACACTATCTTTTCTTCCACCCGTCTACTCACCCCCGTTTGTTCCAGGTATGATCTCAAGAATGGTAAGATCCTTTTCAGCTCATAGCTGCACGACGACTAATTACCGCACTCAGAAATCGCAAAGAGCCCGATATCCAAGGTCCCACCCGAATTGGCCAGGCATGAAGCCGCCCAGCAGAGGGTTACCCGAGAAATGAAAAGAAAGCGTGAGGGAGACGACCAAGGCTGATCATCGCGTTGCCCTGTGTTGCCTTGCGAGATAGATTAGACTGGACCCTCGGGGTGTGTCTGTAGTTGCTGCGGGCAGTGTAAGGTATCTATCTGTGTGCCATCTCATTATGCCGTCGGCGTCATTAACTGCTCGTGCTCCCGTGGTAATTATATCTATTATTTTTCTGCTTCTCTTGTCTCCTGCGCGGGAATTCCGCAAGTCCGAAACTGCCTCTCTATTTCCCTATGAGAGAGATCCTAGACTGAGATCCGCGGTCGAGTAAGTGTCTAAATTTCTTATGATGCGGTTGGGTAGCGGTGGTGTCAAAGATTTGTTTGTTTGTTTTGGCGTATTTGTTAAGAGTTATCCACATCCCTCATTCACTCCTTTCGAATCTAGCAGAGTAGACATATCCATATCCACGCGTCACCCCCACTCGTAATTTTGCATACTTGTTCTTGTCATAAATGGCTCGTACCAAGGTGGGGATATGTTGGGGTAATGCCTACATGCGTTTGGACGCATTTCATTTTGGTGGAAGAGGTGGACTTACCATTGATTCGCCAGCAAACTGCCCGCAAGTCAGCTGGAGGAAAGGCTCCTCGTAAGCAGCCCTCTACCAAGCAAGCTAAGAAGAGTACCAGTGTAGGTCATCTCAGCCTGTGTAAACGAGTTAACGCGAGCTGGGGGTGATGCGCCCTTGTTCCACAGGCTGCTGCCGGCGGTGTGAAGAAACCTCATCGTTTCCGTCCGGGCACTGTTGCCCTTCGTGAAATCAGGAAGTATCAGAAGTCCACAGAGCGCAAACTTCCCATTATGTGGGTTGTTGGTTATTTGTACTGTTCCATAATCTGACCATTCGGATCCAGTCAGCCTAAGGATTTGGCTCTTGGTGCGTTAACTATTCTAAGATTGCTTATTCTCATATGTCCCACTAGCTCGACGATTGCGCGGGGAGAGGACTGCCTGAGGACACCATGGGACGCGCGCTTTGGTTCATTGTTTTTGTTGTCTCGGTTTGTATATTAAACCATTCCTATAGTACTTGTGCAATTGAATCTGTCACGAATCTAACTTTTGTTGCTTCATCAGCTTTGAGGCTGAGCAGAGGACCTGATTAGAACTTGTTACGTGATTCGTTGCAGTGGCAATCGACCCAGTGGGGGAGCGGTACCTGCGATGAGCTTTGACAGTGATGATCTTAATGGTCGGTCTGGTGATGTGAGTATAAGTCATCGTATTTTGTACCTGACTGATATATCTATCGCAGAAAAAGTTCCTGGCAGATGGGGTACAATCGACTGTCTATCGGGAGCCGGATGCTTCAGGATCTAGCAATCGGGACGGTTGGATAGCTGTTAAGATTGTCTCATTCCATGCGCAGAACTCCGTTCGACCTCATAACATCGTGCGAGAGCATCAGTTCCTGGCAGGGTTAGATCATCCTAATGTATGTTGTTATCGTTCAGGATGTGTCGTGCCCTGACACGAAGTCACCATAGATCATCCGTCCTTTCGATTTCTACAGGAATGATGACTTGCAGCAATACGAGCTCCGCATGCCAATCATCCCTCTTTCCCTCGATGTACTACTTGACTCACCCCATTTCATTCCATCTGCTCCTGTTGTGGACATCCCACTTCCAGAACCGCCTTTCATCTCAATTTCGTCCGGAAAGCAAGACACCTTCATAATTCTTGCGAAGTCTATTATGTTCCAACTTGTTTCAGCCATCGCTTATTTACATGGTCTTGAACCCGCCATTGCTCATCGAGACATCAAGCCTGGAAATGTACTTATTGACGACACCGGCTGTATCAAGCTCATCGACTTTGGCATTGCGTGGGATGGAGAATTGCGCCACCTCGGGGTTAACTTGCATGGGAATAAGCATGATTCTCCATATCAACACAAGGCCGAGACTGCAGACTCGATGTGCTGCCAAGTTGGGAGTAGGTGCGTGAAGCGGGCTTCGGTTTTTCGTCTGACAATGAATGAATGGATGAACGATTCCGCCACTAGTGTTCATCGCGCTCCCGAACTCTTGTTTTCCCCTGATACATATAATGCTCCCGCGACAGATCTCTGGAGTCTAGGCGTCACCTTCGCTGAATTTTTCACTCCTCTCCGCCTTATAATTGAGGTTGACTGGGATGACGAAGACGAAACTAGCAACCGGGGTGATGGAGACGGCACTCTAGAGAAGTGTTCCTCTCTCATTATCCCTGAAAGACCTATCCCTAGTCAATCTACTCACTGGTGCCGAGAATCGTTATTTGATGGCTCCCGTGGCGAGCTTGGTCTTATTTGGAGCATTTTCCGAATACGCGGCACGCCGAATCCGACTACTTGGCCGGTAGGTACTTCGGTTGCCTAAATTGCCCATAATTGCCCTTCACACCCTCCCTGTCCGATCAGGACCTTGAAAAACTTCCTAGTGCTAAGGCGATGGCCTTTCGGGAGACGCAGCCAATCGAACTCGCTTCAGTTCTACCAAACCTTCCTGAGCCAACTGATAGCAGGTCGTTCATACTGGACATGCTTGAGCGTCTCTTGGTATATGATGGATCATCGAGGATAACTGCTCGCGACCTGCTATCCCATCCCTTTTTGGCCAACACAACAGTCCCGTTGTTGTTCCCTGCGGACTACATGAGTGCAACTTCTCATCCAGATGCGTCCTATGTTAGGGATGGGATGTCAATGAGAGATATTTTGCAGCCCGGAATCGAATCGGCTTGGGAGGCCATGGGATTGTGACAGGCTTCAGTAATTGTCTACCATCTGACTCCATTGTAAGGGAAATACATCGACTTATAGCCTTTTCTGGGGCAGGTGTCCTGCGATCCTTGATCAGCCCGCGCTCTAGTGAGAACATCCAAACGATCGCTAGCCTAAGACAGCTTTTTAGCTACGAGTTACTTCGCTCCAAGCTCTGCGATTCTGGAATGGCAAGATGAGCTTGCGCAACCCCGGGCCGACCTAGTTCTTAGAGCCTTGAGCAGATTCTCAACTGTTGATTTCGCCGGCGGGCTGAACAGTCAAGCATACGTTGATATCATGCACAGGAACTGATGATCAGATGAACCGAGAGCGGGCCGTATGGGGGATCAACCTGGGTGGGTTGACAGTAAAGCTAGTAGTTATGAAATGATTGCTTTTGCTGAGTCTATCAGTGTATCCAACGGATTTGACCCTAAATGCTGGCCCCTATCATCCGATCCAGGTTCGTGCGCCAGCTCGTAGAGCAACTATGCATGAAATTCCATCAAAGTTGGGTGAACCTAGGACACTTGACGCACGACTAAGCGCCTGCGTATCTAGCTATCTCAGTCCCGTTGTACGTGAACTAGAATTGATATTCAGCTGGCGGTGTTCCCGCTGGTGTACAAATATATATTAGCTACAATTGTTTAGACACAAGAACTTAGACTCACCTCAGCCCCGCTGTAGGTGAACCGAGGAGAAGCCGTAACCAAGCCCTACAGCCAAGCGCACTACGAATGCGCGAGCAATCCAAAGAAGGAAATCATAGACACTGCAAAACTCAACATCAACAAACGTGAGTTGGCCACAGCGCATATTCCAGGAAATCTAACATATTTGGAACCGTTCTAAGAAAGAAAAATCTCAAACCCCCCCCCCCAAAAAAAAAAAATACCGATGCAAAACGAAAATCGATTCACGTGCTTCGGTGTCAAATTACCAAATTTGTTCCAATTAATTCAACAACTACACCTTTGAGCCATTGTCCAAGGACTCCAGCCTCTCTCCATAGCCCACAAGTCTCCCTTACGAGGAGACATTTGCCATAATTACGCATGAGCAGCGTAAATGGTGCAGCCACAGCAAGATTGGCTCGATTCAGCGGTGTTGAGAGCGAGAATCGATATGAGAATGTGTGCCAGTCGCAACTGCTTCAGTCTTTGTGGCGGACATTGACCCGATATCTACAGCTTAAGAAAGACCGGGAGGCGGCGAGGGCAAAGGCTATCAGGGATGGACTGATACCTGATCCAAATCGTAAGACGCGGTTAGAGGAAGCCTTCAACCTCGTTGGCACATGTGAAGATATGTGCCCAGAATTTGAACGGGAACAACGAGAGTATCAGCGTGCAGTCGATAAATGGGAACTGGTACGTTGCATGCATCAGACAATGTTTCGTTCCAGAAATAGCATAATTTGAAGAACCCTGTGACGAGAAGGATTGACCCCAAACGCGCTGTTAAAACGTTCCACCGCCCCGCTGCTGGCGACGAAACACCATTGCCCTCGGATGTTCGCCCACCCCATGTACTAAAAGTGAGTGTGTACTATAGCTTTGATTGGTGCATAATTGATATTCTTTAGATGACACTGGACTATTTGATCCATGACCTTTTGGAGTCCAACTCTCTCGAAGCGACACATCATTTTCTTCGCGATCGAACCCGCTCAATAAGGCAGGATTTCACGCTACAGCATGAGAATGGCCTAATTGCAATCGAATGCCATGAAAGAATAGCTCGATTGCACATTCTTTCCTTGCATGAGATGCGCGGTGTACAAGACTTTACCGAGCACATGGAGATGGAACAATTAAGAAAAGGTATTTTATTAGCTCAGTGATGTACACGTTATTTCAGTGCACCCTTTATAGTTTTGCAATCAATTGTTGAATTCTACGACGATTCCCGCTATTCCAACACACTCCCGCCAAATGAACCTGAGTTCCGCGCATATCATCTTCTAGCACATATTCGTGACCCCGATGTAGCACGCCAGTTAGAACGACAACCTGCCCACATCTTAGACTCTCCGATTGTTCAAGTCGCGTTAGATTTACGATCGTTGGCCCAGCGGAACAACATAACGAGTTCACGGCGTGCAGCTAACACAGAGGCCACGCAGAACTTTTTTTCGAGATTATTTGCTACAATTAGGCAGCCGCAAGTGTCATTCATGATGGCTTGTTTAATGGAGTATCACTTTGCAGATATCCGCAAGGGTGCCTTGAAAGCTATGAAGTCCTCATTCCGCGAAGCACACAAGGCCTTCCCTATCGGCACCTTGACTGAGATGCTAGGTTTTGATGATGAGACTCAAACCGCGTCTTTTGCCTCTGCTTGCAGACTTGAGTTAGTGCTAGATCCTGCATCTGCAATGCCTGTGGGCGTCAAACTTCATTCGAAGGCGCTCTTTGACGGTAAGCTCTCTGCTAGGGCTTTAGGTTGCATCTGACCAGCAATTTAGACCTCGTTGCGATTGAAACTACAAAATCTACAACTGTCGTTACTTCCAAACGCCAAGGGTATTCCGACTCTGACATTGTTGACGGGAAGCTGTTAATCGTGAACAGAGAATGCCATACGCCAGTGCCACCTCCCACTTCACCCTTATCGCGGAAATCATCCATTGTTAAGCATTCCAACGATACACCAACCTCCCTCGTCCCTCCCCAATCTTCTGCTTTCATACCAGCTTCACGCGATTCTGCGAGCACATCCCAGTCACTTCTATCCGATGGCATCCAGAGGCGATCCTCAATGGTCCAGAGGAACATCCCTCCTGTATTTGCCAGCGGACTCTCCAAGCCGTCAATTCTTAATACAAATTTCACCCGATCCCCCTCATCATCCCCTTTGTCATCCCCTTTGAAACTAACTACCGACGCCTTTTTATCTCCCGGCCCCCAAGCTCAAGCCATGCAGTCCCATGTTTCAGCACCTGCTCATCCTTCACGTCTCACTTTATCCCCTGTCTCCACCCCCCCCACGAGGAAGCGAAGTTCCTTATTCAGGTCAAATTCCGTACTTATTGGTATCACGGACTCTCCTATTAATCCGCAGTCCCCCATTCCATTACCCACGGCTGATAAGTCTCCACAGTTGCAAGGCGAGATTTTTGTTGAGGAGCGCTACGAGGACTCCCCGATTGACGCCGAGATCGACACACTCAGTGAAATGACGCTCTTGATGATGACGACTGCATGGGCAGCTATGGAAGTGAGAAATGCCATAGCTGACCAGAAGCTGCGCATGTCGACCCTTCAACATGCGTTGTCGTGTTGGATAAGGAGGACGGCGGAGCTCGTTCACTCCCACAACCACACCCAGAGAGGACGCGCCGCCCTTCGAGAAATGATGCGAAATGCAAATTGGGAGCTGAGAGATGGAGATGTATCCCCAACTCGGGCTCGGTCTTCCCTGCCTACGCCATTGATCCAACAACCTGTAATCGATGATCAATATGCAGCGTCGTTAGCCTTGGTTCGTTGACTACCCCTAGTGCAATGAGATTCATTCTTATCCGTCCTAGTCTGATGCCCGTAGAACGAAACTCTGGAGTCGTGGTTCCTTTGTTACTATCATCAAGAACCACCTCAAACTGACATCCCCCGTGGATGCTCGCACCTGCCATATATGGCTTAGGACAGCCAGTGGTGAAGTCCTAGACTCCACAGCCCAATGGTTGAGGAGAAAACTCGATATACATGGTCACGGTCATGATAGACGTCTGAAAGGTCTCGCCGTTAGATCCATTGGATCTACTAACCCATCCGCAGTTGGTGGTCGAGTGCGCTCTCACCTTTATGCCGCTTAATTCACCAAGTGCTGAATTATTTACGGAATAGAACTCCCCAAGCAACCCCGCAATCATCATTTTCGAAGTTTCGCGTTCGTTTGGCACTGTCACAGCTTCTGAAATGTGGGTTTGCAGTGCGGTTTGCAGTGCGAAACCGTCATCGAATCCTTCATTTTGACGTCTCAATCCTAGGGCCTCAAATTGGCGGTCGGAATTGCCTCGCCTTCTGGAAACTATCAACACGATCCTCCCTGGCTTTCAGCATATGTCAGCACTGATCCTAGTCTTCTGGGTGCCGAAGGGTTCCGATCCCACCGTGTTCCGGTCACAAGCTCGGGCTGCAGTAAGCACCGTTACTTGTTGTATAGGCAACTTCTCAATCTGATTTACAGGTAGCAGATTCCATGACTCAGCAAGCCATTGTACAAAAGGTTAGAGCGTGGTGCTTGCTTGCGCTGGCGTCGGCAGCTTCCGCCGATTCTCAGTTCGAGGATTGCATCGGGTCACTGGAATTCGATGCCCATGTCCAGCAACTCCCGATCCCCAACATTGAGGGTGTGTATGCAGTTGTCCTAATGTCCCTGCATTTCTGATATCAAGTTCATGTAGATGTAATCGATCCATTCTTTGGGGCTTGGAATGCCGCTCTTAATTCGGGCATGTCTAAGATTGTGCGTGATAATGAAGGTCGGAAGACGTTGCATTTTCTCAATCCCACACAAGGCTCCTAATTCCGTCCCTAGTATCACCGAAAGGTTTCGCAATTTTATTCGACTACGCGATAACGGCCTTGAATGAGCTTGTCCAAGTGTCGTGGAAAATCAGGTTCGGTACGCCGCCCGAGATCGCCCTACAAGTGCCATCACTCCATCGAAAATTGGAAAGGCATAACCCAGAGTAAGTTGTCAAAAAGGTCACATGTGAGGAAAAGCTAGAGATTGATTCCATTGTTGGTTCTACTGCGTGGAGTAGCGGATTGTATTCCCTCTTGTTGGAATACTTCCATTTGCCAGCGTTGGAAGCCTACCCTGTCGTGGAATCATTTACTGCGGAGTTGAAGCATCACGCGCACTACCCTCCACGTGAGCATTCATTCCATTGCCACACGATCGCCGAAGTTCATTCGGCTATTGGCAATTCTTTAAGCTCGTGCTGATCCCACATTTCACATTTGATATAGCGGTGCTCTTGAGCAGTGTGCTACGACGGTTGGGGGACGCTGTGGTGTTAGAAGTCCTGTTGAACGCTGAGATGGCCGAGGACACAGTCACTTTGCTGAACCGGGGTGATAATCCCACTGAGGAGACAGAACAAGCGCTGATGAAGTTCAAGAATGATCTCGACACCAGGACCAGGCAGATACCGCGGGCAACAGAATCCGATTGGGAGCGTGCTACTGACGTGCGTTCAACAGACCAAAGCGCCAGTGAGATTGGGCGAAAGAGGGCACTCGGAAAGAACCAGGATTAACGTGAGATTGCCTGTTTTAGCCTATCTTCAACTCAGTTTCAATGAAGCTTATTGTCATTCATATTCATTTTCTTAGGCGCCAGGGCAGCCCTGACGTCAAGCGCTCCCGACCAGATCTCAACCGAGGAGGTCCAGTTCGGTCACCTGTAAGCCCACTTGCATTGCTTAAGACGGTGCAGGAAGTGCGGGCACGACATTTTCCAGCTAGGGCATCTGCAAAACCGTGACCTATCTGCTATCTGCTGCGCATGCAAATAATATATTTTTCCATCTTCATTTCGAACACATGTCATTTTAGCATAGCTATCGCTGTGTACTTTTGGATAATGCCGTGCTCCATTCATTTTCTCTTCCGAATGTCCATGAACCTAAGGGATTGCCCGTAGGATGCGGTGTTGGTTCCCATCAGACATTTTCTGGTTGGCGTTTGTGAGATGGAAAGACTAGCCGGCCGGCTGTGAGCCCTTCGGTTCCCTTTTAGCTTGCTTTTGGGCTGGTAATGAATTCTGATGCACTTTTAGGGTTTGGCAAGAGATTTGCGAGCTTTCGTCCTAATTGCTCTTTTACACCTCTCCCATGGCGACAATTGATGATCATTTACTCAGGGTGCGCTTACTCCTAGCGCGCGTCAATCCATCCGCAGCCTTCCGCTCGCCCGACAACTCCATTCTTAGGCGAGCTTTATGGGATCTTTATTCTATTCTTGAGGGACCTCTCCAGAAAGAGATGTACGAGATTTGGAAGCTTTGTAATGCACCTGCCAAGTTTTCTCAAGGCCTCGCTCGTTTGTCTGCCTTTCTGGAGGCACATCCATCATCTTCTCCGTCTGGACCAACATCCATGGCCCTCGCGCCATCAGCCGGTGATCATCTCGCATCTTTGGGCGCTCAGTCCTCGTCTCTGCCTGAAAACACTACCGCAGCACCGGTTTCCAGGGAAGAATTCCTGCCATCACGCTCCCCGATAGTGTCGAGACATCCAGACTCGCTCACCGTCTCGCTTCGACGTGGTGAATCTCCTACAAATGGCTTACGCCGTTTACTCCGTAACGAGCGTTTATCACAGATAGGGGATTATCCAGGTAAGTTCCGCGTTTTCTTTGGCTTATTGTTTCATTTGTAGCGTGTTATATTGAGGCGCGAACAACTAAAGGATCAGAACCGATATCCTTGACCATGTCGCTCCCAATCCAGGCCGACCTTCCCGCTGCCGAAGGCGACGAGAACCAATCAATGTTTCATCAACGTCCGCGTGCCATTACATCTGCAGCGGTGCATGGCATTCTCTCAGATTTGCCCGCGATAGAGCACGTTCCTACTGGCGCCCCCTGGGAGGTTCGCCGGCCGCAGGGCCGATTTGAGCCGCATGTTTCTCAACCGCCCGCTGTGCGCGAGACTTCTCTTCCGAATGTGTATTCTCTTCAAGCATTTCAGTCCCACCCTCTATCATCGACTCTGACTGGTGCAACTACAGGGGGATCTCAATTGGTGCCTCCCCGGAACAACCACCCCGACTACGTCGAACCGTGCCCGCACAGGGATCCAGCTCGACACGTCGTAAGCCAGGAATCTTGTAACCTTCAATATTGGTGCACTGATCGGCAAGCATCCTAGCACAACGCCCAGGGTTTATTTCATCAGGCTCGTCTCCCTTGCCGATAGGTGCTCCACCGCTGAGGTCCCAATCATCCCAAAAAGCAAGTCGCTCGCCATTCCCTCAGGTGCTGTCACGAGCCTTCTCTGAGCCGCCTCCGCAGCAGTCGGGACTGACCCACGTCGGGCAGTTGGCGCATCCAGATGCGATGGGCCGTTATACTCATTCCGAAAGTGAGCGACATATGTTTCAACAGACGGCCAGCTCCAACAGAGGCGTGCCTGTTAGCCTCCCGAATGTGGCGGCCAACCTCCCTTTGTGTTCCATGCACCCACAGCAGCGTTCAGATGACCCAGGTAGTTTGAGCAAGACTGTCTCGTCGGCATCTACATCACCAAGTTCAGCATCAAAATATTGGACCCCATCGGAGCACCCCCACTACAACTCGTTTCCAGCTGCCAGTTTGCTCTCCCCTGCCTCCACTAGAGTCACAGTCGACATCGAGCCACCCCAATTCCTTCGTTCAGCGCCTCTCGCTCCCCATGCAGACCCGGCGCTCCAAACAGCAATAATGCCGTCTTCAGCTAGATCTGAGTTATTTCGTGCCCTCTCAATTGAGGGGGTGGATCCTTCTCTCGAGGCTTCTCAAAGCCCGTTAGGACCAATTGGTAGTCCGTTTATCCCTCCAGCCCCTATCGAACGCCGACCAATGGAGCGTGAGACGTTCCGTCAGCGGATTCCATACTCTTCCCAACTGCCTGCAACTACGACTCCATCATATCATTCGTCTTTAATACAACGCGCTGAGGGCGACCCTGATGCTCACCGGTATCCAAGCCCTGGGGATTTGACGTCAAGCGGCCGGTTTGCTGGCGCCACTGGGTCCTCCACTCCCTCGCTGTCGAGGCCTCTCTCTTTTGCCCCACCAGTCTCCTCTGTCGATCCATTCCAGCTGGAAGCTATTGGACATTTGAATGAGGCCATGACCCAACTTGAACTGCAGGACGTAGCCACAGGTTATGCCGAGTTTGTGAAAAATGATAATGACAAGGGAGCCGCATGAGAGATACCCGGCAGGTCCATTTTGATGTAGCAAATCTTCAAACATTTACAGTCATGAGCCTCGTAATCTAAGGCTTGTTTCGATTATCCGATCAAATTAAGGTATTGATTCTCACGTCTTCGGGTCGTCACCGGGTTGCACAAGAGCTTCGTATCGTGGATTGCATGTGTTCAGCCGTAGAATACAATATTAGACTAGGACTCCCTATCTGTTCTGTGCATCAGTCCGACAATCGCGTGCCAGTATGAGCTTGCGTCGTCCCGAGTTCGAGGGTGCCAATGGTCTCCGTGTCGAAGTTCCTTGCCGCGAGAGTGCCTATGGCCATCGAGCTCCAAAGCCACACTCAAAATACAGAGGAATGCTGTTGTTGCGCTCTGGCTATTGGTCAATTCACTCGAGCAGCAGGTAATATATGTTTTATTCCTATTTATCCGAACTCGTCGCTGCTCCACTCTTCACTCCTTTGTAAGCGTTCGATTATTATGTAATGGTGTTGTCTTATATTGTTATGACAGCCGAATATGTGGTCAAGAACGATAATTTTAATGGCGGCGTGGGAAAGGGCGTTGCCCGATGCAAAGCTACTCTGTATGTAACTCGGGTCCTCAACCTCAAATGGGCTTCATTTCCCACAATTATCCCGTCCGCCATTTCTTGCCCATCTCCTTGTTTTCAACACGTTATGCAATGTTTAGAGGGTACCAAAAGATTTCATTCTCTCACCCAAAATACCTACATAAGGAAAATAAAAAAGCGGGGAACTTGCCGGTCAGGCGGTCTCCGCCAGCAATATTGAAAAAAGGTACAAATTACAGCCGAAGCACTGAGGCTCTGGGCCTGAGCGGCTTTACGCTGTGCCGCGGGAGGATCCGGCCGGCTCATTGTGATGCCAGGCGCTTAAGAACTTCAATCTCTGCAGGTTTACATCGACAATGTCACAGCCAGCCCTGTCCGCTGTAGCGTCTCTTGCAACTCAAAGGGTGAATGCCTCCGCACGGCCTACGAGAAACGATGATCTTAAACTGCGCACGGCAATGTGGGATCTTCATAACCAAGTCCCCAACAACGCAGAGATTTTCGATATCTGGCAGGCGATGAACTCAGCGAAACGAGATGCCACGAAGTTTGAGCAGGCCTTTGCACGTTTGCTGAAGTTTTTGCAGTCTTCCGGCGTACCCAATATCACAACGTCGCTTTCTCCCAAAACTGTTGAGGCATTTTATGGTGTTAGGACGAGCTCAGGGCAGCAGGAGCGTGCGGTTAATATGAACTCTAGTTCTCGTTCCGCGGTTATGGCTTCTGGTCCAAGGGTCTCCCTGCCCCCCCAGCGTAGTCCCCTCGCTGAAAGTCCACCGGTGGTTTCAGGTATAAGGAAGCAAATTTGCCCATTTATCCGTCGCAATCTGATACGTTTCTGCAGCGAATGCAGTGGCTCAGCCCATTGTGTCTCAAGAAGAATATCTTTTCGAGAGGACTAATCCTGCGGAATTGAGCGATCAAGCGCCTGAGGCTGATGCCTTACCGCCATACATTCCGATTCCTGTAGAGCCCTCTCACTCAGTCGATGACCGTCTAATGGCTGGGGCACAGGGTTCTTCTCCACTTGGCAATCATATAGTTGATGTTTCCGATAATCCTTATACCTCTTCTTCTGGTCTCAACATTGCCGCATCCAACTCTAATCCCGCTGATCAGTCACCTCCCAATCAACACCTTGAATTGGGTGATTCTGCACCACCCGGATACCAGTTGCTACCAGAAGTTGGAGAGACGTCCCACACGAGACGTCCATCCGAAGGTGGAATTCACGCCACATATAGGCAAGAATCCATCTCGGTGGCGATGACCGCGACACCAGCGCGATCTGCTTCATCGGGTCCGACGAGTTCTGGGACTGTTTCTGAGCGGGTCGTTAGCCCAAATCGGCTGTCTCATCCCGGACAGTCATCGCCTCGGCCTAATCCGACCATCCATGCAGAGCCTTTGATCTCCTCTTCAGGACGCAGCTCTCTTCCAAATGGCTCGAATTCTGTCCAAAGTCCCGTGCGAGGAGCTGCGAGCTTCTATGCAAATACTGGGTCTCATAGCTCCGTTCTCTTTCAGTCACATCAGGGTTTGGTTCCTAGCTTTGAAATGCCTGGAGGAACTACTGGGAACCGCCCCCCGCACCACCCTTCAGGCACCATATCGGGTTCGTCCCAAGCCCAAACTATTCAGGCAGCAGGGTCCCAGCATGCTCCCGTCTCTTCAAATCATGTAACCCAGAATCATAGCCAGCCGGTATCGCCTCACTCGGGCTATCAAAACGGAGCGATGCGATCTGCTGCTCACCCCGGAGGCGCTGTATCTGGTACTGCATTTACAACTGCCACTCTCCCGAACCAGCCTGCAATCTCAAATGTATCTTCTCCATCCATTCTGACCCCTACTGCTGGGGACAGTGGCCTTTCTCATCCTTCGTTGCCTCATCATTCCAGCACCTTGCCTCCGTCCTTGGATTTGAACCAGATTCCAACTCATACTCCATCGGCATTGCCACAGTCAGCGCAGACGCAAGGCATGGTGCCTCAGCATGCGGCAGCGCCAGCAGCCATGAACGTCCGGCAACCCCCCCATACTGCGCAGGCCCGTATGCCCCCCCATCATGCAAATTCGATGCCCGCGCCAACCCAAGCGAGCCAAACTAGCTATCAGAGTCTTGGTGGACAGCCAGGAAGCTATCAAACCCCTCAATATGCTTCACGTAAGGATATAGTTTTTTTTGTTCGTTTGTGACTATTGGCTGACTGAGAGCGATAGCTTCTGCTATAAATATGGGCCCACAAAATACTGCAGCCTCCGGAAGCCCATTATCATATAGCACAACAACTCAACAAACATCTTCGACCTTGTCCCCTGCTTCTCCCAGCTTTTCGACTCATTCCGAACCATTGGCTCAGCACCAGAATATGTATTCTGGTGGGGCCCCCCACAGTGCACCGATGCATCTCGGTGCGCCTGGTAGTACAAGTCCTAACAATGCTTCAGCAGCCCATCCTCAACCATTCTCTGCTCCACCAGGGTCTCAAAATCTGCCTCTCCCTGAGGTGCAGTCCAGCCACCCTCCCTCGGCACAGGGACAAGCTGCGTCATATTATCAAGGGCATCCTAGTCTGAACACATCTCAAAACCCGTTAACATTTGGGACTAACCGCCCTCCTGGAGTGTCCTCACCTCCTTCCGCCATTCCTAACAATAATGTGCACCCAAACATCCCAGCTCCTTCCCAAGCACAGAACTATCTGAATTCGGTCGAGGGTGGTTCATTTTACCATCAAGGGCCCGCATATTCTACTACCCCCAACACTGGTGCAATAGGTAACCATGCCCCACACCATTCGAATACATATCCGGGCCCCCAGCAAACGCCGCAGTCAATGTATTCGAATGGAGCCGTGTTCCCTCCCACAGCTCCGCATTTGCCGCAGGGTGCTGCCTACCCATCTGCGCAAAACCAGCAACCCATTAATAAACCGCCGGTGTCCAGTCAAGTTAACTCTCAGGCACAGCCGAGCTCGGGCTATATGCCCAACAATGCGGCATCTCCTCAACAGTCCGGACAAGGAGGCCCATCGATTGGTCAGATCCTTCAAACAGCGTACGGCGCTTACAACAAATATCATCAGCAGGCGCAGCCGAACTCGGGCTATAAGCCCAACAATGCGGCACCCTCTGGACAAGGAGGGGCCGCATCGGCTATTCAGCTCCTTCAAACAGCGTACGGCGTTTACAACAAATATCAGCAGCAGGCGCAGCCGAACTCGGGCTATAAGCCCAACAATGCGGCATCCTCTGGACAAGGAGGGGCCGCATCGGCTATTCAGCTCCTTCAAACAGCGTACGGCGTCTACAACAAGCATCAGCAGCAGCAGCAGCATCAGCACCAACAGCAACAACAACATCACCAGCACCAGCACCAGCAGCACTATCAGCATCATAGCAATCACAGCAACAATAATGGCGACAATTCCGGCGGATCAGGCACCGATGCCTTCGGCTATGGGCTTTATGGCGACCCCTCTCAGATCCAACTCGACGACCAAAATCAGGGGACTACCGACCAGATGACTGATATGTTTAACCAGATGAATCTTGGGGGCGACCCGAATGGCGGAACTGACTACTCATTTGATTTCAATGCTTCTTTCACGGACAACTTCGACTTTGGAGGCATGATGCAGAATTTCTCAGATTTCTCATCCAACGTCGACTTTTCGGGAGGTGGGCTATTCGACGGCTCGGATTCTTATTAATTTTCGGAATTTCATTGGCAACAATCGGTCTTGGGGTGTATCAGTGTTAAAAAAAACTTTTGTACAACATGGTGTCTGTATGGGGACTGCAAGATGTATTGGGAATAATTTGTCTGAGAGCCAGCATGCTATTCAGAGTGACTGGTAATATGTATTACGCCCCAAAATCATGCAATAGATTGCTGCGCCAGGATGTCAGCAGGCTGTGTGATCAAAGGGGTCCCAATCACTTACTTGCATAGAGCTTTGAGCTCCTTCAGCTTGTCCACATACACAGAAGAGGAAGTAAGGCCGGCCGCCGCATCTCGTCGAACGAAGTCAAGACCATCGACGCTGGCCTCATTCAGCTTCAAGGAAGCATGTCGAAGGCCGAGGGCATACGCCTCGAGATCTTCACGTGCAGTGTCCCTTTGGGGGATGATGGGGACCGGATCCGCACTACCTGAGGGCCGTGGTTGCGGAAATCCGGGTGGGGGAGACATAGCACGCTCTGCATATCCTACAGGAATGCATCTGAGCCCCCAACCGTGTGGCCACACAATTATCTACGCACCTCTCACAAAGTTTGGCTCTGCAATGACGGCCAATGGAGCGTACAACGATGAATCTCCGAATTTCTTGCTCCAGTCATACGAAATCACCTCATGGCTCAGATGATATGAAAACTCGCGAGCAGTGGCTCGGTGGGCGGCGATGATCGTGATTTCATGGTTGTGGTCGATCTCGACTCTTACGTCCACGGTATTGGCGCCTCCAATACCGGAACCCTTCGGTGCGGGGGGTATGTCATTGATATCAAGAACGGTGAGAAGAGTATTATCCGCTGCTTTTGCCCGGTCGCCCTCGTACACCTTTATAATGAATCGTGTCTGACCATCGAGACCGGTTGCGAACGATTTCGTGCTTTTGGTGGGTATTGTTATATTTCGGGGAATGATTGGCGTAAAAGCTCCGCCAAGGGTTTCAACTCTAGATTCCGGTATCAAGAGAAGTGACTGAAAAGAATATAGGATCTGCTCACCCGATGGCGGTGTTGGCGACCTCCAAGGCTAAGAATTGCTCAGTCGGAGCATCGTCTTGGGGCTCATCAGGGGCTGGTCCACTTAGGATGGATGCACCCAAAGAAGCAAGCTGAGGAGTGTCTTGCAGCTTCTCTGCGTCGCGCCCGAACCAACCAGATACTTTATCCACCACGGCGGGCATTTTCGACGACCCACCAATCAGAAGAACCTTTAGAATGTCCTTCTTTTCCAACTTGGCCCCTTTTAGAGCTGAGTCGAAGGTGTCCGTCATGGAAACAAACAGATCAGTGCATATTGTTTCCAGCTTATTTCTTGAAATGTCCGACTGATAGTCAAAACCCCCAGGTAGTGCGTCGATTTCGACCGATGTGACCAGTTGCGATGAGAGTTCTCGTTTGGCACGCTCGCATGCACTACGCAAACGCCGTAGGGATGGTTGGTCCTGGCGGAGATCTGAAAATGTTCAGCTGAGTGTCCTAAGAACTAACTCCACACCTACCTATCCCAAGTTTCCGATGAATGTCGCCAAGAAGCATATCCAGGAGGCGCAGATCAATCATATCCCCCCCAATTTCAGGGTTGCCTTTTACACTTTTGAATTCCGCGATTCCTTCCCATATGTTGGCAATGGCTACCTGCAGTGAGCCCGCTCCGAAGTCAACAAGGGCGACGTTGTAGTCGTCTTGGCCTGCGGCCCGATGCTGGAATGCGTATGCGGTGAGAATGGCGCTTGCTTCGTAAGGCAACCGCAGAATATTGAGATTCGCTGCCTTCACTGCACGTTTGAGGGCCTCCCGCTGCGCTGTCCTGTAATATACGGGGATAGTGACGACGGCGTTTGACACTGGCTTTCGCAAGTAGAGCTCGGCGGATCGCTTGAATTCAGCGAAAAGCCTGGTGGCGGCTTCTTCAAGTGACTAGACAGATGCTGAAGGGAAACTGATGCAGGAGCTAATAGACGTGGCTTACTATCAATGGGGTCGGGGTGCCATCCCTTTGCTGATACGTCAGCTTGATGAATGGGATATTCCCGTTATCAACAATTTTGTACTGGATTGCAGTGGCGAAACTGTTGACTAGTGGGTCATTGAACTTTCTCCCAAGGATTGTCTTCAACGACGTCACACTAGAGAAGGCTATCGTCAACAAACAGGTAACGATACGAAATATCCACGACTGACGTGTTAGTTGGGTTCGTAGAGGCAGTATCTTTGGCAGAATCGCCTGCGTCCGATAGATGGAATGAGAAGAGATAACATGGGCGATTGGGAATGGCATACCAACAACAATTTTGCTCAGAGAGTCCCAACTAACAAAGGAGGCTGTCCTGTTATTCCCGTATTCGTTCGGGATGATCTCTAGCGCGATCGATGAGCCCCGTGCGTCTGCCGACGTGACGGTCGATGTAGTCACCTGGTTTGCCGCCTCTGAAAATCGATATCGCGCTAGTTGATGTCCCTAATTAATGGTGGAGGAGGGGTCTATGCTCAGGATGACTTCGGTGAATAATGAGCAGGAACCAACGGACCGAAATCAATACCGATGGACGCCATGGTTCTTCAACGACTGTCTTTCGTCCAACCTAATATTTCAAAAAAAGAACGCCAAACTCGGCAAAACACACGCAATAGGGAAAATGCAACGCGTTGGTGGTGCTTCAGGCCCATGGTACATATGGAGACTGCCGTGTCCGCGCTTACTGTGTTCATTCAATCTACGGCGTTCATCGGTCTCGCTCAAAGAGTAGGAGGGCAACATGCCACTATGGAATCCAGTCAGAACTAAAGTGAGGAAAGGATGACACCTTGTGATCACATTGCGGTCTCAAGATAAATTCAATGCAGGTGCACCTCCGGTGAGCAGTCATTGTGTTGGGCTCGGCGCTCCTTTGCCATTTCGTCCGAGCTGGAAGTGAATGGGGATCGGTCCGCACAGGATGGCAATTCAGCGCCTTCAAACCCTCAAAGAGAAGAAAGAGGCACTAGCTAAGGCAAGTTCATCCCCTGGGTGACGATCAAGGGTGGTCACCTCTAAACCAAGGTTGCTCGAAGGGATATCGCCACGCTCATCGAGCGCAAAAAGCTCGAGACTGCTCGAATTAAAGTGGAAACAATCATCCATGACGATACCTACATCGAACTTTTGGAGGTTCTAGAGTTATATTCAGAAATCTTATTAGCGCGGTTCGGGCTCTTGGAAAATGGCAGGTGAGAGTTGATATGTCCCCGGTCAATTGGGGGGTATTAACGCATACACGGATAGTGGTTTTCGGGAGCCCGATCCAAGCATCAGCGAGGTAATCATTGGGATTGTCCATTCTGCCCATCGGACAGAGATTAAAGGTTTGATGATTCAACGTTATGTTGTAGTCTGCTCCACCTATCACTGAATTTAAGAGCTCCATTTCGTGCGAGAATCGCTCATGACCAGGTTTGGAAGGGATTGGTCGGTTAATGTGATGGAAAACAAAGATTCCTGTGTCTCGACAAGAGTGAGTCTTGCTCATCAAGTGGACAGCAACTGCTCATGGGCTTGTGAAGATTACTGGGAAGCTGAAAACAGAGACACCACCTTCATCACTTGTCGATGCATACCTTGGCACCATTGCTGAAGGGTACGGGCTTCCTTGGACGTTTACGGTGCCGCCGAATGCTGCTCCCGGAGCTGAAGCTTTGTCAGACTTGAACCACGATCAACCTCCGGAAATCGTGTTGGGGGCAGTAGCCCGCAATGACCAGAGCTCATCGGATAAAGGCGACCCTTCCGTGAAACCTGCGCGCCATATCTTGCCGAAAGCTTCTACCACAGCAGGTCCAGAGTCAAACAAGTCTACTACTTTCCCCTCGCCTCCAAAGCAACCTCCCCCCTATTCGAGCAGTGTGAAATCTAACGGACGTGGTGATGACGATGGCGATGACAATGATGATCTCTTGAGGCGGTTCGAAGCTTTGAAGACACGTCATTAGCAATTTCTGCATCTACCCCTCCATTCTGTCATGTAATTCTTGTACAATTAACGATTAGCAGTAAGGAGGTTGTGTAGTTAGCATTGGGGACAGACATAGTGATGTCATGAGGGAGCAATTGAATTAATTTCAATCTGGCGCCGACCGGGTCGGGATCCGGGTTAAGCGGTCGGGACTGTGCTTCTTGCTTGCTCTGCACATTATGGACCAGACAATCAGCTCGCTACCCGTTGTTGACCTAGACATATTTTTGAAGGAAATCAACTCCCCTGAAGCCAGGCAGCAAGCACAGAACGTGAGCTCTTTCGCACTCCTTTAGTCCATCTCGGCCGAACTACTTCGTGTTGTTAGACTGCTGATGCGCTGGTACGGTATGGAGCACTTGTAGTGAAGGATTCAAGAGTAACCGAAGCAGACAACGAGCAATTCCTGGATTTGTTGGAGGATTATTTTGCGCAACCTCAGGAGGAATTGAAGTTCGTGCTCTTGTTGTGCAGGAGGAATTGGTTTGTTTACGTTGGTTCCGTTCTCAGGCGAGACGAGCGCCAAGAATATGGGTACCAAGTCGGCGTCACTCTTGAGAACACGGAACGGCCAAAATGTGCTTCGGACGACTCATGCCTCAAAGTCATCGAAAAGCTCGCACCTTCGGAACGTCCACTGGATATTTTAGGGCATAACGCAGACCCCAAATGCCGATTTTTCTGGAAGATGCAAACCTCTCCGCCATACGAGACAAAGTTTCCTTCCCTTAATATGCCCAACGTGGTTCCCCGCCATTTTGCGGATGTTTGGCAAACGAGATTAGAGACTTGGGGAAAAGCCATGAAGCAAGCGTAAGTCGTGACCACACTAACGATGGCGTTCATTATCAATCTTTTGGCAGCGTCGAAGGTGTGGCACAAATGGCAGCTATTGGCTTGGGTCTGGATCAAAACATCTTTACTGACGCGGGAAGATACGGGTGCGAAAATGCACCTGAACAATTTTTTCCACCGTCGTTGAAACAGCCAATGTAGCCCTCATTTATTAGCTCCAACGGCCTCCGATTTGGGTCGCTACGGGGAGAAAGACACCATCCTGGCTGGTTTCCATACAGATTTGAATTTTTTGTGTGTTTTCCATGTTAGACGTTGAATCTGTCTCGACTCTGATACTGAACATCTTTAGAACTATTCATGGTCGGTCCAGGTATCCTGGTCTTCATATTTGGGCGCGCAACACAGGCAATCGAATTGCTGTCAAGGTGGAATCATTTAATTGCAGCATTTCTAGCATCAAATAATCTTTGCCTTAGGTCCCACCAGGGCAGTATTTACTCGTACAGGCTGGGAAGCAGCTGGAGGTGCTTCGTACTCGGGCTCTGTGATCATTGAAGTAGCGGCTCATAAGTTCTTGACAGCACATCACTGGAGGTTTCATCAAAGCTGGCTATCATGAGGTTGTTGTCAACCAAGCAACAATAACGGTGCGATCCAAATGTTCGCATTTTTCTCCGGCCTTGACTCACGGGATGGTGACACTTTCTCACAGGCTGTGGAGCGAACCCGACGGGAACGCCCTGAACGCCCTCTGATACGTATCTCGAGCACTTTCTTCTGGCACCTATCTTCTGATTAGTAAGGGAAAAGTGGCTAATGGCCTGAGTTGAATCTTCTGAACCCGAAACTGCATATTAGTGAACTCGCGCCGATAGAGAGCCTGAAATCCGTTGCAGAATTAGGGGCCAAGGATGAGGAACTCCAGATATATCCACCTATGCTGGTTGGGCAACAAGTCCAGAAGTACGTCCGCTTCCTCGTTTCCTAGGAAATCCGTTCGATCACTGATGGTACAAATCACTCAGCGAGTTGAAGCACATCGCACTATTGGTTCAATAGCCTGGCTTCTTCCCTGGTGTTGACACCTTCCTGGTGACATTCTTTCTATTGGAATAAATTATGCTGTTACACGAATGCGAACAAACATATTACATAAATATACAAGCGAAGGACTCGGAGAGAGGTGAATACTAATAGGCAAACATATAAATTTAGGGATGCTCTCCCATCCACAACTTATGAATGGTAGCCCAATACGTTTTAGGGTCCATTCGCATGTGGTTGACATGAGTGCATTGTTCATTGCGCTTTGCGATGATTGTCTTGACACCAGCCTTCTTGGCGTCTTCGATGTGACTCTCTACGTCTTTCGCAGGTACGAGTTCGTCCAGCGTGGAGTAGAAAAAGACTCTCGGAGCATCTAAAGGGAATAATTTGGGGTCTAGTAGTTGCATGCGCATCTGTTCGAAGTATTGAACCCTAGGGTATTGGTATCCAAACAGGTTAAAGAGTGGTCCGAGAATAATGGCATCGAGGTATGGTAGTTTCACGAGGTAATGGGTGAGTCCAAATGGGATATAGGTGGCTTTGCGGAGCCAAAGATTCTTGATCCGAATAGATAAAGCGAGATACATCACGTTGAAAGAGGGAAGACCAGGGCAAGAGTCGAAGACGAATGATGGACCAGAAGTGGGGGAGGTAGATTCGCATGAGTCGGATGGTGAAAGTCCACAATCTCCGGAAGGAGAGCTGGAAGGGACGTGTTTTTCCAATAATTTTGTCAGTGTTACAAGCTGAAAGCAACCGCTGACGAAGGGAAACCCTTGTCAGTATGAAGTGTGCGAATGTCGCCTCTGCATATGTATCTCACCCGTTGGACATGGAGTGGACTAAAACTCTGGACGACGAGTCCCTGAGACTGTATATCCCGCGTGCGTGAAGTGCATCGACCACAGGCTTGAGGGTACGTCCCTAAAGATCGAAAGGATCTACGCTCTCATGTCGGAAACATGGTTGCAAAACTTACCATTAAGAACTCTGGATACCAGAATGATTTTTGATCGGAACGGACGATAATTTGGTCTGCTCCGGGATATAAGGCATGATAACCCTCAGTATACTTGTAAATATGCTTCAACTCGGCATCCACTAATTCGCGTACCCGGAATTCTGGTGAGCAAAGAGGAGACATAAAGGAATATACGACTAACACCAACTAAACACGAGAATGACCCTGACAAGATCTTTAGATCCCGTGAAGACGTAGAGCGCAATGAGAGACTTACTTTGGGCCTAGGGAAGTGTTCCTAGAAGGGGCTGCGCTGGCTACGGACAGTAGCGCATGCGATCCCATCGGGGTGAAGCGACTTGTTGCTTCTTTTCCAGCATTCATAGTTGGATAGGTACATGATCGAAACATACGCGCGATGTTAAGCACTGTAGCTCGGTGAGCCCCCTTTCCCTGGGTTCAGAATCCCTGAGTTCGAAACAATAGAAAAAAAATGAGGGACAGAGGGTAACGTTCCCCGGAAGCCTGGGAAGAAGTCCCAATAGATTGCCTTGCCTTAATAGTTGCGAGAATACCTTTATTACAGCTAACACGGAAAAAATCTACGCATCTAATTTTAACGCATATATCTGGAGGTCGGCAAACGAAGGGAGATGTCTGAGTGTCGGAAATCGGGAATCGCCGTTGCAACGCGTTACAACGCCATTTCCGTCACAACGCTTGTAACATTCGCTCAAATGTTGCAACGTTTTCAGTGTGTCATAACGTTCCCGACATGCTATAACGTTTCTGGAAGCGTTACCACATCCCAGAGACATTGCAATGCATTCTAACGATTGAGCCAACATCGTAACCCTTGTGCTCAACAGATTGTTGGCACCTTCTTCAATATATGCTCGCGCTTGCAGAATGGTAAACAATTATATGCATTTTGCATGTGGTAGTAGATGAGACATGTACATCTTATGAAGTGAGTTACTAAGAAAAATTGCTGCAATGTCGAACTGCAAATGCCTGTGGCTGTCCAACCTCACTGTCCATGCACAATGCTGGCAACTGGGGGTGCTGAAGTTCATGGCGAACCGGTTTGAACCATGGATGAACCATGAACCAGACCAGCATGTGCCTGAACCATGGTTCGGTTCAGCTCTGGTTCAGGAATGGTTTGGTTCGGGTGCTCCATGATGTTGAGAGTCTGTGAACCAGGTTCGGACTGAACTGCTGAACTGCCAAATGACTGGGCCTCTTGAACTGCTGGGCTGCCAAACCATTCATAAATCAGGTGATGGTATGTCACTTCTGGTTGCCAAGTCCACACCCTGACTCACTATTAGATATGGTGGATTCAGATGATTCCAGAATGGAATCAGAGACTTAGCATGGAAGGACCTTGGCCTCAGCAACTCAGGTGGAGTGCTGTGCCATTGCTGGTTGTCCTGGGGGTCCCTAATTTTGGATCTAGTGAGGGGAAGTCTCTTAGGGGGGAATCAAGTTGATTTTGGACTGAGGCCACAAGTTACTGTAAGAAACCACCTCCGCCTAATGCGGGCATTTAGTGTAATGGTAACACACTCTTGGTACCTATGCAGGGTTCTGCGGTTCGACTCCCAGAATGTCCATATTTTAGCATTTAGGTTCCCAAGACCACGTGTACAAATTCCAACATGGTGGACATTCTACGGAAGTCACCGAGCACACCCAAATCCGGTTGCTGCCACGTGAGATGGGCACGTGAAGTCAAGCATTAAATTAGCCGGCCTGACAAAGTTTCAGGGGGTGTAGCTCAGAGCACTAAGGACCCAAATCCGGCTGCTTCAGACCACATGATGTGGACATGTAGGAGATTAGCAGTAAGTCCGGCCTGAATATGAATTCAGGGGGTGACGGCTCACGGGCTGTTGGAAGCCTGGTGGTTAGGGTCACATGTGGATCACGGGCTCAATCCAATGTGAAGGGGGTGTGTAAGAAACCACCTCCGCCTAATGCGGGCATTTAGTGTAATGGTAACACACTCTTGGTACCTATGCAGGGTTCTGCGGTTTGACTCCCAGAATGTCCATATTTTAGCATTTAGGTTCCCAAGACCACGTGTACAAATTCCAACAGTTACTAAGTACATTGTATATACATATAAAGGAGGGGTCCGGAATCAAAAGGAACAAGGGTAGTCTGGAAGTAGACAAAGGGAGCTGGAAGGGGGAACAACACTGAGGGTCAAGGGTTTGACTCAATGGTGTTTCCCAAAGGAGGAGTGAAGGGCCAATGTAAGGGGTTGGTGTAGGTTCCAACCCCAGTTCTCCTCAATCCTCAGGTCATCAATAAAGTTGAGCTGTATGGAGCTTTAATTATCAATGATGGGGAGGAAAAGGAGTTCTGTTCCTTTTCCCAAATTCCCACATTATTGTATATACACTGTTTATACATGTTTATTATGAGACACATATAGAATGAAGATAGGAATTAAGGGGTGGGGTTACCACTCCTTACAGCCAAGGCCCAAGGAGGAAGGAAGGAGGAAGGGAGTGGGGAATGGCTAGCTGACTGAATAGAAAGAAGCAGCAGCCCAAATAGGAATGAGGGAGAATAGTGGAATTGAATGGGACAATGCAATAGTTGCAAGGTCCAAAGTAAGTCTGGAAAGTCCGAACTTGGAAGTTAAACTCTGGAATATTGGCAAAGGTAAATAAATGGAATTGGATAACCAATACAATGGGTATAAGCAGAGGTGGGGTCAAAGTCCAAGGTTGGAGCTAAGACCAGAGGTTCCAGAGACAGAAACACAAATGGGATTCCAGGGTGGAGGTTGTCAGGGGACGGACCCTGGGTCCCCGTGACCCCTCTCTACAGTCCACAGTCCAACCTGTAAACACAGCCCATCTCAGGGCAGGACTACTGTGGGTAAGAAAGTGAGAAGAAGGTTAACTTCTCACTTTCCCACAGTGGCCCCAATATGGCGAAAACTTCCGGGGATACCCAGAAGTCACATGAAGGTAGGATCTGGGGACTGGAGCATGCGGTGCGGGAAGCATGCTGAAGGAGAGAACGAAGGAAGGTCAGTTGGGAGGTTCAAACGAGATCACCACTGTCAGGGTACCAAGCTGCTCGGACTCTAAGTCGAGGGATCCTGAGCCTTCGCTGGAGCTGAGGCTGAGGGGGACAGGGTCAGTCTCAATGGGGGAACCCGGCAAAGCGGATTGCGATAGGGATTCCAGCTGAGCAGCGAGGGGAAGTGAGATCATATCATTGTATATACTATGTACAACATACCTGAGCAGCGAGGGGAAGTGAGAGAAGAAAGTTATCTTCCTCACTCGCTACCCAGGGAATGATAAAGTCGGTATACCCGGTGAAGCGGGGCTGCTCTGCAGAAGGAAATATAACAAATGTCTGTGCCAGTCCAGGGATGATGATCAGGCTGTGCGGGTATGGGGCAGGTGTGTCATCAGTTGTGTGTAAGCAGTCCGGACTTAACCGGGCTGTACTCTGACATCACCCCCCCCTTATGCCACTACATCTCGGAGTGGCTGAGTTTGCATGTGGGGCAGGAGCGGAAGGGTGGTGCTGATGGAATTCTGTGATGAGGTCTGGCGCATTTTGGGTATCACGGTCAGGTATCCAGCTATTTTCGGAACTGGGGTAGCCCTTCCACTGGACGAGGTAATGGAGTCGGCGACGGATATACTTAGAGTCGAGGATTTTCTCCACTTCATACTCTTCGCTCCCTTCGATGATGGTGGGACTCGGTTCTGGGTGTGCAGGGCGTTCTGCTATCTCATCTGGTTGGTACTTACGAACATCTGAGATTGACACAACGGGGTGCATTCGGTATCCCTTGGGGAGCTGGAGTTTCAGTGCAGCTCGTGAGACTATCTTCAGGATCTTGAAGGGGCCTAACCATTTATGGTCTAGTTTCTTGGTCGGCCGATTGGTTGGGTAGTTACGTGCGCTGAGCCACACTTTCTCTCCTTCATGGTATTCAGGTGCTTCGCCTCGTTTCCTATCATAGTACTTCGACATCTCCTTGGCTGCATGTGCTAGGGCTGCCTTTGCCTCCTCTTGCATTTGTGCCATCCGTGATGCAAAGTCTCCAGCTGCCTCCACCATTGAAGTCTTGGGGGGTTCTATCCCCATGCGTGGGTGTTGACCTGTGTCAAGCTCAAATGGCATGTGGTGGGTGGCCGAGTGGATGCGGTTGTTGTAGCTAAACTCAGCGATAGGTAGCCAGTCTGCCCAGTTATCCTGCCTGTGGTTCATGAAGACCCGGAGGTAGGTTTCAATCTCTTGGTTGACTCGTTCTGTTTGCCCATCTGTTTGGGGGTGGTAGGCAGTGGATGGAGTGGGTTTAATACCTAGGAGTTTGCTTAACTCCTGAGAGAACTTAGAGATGAAAGTTGTTCCTCTGTCACTGATGACTTCATCTGGGAGGCCATGGTGTCGCCAGACATGCTCGAGGAAAAGGCGGGCTACACCTGCAGAGTCCATTTGAGTAGTGGTGGGTATGGCATGTATCCTTTTGGACAGACGATCAACCACTACCATGATTGCATTGAACCCTCGTGATAAGGGGAGCTCTCCTATGACATCTACGGAGACAACCTGCCATCGCCGATCTGGTACCTTGTTTGGCATAAGCTTCCCAGTCCTTTGAGCAGGGAAGGATTTCACCCGTTGGCAAGTGTCACATCCAGATATGTACTTGGCAACATAACGAGAGAGCCCTGGCCACCAGTAGTTCCGAGATACAAGCTCTAATGTCTTCCATCGGCCAGGGTGTCCAGCTACTGGGGTGTCATGGTGGGCACGAACTACATCATGGCGGAGAAGAGGGTCCTGGGGGACATAGATCCTCCCTTGATAGAGGATAAGCCCTTCATGTAGCTCCCACCCCGAAGGCGCTTCACGACCAGATTCTAACTCATGAGTCGCACTTGCCACAGAGCCCTCAATGCTCTTGCATTCCCTCATCCGCTGCAGCAGGTCTTCCTCTCCTGTTGGATGCGAAATAGCTGCTGTAGCTCGAATGCGAAAGAGATCGGGGCATAGCAGTGTGACCTTGGAGTTGTCCTCTTCTCCTCATGGGTGGTCCGCTCGTCGTGACAGGGCATCTGCTTTCTGCATGAGTCTTCCCGGTCTGTGTGTGAGTGTGAAGTCAAAGCGGGAGAGATGTAGTGACCATCGGGCTTGGCGTCGGTTGAGTTTCTGGGCTGACCGGAAATAGGAGAGGTTTCGATGGTCAGTGAAGACTTCGAACGGTTCTGCTGCTCCTTCCAGGAAATGCCTCCACTCGTCCAAAGCACGGACTATCGCAAGCATCTCTTTGTCATGGATCTGATAGTTCTGCTCAACATCATTCAGGCTTCGGGACATAAACCCTACTGGGTGGTACTGCTGGTCTTCTTGAAGCTGAGAGAGAACAGCTCCAGTCGCAAAGTTAGAGGCATCACATTCTAGTCGGAAGTGCCCCTCATCTGAAGGGAAGACAAGGGAGGTGACAGCCTTTTTTAAGGCGTCAAACCCTTCTTGTTCTTCTCTGCCCCATCTCCAAGGTCTGGACTTCCGCATCAGTGCGTTCAGGGGTCTAGCAATTTCAGAGAAGTCGCGGATGAACTTCCGGTAGAAGTTCACAAATCCGAGGAAGGATTGGACGTCTTTGACTCGTTTTGGAACTGGCCAGTTCGTGACACCTTTGATCTTTACCGGGTCCATCTCTACCTGATTCTCTGATATCACCAGCCCTAGATACTCTATCTGGGTCTGCTTGAACTTGCATTTCTCTGGTTTGAGGAAGAGTTTGTGTCTTCACAGAGTGGCTAGCACTTCCAGGATAACCTGACGATGTTCTTCAAGAGTTGACGTGAAGAGTAGGATGTCATCCATATAACAAATGGCAACACCTCTGTCAATAAACTCTTGGAGAATGTCGTTCATCATCGTCTGGAAGGTTGCGGGGGAGTTACAGAGGCCAAAGAACATGACTAGGGGCTCAAACAGTCCTCGGTTGGTGCGAAAGGCAGCCTTCCACTCGTGGCCTTCCTTAATCCGGACATTGTTGAAACCCCATCTGAGGTCCAAGACAGAGAAGTACTTCGAGCCTCGAAGACGGTTGAGCACATCTGACACAAGTGGGAGTGGGTATGAGTTCTTTACTGTGATTTCGTTCAGCTTTCGGTAGTCTTGAACAAGTCGGAGGGATCTGTCCTTCTTTTTAACAAAAAACACTGGGGCCCCCATTGGGGATTTAGACGGCCTGATGCGGCCGTTGGCAAGGTTTTCTTGCAGAAACTCATCAAGTTCCTTGTTATGGAAATGGGAATTTCCCATTTTAGACTCTTATGGGTTCTGTATCACATGATTTGTATAGTAATAGAGTTTATCCAATCAATAAACAACCAAAAACCCCTGTTACAACTAATGTTAAACTGCCTGTGATAACATCTGTAAACCCTAATGAACCACCTCCCTTCCCCTTTCCCTTTCCCTGCGCCTTGAACGGACGAAAATGGGCGCCTCCGGCCCCATTTTTGTAACATTCCTTTTGTTCGTTTCAGGACAAAGGGAAGGTGTGTGACCGTGGGAGATCAGCCCCAGGTAGGATATCTATTGCATGATCCCACGGCTTCCGTGGAGGTAATGCACTAAATGCTTCCTTTGAAAAGACGTCTTCATAGAGGCGGTAGGCCTCAGGGATCACCCCTTCTGGGGGAGGCTTCCCATCCTGCCGGGCCCTCTCTGCAAATTGCTGAGAAGGGGTAGTGGTGGCCTGAATCTCCGGCACGCTGCGCGTCGACATCATGTGGACCGCGAAGACTTCGTCTCCAGGTTCTACCGATTCTACTCTCGTGGGTACAGCTCTCTGACACTCAGGTGGACATCGTGTCATCGTTACCTTCTGTCGAACCCAATCCACCTCTGGGTTGTGAAGGAGAAGCCATGGGTGGCCAACAATAACCGTCTGTTGGCCAAGGTTCGCGACAGCGAGTTTACAATGCTCAGAGTGGTCCCCAAAACCGAGGATAACGTCGACTTCTTCCATGATGGGACCGTTCTCGTTCTGAGTCCCATCAATGTTGCAAACGGGGATGGGTGAAGCTAGGGGGGTTGTTGGCAGCTGGTGTTTGCGGACGAATTCCTTGCTGACGAACATTCCCGTGGCCCCTGAATCGAGTAACGCAGACGTCGACACAGCGGCGAGCGAAGTAGCAGACCTGAGTGAGATCAGAATGTTCATCGAGCGTGGGGTCTTCCCCGTTGTCTTTCATGTGTCGGCTCCTTTTATTTTCGCGTTCTTCTTTCTTTGTGCGACTTTAGTAATCTTTCTCGCCTTTGCCTCGTTTACAGGTTCGATTTCGACCTTCATACACGGATATTTACAGTTTTTTGAGGCGTTTACAGGCGAGTCGCCCAGTTGGGGTGCAGCTTTCACCGACTGGCATTTCAAAAACCCTCTTCGCAGGGTTCTTCCCCTTCCACGGCACTCCCGTTCTCAACAAGCTGGTCCTTGATCAGCTGGGTTATCGCGTGAAGGTCCTCTGGGGATAAGGACAAGGGTCGTGGGTCTCCTGGTTGTCTTATCGGCGTGGGTTCATCAACTGCGCGGATTCTTTGTGCGGTGAAGGAGCGGAGCTGGATCACCTTATGTAACCAGTTTCCTACGTCCAATAACGATATTAGAGTTTGTGCTGATTTGCGTACTGACCGTGTTTTGGTTGCCAAATATATGATTGTTCACTGTCTAAACAACAATAAACACCCCCCAACGATCTCACCTGATGTATAGATCGTCTACGGATAAAATTCTATATTGACTTTACTATGATTTCTAGTCAATATTACACCTATATTTACCACTTTTCAGTAGGATGTGATTTTCCTGATAATTTACTGAAGGAAAACTGCTAATAAAATAATTCCGCAATAAATGTTACTCAATACAGGAGTGACCAAACTGCTCTTTCTATCGCTTAGAGTGCGTGCTAGTTATCTAGCAGGTTCAGGATCGCTCACTTTTCTCCTGTGGTGTGATAACCAAGTATTGCTGAGAGATTATTCAATTAAGAAGTCCCTCCACCAAATTCTCACTAATTCTCACTATGACACTTTTGTTCAGCTGTGTCTAACTGACCCTAACTCACGCTTAGAGTGACGTGTTAGTTTTATATTAGCTAACAACTAATATTTGCTTTTATCTTTTGGAGCAAACGAACCAACCACTGGTGAGGAGAATTAAACTTTTATTTCTACCTGAGGTTTGAGAGGGGGCAGAAGCGGTGGCCTTTTATGCTTTTCAGAGGCCTCTCTACTCCCACGCCTCGCACTAGTTACATGTGCTACATTTGTATTATAGATAGTTCTAGAATGATATAGGGGGTTGGGCTGTGTAAGCTTAATAATGGACTTAGGACATGACTCAGCAATAAGTAATTCATTTCTTTGTCTTTTGGGCCGATCTCAGCGGGATCTTGTAGCGCTGAAGCTATGCTCTACACCGCCTTAATTACGAACGGTTATCTTTAGAAATGACTCGGCTATAAAGGAACTTTCTAGACTGTTCTCTAATTGACCCCTTTTTGTGAAGCCACATCATTACTAATGTTCTAGAGCCTTCCCAATTAATTAACTGATCCGCGGACTTCTGAATCACTTCATGCTTATGATCCGAGATCCAGATCATCAATCATTCCTTTGTTCCGATTTATTTGGGCTTAAAATCAAAAAGTTTTGATGAATCATGGGAAAATATACAAGATCCGGTTTTTTAGCATTTTCTCCTCTTCTGATGCGATCAAAAACTGTCCGCCCGCGCCGGGGAATACTCTATCATATGGTATTCGGTCCGCCAGACTCCCGGGCGCCAATATATTTCCCTTGAGTCACATTACCTTTTGTAAGAATTAGCAAATAAATATATATGAATTATAAGGTGTTTCGCCGTTTGAGCGATATCTCCGTCAGTTTTGAAGCTTTTAGAATGAAACAAAACCGTGGATAAAGTTAAGAAACAGTCCTTCCAGATGGTAAAAAGATTACAGTCAAAAGTTTACTGGTTCCCGAGATATTTACATTTCTTTCCCAATGTTCCTTCTTATTCTGCCGTCTATGTGCTATTTTCTTGTTGTAGGGATATATTCTTTGAATATTACACCTATGTCAAGTTCTAGGCATGATTGTAGTAGATTAAATCTCATACTACATGGGTGTAGATATTTTATAATGATCTTCTAATGTCTGTCCAGTCTCATAAAGATCATGAGATCTGTTAAACGTCTGAACTTGTCACCTGTTCGTTGACTATTCTGATAGATCATTGTTTTATTCTTTGAATATTATTTCTCCTACAAACAGGCACAGCGGGATAATTGCAGTCCCTTGCAATTTCACACTAATTCTTGACCATGTTGTTGCAACCATTCTTCCTGTTAGTCAATTGACTCTTGATTTTTCCCTGTTGTTCATGCCAATTCTCTCGTTTCTGGGTTTTCAGTGTCACTGGAGTAGTTTTTGAATCGGTTATCGGGGTGGAAATAAGTTGCTAGAGAAATTTGGGCTGTCTTTTGGATCAGTGGTATATGGAGAGGTAGGTTCCATAGTTTTCCTAACACAAGAAGTACACATATGTTGCTTAACCATGTGTTGCCGCTTTATAGTCCCTGATTTGTCAATCAGTCCATAGTTGCATAAGGATAAAAATAAGGAATAGCATATTGGATTGCAGAGGAACACGTGCGCATTTATGGTCATTCATTCTGCAATGTTTTTGTTTCTGTTTTCGAGGTTTAATTTTATTCAAGGTTGAACTTGTCCGGTACACTAACCATTCGTTCCTTGAATTTTCTATGTTTTCATCAGATAAAAGAAAGTCATAAAAAAATGCATAAGGGAACATAGATTTGCGGCTATACAGGTTTTCGACCTTTGATACTTGTGATTGGGAATTCCAGGAGTAGTTTCAGGTCGACACTATTCCTTGGTATTATACTCCTCCCTCCACCAATCCTCTTTTCGCTCTACAGGCCATATTTCTTCTGCATATAATACCCTATTATCCAACCGATAAGTTTCCATCGCCACTTGCAGTTCCTCCAATGTATCCAAGTTGAGTTGCTGGACTCTTCCATAGATTCGATCTTGAAATTCGCGATAGAATGCCAGTGGGTTATTTTTCCGTGGAGTAGTCAGATGCATCATTGCATGGTACAAATGTTCCCGGAGTATTCGCCAAGAATTCCATAAATGGAACTCCATTGACTTTACCACATGATACTCGGAGCAAATTGCAGCTTCCAAGAGAATCCTTCCGAAGATCAATTCCATTACCTCTTCAAGATCTTTGATCATCGGCATGACTTTATATGGTTTGAATAGACTTCCTAATCGACGCGGATTCGCTCGGAGATCCATTTCGTCTTGGACTAGATTGAGACAGTCCCGGGTCGTTTTCCAAGTTCTATCCAGGTCGGATTCTAACTGAGTTAGATGGTTGTTTAATACCACGTTAATAAATTTTACCCCTTTCGGATATCCCTGATTATAATCACTCCACATCTTTTCTTTAAGTAAAGCAGAAAATGCGGGGGATACTCCTACTTGAGTACGTGGGGTGAATTCAAAAACGGGTTCAGCATTGTCATGATTGAGTATGGGTGATGCCGGTTTTAAATTGGGAAGCGGGAATTCGGGTTTGTCCGGAATGGGAGCGGAAACGGACCGGTTTCGGTAATTCCATTTAGCAGCGGCACTACCCATGGGCTGATCACTTGAAGAAGAAGTTGTGGGTAGGTCCGAGCTGGAATCACTTGGACATCCATAGGCCAGGTCAAATACTTCCTTCCCACGCATTAAAATATCCGATCTAATTCCGTCGCGTTTCTGGAATCCTTGCTGGGCTTTCTCCAAAAGGAAATCTAATTCAGAATCTGTTTCCCATTGAACTGAATTCATAGGTGAGTCGGATCCAAATGTAGTACTTTCTTCGTCGACTTCGCTTTCCTCGGGATTTCCCGTTCCTTCATTCTCTTTCGTCAGTTCCTTCTCGCATCATGTTAAGCAGTTGACTACACACCAAGGAAAAGGGTCTTAGGGATAGCTGGAGTCTGGCTGGCGGTTATGACCGGAACGGTCTTGAAAACGACTTGAGTGTTTGGGAATTGCATATTGATAAGTTTCTTTCAGATGTTCAGATGTTAGACGCTGAAGGCTTGTTGAGCCATCGACCCCTGCTGGTGCTGCAGTTTTATAGTTCGATGTCTCTATTCCTCTTGTCTTCATCCTCCTTGGGAACCTATCGTTACGCTCGGGTGGCTACACGTTCAATCGGCCTAGTCGTTCTCAATCTGTTGGCTCAGCCTCATTTTTCCGTCTATCACTCCCTTTCCTCATGTTCTGTCATCAATTCTCCTGTCTCCTTCATTCACTTGTCTAGTTTGGTTGTCCGTTTTTCGCGGGTTTGATTGCGTCTTTAGTTCTTTCCCCCTTTTTCTCATTCTCTCTACACTAATCAGCCTCATGTTCCATTGTTCTACTATTTCTTTCTCCATCATTTTCGCGCTTCTCACAGATCCTTGGCTTGATTATCATCGCATCAACTCATCAAATCTCTCATGCTCCATCCTTTTCGCAGTCTGGCTCTGACTACCGTCGCATCAACTCATCAAATCTCGCCTTGCGCTTCTCGCACCGCTTAACTTGATTACCAACATGTCAACTCATCAACCCTTGCCTTTTACTCTGACTCTCAACTCTCGGTTCTCTTCTCAGTATTCTCATGTCTGCACGGATTTATCGTTCGGATCCTGTGCACCGCCTGAAGTTCCCCTTCTCCTCGGATTATGGGTTTTTCCCCGATTGAGCGTTTACTCTCCCTATGCATCCACTCCTTTATTTCTCCGCCTTCGGCTTCGACTTCCAGATGTCACTCCTCAATTCAACTACCTGGCAACTTCTACTTCCTTCCGATCCGCGGACTTCCGACGCGACTCTTATTTACTCAAGGTCCTTTGTTTTGTTCCCTCTGCCACTCGGATCTTACAACTATTCCCCTTGTTACTTTGTACATGTGTCGTCCTCCACTCATCACGGCGTATCTGGCCCTGCCGGATCACCGTTTTCTTTCCATTGCAACAAGATTGCGATGTAATTTTTCCCACCGCGATCGACTGATGGTACTTAACCACCTCGGCGATCTGCTTGATGAATTCAATGGGCGCTTGTACTGCCTTGACAATTCATCAACAGATTTCCAAGTTGGATTAATGTCTTGATTTCGATCAGTCATAATTAGGTATGGATCATGAATGCCTCATGGCATTCTCGTTGTTTGGAGACCGGAATTCGTGAAGTGATCTGCCCGACAAGTCCATGATGTGCATTGGCTTTTGCCATTCATGCATTGTGGGTTTTTCAGGTAGATCTTGAGCCCTTTCCAGGTATAACCGGATTTAGGTTGGATGTCGCACCTTAGACAACTAAGGTATGTTTTTCGCTTTGCCCCCTTTTCTTTTACTTTCTTTAGGTAATGTATAACCCGGTATATCGGTACTGTAGCCTCGATGTAAACAAAGAAGTTTTTGAATTGAGGAGTATATAAATTTAAAGAAAGAGAGCGAGAGTAGATCAAACAGATGATCAAAAAAGAAAAAAAATCAAACAAAGAGCGGAATTGTGTTTATACATTAGGTCATGATCGACCTTTTGTAAAGAAATTTCGGAAGAGAAAATGAAGAAAAGAATGATGGAAGGGTGTTGCCATGCTGATCCGGATGGTTAACGCCCATGACGGAGCCAAACCCACCCCTCCTCAAACGTTACTTCCCCAAGCCATGTCTTTTCATGCAAGACAGTGAAGGGAAGAAGGTCGGTTTGATCTCGTAGACGATCAGAGTCCAGATCATCATTAGTGCAACCCCTGTTGGATTATTGAGTGTAAAATAAAATAAAATGAAAAAGTAGAGTTCGACATACTCCGTTTTTACTCAAACATGTACCTCTCTCCCAAAGACTCATCGCTAGAAGGTCTCTTCACTGTTCGAGGAGGTTCACGAACTTGGTCTTGCGAGATATCGAGCCTGATTGGAATGGATCCATACAGTTTCGATCGACATGACAGTCGTCGCTCGCTGTGTCCCCAAGGAATGTACATGTTGTCATCAGAATCATCTCCACTGTCCAAAAGTCGCTGGGGCCATCTGGTCCGTTGCTGTGATAGCCGGTTACGAATCCAAATGTAGGCAAAAACCGCACTGCTGACGATAACAGCTAGGACAATCCCTAGGACTGTGGCAAGTTTAACGGTGACAGATGTAGTGGTCATGATTCGGATAGATGATAGATGTACAGCAGACAAACAGATCTGTCGACACTGTGATGGGAGTAAATGAAGAGAAATAAAGGAATGTTTTTCTCGGCTTTTGCCGTTAGTACTACAAACATAAAAAAAAAACGAAAGAAAAACGCGGGTTCACAGATGCTTTTCAGACCATGTCTGATAGACAACGTCCGGAGACCTGTGTTTGTTAATGATTATGATTAAGAAATTGTGATATAGACCCTTTTGTCTTACTTGATGTCCTTTGCTCTCTTCGATTTCGTCCATCGGTGATTTGTACTCATGGCTAATCTCGCTTGTAGTGAGACCATGAATATACAACGTTGGGTGCCATTGCCTATCCTGATACACAGTCGGTGGGGATCGAGGGACAACTGCTTCGAAGGACTCAATCGATGGTGAGACTTGATTACGTCGACGTCTCTCCTCCGTTCGTGTTCTTTGTCCTTCTTGCCATAACCCGATTATGATGTTGATTGGGTAACCAAGGGTATGGTTCCACACCCATTTTCCCCAATCTCGTCGTGCGCCAATCAAGATTGCAAGGATACCGACGAAATAGAATGTAAAGAGAGTCAGAAGGAAAACCTGTAGAGACAATTAGCCTTTTTAGAAGTTATTTGATATGAGACATTACTTAAAATGTCTGCTCCCATGATGTTGTTATGTTTTTGGGGTTCGCTTGTCTTTGTTCTCAGCCACCAGCGCGCGGCTCTGGTGAACTATGCAACGAGTGAAACAAATTTCGTAAAAGTCACCTGATGTTACAATCTATTTAATTCCTTATCCGGACATTTCGGATGCAGAATCTTCTGTATTGGGATCCTCCCGTCTTTCTCGTACGTGAAACCACCTGAGACTAACAGGCGCTGGAAAGTACAGCTGGCCTCGAGGAGCATTTGTCTCCTTGTACCTGAGGTATTTTCTTGGCCTTCTACTCTCTTGTGGTTTCTATAGTCCCATCTCTCTTCGTATTTTGACGCTTCCTTGATTCGTTCATAGAGTGGTTCATAATTTTGCGGTATTGTCTCTCCTCTCTCAATCATTCTTTTGCGTTGATTCCACCTCTCCCATACTTTATTCCAAAATTCCTCCTCTCTCTTGAGTCGCTCCTCTCTTTCCTTGTGTGATTGGGAAGTTGCCATGCTACTGAAAGCAACTCCTAAAGTTCACAAACTCCGCATGTTCCATATTTCCCTCATCACTCTCTATTCCTTCATCATCCAAATCCATTTCGTCATCTGCATACTCATCTGACCCTTCCGAACCTTCGCTATAGTCTTCCTCCATATATGTCAAAAAGTTTTCGGCATCTCGTTGCTCGAATTCCTCATTAGACTTAGTTTCAGACCCGCTTCCTTCAGACTCGTCCTCCTGTAACTCCTCTGAGTCCTCCGATTCTTCCGATTCTTCCCTATTCTCTTTTCCTCTACTTTCTGCTTTGTTCTCTCTCCGTTCCCTATGCCATGTCTCTATCGCGTGCCATCGTCCCATTTTCTCCTGAATCTTTTCTAGAACAACCGGTTCAGCTGCATCTCGATAGTAAAATATCTTGACACGTTGCGCTGCTACAGGCTTGGATAGTACTGTACCATCCAATTCAGCAAGGATATAAGCTCCAGATGGCCTTATGGTTACCACATAATATGGTCCGGACCACCTTAGGGCTCCCTTTTTTCCTTGTTGATTGTCCAATGAACTTTTATACACTAAAACCATTGTTCCTCGTGCAAGTGGTTTCCTATATCGTTCTCTCCCATGTTTTTCCCAATATGCATCAGCATTTCGTTTCCTTTGTAAGGCTAGATCTCTTGATGCTTGGTCAACATTCATATCTCTATCTTTTAATTGCTCCATTCTTAGACCCAATAAATCGACAGTATCTTCGATCTTGTGCCACTCTAATGTATGCCAGGTTCGCTCCGTGATATCGAATGGGAACATTGCCTCTTGTCCATAGAGAAGATAGTATGCTGAAAATCCCGTAGCTTTTCGAGTGGTGATTCTATCAGCCCATAGCGCATAATGGAACCATTCCGGCCACTTGTTGGTGTTTCCGACACATTTCTTCCACATGGCATCAATCCAATATCTATGACCAACTTCTAACATCCCGTTTGCCCTTGGATTTTCTGCAGATATGTGTATGATCGGAACTTTGTACTTCTTAACTAGTACTTCCACTGCGTCTTTGAACTCTGAACCATTATCCATAATGAGTTGAGGTATACAACCATATCGACACATAATGTCCTCAAAAATAAACTTAGCAATAGCTTGCGAACTCTTTGTGCGAAGCATGCGAGCCTCTAGCCATCCTGATAAGTCATCTCGGGCATCTACGATGTAGTTAAACCCTGCTGCCTTTGGCATATGGACCGTATCTATCGCAAATTTCCTTAAGACGGTTCTGACGTATGTCGGTGATATAGGAATTTTCGGACGGTAACTGGATCTAAGCTGACACTCCTTACATGTTTGGCAAAACCAAGCGACAAACTCATACATTCTGGGCCACCAGAACTTATCCGATAGATTCTTGTATGTGGGGTTTTTGCCTCGGTGTCCTGCTTCATCGTGTGCTTGGCTGCACATGTCCCACCTTTTACCTACATCTTCAACCACTAGTAGTGGAGGTTTAAAACCATTTCGCCTCCACAACCTTCCATCTCCCCAATAAAATCTTCTTGCTTGGGCTAAGATTTTCCGTCTCTCTTTCAAGTCCGTTGGTAACTTCATGCTGCTTAGGTATTCTTCGATTGGTTTGAAATATCCTTCCTCTTGTCTGAGGTCTACTGGAATTGGTAATGGCGATTTTTCCGCCTCTTCCGGAATGATTTCCGCAGTTAACGTTTCCAGAATTCCTACCCAAGTTAAATCCCTTTCGAATTCTTGTTCCGCTGCCTTTGGGTATCTCCACTTCACCTCCATTGGGGCACACTGTTCAATCCTATTGTCTATTCTACTCAACTTCTCAATTACCCAGGAAGTCCTAGTTTCTGGTTCTTCTTCGTCCTCGGAGTTTATTCCTTCGTCGGAGCTTTCTAACTCCACCGATGAATTGTCTGATTTTATATACTCATATATTCCTTCCTGTGCACTTCTAGCAAATTTGAATGGATCTTCATAGTCCATTTCCGGTTCTGATTCTTCTGAATCATCCTCAGCTGGTTCTCTTCGGGACAATCCATCTGGAGCTCTGTGTCTCGTGGCAGGAACATGTTCCATTTCGAAGCTGAAGTGTTGTAAATATGTAACCCATCGTGTCATCGGTGCATTGGGCAAGTCAGGATTATTGACCATTTGTATAAGCGATCTAGCATCTACTTTGATCCTAAAATGATAGCCCCAAAGATAGCGCCGACAAGCTTTTACTGCCCTGAACACTCCATATAACTCCAATTTTGGTTGTGAATATCTTGCTTCCACTTCACTAAACGTCCGTGATCCAAACTCAATTGGGTACTCTATGTCATCTTCCATTACTTGATATAATACCCATCCAACTCCTGTCTGTGCACTATCAACCGCTAGCGTTACCAGTCCGAGGTCCGAGGGCCGTTGATCCTTCGGTAACATCTTTTTAGCTAATTCCAGATTTAATGGCTTGATTGCCCCAGACTCCCGTACCGCTTCTTTCAAGGTGTCCATTGCTTCTTGTGCTTCATCCGTCCATTGGAAATCTTCCTGTCCTCCTTTTCTTGTATACATAGTTAACGGCTTTGCAATTAAGGCAAAATTCCTGATCCATTTCCGTGCAACTCCAACCGTTCCTAGGAAACCACGCACTTGTGAAACATTGCTACATGATTTCCATTTCATAATCTTAGAAAGAGTCCCGTGACTCACTCTTTGACCTTTTATGGATACGGTTCTTCCGACTAGATCCAATTCGGGTGTCGCTAGTACAAACTTTTTCCCTGATATGGTTACTCCACTGATTTCAATTCTCGCAAGTAACTCGTGTAACGTATGAGCATATTCCCATACAAACTTTCGGATTTCTGAGTTCTCTGGGATACTGGCTCCCTTGTATAATTGGGGAGGCCCCTTCAACGCGATATCATCTACAAATACCCCAACTCGGTCTGACATTCCTTTAATTATGTGATATGTTCTTCGGCAGAATTCCACAACTGAATTGGTAAACCCTTGTGGTAAACATGTTAACTGTTGCGATCCTAAGTTAAAGGCATGGAAAGCTGTTAAGTGCCTGCTTTCTGGGGCTAGTGTACAAGCGTCATAGCCAGAGTACAGATTGGCAATCCCATATATTGAATGTCCCGCAAATTCTTGTGCGAAGTCATCAACACGAGGCGGCAAACCTGCATCCCTGATCGTGACACTATTGAGCTTCTGTAGATCATGCACTAATCGGTATGTTCCATCTTTCTTTTCTACTACAAATATTCTTGATCGATAAGCTGATTGCGATGGTTCATACACACTGCCTTGTTGCCTTTCTCTGATTATGTTGACAATTGCTGATTCCGTGCTAAGCGGAAATCTAATCGGTTTCTCCTGCCATGGTTCGTGCACCACTGTACGTATCACATAGTCGGGAAAGTATTCACTACTGAACACGCCTCGCTCTTTACTTGAATAGGCAAAGGCACTTTGGTGTATTCCCACCACATATAGTAACAGATCGACTTCTCTTGATCGGAGAAACCCTTTTGGTATAGTATTGATTAAACTCACTACCCGTTCTGGAGTAAATTTCTCTGAATAAGGAAACTTATGCCCTGATGGTGGATCAAGTGTAATTCTGTGTAGAGTTGTTTAATTTGGATTTTAACTTGAATTAAATCTTCTACTTGGTGAAGTTTCAAAGATTCTACTCAGTTAATGATTTAGATTGTGTCTGGAGTGTCCCTTGAGTTTGTTTTATTTTTGTCTTATTTTATTGCTTGTTTTAACAGTAGCAAAATAACTGTTTTGTGTTTACACTTTGAAATCTGGAGTGTTAACCAGCTCTCCTGTTG